TGTTTCAACTTGGTTAAAATTGAAACAAAATGTTATTACCATCTTCCCTTAAATAACTATTCTGTTTTTACTTTGTAGTTTGCCCGGACCACTGCCATGTAGAAGACGAAATAGAATGCGACGAGCTGTACTTTGTGGGAGGCAACAGACCATTTACTAATAACATCTTGTGCAGCACTCTATTACCAAACTTTGATCCAGATTGCAAATGTAAAGAGGGATATCTCCAAGATGGCCCCGGTCGAGACATTGACAACATGTACCTGTTCCATTATGGTACATTAATGTGCTTACGTGTGGACGACGCATGTAATTGCCTTGACGAGTCTAATACTTATCGGCCGGTGAGTTTCGGTAACACAATCTGACCATAATCTTTCTTATTCTGTTTGTATTCTTCCATCTTCATTTTAAGCCGCCTAATCCCTGATGTGAAACGTCAATATTGCTGTTTTGCCATTCAAGTTCTTCCTGAATTTCAAATGTTCATCCGTATAATCCTAAAAGTACAACTACCCAATATTAGGTAACTAGCTCAATCGTAATCCTACATTGGCACTTCAGCGAACCTGGATATAGGACCATGTACTGGACATGTAATAACTCGCATATTGGTGTGCGACCCGCCATATACGTTTTGACAATATCGGTGTGCACTTTTAGCAACGGGCCAATGCCATACTGCACCGACTACCTTAATTGGCCTATGACAGGATCGGTAATTTTGTTTTCTTCAAACGGTCAGATGCCACACGAAATTACTAAGCCATACAGGGCCAATATCAAAGTGCCAGATATGCAGGGTGTCCTGAAAATAATGGTGCATGTTAACCCCGCCATTTTCGCCAATTTACAACCGGAATTTACTGCAAATGTTTACACGATCTTCAAGGTTACAGATTTAGCTTGAGAATACCGTTTGTTTAATTAAGATTGCCTTTGTAATTTCCGAGATATGTGTGAATAACCGCAAAGCCAAAAAAACAAAACGTTCTGTGCCACTTTAAGGAAGCGAGTGCTTCAAAGATCAGATAATTCCAGTATGGCTCTTTTGATAAGATTATCCCTATGGGTGTAAGACAATCATTCCATTCACACGACAATATAGGGTTTTGTTCTTATGTTGAAACAATTTAATAGTACAGACAGGTTCACTTCCTTAAAACTTCAATGGAAGAGTTCAATTAAATATAAATAAATATTGCACACTCTGCTTAAAAATGTTAAAATCGCCAACAGTAAAGTCATTTGGTTTTAGACTAGGACTTAACTGATTTTAACTGCTTCACAGAAAGTGGCACAAAATAGGTTTCTTGTCTTTGCCGTTATTCAAACATATCTTTGGATTTACAAAAGCAATGTCAATGCAACAAACGGTATTCTCAAGCTAAATCTATACATTACCTTGAAGATGGTGTAAACATCCGCAAGACGCCCTGTATATGATATATGAAACGGTCAAATATATATGTAGGTCTGGAATTCGCTTTAAGTAACGGGCTATTACTGAAAGCAGACAGCGGCAATGCATCGGGCCAATGCCCTGCTGCCATCAAACGCTTTGTCTTCCTGAGCCCATGTCAGAATCTGTACCTAGTTTTTATGAAACCAGAAATGGTGATGCATCGGCATAAAACCGGTATTATCGCTAAGGTCCTGCTAGTACAAGTCGGTACTGGGCCAATTACCCTGCCTAACTTGTTTGTTTATTTGTCTAATAATGTTATGTGGCTGTCTCTATGTTAGGGTACAAGAGCAACATGCTTCATCATATCATTTAAGACATTTGTGTACACCGTTAGTATGTCTTCAATCTTTTAATTAAAATAATCCTTGGTGATTATTCATATTATAGGGCAGGCGACAGCATGGAAATAAAAGGCTGCAATGTGATTATTTCACTGATTAGGGTTTTTTTGCTGATTTAATTTCACTTTACAGGAGGGCTACTCCTATGTCAAGGAAGTGTGTAGAAATTGCACGTGTGGCTATGACGTAGATAAATCGCGATACGGTTTTGAATGCGTGTACGACGGCACTCTTCCTGAATGTGAAGGTATGTGAATAGGTATAATTGTATAAACTATGTAAGGTGCTTCGGCAAAACTATTCTTCACCACTCTCAGTTATTTATATTAATACCTTATTGGAAGTAAACAGGGGCGGGTCTAGCTTGCAGGAAACGCCGGGCATATGAAATGGAGTGGAGGGGGTGGGAGGGGCAGGGGGAGGGAGTTGAGTCTAAGGCGTGCCAAAGACACGCTCTTGTACAGGGGTCTTAGGGCTTGGCTCCGGAATTTATTTTTGAAATCGACTATGATTTCTTCTGCATTCTACGGCTATTCAAGAATAAATGTAGGAATTTTACTATTCCATTTATTACTTTTGGCCCATTTATAATTTTATTAGTTTCATGACATTAGTTAATGGCTAAACTGTAGGGGGGGGGGGGGGAAGCAACTCCTCACTACCCCAATCCCTAGATCCGGTACCGATGAAGGGTGGAGTTACTGAAATTAACTGAGTTATCAATGTTTGAAAACGTAAGTAAGCAAAATAAACGATAATTGTGCTCTTTTTGAAGGGAAGACATGGTACCTAACTTTGGCAATGGCGAAAATATTTTTATACAAAGGGTTTTTCATTCTATTTTATTGTAAATGGTTAGGCCTTTTCACTATAAGAATCCTAAAGCAGTGATTTGTGTGATCCTAAACGGTTCATATCAACATTTCAATGACGATGACAACTATCATCTGTGAGTACATTGCAACCATTTTTCAGAGAAGCCTTCAACAACAGTTAGAACGACTGAACGGATAACGACTGAAGGTTCTACCACAGAGGGAGTAAGAACAACTGTTGTGACAACCACACCAGAGGCTACAACTACGGAAAAAACAACGGTGTTCACTACGAAAGGTTTGTGCTGAGGCGATGAGCTGAAAACTGTCATGATTTCTTTGTCTCTTTTGTTTTGGAATGGGGGCAGGGAGAAAATCCTTTCTTTCCCCATTTCCAGTTTTTCCTTTTTTCATTTCTAGTTTTTGGATGCTTGAATGATACCCAAAATGTTGCTGATGATACGGCACTCTAGATACTTCCAGAATAACTTTAACCCTAAAAAGGCCGGGTTATTTTGACCATTTCTCAGCCGGGGGGGGGGGGGGGGGGGCAATTCCGCCCCCTAAAATCTCGGCCATTGAGTGACGAAAATTTTGAAACTCGGTACATGCATAGAACAACTCATCATGAACACACCCAAGACATTGCATGTTTATAGGTCAAAGGGTTTTGGATTATTGCTAATTACATATACATATGTACGAATGGTAATTCTGCTCTGTGTACACGACGTATATGGGAACATTCAGTTTTTACGGCGCGAAGCGCCGGGGAATTTTTAAGTTAACGATTTTTAACCGAAATAATACTTTCAGCCTTTTGAATTGGATGGTAAATTGATTGCAACTATATGTCCCGGCTGTTGAAGTTCTACAAGTCACGGTCTGACTAATTGCGGAAATGGAGAAATTGAAAATATAAAGTTAGATACCTCAGTGACAATGTAGTGAAAAGAGAGAAATGTAACATGTTTTTTTTTTACAACTACTTTTGCAGCAACAACCGAGGCTGGTTTGACAACGGTGACAATTCGCGAAACCACGACAGTTCCTTCCACAACAACTGTACCATCGACAACTTCTAGAGAAAGCTCTACAGTAGTTACAGAAATCACTCCCGAGTCAACAACCACTGAGGAGACAACTACTGCACTAACTGTTGAAGCGACTACTACAGGTGCTTTCATTTTTGCAATAATAGCAAATTAGATGTGCATTCTTTGGAATTGTATTGTATTGTGATATCTTCCCCAAAATGTTGCCTCGTTCCATTTTTTTTCAGCAGCATTTGCCTGAAATTCAAATGTCATTTGTTTATCGAAATACATATCAGAAGCCCCATCAACCACTGAGAGAACAACAACCCGTGTGTCAACAACAATGGCTTTCTCTACCACAACCCTGCCAACAACCACCGAGGAGGTGTCTACCACAGTAGTGACAACCACACCCGAGTCAACCACGGAAGAGAGAACCACAGTGCTGTCGACAACAGGTGATTTAATTTACACTTCAATTTGCAGTTAAAAGTGGTCTACATATATCGACCTGTTAAAGTAGGTCACCAACGTTTCTTACTGCATTGTTGTTTTATGTACAATTTTACGTACACAGAGGCAGAAACTACCAGAGCTTCAACAACTCGTATAGTAACCACAACCAAAGGATTGACAACTGAAAAACTGACCACCACTGCTGTGACCTCTACTACACCGCTGAGAATGACCACAGAGGAGTCAACTACTGTGTTGAAAACTACAGTGGAACGCACGACAGGTAATATAGGATGTAACTAATGAATTGGCTTCGCAAAAAGTCGCAAAAACTAGAGATTTGCATTTGTTGAGTAACAAACGCAGGGTGATCGGTCAGACAGCTATTTCATTAGACATTTCCCAGTTTAAAATGTGGTATTATTTTTTTGATATCATGAAGCTTTTGAAACCTGTATAGACTACATCTGTGTTCATTATGCACATTTTAGCTGATGAAGTGATGAAGTGATTGCTGGCAATAATTCTCCCGGGTTTTCTTCACAAAATTCGAACAACATCAAAAAGGTCAGGGGGTGGTACCCACACACCCAATAAGTGTGGCAGAAACGCAGTTGGTGAATACGTGTGGACAATTATATTTTCATTGGTCTGTACTTTTGAAATTGCAGAGGCACCCACAACAATTGAGACAACCACAGTCCGTGTATCCACCACTGAGGCTCCATCCACCACAGCTCCTCCATCCACCACAGAGGAAATCACCACAACTGTTGTGAGCACAACACCTGAGTCAACTACAACACAGACCACAACGGTGAAGTCAACCACAGGTAAATTTTTAGTTCATCATGTAGTGACACTACAACGGCAGCATGGAAACATGAATGTTTCCTTCAAATATCAGCCGGGTGACAGGCAAACATACGTTTTTCGAGCAGATGAAATGTCCGTCTAAAATATATTTGTTTACAATTAAAACAACATTACGCTCTGTTAAATGTACTTCAAACAGAAGCCTCGACAACAGAAGCTAGAACCACTGTTGTGAGTGCTACCGTTACGTCTACTGTTCCATCGACCACTGAGGCACCATCAACTACTGAGGAGGTGACAACCACTGCTGTGTACACAACTACCCAAGAGTCAACTACTGTGGAAGAGACTACTACAGTACGGAGTACCACTGAAGAGAGTACAACAGGTAAACAAAGAATACAAATCGATTTTAGTCGGTGAAAAAGTATTATTGATATCATAATCTATTATAGCATTGAAAAATTTACAACCAAACTTGAAGAATTGAGAGACCGTTCTAGGGATATTCAATATCAAGCCTGCACGGTAAACATGAATTTATTGAACACAGTAAAATACAGCATAAGAAAGAAACATTTTTTTTCAATTAATATACAATTAAAATATTGCAACTGTACCTATTAGCTCCTCCAAGTACAACTGAGAAGGCAACTACTCGTGTGACAACTACAAAGGCTCCTTCAACAACTGCCCCACCTTCCACAACTGCTCCACCTCCAACAACTGCCCCACCTTCAACAACCAAGGAGGTGACAACAGTTGTTACCACTACTCCTGAATCAACCACAAGGGCGGTCACCACAGTGGAGGCTACAACAGGTAAGGCTTTTATCAATAAGGTGCCTGATTCGGGATCAGTAAATCATTTCAGTTGGTAATACTGGATTTGAAAACAAATAAAATTTGATTAATATCAGACGTCATTAACGTATTTTTTTAAACTAAAACAGAAGCCTCCACTACAGAAGCTGTGACAACTGTTGTTAGCAGAACAGCTACTTCTGTAGTTCCATCAACTACTGAGGAGATGATAACTAGTCCTGTGTACACAACTACCGCAGAGTCAACTACTGTGGAAGAGACTACTACAGTACGGAGTACCACTGAAGAGAGTACCACAGGTAAACAAAGACTACAAATCGATTTTAGTCGGTGAAAATATATTATTTATATCGTAATCTATTATAGCATTGAAAAATTTACAACCAAACTTGAAGTATTGAAAGACCGTTCTAGGGATATTCAATATCAAGCCTGCACAGTTAACATGAATTTATTGAACACAACTAAAAACAGCATCAGAAAAGAAACATTTTTTTCAATTGATATTCAATTAAAATATTGCAACTGTACCTATTAGCTCCTCCAAGTACAACTGAGAAGGCAACTACTCGTGTGACAACTACAAAGGCTCCTTCAACAACTGCCCCACCTTCCACAACTGCTCCACCTCCAACAACTGCCCCACCTTCAACAACCAAGGAGGTGACAACAGTTGTTACCACTACTCCTGAATCAACCACAAGGGCGGTCACCACAGTGGAGGCTACAACAGGTAAGGCTTTTATCAATAAGGTGCCTAATTCGGGATCAGTAAATCATATCAGTTGGTAATACTGGATTTGAAAACAAATAAAATTTGATTAATATCAGACGTCATTAACGTATTTTGTAACTAAAACAGAAGCCTCCACTACAGAAGCTGTGACAACTGTTGTAACCAGAACAGCTACTTCTATAGTTCCATCAACTACTTTTGCACCATCAACTACTGAGGAGATGACAACCAGTGTTGTGTACACAACTACCCCAGAGTCAACTACTGTGGAAGAGACTACTACAGTACGGAGTACCACTGAAGAGAGTACAACAGGTAAACAAAGACTACAAATCGATTTTAGTCGGTGAAAATATATTATTTATATCGTAATCTATTATAGCATTGAAAAATGTACGACCAAACTTGAAATTATTGAAAGACCGTTCTAGGGATATTCAATATCAAGCATACACGGTAAACATGAATTTATTGAACACAGTTAAAAACAGTATCAGAAAAGAACCATTTTTTCAATTGATATACAATTAAAATATTGCAACTGTACCTATTAGCTCCTCCAAGTACAACTGAGAAGGCAACTACTCGTGTGACAACTACAAAGGCTCCTTCAACAATTGCCCCACCTTCCACAACTGCTCCACCTCCAACAACTGCCCCACCTTCAACAACCAAGGAGGTGACAACAGTTGTTACAACTACTCCTGAATCAACCACAAGGGCGGTCACCACAGTGGAGGCTACAACAGGTTAGGCTTTTATCAAAAGGGTACCTAATTCTGGATCAGTAAATCATATCAGTTGGTAATACTGGATTTGAAAACAAATAAACTTTGATTAATATCAGACGTCATTAACGTATTTTGTAACTAAAACAGAAGCCTCCACTACAGAAGCAGTGACAACTGTTGTTACCAGAACAGCTACTTCTATAGTTCCATCAACTACTTTTGCACCATCAACTACTGAGGAGATGACAACTAGTGTTGTGTACACAACTACCCCAGAGTCAACTACTGTGGAAGAGACTACTACAGTACGGAGTACCACTGAAGAGAGTACAACAGGTAAACAAAGACTACAAATCGATTTTAGTCGGTGAAAATGTATTATTGATATCATAATCTATTATAGCATTGAAAAATTTACAACCAAACTTGAAGTATTGAAAGACCGTTCTAGGGATATTCAATATCAAGCCTGCACGGTAAACATGAATTTATTGAACACAGGAAAATACAGCATCAGAAAAGAACCATTTTTTCAATTGATATACAATTAAAATATTGCAACTGTACCTTATAGCTCCTCCAAGTACAACTGAGAAGGCAACTACTCGTGTGACAACTGCAAAGGCTCCTTCAACAACTGCCCCACCTTCCACAACTGCTCCACCTCCAACAACTTATCCACCTTCAACAACCAAGGAGGTGACAACAGTTGTTACCACTACTCCTAAATCAACCACAAAGGCGGTCACCACAGTGGAGTCTACAACAGGTTAGGCTTTTATCAATAAGGTGCCTAATTCGGGATCAGTAAATCATTTCAGTTGGTAGTACTGGATTTGAAAACAAATAAAATTTGATTAATATTAGACGTCATTAACGTATTTTGTAACTAAAACAGAAGCCTCCACTACAGAAGCTGTGACAACTGTTGTAACCAGAAGAGCTACTTCTATAGTTCCATCAACTACTTTTGCACCATCAACTACTGAGGAGATGACAACTAGTGTTGTGTACACAACTACTCCAGAGTCAACTACTGTGGAAGAGACTACTACAGTACGGAGTACCACTAAAGAGAGTACAACAGGTAAACAAAGAATACAAATCGATTTTAGTCGGTGAAAATGTATTATTGATATCATAATCTATTATAGCATTGAAAAATTTACAACCAAACTTGAAGAATTGAGAGACCGTTCTAGGGATATTCAATATCAAGCCTGCACGGTAAACATGAATTTATTGAACACAGTAAAATACAGCATAAGAAAGAAACATTTTTTTTCAATTAATATACAATTAAAATATTGCAACTGTACCTATTAGCTCCTCCAAGTACAACTGAGAAGGCAACTACTCGTGTGACAACTACAAAGGCTCCTTCAACAACTGCCCCACCTTCCACAACTGCTCCGCCTTCAACAACTGCCCCACCTTCAACAACCAAGGAGGTGACAACAGTTGTTACCACTACTCCTGAATCAACCATAAGGGCGGTCACCACAGTGGAGTCTACAACAGGTAAGGCTTTTATCAATAAGGTGCCTGATTCGGGATCAGTAAATCATTTCAGTTGGTAATACTGGATTTGAAAACAAATAAAATTTGATTCATATCAGACGTCATTAACGTATTTTGTAACTAAAACAGAAGCCTCCACTACAGAAGCTGTGACAACTGTTGTTAGCAGAACAGCTACTTCTGTAGTTCCATCAACTACTGAGGAGATGATAACTAGTCCTGTGTACATAACTACCGCAGAGTCAACTACTGTGGAAGAGACTACTACAGTACGGAGTACCACTGAAGAGAGTACAACAGGTAAACAAAGACTACAAATCGATTTTAGTCGGTGAAAATATATTATTTATATCGTAATCTTTTATAGCATTGAAAAATTTACAACCAAACTTGAAGTATTGAAAGACCGTTCTAGGGATATTCAATATCAAGCCTGCACGGTAAACATGAATTTATTGAACACAACTAAAAACAGCATCAGAAAAGAAACCTTTTTTCAATTGATATACAATTAAAATATTGTAACTGTACCTATTAGCTCCTCCAAGTACAACTGAGAAAGCAACTACTCGTGTGACAACTACAAAGGTTCCTTCAACAACTGCTCCACCTTCCACAACTGCTCCACCTCCAACAACTGCCCCACCTTCAACAACCAAGGAGGTGACAACAGTTGTTACAACTACTCCTGAATCAACCACAAGGGCGGTCACCACAGTGGAGGCTACAACAGGTTAGGCTTTTGTCAATAAGGTGCCTAATTCGGGATCAGTAAATCATTTCAGTTGGTAGTACTGGATTTGAAAACAAATAAAATTTGATTAATATTAGACGTCATTAACGTATTTTGTAACTAAAACAGAAGCCTCCACTACAGAAGCTGTGACAACTGTTGTTAGCAGAACAGCTACTTCTATAGTTCCATCAACTACTTTTGCACCATCAACTACTGAGGAGATGACAACTAGTGTTGTGTACACAACTACCGCAGAATCAACTACTGTGGAAGAGACTACTACAGTACGGAGTACCACTGAAGAGAGTACAACAGGTAAACAAAGACTACAAATTGATTTTAGTCGGTGAAAATATATTATTTATATCGTAATCTATTATAGCATTGAAAAATGTACGACCAAACTTGAAATTATTGAAAGACCGTTCTAGGGATATTCAATATCAAGCATACACGGTAAACATGAATTTATTGAACACAGTTAAAAACAGCATCAGAAAAGAACCATTTTTTCAATTGATATACAATAAAAATATTGCAACTGTACCTATTAGCTCCTCCAAGTACAACTGAGAAGGCAACTACTCGTGTGACAACTACAAAGGCTCCTTCAACAACTGCCCCACATTCCACAACTGCTCCACCTTCAACAACTGCCCCACCTTCAACAACCAAGGAGGTGACAACAGTTGTTACAACTACTCCTGAATCAACCACAAGGGCGGTCACCACAGTGGAAGCTACAACAGGTTAGGCTTATATCAAAAGGGTACCTAATTCGGGATCAGTAAATCATTTCAGTTTGTCATACTGGATTTGAAAACAAATAAAATTTGATTAATATTAGACGTCATTAACGTATTTTGTAACTAAAACAGAAGCCTCCACTACAGAAGCTGTGACAACTGTTGTTAGCAGAACAGCTACTTCTATAGTTCCATCAACTACTTTTGCACCATCAACTACTGAGGAGATGACAACTAGGTTTGTGTACACAACTACCGCAGAGTCAACTACTGTGGAAGAGACTACTACAGTACGGAGTACCACTGAAGAGAGTACAACAGGTAAACAAAGACTACAAATCGATTTTAGTCGGTGAAAATATATTATTTATATCGTAATCTATTATAGCATTGAAAAATGTACGACCAAACTTGAAATTATTGAAAGACCGTTCTAGGGATATTCAATATCAAGCATACACGGTAAACATGAATTTATTGAACACAGTTAAAAACAGCATCAGAAAAGAACCATTTTTTCAATTGATATACAATTAAAATATTGCAACTGTACCTATTAGCTCCTCCAAGTACAACTGAGAAGGCAACTACTCGTGTGACAACTACAAAGGCTCCTTCAACAACTGCCCCACCTTCCACAACTGCTCCACCTTCAACAACTGCCCCACCTTCAACAACCAAGGAGGTGACAACAGTTGTTACAACTACTCCTGAATCAACCACAAGGGCGGTCACCACAGTGGAAGCTACAACAGGTTAGGCTTATATCAAAAGGGTACCTAATTCGGGATCAGTAAATCATTTCAGTTGGTAATACTGGATTTGAAAACAAATAAAGTTTGATTAATAATCAGACGTCATTAACGTATTTTGTAACTAAAACAGAAGCCTCCACTACAGAAGCTGTGACAACTGTTGTTAGCAGAACAGCTACTTCTATAGTTCCATCAACTACTTTTGCACCATCAACTACTGAGGAGATGACAACTAGTGTTGTGTACACAACTACCGCAGAGTCAACTACTGTGGAAGAGACTACTACAGTACGGAGTACCACTGAAGAGAGTACAACAGGTAAACAAAGACTACAAATCGATTTTAGTCGGTGAAAATATATTATTTATATCGTAATCTATTATAGCATTGAAAAATGTACGACCAAACTTGAAATTATTGAAAGACCGTTCTAGGGATATTCAATATCAAGCATACACGGTAAACATGAATTTATTGAACACAGTTAAAAACAGCATCAGAAAAGAACCATTTTTTCAATTGATATACAATTAAAATATTGCAACTGTACCTATTAGCTCCTCCAAGTACAACTGAGAAGGCAACTACTCGTGTGACAACTACAAAGGCTCCTTCAACAACTGCCCCACCTTCCACAACTGCTCCACCTTCAACAACTGCCCCACCTTCAACAACCAAGGAGGTGACAACAGTTGTTACAACTACTTCTGAATCAACCACAAGGGCGGTCACCACAGTGGAAGCTACAACAGGTTAGGCTTATATCAAAAGGGTACCTAATTCGGGATCAGTAAATCATTTCAGTTGGTAATACTGGATTTGAAAACAAATAAAGTTTGATTAATATCAGACGTCATTAACGTATTTTGTAACTAAAACAGAAGCCTCCACTACAGAAGCTGTGACAACTGTTGTTAGCAGAACAGCTACTTCTATAGTTCCATCAACTACTTTTGCACCATCAACTACTGAGGAGATGACAACTAGTGTTGTGTACACAACTACCGCAGAGTCAACTACTGTGGAAGAGACTACTACAGTACGGAGTACCACTGAAGAGAGTACAACAGGTAAACAAAGACTACAAATCGATTTTAGTCGGTGAAAATATATTATTTATATCGTAATCTATTATAGCATTGAAAAATGTACGATCACACTTGAAATCATTGAAAGACCGTTCTAGGGATATTCAATATCAAGCATACACGGTAAACATGAATTAATTTTATTGAACACAGTAAAAAACAGCATCAGAAAAGAACCATTTTTTCAATTGATATACAATTAAAATATTGCAACTGTACCTATTAGCTCCTCCAAGTACAACTGAGAAGGCAACTACTCGTGTGACAACTACAAAGGCTCCTTCAACAACTGCCCCACCTTCCACAACTGCTCCACCTCCAACAACTGCCCCACCTTCAACAACCAAGGAGGTGACAACAGTTGTTACCACTACTCCTGAATCAACCACAAGGGCGGTCACCACAGTGGAGGCTACAACAGGTAAGGCTTTTGTCAATAAGGTGCCTAATTCGGGATCAGTAAATCATTTCAGTTGGTAGTACTGGATTTAAAACAAATAAAATTTGATTAATATCAGACGTCATTAACGTATTTTGTAACTAAAACAGAAGCCTCCACTACAGAAGCAGTGACAACTGTTGTTACCAGAACAGCTACTTCTATAGTTCCATCAACTACTTTTGCACCATCAACTACTGAGGAGATGACAACTAGTGTTGTATACACAACTATCCCAGAGTCAACTACTGTGGAAGAGACTACTACAGTACGGAGTACTACTGAAGAGAGTACAACAGGTAAACAAAGACTACAAATCGATTTTAGTCGGTGAAATATATTATTTATATCGTAATCTATTATAGCATTGAAAATTTTTCAACCACACTTGAAGTATTGAAAGACCGTTCTAGGGATATTCAATATCAAGCCTGCACGGTAAACATGAATTAATTTTATTGAACACAATTAAAAACAGCATCAGAAAATAAATATTTTTTCAATTGATATACAATTAAAATATTGCAACTGTACCTATTAGCTCCTCCAAGTACAACTGAGAAGGCAACTACTCGTGTGACAACTACAAAGGCTCCTTCAACAACTGCCCCACCTTCCACAACTGCTCCACCTCCAACAACTGCCCCACCTTCAACAACCAAGGAGGTGACAACAGTTGTTACCACTACTCCTGAATCAACCACAAGGGCGGTCACCACAGTGGAGGCTACAACAGGTAAGGCTTTTGTCAATAAGGTGCCTAATTTGGGATCAGTAAATCATTTCAGTTGGTAGTACTGGATTTGAAAACAAATAAAATTTGATTAATATCAGACGTCATTAACGTATTTTGTAACTGAAACAGAAGCCTCCACTACAGAAGCTGTGACAACTGTTGTTAGCAGAACAGCTACTTCTATAGTTTCATCAACTACTATTGCACCATCAACTACTGAGGAGATGACAACTAGTGTTGTGTACACAACTACTCCAGAGTCAACTACTGTGGAAGAGACTACTACAGTACGGAGTACCACTGAAGAGAGTACAACAGGTAAACAAAGAATACAAATCGATTTTAGTCGGTGAAAATATATTATTGATATCGTAATCTATTATAGCATTGAAAAATTTACAACCAAACTTGAAGAATTGAGAGACCGTTCTAGGGATATTCAATATCAAGCCTGCACGGTAAACATGAATTTATTGAACACAGTAAAATACAGCATAAGAAAGAAACATTTTTTTTTTCAATTAATATACAATTAAAATATTGCAACTGTACCTATTAGCTCCTCCAAGTACAACTGAGAAGGCAACTACTCGTGTGACAACTACAAAGGCTCCTTCAACAACTGCCCCACCTTCCACAACTGCTCCACCTCCAACAACTGCCCCACCTTCAACAACCAAGGAGGTGACAACAGTTGTAACCACTACTCCTGAATCAACCACAAGGGCGGTCACCACAGTGGAGGCTACAACAGGTAAGGCTTTTATCAATAAGGTGCCTAATTCGGGATCAGTAAATCATATCAGTTGGTAATACTGGATTTGAAAACAAATAAAATTTGATTAATATCAGACGTCATTAACGTATTTTGTAACAAAAACAGAAGCCTCCACTACAGAAGCAGTGACAACTGTTGTTACCAGAACAGCTACTTCTATAGTTCCATCAACTACTTTTGCACCATCCACTACTGAGGAGATGACAACTAGTGTTGTATACACAACTACCCCAGAGTCAACTACTGTGGAAGAGACTACTACAGTACGGAGTACCACTGAAGAGAGTACAACAGGTAAACAAAGACTACAAATCGATTTTAGTCGGTGAAATATATTATTTATATCGTAATCTATTATAGCATTGAAAATTTTTCAACCAAACTTGAAGTATTGAAAGACCGTTCTAGGGATATTCAATATCAAGCCTGCACGGTTAACATGAATTTATTGAACACAACTAAAAACAGCATCAGAAAAGAAACATTTTTTCAATTGATATACAATTAAAATATTGCAACTGTACCTATTAGCTCCTCCAAGTACAACTGAGAAGGCAACTACTCGTGTGACAACTACAAAGGCTCCTTCAACAACTGCCCCACCTTCCACAACTGCTCCACCTCCAACAACTGCCCCACCTTCAACAACCAAGGAGGTGACAACAGTTGTTACAACTACTCCCGAATCAACCACAAGGGCGGTCACCACAGTGGAAGCTACAACAGGTTAGGCTTTTATCATAAGGGTACCTAATTCGGGATCAGTAAATCATTTCAGTTGGTAATACTGGATTTGAAAACAAATATAATTTGATTAATATCAAACGTCATTAACGTATTTTGTAACTAAAACAGAAGCCTCCACTACAGAAGCAGTGACAACTGTTGTTACCAGAACAGCTACTTCTATAGTTCCATCAACTACTTTTGCACCATCAACTACTGAGGAGATGACAACTAGTGTTGTATACACAACTACCCCAGAGTCAACTACTGTGGAAGAGACTACTACAGTACGGAGTACCACTGAAGAGAGTACAACAGGTAAACAAAGACTACAAATCGATTTTAGTCGGTGAAAATATATTATTTATATCGTAATCTATTATAGCATAAAAAAATGTACGACCAAACTTGAAATCATTGAAAGACCGTTCTAGGGATATTCAATATCAAGCATACACGGTAAACATGAATTAATTTTATTGAACACAGTAAAAAACAGCACCAGAAAAGAACCATTTTTTTCAATTGATATACAATTAAATTATTGCAACTGTACCTATTAGCTCCTCCAAGTACAACTGAGAAGGCAACTACTCGTGTGACAACTACAAAGGCTCCTTCAACAACTGCCCCACCTTCCACAACTGCTCCACCTCCAACAACTGCCCCACCTTCAACAACCAAGGAGGTGACAACAGTTGTTACCACTACTCCTGAATCAACCACAAGGGCGGTCACCACAGTGGAGGCTACAACAGGTAAGGCTTTTATCAATAAGGTGCCTAATTCGGGATCAGTAAATCATTTCAGTTGGTAATACTGGATTTGAAAACAAATAAAATTTGATTAATATCAGACGTCATTAACGTATTTTGTAACTAAAACAGAAGCCTCCACTACAGAAGCAGTGACAACTGTTGTTAATAGAACAGCTACTTCTATAGTTCCATCAACTACTTTTGCACCATCAACTACTGAGGAGATGACAACTAGTGTTGTGTACACAACTACCCCAGAGTCAACTACTGTGGAAGAGACTACTACAGTACGGAGTACCACTGAAGAGAGTACAACAGGTAAACAAAGACTACAAATCGATTTTAGTCGGTGAAAATATATTATTTATATCGTAATCTATTATAGCATAAAAAAATGTACGACCAAACTGGAAATCATTGAAAGACCGTTCTAGGGATATTCAATATCAAGCATACACGGTAAACATGAATTAATTTTATTGAACACAGTAAAAAACAGCACCAGAAAAGAACCATTTTTTTCAATTGATATACAATTAAATTATTGCAACTGTACCTATTAGCTCCTCCAAGTACAACTGAGAAGGCAACTACTCGTGTGACAACTACAAAGGCTCCTTCAACAACTGCCCCACCTTCCACAACTGCTCCACCTCTAACAACTGCCCCACCTTCAACAACCAAGGAGGTGACAACAGTTGTTACCACTACTCCTGAATCAACCACAAGGGCGGTCACCACAGTGGAAGCTACAACAGGTTAGGCTTTTATCAAAAGGGTACCTAATTCGGGATCAGTAAATCATTTCAGTTGGTAATACTGGATTTGAAAACAAATATATTTTGATTAATATCAGACGTCATTAACGTATTTTGTAACTAAAACAGAAGCCTCCACTACAGAAGCAGTGACAACTGTTGTTAATAGAACAGCTACTTCTATAGTTCCATCAACTACTTTTGCACCATCAACTACTGAGGAGATGACAACTAGTGTTGTGTACACAACTACCCCAGAGTCAACTACTGTGGAAGAGACTACTACAGTACGGAGTACCACTGAAGAGAGTACAACAGGTAAACAAAGACTACAAATCGATTTTAGTCGGTGAAAATATATTATTTATATCGTAATCTATTATAGCATTGAAAAATGTACGACCAAACTTGAAATCATTGAAAGACCGTTCTAGGGATATTCAATATCAAGCATACACGGTAAACATGAATTAATTTTATTGAACACAGTAAAAAACAGCACCAGAAAAGAATCATTTTTTCAATTGATATACAATTAAATTATTGCAACTGTACCTATTAGCTCCTCCAAGTACAACTGAGAAGGCAACTACTCGTGTGACAACTACAAAGGCTCCTTCAACAACTGCCCCACCTTCCACAACTGCTCCACCTCCAACAACTGCCCCACCTTCAACAACCAAGGAGGTGACAACAGTTGTTACCACTACTCCTGAATCAACCACAAGGGCGGTCACCACAGTGGAAGCTACAACAGGTTAGGCTTTTATCAAAAGGGTACCTAATTCGGGATCAGTAAATCATTTCAGTTGGTAATACTGGATTTGAAAACAAATATATTTTGATTAATATCAGACGTCATTAACGTATTTTGTAACTAAAACAGAAGCCTCCACTACAGAAGCAGTGACAACTGTTGTTAATAGAACAGCTACTTCTATAGTTCCATCAACTACTTTTGCACCATCAACTACTGAGGAGATGACAACTAGTGTTGTGTACACAACTACCCCAGAGTCAACTACTGTGGAAGAGACTACTACAGTACGGAGTACCACTGAAGAGAGTACAACAGGTAAACAAAGACTACAAATCGATTTTAGTCGGTGAAAATATATTATTTATATCGTAATCTATTATAGCATTGAAAAATGTACGACCAAACTTGAAATCATTGAAAAACCGTTCTAGGGATATTCAATATCAAGCATACACGGTAAACATGAATTAATTTTATTGAACACAGTAAAAAACAGCACCAGAAAAGAATCATTTTTTCAATTGATATACAATTAAATTATTGCAACTGTACCTATTAGCTCCTCCAAGTACAACTGAGAAGGCAACTACTCGTGTGACAACTACAAAGGCTCCTTCAACAACTGCCCCACCTTCCACAACTGCTCCACCTCCAACAACTGCCCCACCTTCAACAACCAAGGAGGTGACAACAGTTGTTACCACTACTCCTGAATCAACCACAAGGGCGGTCACCACAGTGGAAGCTACAACAGGTTAGGCTTTTATCAAAAGGGTACCTAATTCGGGATCAGTAAATCATTTCAGTTGGTAATACTGGATTTGAAAACAAATATATTTTGATTAATATCAGACGTCATTAACGTATTTTGTAACTAAAACAGAAGCCTCCACTACAGAAGCAGTGACAACTGTTGTTAATAGAACAGCTACTTCTATAGTTCCATCAACTACTTTTGCACCATCAACTACTGAGGAGATGACAACTAGTGTTGTGTACACAACTACCCCAGAGTCAACTACTGTGGAAGAGACTACTACAGTACGGAGTACCACTGAAGAGAGTACAACAGGTAAACAAAGACTACAAATCGATTTTAGTCGGTGAAAATATATTATTTATATCGTAATCTATTATAGCATAAAAAAATGTACGACCAAACTTGAAATCATTGAAAGACCGTTCTAGGGATATTCAATATCAAGCATACACGGTAAACATGAATTAATTTTATTGAACACAGTAAAAAACAGCACCAGAAAAGAACCATTTTTTTCAATTGATATACAATTAAATTATTGCAACTGTACCTATTAGCTCCTCCAAGTACAACTGAGAAGGCAACTACTCGTGTGACAACTACAAAGGCTCCTTCAACAACTGCCCCACCTTCCACAACTGCTCCACCTCCAACAACTGCCCCACCTTCAACAACCAAGGAGGTGACAACAGTTGTTACCACTACTCCTGAATCAACCACAAGGGCGGTCACCACAGTGGAGGCTACAACAGGTAAGGCTTTTATCAATAAGGTGCCTAATTCGGGATCAGTAAATCATTTCAGTTGGTAATACTGGATTTGAAAACAAATAAAATTTGATTAATATCAGACGTCATTAACGTATTTTGTAACTAAAACAGAAGCCTCCACTACAGAAGCAGTGACAACTGTTGTTAATAGAACAGCTACTTCTATAGTTCCATCAACTACTTTTGCACCATCAACTACTGAGGAGATGACAACTAGTGTTGTGTACACAACTACCCCAGAGTCAACTACTGTGGAAGAGACTACTACAGTACGGAGTACCACTGAAGAGAGTACAACAGGTAAACAAAGACTACAAATCGATTTTAGTCGGTGAAAATATATTATTTATATCGTAATCTATTATAGCATTGAAAAATGTACGACCAAACTTGAAATCATTGAAAGACCGTTCTAGGGATATTCAATATCAAGCATACACGGTAAACATGAATTAATTTTATTGAACACAGTAAAAAACAGCACCAGAAAAGAATCATTTTTTCAATTGATATACAATTAAATTATTGCAACTGTACCTATTAGCTCCTCCAAGTACAACTGAGAAGGCAACTACTCGTGTGACAACTACAAAGGCTCCTTCAACAACTGCCCCACCTTCCACAACTGCTCCACCTCCAACAACTGCCCCACCTTCAACAACCAAGGAGGTGACAACAGTTGTTACCACTACTCCTGAATCAACCACAAGGGCGGTCACCACAGTGGAAGCTACAACAGGTTAGGCTTTTATCAAAAGGGTACCTAATTCGGGATCAGTAAATCATTTCAGTTGGTAATACTGGATTTGAAAACAAATATATTTTGATTAATATCAGACGTCATTAACGTATTTTGTAACTAAAACAGAAGCCTCCACTACAGAAGCAGTGACAACTGTTGTTAATAGAACAGCTACTTCTATAGTTCCATCAACTACTTTTGCACCATCAACTACTGAGGAGATGACAACTAGTGTTGTGTACACAACTACCCCAGAGTCAACTACTGTGGAAGAGACTACTACAGTACGGAGTACCACTGAAGAGAGTACAACAGGTAAACAAAGACTACAAATCGATTTTAGTCGGTGAAAATATATTATTTATATCGTAATCTATTATAGCATTGAAAAATGTACGACCAAACTTGAAATCATTGAAAGACCGTTCTAGGGATATTCAATATCAAGCATACACGGTAAACATGAATTAATTTTATTGAACACAGTAAAAAACAGCACCAGAAAAGAACCATTTTTTCAATTGATATACAATTAAATTATTGCAACTGTACCTATTAGCTCCTCCAAGTACAACTGAGAAGGCAACTACTCGTGTGACAACTACAAAGGCTCCTTCAACAACTGCCCCACCTTCCACAACTGCTCCACCTCCAACAACTGCCCCACCTTCAACAACCAAGGAGGTGACAACAGTTGTTACCACTACTCCTGAATCAACCACAAGGGCGGTCACCACAGTGGAAGCTACAACAGGTTAGGCTTTTATCAAAAGGGTACCTAATTCGGGATCAGTAAATCATTTCAGTTGGTAATACTGGATTTGAAAACAAATATATTTTGATTAATATCAGACGTCATTAACGTATTTTGTAACTAAAACAGAAGCCTCCACTACAGAAGCAGTGACAACTGTTGTTAATAGAACAGCTACTTCTATAGTTCCATCAACTACTTTTGCACCATCAACTACTGAGGAGATGACAACTAGTGTTGTGTACACAACTACCCCAGAGTCAACTACTGTGGAAGAGACTACTACAGTACGGAGTACCACTGAAGAGAGTACAACAGGTAAACAAAGACTACAAATCGATTTTAGTCGGTGGAAATATATTATTTATATCGTAATCTATTATAGCATAAAAAAATGTACGACCAAACTTGAAATCATTGAAAGACCGTTCTAGGGATATTCAATATCAAGCATACACGGTAAACATGAATTAATTTTATTGAACACAGTAAAAAACAGCACCAGAAAAGAACCATTTTTTTCAATTGATATACAATTAAATTATTGCAACTGTACCTATTAGCTCCTCCAAGTACAACTGAGAAGGCAACTACTCGTGTGACAACTACAAAGGCTCCTTCAACAACTGCCCCACCTTCCACAACTGCTCCACCTCCAACAACTGCCCCACCTTCAACAACCAAGGAGGTGACAACAGTTGTTACCACTACTCCTGAATCAACCACAAGGGCGGTCACCACAGTGGAGGCTACAACAGGTAAGGCTTTTATCAATAAGGTGCCTAATTCGGGATCAGTAAATCATTTCAGTTGGTAATACTGGATTTGAAAACAAATAAAATTTGATTAATATCAGACGTCATTAACGTATTTTGTAACTAAAACAGAAGCCTCCACTACAGAAGCAGTGACAACTGTTGTTAATAGAACAGCTACTTCTATAGTTCCATCAACTACTTTTGCACCATCAACTACTGAGGAGATGACAACTAGTGTTGTGTACACAACTACCCCAGAGTCAACTACTGTGGAAGAGACTACTACAGTACGGAGTACCACTGAAGAGAGTACAACAGGTAAACAAAGAATACAAATCGATTTTAGTCGGTGAAAATATATTATTTATATCGTAATCTATTATAGCATTGAAAAATGTACGACCAAACTTGAAATCATTGAAAGACCGTTCTAGGGATATTCAATATCAAGCATACACGGTAAACATGAATTAATTTTATTGAACACAGTAAAAAACAGCACCAGAAAAGAATCATTTTTTCAATTGATATACAATTAAATTATTGCAACTGTACCTATTAGCTCCTCCAAGTACAACTGAGAAGGCAACTACTCGTGTGACAACTACAAAGGCTCCTTCAACAACTGCCCCACCTTCCACAACTGCTCCACCTCCAACAACTGCCCCACCTTCAACAACCAAGGAGGTGACAACAGTTGTTACCACTACTCCTGAATCAACCACAAGGGCGGTCACCACAGTGGAAGCTACAACAGGTTAGGCTTTTATCAAAAGGGTACCTAATTCGGGATCAGTAAATCATTTCAGTTGGTAATACTGGATTTGAAAACAAATATATTTTGATTAATATCAGACGTCATTAACGTATTTTGTAACTAAAACAGAAGCCTCCACTACAGAAGCAGTGACAACTGTTGTTAATAGAACAGCTACTTCTATAGTTCCATCAACTACTTTTGCACCATCAACTACTGAGGAGATGACAACTAGTGTTGTGTACACAACTACCCCAGAGTCAACTACTGTGGAAGAGACTACTACAGTACGGAGTACCACTGAAGAGAGTACAACAGGTAAACAAAGACTACAAATCGATTTTAGTCGGTGAAAATATATTATTTATATCGTAATCTATTATAGCATAAAAAAATGTACGACCAAACTTGAAATCAATGAAAGACCGTTCTAGGGATATTCAATATCAAGCATACACGGTAAACATGAATTAATTTTATTGAACACAGTAAAAAACAGCACCAGAAAAGAACCATTTTTTTCAATTGATATACAATTAAATTATTGCAACTGTACCTATTAGCTCCTCCAAGTACAACTGAGAAGGCAACTACTCGTGTGACAACTACAAAGGCTCCTTCAACAACTGCCCCACCTTCCACAACTGCTCCACCTCCAACAACTGCCCCACCTTCAACAACCAAGGAGGTGACAACAGTTGTTACCACTACTCCTGAATCAACCACAAGGGCGGTCACCACAGTGGAAGCTACAACAGGTTAGGCTTTTATCAAAAGGGTACCTAATTCGGGATCAGTAAATCATTTCAGTTGGTAATACTGGATTTGAAAACAAATATATTTTGATTAATATCAGACGTCATTAACGTATTTTGTAACTAAAACAGAAGCCTCCACTACAGAAGCAGTGACAACTGTTGTTAATAGAACAGCTACTTCTATAGTTCCATCAACTACTTTTGCACCATCAACTACTGAGGAGATGACAACTAGTGTTGTGTACACAACTACCCCAGAGTCAACTACTGTGGAAGAGACTACTACAGTACGGAGTACCACTGAAGAGAGTACAACAGGTAAACAAAGAATACAAATCGATTTTAGTCGGTGAAAATATATTATTTATATCGTAATCTATTATAGCATAAAAAAATGTACGACCAAACTTGAAATCATTGAAAGACCGTTCTAGGGATATTCAATATCAAGCATACACGGTAAACATGAATTAATTTTATTGAACACAGTAAAAAACAGCACCAGAAAAGAACCATTTTTTTCAATTGATATACAATTAAATTATTGCAACTGTACCTATTAGCTCCTCCAAGTACAACTGAGAAGGCAACTACTCGTGTGACAACTACAAAGGCTCCTTCAACAACTGCCCCACCTTCCACAACTGCTCCACCTCCAACAACTGCCCCACCTTCAACAACCAAGGAGGTGACAACAGTTGTTACCACTACTCCTGAATCAACCACAAGGGCGGTCACCACAGTGGAAGCTACAACAGGTTAGGCTTTTATCAAAAGGGTACCTAATTCGGGATCAGTAAATCATTTCAGTTGGTAATACTGGATTTGAAAACAAATATATTTTGATTAATATCAGACGTCATTAACGTATTTTGTAACTAAAACAGAAGCCTCCACTACAGAAGCAGTGACAACTGTTGTTACCAGAACAGCTACTTCTATAGTTCCATCAACTACTTTTGCACCATCCACTACTGAGGAGATGACAACTAGTGTTGTGTACACAACTACCCCAGAGTCAACTACTGTGGAAGAGACTACTACAGTACGGAGTACCACTAAAGAGAGTACAACAGGTAAACAAAGACTACAAATCGATTTTAGTCGGTGAAAATATATTATTTATATCGTAATCTATTATAGCATTGAAAAATGTACGACCAAACTTGAAATCATTGAAAGACCGTTCTAGGGATTTTCAATATCAAGCATACACGGTAAACATGAATTAATTTTATTGAACACAGTAAAAAACAGCACCAGAAAAGAACCATTTTTTCAATTGATATACAATTAAATTATTGCAACTGTACCTATTAGCTCCTCCAAGTACAACTGAGAAGGCAACTACTCGTGTGACAATTACAAAGGCTCCTTCAACAACTGCCCCACCTTCCACAACTGCTCCACCTCCAACAACTGCCCCACCTTCAACAACCAAGGAGGTGACAACAGTTGTTACCACTACTCCTGAATCAACCACAAGGGCGGTCACCACAGTGGAGTCTACAACAGGTAAGGCTTTTATCAATAAGGTGCCTGATTCGGGATCAGTAAATCATTTCAGTTAGTAATACTGGATTTGAAAACAAATAAAATTTGATTAATATCAGACGTCATTAACGTATTTTGTAACTAAAACAGAAGCCTCCACTACAGAAGCTGTGACAACTGTTGTTACCAGAACAGCTACTTCTATAGTTCCATCAACTACGTTTGCACCATCAACTACTGAGGAGATGACAACTAGGGTTGTGTACACAACTACCGCAGAGTCAACTACTGTGGAAGAGACTACTACAGTACGGAGTACCACTGAAGAGAGTACAACAGGTAAACAAAGACTACAAATCGATTTTAGTCGGTGGAAATATATTATTTTTATCGTAATCTATTATAGCTTTGAAAATGTACGACCAAACCTGAAATCATTGAAAGACCGTTCTAGGGATATTCGATATCCAGCATACACCGTAAACATGAATTTATTGAACACTGTAAAAAACAGCATGAAAAGAGAAACATTTTTTTCAATTGATATACAATTAAAATATTGCAACTGTACCTATCAGCTCCTCCAAGTACAACTGAAAAGGCAACTACCCGTGTGACAACTACAAAGGCTCCTTCAACAACTGCCCCACCTTCAACAACTGCTCCACCTCCAACAACTGCCCCACCTTCAACAACCAAGGAGATGACAACAGTTGTTACCACTACTCCTGAATCAACCACAAGGGCGGTCACCACAGTGGAGGCTACAACAGGTTAGGCTTATATCAAAAGGGTACCTAATTCGGGATCAGTAAATCATATCAGTTGGTAATACTGGATTTGAAAACAAATAAAATTTGATTAATATCAGACGTCATTAACGTATTTTGTAACTAAAACAGAAGCCTCCACTACAGAAGCTGTGACAACTGTTGTTAGCAGAACAGCTACTTCTATAGTTCCATCAACTACTTTTGCACCATCAACTACTGAGGAGATGACAACTAGTGTTGTGTACACAACTACCGCAGAGTCAACTACTGTGGAAGAGACTACTACAGTACGGAGTACCACTGAAGAGAGTACAACAGGTAAACAAAGACTACAAATCGATTTTAGTCGGTGAAAATATATTATTTATATCGTAATCTATTATAGCATTGAAAAATTTACAACCAAACTTGAAGTATTGAAAGACCGTTCTAGGGATATTCAATATCAAGCCTGCACGGTAAACATGAATTTATTGAACACAGTTAAAAACAGCATCAGAAAAGAAATATATTTTCAATTGATATACAATTAAAATATTGCAACTGTACCTATTAGCTCCTCCAAGTACAACTGAGAAGGCAACTACTCGTGTGACAATTACAAAGGCTCCTTCAACAACTGCCCCACCTTCCACAACTGCTCCACCTCCAACAACTGCCCCACCTTCAACAACCAAGGAGGTGACAACAGTTGTTACCACTACTCCTGAATCAACCACAAGGGCGGTCACCACAGTGGAGTCTACAACAGGTAAGGCTTTTATCAATAAGGTGCCTGATTCGGGATCAGTAAATCATTTCAGTTAGTAATACTGGATTTGAAAACAAATAAAATTTGATTAATATCAGACGTCATTAACGTATTTTGTAACTAAAACAGAAGCCTCCACTACAGAAGCTGTGACAACTGTTGTTACCAGAACAGCTACTTCTATAGTTCCATCAACTACGTTTGCACCATCAACTACTGAGGAGATGACAACTAGGGTTGTGTACACAACTACCGCAGAGTCAACTACTGTGGAAGAGACTACTACAGTACGGAGTACCACTGAAGAGAGTACAACAGGTAAACAAAGACTACAAATCGATTTTAGTCGGTGGAAATATATTATTTTTATCGTAATCTATTATAGCTTTGAAAATGTACGACCAAACCTGAAATCATTGAAAGACCGTTCTAGGGATATTCGATATCCAGCATACACCGTAAACATGAATTTATTGAACACTGTAAAAAACAGCATGAAAAGAGAAACATTTTTTTCAATTGATATACAATTAAAATATTGCAACTGTACCTATCAGCTCCTCCAAGTACAACTGAAAAGGCAACTACCCGTGTGACAACTACAAAGGCTCCTTCAACAACTGCCCCACCTTCCACAACTGCTCCACCTCCAACAACTGCCCCACCTTCAACAACCAAGGAGATGACAACAGTTGTTACCACTACTCCTGAATCAACCACAAGGGCGGTCACCACAGTGGAGGCTACAACAGGTAAGGCTTTTATCAATAAGGTGCCTAATTCAGGATCAGTAAATCATTTCAGTTGGTAATAATGGATTTTGAAAACAAATAAAATTTGATTAATATCAGACGTCATTAACTCCGGTAGTTTGTAACTAAAACAGAAGCCTCCACTACAGAAGCAGTGACAACTGTTGTTAGCAGAACAGCTACTTCTATAGTTCCATCAACTACTTTTGCACAATCAACTACTGAGGAGATGACAACTAGTGTTGTGTACACAACTACCGCAGAGTCAACTACTGTTGAAGAGACTACTACACAGAAAAAATCAAATAGAGTAATTCGACTCAATGTCGTAATAATTGAGTAATTTTGTCCTTGTAGTGAGACATTTTGAGCCAAAGTGTGGCACTCTACGGACATGATAATTTATATTTATGATATAAATATATTATTTATATCATAATCTATTATGGCAGTAAACAACTTACGACCAAACTTGAATTTATTGAAAGACCGTTCTAGGGATATTCAATATCAAGCCTGCACAGTCAATATGAATTTATTGAACACAGTAAAATACATCATTGGAAAGAAACAGTTTTTTTGAATTGATATACAATTAAAATATTGCAATTGTACCTATCAGCTCCATCAAGTACAAGTGAGAAGGCAACTACTCGTGTGACAACTACAAAGGCTCCTTCAACAACTGCCCCACCTTCAACAACTGCTCCACCTCCAACAACTGCCCCACCTTCAACAACCAAGGAGGTAACAACAGTTGTAACCACTACTCCTGAATCAACCACAAAGGAGGTTACCACAGTGGTGTCTACAACAGGTTAGAGTTTCTCAAAAAGTTTCTTACATTTTGTCTCACTATATCTTTTCAGCAAAAAAACACAGGGATGTCGGAACTCAGGGTGGCTGGAATATAGGCTGAGCAGTCAGAACATATAGGTGATGTCGGAACATAGGGGTGTCGCAACATAATTGTGTAACCATATTATACAAACACAACATAGTTGAGGGTTATAAGTATTAAGTTACTGGTCCCGAGTTATTAGCCGATTTGACTACCTCCCGAGGCTCGTCAAAATCATCAATGCACCTATGAACATCTTCATCCCATAAAAAAATAATTAAAAGTCCATTTATCCGTGAAAAGAATCTTTAAGGGATGTTTCACAGACATTTACATGTGGCTTATATCGGACTTATCCTGTAAGGAAATTTTCACGGTTTTTTAATGAACCTGGCCACTGGGGATTATCATTGGTTATACATAAACATTTTTTTATTTTGCATTCAATAGGAGACGTTGAAAAACAGAGGACAATATAGGGTCCACAATCCTCGAAGATCCACGAATGACTATCGTGTACTTAGCATGGGGTTTGTAGGGTACCACTATATGTATTGTTCGACCTTTATCCCCTCAAAACCCATAGCGTTAGGGCTATGGGGTACTTCTATTCCTAAAGACAGACTTGCGGGGTACCATTGTCCCTATTGTTGCCCTTTGTTCCCGGTACCCCATAAGTGCCAATATATAAGAGCTTACATCCTTGTGTTCGCGCGCACTAGCCATTACATTTTTGTTACACGCAGCCGTGCTATGCGTAAATCACAGTAACAATTAATTAATAGGACCGGTTTCGCCCCGCTCCAACAAATTATTATGATAATTAGCTCTATGAAGATCAAAGTTCAACATATAGTGTGGAATATCCCTCCCATGGAATGCATAATGCGATAAAGGTTTGGTGCGGTACCACCCGTAACCTTACGTGATCACCATATTTGCGTAGTTACGGGTTATAACATAGGGAATTTAAGACTTGTTCAAAGCGCAACTTTAGTTGTAGGGATGTTAGTTATGATTACTGTTCCTATATAAAATTCCTATTAAGATGTGCTATCCTCTTCGGAGCAGCAAGCAATGTATTCTCTCATTACATTCTTGCAAACTCATATTTGCTTGTTTCTTAATGTGCAGTGCTCTCTACCACGGAGGAAGCGACTACAATCATCGTAACAACTCAAGAAAGAACCACTGTGCCAACAACCACTGAGACCCCAAGTTCTACCGAGGAGTTGACAACCACAACGTTGATCACCACAGGTCCCGAGTTAACAACAACACAGGAGACAACAACAGTAGTCACGACCACACAAGCACCATCTACCACTGGTACATATAATTGTAACCTCAAATCCGTTAAACATTGAATTCTAAGTTCACATTTTGAAACACAAATCGAAATCGTCGGAGGGAAAACATCGCCCCTGAATTCTTAACTCACAGGTATATCATCCATTCGATCATTAAGTTACCGTAACATTGATATTTTGGTTTTCCTTTAACGTTAGGTTTAATTACGACTGAGGCTCCATCAACTACTGTAAAAGAAACAACTACGGTGACAACAGAGGGTAAGTGTTTAATGACCAAAATAAACCAAGAAAAAAAACCACACCAGCATTTGAAAACTCGAGATACATGTCTTAAACCTGGAAAAAAAGACAGTACTAAGAATTTCTGCAAGGTATCTGTCACCTTGTGAATATTGAGTTCTTTTTATAAGTTGTTAGATTCTATTTTAGGATTTTTTTAATCGGACTCAATTCCCTTTGGGGTCGCTATGTTTGTGACTCAGACTCAATCTAGTCACATCAGCAAAGGGCTAGGGATCCGGAGGCGACTCAGGCTTGGACTCGACCATTATGACTCAGACTTCACACTAATGACTCTATTTTTTTTTTTACCAAACCAGTATATTTTAAGAAACATAACTCCAATGTTTATGGGTGCAGGTGGGATGACGTCATCCAATGAAATGTATTCGTCTATTCATTTGCACACCAGTTTTCATCGGTTGCTATGTGATACCACATTGAGTTTCAAGAACATAGGTCTGTATGGGAGCTAGAAAAGCCTATGCAAATTTATTTTCCGAATTTAACGTTAAAGCCACGCTAAACAACGTTAAGCACTAAAACCACACCGCACCACTCTCCATGTGGTTTTGCAAACAGCAACGATTTTTATTCAATGCGTACCTTCCTATTTTCTGCGAAAGCACATCACTTACATATCGCTTCAACGTCCATGCACATCCATTCCGTGTCATCCGCTCCGTTCACAAGTACCCCCTCACCGGCAAAGCAAGTACAGTTGGGGGTGACCGACCGACGCCATCTTGCCTCACTACAATTCATTGCCGCGCGCGAAGCGCGGCCACGGCGTGTGCATAGTACAAAACCCCTGGTGAACGTGCGTCACACACAAGGAACGGTGCGCGTCAACCAGCGAAATGTCCCGGCCATGGGACGTCGTTGCTAAGTGAAAGGGCACCCTCTTTGTCGGCGCACGGAGCCCATTTGTGACTAGACTCGGATCCTAATCATGACTCCTAGGTTGGAATCGGACTTTATCCAATTAACTGTTCTTTCTCTTGGACTCGACCCAAGTGACTGGAGACTCAGACTCGGCCCCAGTGATTCGACTATACATCACTGTCTTGTTCTTATTGATTCATTGCAATTTAGGGCCAACCACAGTGAAATCTACTGCGACTGAGAAAGTGACCACGCCAAAAGGAACAACTGTCACTGTCACAGAAACTACCACGGAAGGTGCAACAACTGTTATTAAAACAACAACAGAAGGTGAAGCACGAAATTCTATTTCCTTTATTATCTCTTTCCATTAAACTTAAGATAAAAATTGATGTTAATATTGAACTGAAATATAAAATCGCGAATCACGATTCATTTCTTGTCGAAATTCCTCAGCGTAAATTAATTCCATTGCTTAAATACATGTATTTTCTTTCTTTTCGTAGCCCCAAGTGTCTGCATGTTTAATGAACAGAAGTTTACTGTAAGTACTACTATTGTCGGTCTCAAATGAATGAATTCAATGTTAAGTTTATATATGTCTAAACTATTTCAGTTAATATTTAAACAGCGTTTAGCGCATGTCAGTGAATCCTCTGCATATTTAGCAACGGATACATTTCCCGTATGAGTGCCTTCAGGAGAATCGACTATTAAGGGCAAACAATTTGGAAATGTATCGTCATAAATTCATCTACAATCTCCAACTGATTATGCTTCAATGTAAATTGTGCATTACTGCATACCCTTTTATACATATCAAAGCCCTTCAGGTGGCAGATACATATTTAAACCTAATACTTTTATAGTTTTTTTTATGACTGCATCAAGCGCCGTTATTATTGATCATTTTCGTGAATGTAATTATATAGGTTTTCGCAGCCAATTTAATGAAATGTTCATTCATTTCTGAAAATCGGTCATTCCTTTCCGTCTGAAGTTGAATGCACGTCTTTAATCCCATTTTAATTCAACGAAAGTTCAATCGTTTTGGTTGTCCGTGCATTCGGTTTTGAAAAAAACAGACGACCAATTAGGTTACCAGTGCTTTCATTTACGCAAGCATGCCTTTTCTAAATTGATTTCACGTACAGCTAATTTGATTGACGGTTAATGAAGCAGAAACCCTTCATTGTATTTGGTGCCGATGCCATTAATCTAAAAGTGAAATAGAATGGTGAATGTTTGAAATCGCCCTCTAAAAGCGAAAAAGAAGTCTTGTAAACGAATCTGAATGGACATGAACGAAAGGTGCTGCTCAATAACTTAATTGATTGAACTGAAATGGAATCGAATGCTGGTAGCAAAAATGAAACGCGTGTTCAGAGCGATTCTTAAATTCAGACGAAAATGAATGACCAATTTTTAGAAGTGAATGAACATTTTAGGAAATTGGCCGGGAAAACCTATATTTGCCTAAAGCTCTCAGTTTATCCATGAAAATGACAATCTTGTCTCAGGAATGCTTAAATATGCAGTTATGTGACATAATTCCATGAATACCCGTGTCCTTTTCCGTCTCACAGGAAGGTGAAATAATACCCTCTGTTCAACCTTGTGTCGTGCTGATTTGCGGAGAGAATGGAAACATCATATCAGAGAAAATCAATTGTAACCGGACATGTCCTAACGTGAGTGTACCAAAACAGGAAGTGCATGCTTTGTCTGGTTTGTAGATTTTACAAAGATACATGTTAATCAAGAGTAATATCTCTGCATTGCAAAGGAAACTAAGATTGGCGTATTGTCCAAGCAGAAGCAAATCCAGAAAATGACAACCCAGGGCGGATCTAGCTTTCAGGAAAAATGGGGGTGGGGGATGAGCGAAGGTCTGCAGAAGTCAACCCTGCTTGGGAGATCACCCAACCTTATCCCCTTCTAAATCAGCCACTAACAACTGTGCAAAGAAAATTGGGGTCGCAGTTTTTTCCGACACTATTTTTTGTTTCTATAGAGAGCTCGATGTATTAATAAAACATTGTCTTGTTTTTATCAATAGGGAAAATTGATGGAAGTAAGCCATGAACATTGCTGTCCTGTTTGTGGTAAGTTCAGTGCTCCTACACGCCTATTACTACAACTCCTAGTTCAATTACACCACCAACAATTCAGGGCGCAATTTCATGGAACTGCTATAAGCACACTCGAAAAAGTCCCGGGTCAGATTTGACCCGGAAAAGGGTCATGTGGGGCTTGACCCTTTTCCGGGTCAAAATTGACACTTTTCTGGGTCAAATGTACACTTTGTGACTCGTCTGTTGGGTCATTTTGACCCGGAAGAGGGTCATTTGTGACCCGGAAAAGGGTCAGGCCCCACTTAACCCCACATGACCCTTATCCGGGTCAAATCTGACCCGGGACTTTTTAGAGTGCACGATTTCCTGCTTACTGTGCCTCTCCCGTTAGAAGCAAACGCAACTATAAGGAGTTTTAAATTAAACCAGAGGAGAACTTGCTGAAATTATTGACGTAAATGAGACCGGTGTGCAAGCATGTCATGTTAACTTTGGCACATCCATGCTGCGAAGTAATGTTGTTCAGGACAAGTTTCTGTTGCAGTAAGTACAACGTTTGTGCTAACTGTGAAAAAGCGGCATGTTTGCCCCAATGTCAGATATAAAGAAACAAATCATCCCATGTAACTGTGATTTCGGAGTGTCTACAGGGTAAGTGAAAAAACCGCATCCCAAATGCAAGTTTTGAATGAAGTTTTGCCTGTAGCACTTTCACAATCTAGGATAAAAGTGCCCAATCAGTGGGCTTTCTTTTAATATAAAAATAGTTCAAATCACTCTTGTACTTTTTAAGTTCCGGCATTTTGAACACAAACACCGATTTAAAGTTCAGTCCACGGATCACAAAAAGGTACGTGTTCTTTCAGCAAAACGAAAACAATTCACATGCAGCCCTATGGGAATTGTTTTCGTTTTGCTGAAAGAACACTTGCATTTTTGTGATCCGATGAACTTTAAAACGCTGTTTGTGTTCAAAATGCCATAAGGTGATCATTACATGAGTGATCTGAATGATTCTTGTACTAAAAGAAAGCTTAATGACTGCGCTTTCATATCCTAGATTTTGAAGTGCTACAGGCTAAACCTCATTCAAAAATTGGTCCTGCCACTTTGGATGCATTTTTATTTACTCACCCTGTAATAAGCTTTTGTGGTTCTTCACAAGTCCAGTCTCAAGTGAATCAATGTCAGTCTACAGTCCGGCCACAATGGACCGATCCAGTAAGCACCGCCCATGGCGTTCTGACCAATCACAGCCGTGATTTATGTCTGACGTGCGTGCACAAAAGTCCGGCATGCGTGCACGAGCGTATGATGCGCGCGGCAGGAGCTCGTGTTAATTGGCCCAGTGCGCAGTGGGCGCGGCCTACTGGATCCGTCCATTAAAGCTATATTCCATCATTTGCAGCCATCCGAAAAGTAACTGGCGTAATTATTGTTGAAAAACAAACTTGTTTGAAGGATAGTAAGGGAACTAAACTCCCTGTGAAATTATTCTTTCTGGGAAGCTGTCATTGTGAAGTTATCAACGACTTAAGAAGCACCGTAGAAAAATTTAAATTAGTAGTTCGTTTTGTTATTCGGCGAAGCGCGTGCAAGCATTGGCACGACGCACACGCGCACGCGGTTGCTATAATTCGTCGGATCAGTGCGCGACTTCGCGTATAGCTGCTATTCAAAACAATTCAAAACACGATTCAGTAACTTTTGATTTGAAATTGAGATCCTAGAAAGCTGTTTTTCTCGGAATATACAGCTGAAGCTTAGCTGAAACTTCATCAGGTTAGTTGTTCAGTATCCTTCATTAGATTTTGAACACTTTTGTTCCTTCAAACGAACAAAATGCACAAATTACAAATGATGGACTATATCTTTAACTATAGGGATGAAGAATAACAGACGTTTATAGCCTTCATCACAGTACTTTTGAATGGCTGGGGACCAGACTTGACTTCTGACTTGTGATTGACTTGACATGCATGGTGGTCTTTGCAGGTCACACGGGTTTAATTTTAACCAATGTGAATCATTGGGGAATGTCACCTTTACATTTCTTGAAATACACAGTGACCGAGTCCTGTACTTTACTTGTTTGTTTACTCAATACAGTTCCGAAAGAGGAGGACTGCTTCTATCGCAATGATCCCAACTTCCTCGTAGTTGGTGAGTGCTTGTCCGAGGGACGCATCCCGCACACCGACTGTGAGGGGTCTTGCGGCTCCAACTCGCGGGTCACCATGATGCCAGACTCCCACATCACGTTCAACTGTGGCTGCTGCAAACCCTCCAAGCTGGAGCAGAATTACGTCACGATGAAGTGCAATAACGGGACCGAGTTTGTTCACCCGTATTATGAGATCAAGGCTTGCTCGTGCAGCTCATGCGAGTTCGATCCCATGGAAACACTGATTGTCAACAAATTTGTGCTTCCTCAGGAGGGAGAATTCTAGTATTTTTTCTAACCATCCTTTGTACAGCCGTGCACCTGACCTCTTCGAATCCGTGCACAAACAGTAGATTTCGTTTCGTGATTACTTTCGACAGCCCAAGTAGGAGGATACATTAACGTGCGCGTTCTGGTTCATGTGGCTGTTGCGCCGTGTACGCACGAGTCTTATGTGCACGTGCACAAACCACATACAAAAATTATTAGGAAACATTAGATATAGTACGTGTACTGGCTACGAAATACAGCTTGGGAAAAGTCACTTGTTAAGTCAACATTTGCCATGTTTTTTTTTTATTTGGCACACAATGGACAATGTGCATTTTACATCAAAATGTTGAGATGTACAAACATTACATTCACTGTGTTGATTTCCGCACAGAAGAGGTCCGCATAAACGACAGGTATAGCAGCGACGTTGTGTGGACTTGCCCACTTCCACACAATGTTTCCCCATCTCGGGAAAACAGGTTGAGAGGCATTTTTGGATTAGGTTTATCCGTGGCAAAATGAATAAAAACACCAGAGGGAATCATAGAAGAAAACAAATTGGGTTGAATTTTTTTTTTCACAGTGTGAGTAAATTGATTTTTTTTCAGAGGTTTTCTAAACTACAGAAAGAAAAGCAATGTCCACACTAGGTATGTAACTTAAACATGTATGTATCTAGGTGGGTATCCTGTACACTTAATCATCGGTGCCGTTTTTCTTCACATAATCGTCAGATGCAGCGGTGGCGGTCTTCCCAAACTTTCCCAGTATAACTCTTGATGAGGGCGTACTTGTGCACTGAGTCCCTGGCCTATAGGTTGTGAATGATGCATAATAGATCGACACGTCCCGAAATAGAAAAAAAAAAACTATACGGTACAGGAATCAACCTATGATTCGTCCTCTAGTCCAGTGGTTCTTCTGTTGGTGATTTAAAATTTGATAATAACTAGACGATATTGTCAAACTAGTTTTACTCTCCAAAAAAAGTTGTTTAATACTGTGTTGTACAAAGGATGTTTAGTTAAATATACATGTACCAAGAACCGAAACGACGTCAACGTGACAGTTTAATCGAATACTATGACGACGGCTTGAAATGAAATTTATGAAATTTTCGCTAGATTTGCGTTTTTTGCTTGATTAGATATGCTTGAAATTTGCCGCATTTACTGCATGATTTGCTAAGGATACAATTGAGTTAGTTTCGATATATTATATTTTATTATGCTTGTCTCATTACAGCCGTTCTACTAAGTAACATGACAGATAAAACATTTGTTAGTTTCGCCGCTTACATGTCGGGATCGGTGAAACCAATGACATTCAGCATTGTTACAATTCACAAAGGAATAAATAATGCAGGGGTGAAATTTCTGAGGAAGCGTTCCTGATTTCAGAAGTTTTCGTCATGATTTTTAAAGAATCCATCTTGAAATCTGCAATTCCAGAGGTTCTACCGTACAACTGGTTTTGCCTATAAAAGCTCATGTAGAACAAAGAAAAGGAGTGGCTTCAGGCAGCTACAACTACAGACCCTACGTTGCTCCTGGCCCTTGGCAACCATCAAGCCTTCTGTCGATTATTTATCGGAATTGTTCATTTTCCCGTAATCTCACCCCCAAGTTGGCTAAATATTCTCCGAGTGTTTGCAACTCTCCTTTTCATTGTGAGAAAACCCTGCGTTAAAAGAACATTAGATAACAATCAGATCAGCATTTTCAACTTTAACCGATGCATTTTTCCTCATGTAAAGGATAGCTGTTTTGAAATTATTAATTAATCGTTAAAGGGTTCATAAGTTTTACGTTATCATTTTTTTGCTTCAATTTAATTTTGTTTTAGTTTAATTTGTCACGAACTAAGATAAGGTTTTCTAGCAGGAGGTATGAATGTATTTATGCATATTTGAAAAGGCTTGTGTATTGATTTGCGGTTCTTGTTTTCTTTATTATAATTTTGTTTGGAATTTGCCATATTTACTGATGATTTACTACTTAAGTTAGTTATAATATATTATGGAATGCTTAATTATTAATTCATTACAGCTGTTCTGCCCAGATACATTTGTCATTTTGGAAGCACTGACAGATAACATTTGTGATGCTTTCGCCGCGTAGAAAACAACCTTGATATACAGTGTCCCCCAAAATGTTAACCCACAATAAAGGGATAATAAATAATGAACGAACTACGAACTCAATGAACATGGTTTTATCGTAAACTTTGGGAGGTAAGCTTTCCATTGATATCTTGGATCATTGTTTTGAAAATGGTGTGAAAAAAGTTTGGGTTAAACAATCTTTGTGACGCATAAGCAGAGGAACGCTTCCAAGATATCAACAGAGAGCATACGGCCCAGAGTTTCTAATAAAACCAAAGGTATGGTAATTAAATAAGTTCATTGTTTGTTCATATTATTCCTTTGTTTGACGGTTACCCTTTATAGGACATTCCCAAAGGTCATAATTACAGAGGAATTAATGTGGCCAGGTGTTTTGAAAGGTTGTAATTTACAACACTTTGTTTTCATTGCACAACAAAATGTCATGAAAACAATGGGTACAGGACTTTAGATGATACCATTCAGTACTTTGTTACTTAAGAAAATTCAGATCAGCATAAGCAACTTAAAGGGAATATACATCATTTGCTTTTGCTGTAATTTTCAGAAATGGATGGAATTGGGGGTTGGAAATATATAGCAAATATAGTTACACTGACTTTTTTGAGGTTTTGGGTTCGAAAATGCTATAAAAACCAAGAAAAACAATCATTTTCCTGTAGTCTGATTCCCTGACTCCATACAAGAAGAAACAGAGCAGTTTACATACATTGGGGAATTGTAAGGTCAGGGAACCAGTCTAGCTGGCTTGTACCCGTTCATAGGTGTGTAATCGATTGCAAACAAGTGCGATGGTTAATTGGGGCCAGTATTTGTAAAAAGCCAGTTTTTTTCCAACGCTGGTCGGCCGACCAGCGTTGGAAATTGATACAAAAATACCACTTTTCTTGAAAATGACAGTATACCACGTGCCATGATTTTACAGGATGCTTTACACTGTCATTCACTAACAGTCCAGCAACGTATTTCAAAATGATTTGGTAGTTTTATTTTTTTGATGTTTGCAAATGTTGTATTTTCCCTTTAACCAATGCATTTTGTCTTCATGTGGCGGATAGCTGTTTTGAATCCAGTAATTACCGTAGGTTTAATTATTAGTTGTTGATACTGTTGGGTTGTGGTTTTGGATTTTTGAATTACTACAAGGAAAATGTAATTGCCAAAGGAGTGCAGATTGCCCGCAAATGGTTTGAAAATATGACACCAATTTAGCGTATAATCTGAGTCAAAACTCGGTCAATTGCGATACCGAAGACTCAATACGGGCAATTCCCAATACATTGCGCCACTAAAAGGTTGCCACGGAGAGTCCTTTTTTTAAGTTTACGGTCGACAAAACATGATTGATTTGCCGTAATTTGAACGACGTCAGTATAGACATCTTGACGAAATTTTTGATAGGTCCAGGCAAAGCGTTCTTGCGCCTAACAAAAAAAAAACCTCCAAAAATCCATCTTGATAAAGATACTCGAATCATACGCTTATTAATACGAACCAACTGACTGGTCAAACTTACAATTTTAAGTGTCCCGCGCCATGGCAAATTGTGTTGTCGATCGTCTTCCACAATGCACTGCGAACAATTAACATATGTGTTATCCTCTAGGTGGCGTGCTGCATTAGCAAAGGCCCGTATTATCTGTCAGTTAACTTACTCTGCAGTTTGTTTGAAGATCCCTTTATACGGCTTGTGCACAGACCCAGATTTTACCAGTAAGAAAATAAACTGCACTTTCATCCAGTTATCACACCGTTGTTAAAGCTGAATACGTATAACAATGAAATTGATAACTAAATAAATGTCAATATTCAAAACAACGCTGTTTTCCCATTTCCGTGGTTGGAAAAGAAATAACATTGGATACCACATCAAAGCAAAAACACATAAATTACCGAACTACGCCGAACAGAGCACAAAATACTTTAAAAAAAGGAATGATGAAGTTTGAAAGTTTAACAGTTTTTTGCAAATATTATTGTTTTAATTTCAGATCATTTTTTTTGTCTTTGAAATTCAGTTAAAAGCGCAGTGCTGCATTTTTTGCTTTGTAGGATGCCAATAAATAATCGCATGCAAAAAGTTCAAAGGTTGTCAGTAAGAGTGTGTTTTTCTGTCTGCCTCTGTTGTATTTAATTTAAGCCGGTTGTGGGTCTGAACATTCGGTAAAAATGTAGTCATTTACAGTTAGAAGAGTAGGCATACACAAATTGGTTGTCTTGCATATAGGACTCCCGCAGAAAAAAACCCGGAAATATCCCCTCCTTTATTTTTTGGTTTATCCCTATTAGGTTTATTGTCTGTGACTTTTTATGCTATTCGAATTCAAATTAGCCTAGCGCCCTCAACGTCAGGTTTCGGGCACTCTTTGCTTAGCCCTACTAGATCAGTCACTTATTGTCGAAGAGTACCCAGGCTCGGATCAAGTGGGGGGGGGGGGGGGGGTCCCCCGCCTGTGTACAAAATACGGACAGAGTAAGCTTTGTTAGGGGGTATTTGTACACTATTCTGTATATAGTGTAAATAATCTCGGATTTGAACAGCGGCCCCTATAGTGAGGTACCTTAGTGAAAAAAATCGTGACATGGTGGACAAAAGCACAATTTTTCCACCAAAGCATCTCGATGGTATACCTTTTCGAAAAAAAAGGTAGGATGCAAACAATTGGATGATGGGAAGGGCAATATATGACGTCATTATGACGTCATCAGCTAATGATTACTTGAAAAAATATCCATTGATAATATCTTCAGAACTACAAGCATCACAACAACAAATGTGGTGTCAAATTATAGGGGACAACAAGATCTACCATTACAATGCATGGCGCGCACTCTGCTCAAATGTGAGCAAAAACGTTGGAGACAACCCTAATTTGTATCGCTATTACGCAAAACCTAACGTTCATGGTGAAAAACATGACAGACTTGCCACGCCCACCTGGGCTCAACATGTTATTGAGCACATTTGAGCACTTTCGCTACTCTCTTAGAAGTGATAGCCCCCTCGACCGGTTATAGTTAGTTAGGTGATGCCATTGTTTGTCAAGATTCAACGCGGTCGTCCGTTATATTTTGTTCTGGGAAACTGAGGCTTTTTTCACGGCGTTGTACAAAGTTGGAGGTGATTGCCAGGTAAATATTTCATTGTTCATCGTCTTCCCCATATCAATTAGATTCACATAAAGCTCTTATTTCAAAGAAAAAAGTGTTGGCCTGTTAGCAGGATCTTTTTGAAAACACCTGTACCATATGCACCTATGAATGATGACGGTGTAGTGCGTACGTGTACACATGGCCATCGTACATGGACATTAGATCGTATAAGCCTGTAACAAGCTTTACTGTACGGTGAATTCAGTAACCACAAAGAATTTGGATCTATCTTGAAACATCAAGAAAAAATATTGCTATAGTTATATTCGCTGATTACGGGAGGGGCCAAAAAAAAAGAGACCCTTTTGGAAGAAAACACGGGGAAATTTCCATCCAACTCCTTTTTATTATGGCAACCAAGTTTGTTAACTCCGTAGATCAGCACATATTTAGATTTGCATAATCAGAGAAGACAGCGACAAATATTCACATAATTAATTGCAGAAATATTACTGACTGAACGTTGTACGTAGCTCAGATTTGAATGAGGTTTGAGAAGTCGTGGTTCTCAACTGTACATGCAAATTATTCCAGATGACTGTACCAGTTACAGCTAAGCTTGAGGCATAACATTTTTTATTTTTTCAAAAGTAATTCTCAGTGCCATATAAGTGGATTGTCTCGTTTCACGAATCTGAATAAGTGGTGACATAGTCATATGTTATACTCACTGGATAGCGCTTCTGGCCGTGGGGGTGAAGTCACTGGACGCCATTTTGACACTCCCTTTGGCCACGTAAAAATACGTTCAAAGTCACGAAATAAAATTATATATTTGAACAAATATTAACATGATCAAAATAACACTGTGGGCAAAATGAATCAATGAAGTCGTGTTTGATGATCCAAAATTGCTTCCTAAACTGTTATAATTCTGTGTTTTTTTTAATATGCGGATGCGTGCGTTGTGGGCTTTTGAGGAGTGTCAAAATGGCCGCCGCGTGTGTGCGAGGGCGTCACGGTCTTGTGTACACGCATAGGTCACAGCGCTATTCATAAACAACTTTGCCACCATTGTCATGGCCGAGGTTCGCTGTTTTTGGCTCAAACATCCATCACGGCGTAACTTAAGTTAATATTATCACGCACATGTCATGATTTTAGATAGTTTCTGAGTTGTAGGTTTATTTTTCAGTTGTTGGTGTATCTCTGAGTTGTTCGTTTATTTCTGAGTTGTTGATTTAGTTCTTAAATTTATTTCTTAATTGTTGGTGTATCTCTGAGTTGATCGTTTAGGCCAAATAAAAAAAAACATGTTTAGCGTCCTGCTTTTTGAAAAAGGAAGGAGGAGGCCTTTTCTTCCAAAAGGGCCACCCGACCGGGCTATTTTTCAAGATGGCTGCCAGCTTCTTTTTTTAAATGGCCGCCACTTGGACTCAGAAATGACATATCAGCTTAATATGAGCTTGATGCAACAGACAAAGAGACCAAAATGATGTCTCTTGGAAAGATTTATCATATTTGCGTGAAAAAAACCAGGAGGCGGCCTCCAAAAAGAAGACAGGCGGGGACGCTGAACATTTTTTTTTATTTGCCCTTATTTCGGATTTGTCCGTTTCTTTCTGAGTTGTTGGTGTATTTCTGAGTTGTTCGTTTATTTTTGAGTTATTGATGTATCTCTGAGTTGTTCGTTTATTTCTGAGTTGTTCGTTTATTGCTGAGTTGTTGATTTATTTCTTAAATTTATTTCTGAGTTGTTGGATTATTTCTGAGTTGTTGGTGTAAAGGTAAAAAGGTGTGTGTTCTTTCAGCCAAACGAAAACAATTCACACACATCCCTATGTGATTTGTTTTCGTTTTGCTGAAAGAACACGGAACTTTTTTTTATGATCCGTGGACAGAACCTTAAAACGTTGTGTTTAAAATTCCTTAACATCAAAAGTACGAGTGATTTGAATGATTCTTGTACTAAAAGAAAGCTCATAAATTGGGCTTTCAGATCCTAGATTTTGAAAATGCTACATGCAGAACTCACCAAAAACAATGGTCCCAACATTTTGGGTTTCGGGTTTTTTTTACTCACCCTCTACAGTACACAATAAAAGCATACCTCTTACGTATTTGTTGCACAGCACTACCGCACCGTAACAGCTCAACATGGCCATTACCCGTTCACTTCAAGTCCTGTTCGTTCTTCAAACGGTGGTTTTATTCGCATTGATCATGTGTAAGTAAAGTCTTCCTTTTGTCATATTGTTTCAATACTTTAAAACAAAATCAAATGCTACAAGACTATTGATACGCAGTGTGTATCAAAAAACTGCAACGGAATGCCAGACGTAGAATCAGTAACAAACATAAATAATATAGGTATAGTGTAAAAGATACGCTTTTCCACTTTAAAATGAGACATCAAACGTCCAAATCTGATAATGTTGACAGAGTTATGAGTAATTTTCTAAGAGAGGTTAAATTGACCATGGGACGAAGTTTTCAATTTCAGGCATAGGGACAAAGGTAGCCTAATTTTGTATGGATATTTGCTCTGTCTCCAAAATGTGTTTTGCGAGTAAACACAATTTTTAAACACTTTAATTCTAGCTGTCACCCGATGCTAAAAAATGCTAAGCATGTAAACATGTTTACAAACTGATAACACATTTTTTTGTAGGCCAGGCACTAATCCACACAGAGGCTATTAGGCTACCTTTGTCCCACCTTTCCACTCTCTAGATTACATTAGATTGCCAGTATGTTGATCAGTGATTTTTCCTTCGCGCGAGAGTGCTAAAATAAAGTCTATCGCAATCTGTTCTACAATCCCGGCCAAAACGGTTGAGACACTCCCTGAGCCTGCCACGGTCACCCACTCCCCGCTGCCTCAGTCAATGTTGTTCTTTCCAGCTGATGGAGCACAAACCACGCAATGACAGACAACACTGAACGGGGGCCGGTGGGTTGGGGGCCCAGCGAGATTTGGCCAGGATTGAAGGTCAGCTGCCTGTTTTGTCGTAAATTGACCCGACAAAAAAGCAACAAAGAGGAAAATTATTCGCGTCCGTGGTGCCCTTGCAGCAGCCTATTCACTGCGGTAGGCCTACTGTGCAACCAAAGCGAACCGTCACCACTCACACAGAAGTCTTTTCATGCCGGGATGCCACGCATATAATCCCATTGAGATTTGACTCCAGCCCGTTTTAACCACAACAAACCCTGCCTCACGAGCTCCAGGATCCTTGATCACTATAAGGGGCCATTCAGAATTTTCAATGTTTTAAAATTTCGACTTTTTTTCCAAATTATTTTGACCCACCCACCCACCCCTAATTTCGATTAATAAAAAACTGAACATGACTGTACATGTACATGCACTTGCATGTACATGTACTTGAACACCATGTACATGTGTGTCTAGTTCAGTGACGGCGTGAAGTTGTTGGTCATCCTCTTTTATGTGATAAAATATGTGATACCTCACCAAAAAAAAAAATCTTTTAACGAAATTCAATCAGAATATTTATCCATTTTTTTTTTTTAAATGTTTAATTGTTGTTTTACTTGTTGGTGTCCCTGCCACACTGTACGATGGTGTAGCCGTGTGTTATGCACGTGGATTGTTTACTTTCGTTTTGACGGGGACTTTACTGAATAGAGTCTGGTGACTGTACATAGAATTTTCTTTGAATAAAAGTCGAATCGTTCATTCATGTGCACTTGTTATGCAAAGCAGGGGCAGTGGTTCAAGGATATCCAGACGATTTGCAGAAAGTGTGCAAGAACGCGACTTGAATGCTTTTATGTGTCCACAATACAACGACGCTTTTTAGTTATTTCACTGTGTGACACAGTGAAACATTTTGGAATCATAGGCCTAATGGGCCTAGGCCTAATGGGGGGGGGGGGGGAACCTTGTCGCCCACCCCCCAGTCGCCTCGCCCACTGAGATTTTGAGTTTCGAAAAAAATTATCATTGATCTACATGACGCCCCCCCATGAAATGTTCAAGCCCTCCCCCCCCCCCCCACACACACACACACACACTGAAAAATTCCTGGCTATGCCACTGACAGTACATACAGGGGACGAAGTTGGAAAAGAAACACGCATCGCGATATCGGAACGTTTGCGCGTAGTTCAGGCACGTCAAAAGATCTATCTTTCTTTTTTTTTTTATTTTTTTTTTCCATGGAAAGTGAATTTCGATTTTCAATTATTTAGCTTGACCCACCCACCCACAATTTGGAAAAAAGATCGAAATTTTAAAACACTGAAAATTCTGATTGGCCCCTAACGTTGGCCCAAAAGCAGCCTGCACGCCGGCTGTTCAATCGCTGGCTCCTGGGGGTGGCCACGAGACCGCATTAGAAAGCAGGCCTGGCTCTCGAGTTAGCCTGATCCATGACTGGCCCAGGGTGCAGACCAGGAAATAAACTGAAATAGACCCCAATGCTAAATATCCCCACTTCAGAAATTCTACAAAAATACTCACACCTCTCCAAGGTGCTAGAGACACACATCAAATTAAAGCTAACTTCATCATCTTTCATTTTAGCTGTTTCGTTAAGATTTGTTTTCTTCTCCTTTTACAGACTTTTTGTCCATAGGTTTAGCACACGTTTCTTCTACCAGTCCACTTTGGCACTTTTTTTTTTAAACCGATTGATTTCGGACTTTGTATATAGAACACCACCCACAGATGGTCCTAGAAGAAATTCGTGATCGTGACGTCATTTTCATGTCTCCCTAATGTCACATTTTTCAGAAGTGTTTAAAATAAAATAAAACAATTGGTTAACGTTTTTTTTAATTTTATTTTTCGCTTCAGATTTTTTTATTGCACAATATGTATGCTTTTATCTCGATCGTATTGAACAAGAGAACGAGTCGGGCATATTAAACAGTGGTGTTGAAGTTTTCCGGTTTGGCATTTTATACAAATGTTCGTGCTGCTTATTTCTATCAGCTGATTTTTTCAACGCTTCTTTGAAAGCGCTTCGAAAATTGAAATTCGTGGAGTGTTAATTGGGCGAAACATGTTGGAAATACCTTCAGTATTGAATATTTAAACTCTTATTTTTCAGATTGGTCCCGCAAGTGCGATCCATGTGTAATTCATAAGACTGCAATGATAAACCAAGCTACGGGCAATGTATACAGCAAGGCAACCAACGTCCCGTTTGCAAGGGCTGATGAGCGTGGACGATTATCGAATTGCACACTTCATGACATCCTACAGCGACCCGGTGTGGTAATGTTGACAACAACCAACCTGGGCTTCCTAGACATGACCATGAACATGTTGGCAAGTGTCCGTAGGGTGGGCATTTGTGTCAATACAACTATCATTGCTGAGGATGAGAAAGTATACCAATATCTGCACAAAAAAGCTCAAGGTGACCCAGCGGTGCATGTAGTGGAAACCAACTCTGGTCTCATGCCAAGTAGTGAACTGCGACGCTACAAAAACAGAAGTTATTTAGACCTAACGAACAAACGCCAGGGGTATTATTTTAGTCTGTTGGAACTAGGCTTTGAGATTCTTTTCACAGATTCTGACACCTTTTGGTTCCGAGATCCATTTCCGTTCTTCCAGGGAGACTTCGATATGTCTATGCTGGACCCGAGATCACCTTATCCGATTCGCACCTCAAAATCACATTTCTGCTCCGGTTTTATTTACATGAAGCCAACCAACGTGACACTCCTGTTTGTTAAAGAGTGGATTCAGTCTCTAAAAAAGAAGCGTATTATGGATCAGATAATGATGAACATGCTATTGCAAGATGATAAACCCGTGCATGTCAACATCAAACCACTCGACATTAAACTTTTCCCAACCGGGCCTCCTTTTTACGATTTCTTGGCGAAGAACGCCAGCTACTCAGCTGTTGTGATGCACGCCGCCAGTATCCATGGACACGATGAAAAAGTACGAAAATTCAAAAGCTCCAATATGTGGTTGGTCAATGCAAGCAGTGACGAGTTGGTTGCCCGTGAGCAATATAATAATTAATTTTTTGAACTAATAACATTTTAAGGAGATGGTAACTTTTAGACTATTTTTTTTAGACACGTTGCTCACATTTTCGGCCTAAGCATTCATAAAGTCGTGTCATTAAATAGACTGTTTTCCCACTAAAATACACGATGGCAACCTTGTTTAACTGCAAAATGCTTTCGAATATTTGTTCCTTTTTTACGTATGCACAAAATTCTTGAGTGGGACTGAATCCAAAGATTACGACATTAACTTTACGAGTAACGTACTTCGTCTTTGGTTGTATTCTCCCCCTGCGCTTTGTTTCTTTTGGCAAAAGGCGCTATATAAATACAGTTAGAACTACTAAATCAGATAAACGGCCAACAGATTTTTTTCTAATCGCGTCTGCATTAGGGCGACACACGTTATTGGGGCGACAAAGTGGTGTCGCCCTATTGTTAAAACGACCCTTAGGACAAGCAATATCGTCACGAACTATCTAGATCGATTCCTCGTGGTCCAAAACATACCTATACCTAGGCAGGATAAACTTGGCCTACGTGACATTTTAGGTTTGTACACAAGCCTTTGGGAAAGTCGCCCTATTATAGCAGTAGTAAATAATAATATTATTATTAGAATTAGTATTATGATGTACTGAGTGTCATCAGCATAGATATAATGACAGAGACCGTGGCGGCGGATGACGTCACCCGTTGGTATCACATTGAACAGGAGTTGGCTAAGCACAAAGCTTTAGGGAACACCAAACTGTAACGGGTAAGAGACACTCGCTGCTAAGACGGTGACCCTCTGTGATTTTCAGAAGAGCTGGAAATCTTGACTTTCTGGTGGCACCCACCTTTTCTCTGTATTTGCGAAGGGTGATAATATTCTTGTCACTTTTAGGGATCCCGATGATTTAGCAAAGGAAACATTAAACTTTTGAAATGTACATATTTTATAAAGCGACTTTTTATGTAACATTTGGATTATCTTTGGTGATTATAAATGATGTTACTGTTGAATTGTTTTCTACGTACAATCTTGTTTTAAACTATATTGTACATGTATTTCCTGAAGATAAATGTTTGTGTTTCGCTCACTGTTGTCTGTGCTGAACGATGAATAATCCTGACACCCTGTTTAATACAGAAATTAAAGATCCAGTTCTGAACATTCCTATGGGAAAAGAAGTTGTATTCACCAATTCCAATCAGTTCCTAAAATGTAATATTCCCTCATTTTTTGGGTAAAATATAATAACATCAGCTAGTCACAACTTGATGTCACCATACCAAACAGGTTTCTGGTCAGTCTGATATAGATATGGAAATTATAAAATAATCAGGAAAGATATAAAATTGGTCATAATCTTCTTCCAAAAATGAATTCCCAGTTACTCCCATCTGTTCAGACCCGAACCCGGATCTTCTTTCACAACGCCACGTAGACATTTAGTATTCTGCATATTAGTTTTCAAAAATAGCATCTCTCGATCAATACATTTTGCCAGAAGTCACAGAAAAGGAGACCGTAACAATTGCAGTGCAGACAGAGCAACGCCTTTGTGTCGCCAACGTTCCAGATGTTGCGATTTCGTGGAGTTGCTTTCATTATTATATATGATTCATTATTCATCAGTTGTCATTCCGTCCATCATGATCAGTTAATACCAGGGGTGTGAAATCTCAGCTTTAAAGCTGATTTCAGCTTTTTTGGTTTTGGATTTCAGCCTTTTTCCCTCACTTGCTGTGCACAAAAGTATAGGAGATTTCCAAAGTTCAGCTTTTTTACACCTTTTTTTCAGCTGTTTTCAGCTATTTTGATCAGTGGTCACTCACACTCCTGTAATACTAACTGTCAGTTGTATATTGAAGCCAACTACATGTAGATGATTGAACACTTTGATTTTTGTCAGAACCATAATGAGCAAATGGAATAACTGAGGATTGTACAAAAATCCAAGTCATCAAGTTGAAAGATAAGCTGTATGAGCTCCGTACGCAGGTACGCTTCAACGGCCTGGGCCCAATTTCTTGACTGTGCTTACAGTTAGCGAAAAATCCCTGCTTACTTTAGCAGAAATGTGCTTGCGGTAAGCGTATTTCACGTGTTAGCGAGGAATTTTGGCTTCTGCGCATGCGTACAGTCCGTAACTAAGGATTCAGTGCTTAAAGGGTTAGCACAGAATTTTCCTGCTAGGGCGGTTAGCACAAATGGTGATGGTAAGCACGGAATTCTGTGGTTAGCAGGCATTGGGCCCAGAAAAGGAGAATTTGGGGAGACCAGACTGGTTCCCGGTTCATCTGCTGGGTGTTTCGAATGATTCAAAGTTATTTGGGGCGGGGATTAGTCAGGGAGACCATCACATGTTAAATTCGAACGTATTCGTAAGACCCGTAAAACACTATGGCTTAGTGTTGTGCAAATTCTGGATAAATAAATTGTGCGTACTCCGCGCACAAACCAGGACAGTACGCACATGCGTCCAAGGGGCTCTCAAAGTGGTAAAACGCGCCCTCTTTGTTGGCGCACGGAGCCCATAGACCACTCTGAGACCGGTGCACTGTACATTCACGGAGGCCCCCTTTCCATGGAGAAGGTATGCCGGCTGTTGTACACAGCAGATGCTACATGAGTGATATCTTAACAGTAGCTGGCACAATGCTTTTGCAATTGAAGGGGCCTCCTTGAATGTACAGATTGTCCCCAAAAAAGTAACAACACTTAAATACCATTATGGTTTTCCAATAAACTAGGGGCAGTATACGCTGTCCATTGATATCTTGGATGCATTCCTCTGGTCAAGCATCACTGAGTTCCATTGTTTTGAAAATGGTATGTGAAAACGCTCTTGGCAAAGTTTGGAGTAAAACATTACAACCACATGCAGACATATCACTCAAAGGATAAAGAGATATTTAACTGTACGAAAACATGAACAAAAAAAAAGAAATAAATGTCACTTGATAGAATAATTTGAATACAATCACACAGTTCATGATTTCTATTTTTTCACAGGACATCTCCTCATCTCATGTACTACATGTACATGTCCAATGTACGGTCCAGTATGCACACACAGTCACGAACTAGCGCACACAAGGTAGGAGGAAATTCCTTCAATGCTTGTGCGCCGTAATGGCAGCCATGCTAAAGCCAGGGCAATAATGGGAGCGCCAAGAGTGTCACTTTATTTTGACTTTTGGACCGAACAGTTTAGATTTTTTTGACCGAAAAGGGTTTTTATGAAAGGGAATAAATATGTGCTTGGTCGGTATTAAACACTATGTTTAAGACTGGTTGGAGTCTGCAATGCTGATAATTACCCCTGGCTTCACCTCGGGTAATTATCAGCATTCCAGACTCCAACCAGTCTTAAACATAGTGTTTAACACCTCCCAAGCACACATTTATTCCCTTAATAATGGTCATTGAGTTCACATTCTGTGTTTGTGCTACCTTCTGCACTGCAAAAACTGCAGTGTTAAATTTACACCATTGGTATATATATAGGACCATCTGGTGTTAAATTTTACTGGTGTTGTCCTATATAGATACCGAATGGTGTTAACTTAACACTACAGTTTTTGCAGTGTGGGGGACATCCTGTATACGGTGACAGTGTGCACGGCATGGTCCATAGGTAAGTCTTGATTACTGAGTGTACCCATTAGTACATTGACATCACCATTTTGCTAAAGTTCTTATTTTTTTTTGTAAAGTAGGCATTAATGGGAAATTATCATAACTGGAATTTGTACAAAGAACTAATTTCTTACATTAATGTGGTATTTACCCATTTGGCACTAAACAGCGCACTTTAGAAGAACAGCATATCAATTATGGGCGAGTTCTGCTGATTTCAAACACTGTGCGTACCCCCAAACTTCGCTCTAGGCCTGAGAATCGTAATAAGCATTTTAAATTCAGCGCTGACGTGTAAACAAATGCAGATGGTTCCGTACGACGCCCCTCCCCAACAAAAGCATTCTTTTTTTCACAAAATGAGCAAGGCGGATGTAGACAGTAAGAGACAGTTTTCCCGTCAGCACAAAAGCAGCTGCCGAATTAATTCCCAATTCTTTTTAAATTGTTTGTGTAGGCTTATTATTTGCAAACTTCATACATTATGCCTAATTCATTTTCTTGTCAGCTCAGCAGTTTTAATTGCCCAATCACATCGGTTGTTTCAAAATGCAAACGTGGATCAAAATGAGGGCTGATTTTTGCGGTTAAAATTCAGAGCAATGAGGACAAAGTGATTTAAGGTATTCGTCATACACTGAAAGCCAATTCCACTGGCAAGCGTTTATTAACCGTTTACACGTAGAAGTGTGAGGTTGCGTTTTCCGAGTTCTACAGACGGACATCGAAAGCAAAGGAAGGCGGCCGGGCAGAGGAGCAGCGCGCCGGTGGTTTCGCGATGGCACGCCTCCCGCTATTCCAGTGCCTCGTTCTCATTCTGCTGTCTTGGTCTCTAAGGTAACTGTATACGCCTATGGTGGGGTTGTCGGGATGGGAGGATGAACATTTGTATAACCCTAACTTCTTACGTTTTGTGTGAAAATGTCGATCACAGGGCGAGTCAGAATGATCTGGACCCAAATTAAAGAAAATATTAAAAATATGTAGCAATTGTCAAAACAAGTGAAAATGAAATATGAGATACGCGGGTATTTTGGACATATTTGGTAAAAGTTTCATGTATATCCATCTTACCATTTTGAAGAAAAGCGCTGGTAAAGAATACACGCTAAAAGAAATTCTGACCATCGTCCATTCTGACCAAACAAATTTATTAAAATAAATGAAAACCTAGTCTTGGTGACCGACTCACTTGAAGTTCTTGACACAATTCAAAAAGGCAAAACCAAAATTAAATAAAAATGCAAAATTCCTGTGGAAGACAAGGTAATAACCATTCACATGAAACACTGACCTTTTTCTCCATATTATACTCTATTTGCCATAAAAGATCTGGTGAACTTCGGTCCAGATTATTCTGACTCACCCTGCACTCAGTCGCTCAGTTTTTGTCACTATTTTTTTTTACTTTCTGACTTTCATCAGCCTGGTGGATTTAAAAACTAAAAAAAGGTTTTATTTATTTCTAAAGGAAATCAGACATGGTTGCCAACTAGAGATTGGGATTGGATGTAATGTGTGGCAGAACATTAATTATGGGCAAACAGATCAAGCGAACCGGACATCGCAAGTTAATTATCAATGATCAGCTGTATGAAATTTAATCTAAAATTGAATGTTTTGGAATAGAAGGATATGTCAAGTGGGAAAGAAATAAACGAAGCAGTATAACAAATCCGCAAGAGGTGCCGGCAAGTACCAGTCCAGTTTAAATGAGTACTTTCAAGATGATGCCACCTTTGGGGCTCGAGTTTACCACGAAAGGAAAAAGAAGATTGTCACAAAATAGATTATTAAAATTTGATGCTTTCGTGTATTTAACGTGCTAAGGAAGTTTGGAGTAGGCCTACGCACAATTTGGGTCCTCCGAAATTTTAAAAGATTTTTCATTCAAATACACCAACTCCAACATTCAATTTCGTCCACGACAATTTTTACATGCTTTCATCAAAACCAATTTTGTCATCTACCGTTTAATTTTAAAGTTTGGTCACCCTCTTTAGTCACTGGGTCGAGAAGATTGGTCAGTATTATATCAAATTCTTCTAAGCTGTTGCCGAATGGCAGCATTCAAAGATCAAATTATTCTTATAGAAATCAATTAGACGAATTTGATTTCTGAATAACAAGGTTTGGCGCAGACGATATTAAACATTGGAGGTGCACTTAATCGATGTTGATGGATATTTTGAATATTAGAAACGGTGAACTCGAATGATAAACGTTTTAAAATAGCCGAGAAAACCTATACTAAAAACTACGTGACATTAATCACTCTGTCCTGCTGTCATAGAAGAAATCAAGTGATGTTTGTAATTTCCAACGAATTTGACCGACTTTTTCGAATAATTAACGAAATCGTGTTTCGTTGCCCAAAATTTCGCACGGTTTTTACTATTTTCTCGAATCTTCAACGGTTAGTTTTTGAACATTCTTCTTTGGATTGTGAGGGTTGTTATTATGGGAAACTACTCTTTTATTTCCTGCTCGTAGATGCGATGCGAGAAGTGAACCTGTGTGCAGAAAGATAGAGAAAATTTATTACCCTGACGAATTCATTGGTTCGGCCAGCAGCCTGGGGCATTTTGTGGAAGTTAACTACGAGCAGAAATTCGTGAGAAGGTGAGAGGAATGTTTTTTCATACTTATGTACTGTTAAGAATATTATAATCACATTCCAACCCAGGACACAAAAAGGAGAATCTAGCTGGTATGGTAGAAATCAAGGATCCTACACAAAAGGACTAAAGGGACACAGGGTCCTGGAACAGCCCAGTGGGGCAACAAAACGCGCTTTGAACGAAATTATGTTAATCGGAAAGAACATTTAAAAGTAGGATATAAACATCCACACAACTATCCTTTAAAAACTGTGCATTTTTGTGTTATTCCTGTATTTTGTGGGCAAGGACGACTTTCAGGGTTCATTTTTGCGACCCCAAAAAGTCGAGCTATTTTGGTGCTAGTTGTGATTCCATCCGTAAAGTGTTCGCCTTTTGCGGACCTGTAAGAGAACACATTTTGTGCATTGGTGATTGGTCACCGCTGTTCCGAGCACGGTGCTGATGCTGTGTAGATACACCATAGAGCTGTATACAGCTCTATGAGACACGCGCAAGATATATCGTACAATGACTGAGAACGACAGGAAAAACGTATTCGTACTCCGTCGTGTCCGATGTAAACAACCGTTTTCCCCCGTCTTTTCATGGGAACGGTAAGCCATTCCTTTCAACCATGCATTAAGCACTTCAAATCAAGGGTATGAGTCAAAATCATAAGCTTTCTTTCACTACAAGAATACTTCAATATGTACTTATACATCAATATGTACTTTTTAAGTACGGAATTGTAAACAAAACCACCGTTTTGAAGTTCTGTCCATGGATCATAAAAATGTGCGTTCTTTTAGCAAACAGAAATATAAATCACACACGTCCCTATGTGAGTTGTTTTTGTTTTGCTGAATAGTTTTTTTTGTGATGCGTGGACAGAAATTAATAACGGTGGTTGTGTTTAAAATTACGTATCTAGAAAAGTACAGGAGTAATGACAAGGTAATTGTTGCATAAACCACAGCAATAAAAACGAGTTTGGGAAAATCGGCCCTTTGGGTACTGTTCATAGCGGACGAGACTCGACATTATGGCACTATTCGCTTGCAGACAGGGAAATTATTTTGGTAACAAAAACGGAATTCACCGTGGGGGTATTCTTCAACCGACCCCTCCCCCCCCACACACACACCCATGTTTATGGTGTGAATCGAGGATTTTCTTTCGTTTCTCTTCCCTTTTCCTTTGTTAGTACTTTTTCCACAACTTTTTCGCAACAGCTCTCATTGGTTTTGTACACGTTTTTTAATCGAGGTCGTCCTCGATTTGGTCGTCCTCGATTTGGTCGTCCTCGATTTGGTCCCTGTCCTCGATTCACCGATGGTTTGCACGTGTGTGTCCTCGATTTACACCATAAACGAACTCGTACTGTCATTAACAAGTCCTTTGAAAATCGGCTGGTTGAATGGGAATTAATTCGGTCATGTATATATATATACAAAATTGCAGGTGTTGTTTCGTATTTACTAACGAAACATGTTATATGTAAGGCTTTAATGTTCATTTTTATTGTAGATATTATTGCTGTGACATTTACGACAGGCCAGGCTGGTGCGGACGACGTGAGTTTTTAACCCAAATATGCTCTGAAACATGGCATTTCATTTAGAACTAGGAATGCAAGGCTGAATTTTGACAAATTAAAGCCATTATTCCTGCCATGGGCGTAGCCAGAGATGACATGGGTGGCTAGTGCGTGAAGTGCTTGCCTCTCACCACTGTGGCCCAGGTTCGATTCCCGACTCGGACCATATTGTCGCGGTTTTTTTTTAACATACTGGCAAACAGGTAGCACCGCGCATTTTCCATGCCAGCGAACACCAATACAATTGTGTATCCTGTTCACCGGTATGTAAAGGCGGTGGTAAGGCGAGTTTGGTTGGGTTCATTAACAGAACAGGGCCTGATCTATATCAAATTGCAATATAATTTATTTCAATGATAACACGCCAAAGAAATATAGGTTTTCCTGCACATTTTAAATCTTGTTTTATATATATTCATAACTTCAATTTCGTCTCGAGAAGACTGGAACGCGCAAATACGATTAATTTAGTCATTGGTCATGCCAATTGATCGACGGTCAGTCAATGTCAACATTGTACATAATGTAATGATTGAATTCGTCTTTGTTCAATCGATTTCAGAATGTTTCGACCGAATTCATCGCATGGTCTGGCGGTAAAGAACTATGTGAACAAGTTTATCGGCCTGCTCTAAGTATTCTGAAAGATTTGGAAACATGAATAGGCTACATGTTGCTTTTCATAATTGTTTTAAGTGTAGACCTGCTTATTTGAATGGAAAGAATATATTTTCGTTTGCCTCTGTATAGATCTTATTTCTTCCAGTTGTTGACGGATAAAATTGGCGAAGAACTTCCTTGATACTTTGATAATTGTGGACGACGAAATTAAAATGTCTTTCACGAAAACGGATGGCTAATGTACACAAATAGGTATTGAAAAAGATACAATTTTGCAAATTGACATGAAAAATGCTTATTTATTACACGTTAAACAAGGAAAATACTTGACAGTCACACACAAATAAAGTAAATATGCAGCAAGTAGTCAACACCACTGACAAATTCTTCAAGCGAGCGCTGCGGAGGGAATACTGAAGGTTTTATGTTGGGCATTGGACTGACTCTCCATGCCCGCTCAACAGCTGCTGTATGCAACTAGAGTTAAACTTGAATGAAATGAATGAGATGAGATGAGGTAAAAAATACCGGAAAAAAAACTTACAATCGTGCGACGAATTGAAATTAAATGTGTATTACATTGATTGCAAAACGACGGAGTTGCTTCATCTATCGTACGTTTGGCAATTGTGGACGACGAAATTGAAATGTCTTTCACGAAAACGGATGGCTAATGTATGAAATTGTTTGAACAAAGTGCAAATATGAGCGGTCATAAACAAACTTGAACATGTGATATGCAAAGTCAGGAATTTTCGAGACGAAATTGAAGTTAACCGTGTTTAAATTTAAAGGAAAAAAGTTTTAAAATGTGCAGAAAGAACCTATACAAATAACTTTCGGTAGAGGGCGAATATTACGCGAAATTTTCTCAATTAGTAGTCAATAACATGCAATATGTAATATAAAATATATGTTTTAATATTAAAAATATGTTTTATTAAATGAAGCGAGCCCAAAATATATTTATTTAACATTTTTTTCTTCTACTTCGGTTACTGCAGTGTCTTTTCGACTCACACTGTACATGTTCACTCTATGGAGTACATACACTGTTAGTGTGAAGAGTTCACCAATTTCTGAACATAATGAGCCCTAGTTTCACATATCGTTTTATACTGCATTGTTATTGCTCGATTGTTTTTGAGTTTCACATATCGTTTCTCAGTCTGTCTTATACTGTATTGTTATTGCTCGATTGTTTTTGGTAGCCCACTGCCAGTCAGATTGTTCAGAGGACAGGGGTCATTGTACCATCACAAACACGACTTGCACAACAGATAATGAAGGTATGAAAATGACAGATCGTTTCGTTTTTACGAACAATCGGTTTCCGGAACAGCGTTCTAGACAACTGCACTGAAAAAATTGCCTCGGTTAATTTTACCCCAAAAAAGGGTAAAAACTGCAACTATCCAAAATTGGGTGTTCAATAACCATTTGTTTGGGATAGAATCTCTGTTAATTCCACTAAAAGTTGTGGTCATACAAGACCAAATTGTATGACCACAAGTTTTGGTTGAATTTAGCAGAAATTCTAACCCAAAGAATCGGTTATAGAACAACCCAAGTTTGGGAAGTTGCAGTTTCACCCTTTTTGGGGTAAAATAAACTCAGGCAAGCTTTCAGCGAGGAGCGTATATTCGAAACCCCGTTCTCGTGTTGGATGGAGACGAGAACAGGGTCCCAAATGACGGGGAGCCAACTCGTGAACTTACTCCCCAACACCCCCAGCACCATATCCCCCTCCCCTTTTTATGTTAATGAGGCCGGGTTTCCGGTAGAAGAAACCTGTATTTAGCACGGATGAAATCCCCCTTCCTCCACTGTAACACCCTCCACCCCCCCCCCCCAAAGATGAGAACCCTGGCTAAGCCGCTGGTGGGGAGCACGACTACCAGTGCTAGTGCGAATACGAGTACCGGCACGCGAATGCAAGCACAAGAACACTGCATAAAATGTGATTTGTACGTTTACAACGTTGTAATTGATTGTGCGAAATTAGGTACAACTCAAATTGGAGTTACAACTCCACAATCAGACATTGCAGTTGACGAGCCATCGACGGGAGTATGTAGCATCTGCTGCGGCGGCTCGGTCCGGACTTTTGACGGTCTGTCCTACAACGTCCCGCTCATGTGTCGACACATCATGGCGCATTTCAGCAGCGAAGACGATTCTTTTACCGTGGACATCGTCCCCAATTACACTTGCGATGGGGCTTCGGAGGAATGTCGCAGCGCTGTAAATATCACGTGAGTATCAAAGCTGTTGTCATGCTGGGGAAACAAATGTAATTAATTAAATGTAATTAATTGAATGAATCGACGTGATCAGTTAGGCCAAATAAATTGGAGACTTTTGAGAAATTGGTGGCAGTAAACTCACCGGTCCTTTTTCCATTGTTGCGTCATATTGAGCTTGCGCACTTTAGCTTAAACATGGCATAAACAATGAGTGAGTTCCGAATTCCAACTTTGCAGGGACATCAAGTTTTGCCGATTTTTCTTTCCGGATACGAATGGCATAGTACGTGTGCAAAAGCATAGCGGGGTACCAGCACAGTTGAGGGATCGTCGTGTTGTGAAGTAACAGTTTTGCAAACGAAATTTGGGACAGTGAAGTGTTTTTAGGCGTCTGGTGTGTTCAAACTCAAAGGAAATTTCCATCTCTTTTCGATTGCACAAAATAGAGATTCGGTCATACCGGCAACGTCCCCCATAGCCTTGTGTGTATTTATCTGCCACGGTGATCCCGAAAAAAGTCGAGTCTTGCTGTGCACCAGACTATTTTGGAATACCGAACTCGCTTATTGAAAAGGACTGTGCTTATGTTTGCAGTCACCAACGTCTCAAAAGTCTTTCATAAGCAAAACTTTCAGGAACAGATCAAGTGTGTCACAAAAACGTCACAAAATGTAAATCAAATTAGGCTCGGGCCGCCACCGACGTATAATCTGTATAGTCTGCGTTTATACACTGCGTATACGTCGGGGAAGGGCAAAACCTAATTTGATTATTAAAAGAAAATATGTTCAAGCAAAACAATAGGAATAGTGTGAAATTCACACGTTTTTTTTTTTAATTTATGAATTTCATCAAATGCATCCCACACCCGATTTTTGCGTGTGAGACCTTGAGGGCGCGTGGGACATCGCGTGGGATGCCTCGCCTGGGACGTAGCCTTTCGCCAAGTTCAGCGTGTTTTAACTTGCGGTGCTACTCGTGCATGATGAATTAGTCTTCGCTCCAGTCGCTCGCAGTTGTAAGCCACGATGGCCTTGGCGAAAAGGCTACGTTGGACGGCACGTGGAATTCCGCGGCCTGGCTTGTACTCACAATCTCCGTTCAACGTTATACCTTCATGAAAGACGGCCAGAGCTTAATGTGCACTCGCACTTGTTTAGTTCCTCTCTTAAACTTATATTCTTTGAAAACAGGACTGGGGCCAGCCATGAACTATTGGTGATAGACTTGCTCCCCGGCGGAGTCGTCCAAGCAAATGGCAGGATCGTCGAAATGCCATTCCACAGTACCACTAACAGCAAGGTCTACAAAGAAGGAATTTACGTTGTATTCCTTTCTATGGATGGTAAATATCCAAACTATTCAACAGTCTGCTATGTGTTTTAGCAGCTACGAATTCCCCCACATGGATTTATTTTCGGACAATGAATCATCTGCATGCAATGTAATTAGGTGAGTATCCAAAAAGGCGAAGGAAGCTTTATACCGTCAAACTATTAGGAAATCCAAGCGGAACAATTCACATTATTATGTAGTGAATGCCAGGGATATATTAGTGATCATCTATTTTTATTCGGGATAGATCGGGGGTATTCGTGGCCATAATTCGGGAATGTGTGAACCTAGCAATAAACTGGCAAAAGGAGCCGGAAAGTGCTATCGTATATGGAGCACCGCGTGATGGACTAAAATTTGAATCATTTTGTAGACCATGAACAAACTTCCAGTGATTAAGTCAATTATTGTTTGGAATTTTGTGCTCCCGGCCCGGGTCAGCTTCACTATGCTTGGTATGGTCTTGTTTAGGGATATATATAGCAAGGGTTCTGAAAGTTGAATATTGTGACATTCGTTCCAGTAAGCTTTGATATTTCTTCGAATCCACACAGGAACGGTGAAGGTGTCTTTTGACGGCAGCAACAGAGTAGTCATGGCAGTCGATCGACTCTTCCACGGCGCCAACGGTCAGGAAAACACCATGAGAGGTTTGTGCGGTACCTTCGACAACAACGCCGGAAACGATCTGAAGGGGATGACGGTGGCCGAGTTCGCCAATCTCTACAGGGGACCGTTTGGTCAGTGTTCCGCACCCCTGAAAACCAGCGATCTCAACCCATACGAGAGTCTGACCCCGAACCAGCAAGAAAACGTGACAAGGATCTGCGAAGAGTTCGCCACCAGCCCTCGCTTCAGCGGGGGCAGACAGCGCGTTCGGGTGCAGTCGTTTCGCAACTCCTGCAGGTTCTCCATGTCGCTCTGTCACCGCGATCGATCACAATGCGACATCTGCGCAGTGTACTCCGACTACGGGGAGGCATGCTCGAGACGGGGCGTTATAACCAATTGGAGATCACGCGACTTCTGCGGTAAGTTAAACAAAAATAGCTTAAAATAAGGTTAGAAGAGCAAGACCTAATTTGATTTACATCGCCCCGACGCAAAATTCCATCTAATTATGAATTGTTAATGCGTACCCGCTGCTATGTAAGCCTACACTGATTCGAACCAGTCACCAAATCCCGTTAGCTCGGTGGTCGAATGGTAAGACATCTGCACAAGGTTCGAGTCCCACCCGAGTGACTTTCGAACTTTCACTCGGGAGATAACACACTGAGCATACAGTGTTTATACCTCGGCGAAGGGCAAAACTTAATTTTGATTGATATCACCACGACGTTAAATTCCGTCTTATGTATAGCAATAGGTCATGTTCTATACTAACGTGATCCGTGTTAGCATTTAAAGGAGCTTTTAAATTATTCGTGTTTAAATGAAGGCATGTGGAAAATAAAACTTCAACCGATTTTACACTGTTACAGAAAAGTGTACAAATACCCCCGTAGCTGGCTCTGAACGTATTTTGAGGACACGCGTATAATTATTGTTACCAGTATAATTGTTTAAGGGTATCAGAGCAGGGGGCATTATTTTTTAATGAATTTCTAAGAAAAAACCCAGAGCTTCAGCTCCTGGGTTAACACCCCTCCCCCAGATCCTCGCCTGCTTTTGAACTGGACAGTGTGGTCGTATAAAGACAAAGAGAAAAACTCCTTAGACAATGTATTTCTTTTGCCTTTTTATGGGCAGGTATACAATGCAGTAACGGCATGGAGTACAATGAGTGTGGGTCGGCGTGTCCTCGGACCTGTGAGAACATGTTCTTTTCTGGTGTCTGCGATAAACGTTGCATTCCCGGTTGTCAGTGCCCGGATGGTAAGTGTTACCTCTTGACGGATTTCTGATTCAAACTTTAAACCGATCGATTTATTCGTAAGATGAGTTTTTCAGTCCAGTGCTAATAATTGCAACGTGTTCATCTGTCATGAAATTATATACGAACAATCAGTAAGGAGCTTTAAACAACAGTTTCAGCCGTGTGGTTTCGGAGGGCGATTTTTGAATGTTACATGACACTTTATTTTGAATGAAACTACAGGCACACAACATGTCACGTTGGCGGGCGAAATCTTTTAAAAATAGACCGTATCATGCAACTTTCAGGGCTTATTTCCCTTATAATGATCCAAGTATGTACTAAAAATCATGATCATTACTTTTCGTTGAAATTGTAAAAAAAGGCCTTGCTACGTGCATTTTTTAAAGTTGTAACACGGGCGTATGCAATACATGTCAATCTTTTCTAGCCTTACGAATATTAATAAGGTTCCAATCTATTATGGTGTGTAGTAAAAATTTGAAGAAAAAACCTCTTTCACGAGTTATTACTTGATAAATATCAGCCTCTTTGCCGGCTTCCATTAGTCGATACCGAGACCCACGCCAAGTCACGCCGACTGACGCTAATAAATATGCATCGGCGTCATTGTGTTGCCGGGCCGAGATCGGTCAACCGTAGCTCCTACAGCACTGTAGGTTTTTAGCTGAAAACCATGGGTTTTGATGGCAAAAATTCCTCGTCGAAGTTTTGCTTGGAGATGGTTAGGTGTAACACAAGCGTTTGCAACAACAGATTAAGCTACAATTCGGAACATTCTTAGATGATATAAGTGTCCAACTACTCTGAAAGATTTCTTCCCGACTTTAAGGTCAGCTTTACCAGTAACCAGTATTGACGTTTTGGCATCGATGAGGGCGATTTTTCCACTGACATGAAGTTAAGAATTTCTTCCTCCATTATCGTTTCAATCATACTGAGTATATTTTCTGAGAAACTCGACGTTCAATAGGCCGTTTTTTGTGGGTTCACAAATTTCACTGCTCTGTTACAGCGTTTAAGTACGTAATCGGATTAGCTTTGCTGAACAACAGGCACGATTGCGCGTTCGCAACCACACGGCTGGATTTTGCTCATTGTCTGTATAAACCTTTCCATATTTTGAACATTTCCCTTTTATCTAGGAACTTATTTTGACGGTGCCACATGCGTTCTCAAAGAAAACTGCCCTTGTCGTCATGGTGGGCAGCTGTTCTCGGCCGGTACTACTGTGAGGGACACCTGTAGAGAGTGGTGAGTGTCGCATCAGGTTGCTTGAGCTGCGAATCAGCTCTTCTCTGCTCGACTCGCCTAAAATGTGTTGCGTTGTGTTGCTTTGTGTTGTGTTGGGTTTCATTGTGTTGCGTTGTGTTGCTTTGCGTGGCGTTGGTTTGGCTAGGGGTTGGGTTTGGTTGGGTTGAGTTGAGTTTGGTTGGAGGTTATTTTTTTTGCATTCAATAGGGGAAGTTGAACAATAACGGCAATAGTGTCCACAATTCCCGAAACTCCAAATTGACGATCGTGTACAAAACATATGAGAGGTTTTTCTAAAAAAAAAGTTCACGTACAAACAAAAAAGGGGCAACAGGGGTCCACGATTACGTGTTTACAACTTGTGTGTGTGGGTTGGGTTGGATTGCGTGTGTAAACACCGGCAAACGTGAATGTAAGACAAAGAATTGGGGCACAAACAATACGTCCACGATCTCAAATCGTGAACAAAATCAATGAGAGCTGTTGCTTAAAAGTTAGAGAACAAACAAAGGAAAGAGGATTAGGGACAATGGGGCGTCCACGATTGCCGGTGTTTACACACGTGTGTGCATATATTGGGTTGGGTTGGGTTGGGTTCCTGTGTAAGGGTGGGTGCGTTGGCTTGGGTTACGTTTGGTTAGGTGGGGTTGGGATGGGTTGGGTTGGGGTGGGGTGGGATGGGATGGGGTGGGGTGGTTGGGGTTGGGTTGTCTATTGATACACAAAACATCACAAGTAATTCAATCCAATATTCAACTGACTATAGCTATTCAAAGTAATCATGCCCTCTTTATTTTGTTGATTGGAAATGGGCTTGCGTTTTGCATGGACATGTGATGTACTAGTGACCTATCATTAGTACGTGGATTACAACAATGGTTTAGCATGAATTGCGCCTCCGAGTGGCAGCCTTGTGAATCATTGTAATGGTAGGGTCAATCCGATGCATGCAAATGCCTGCATGCGCTTGCGCAAAAGTTAAACTTGTCTCTAAAGAACTTTTTTTTAAAAATTGTCCCTTAACTCCATCAGTATATGCATGGAAGGCAGGCTCAGTAACTGTAAGAACATCTCCTGCCCGGCTACGTGCACCATTTATAGAGGGCGCTCTTTCACCACATTCGATGGGACCAGCTACGAGTTTGATGGCAATTGCGAATACGTGCTTGTCCAGAGCCTGGGCAGGGACATCGCCACCTTTAGCATATTCATGGATAAGACGGGTTGCAAGGGCAACAAGCTGCGCTGCAATTCGCCTCCCGGCATCAGCGTCAGGTCTCCAGACGGTTCTCTTTTTGAGTGAGTTGCCTTAGCCTATTTTAGCCAACTTTTAGTTGGTTTTTCTCATTACGATATCCGATTCTCAGACCGACATTATAAAAAAATAATAAGACTGGCATTCAGGCAGTTTGAGAAAGTACAATTAATTTGCCCAAGCTAAAAACAAAATAAACTTGATCAGTCATTAGCAGACGTGCAAAAAGAGACATGACATCCACACGAAAATAGGAAAACTGTCCCTCAAACCATGTTGCATATCTGTTTACATCGATAATGCATACAGAAGAAGCAGATGACACCACAAAACCGCTTTAAAAAATACAATGGACACGCAGGTGCAGTATGCAAACAATCCAAACCAATAAATTTGACCGCTCATAGATCTTAAGATCTAAAATCAAAATATCAACTTTGGAATGAAAAGTCCTTATTCTGCGATCTCTTTTTATCTTGCCAATAAAAAAAGACTCAACAGTCAAGGTGAAGTCACTGTGAGTATCAACAACCAGCCAAAGGCGAGGATGGATTTGCCGTACGAAAGATTTGCTGTGAACGGCGCAATCTCGATAAGGCGTGTGTCCTCCACCTTCACTTTGGTGAAAATGCCGGAGCAGGGAATTGAGCTTCTGCTCGGCATGGATAACCGCATCTATGTGACTGCAGCTGAAACCATGCTTGGCAAGGTATGTCATATCACCGCTATACTATAAAGAAGAAAGGAAGGATGTATGCGCATGTTTAAGGTGTGAATCGAGGACACACATGTGTAGCATCATCGAGTAATTGAGGACAGGAATCTAATCGAGGACGATTATAAAACGTGTACAAAACCAACGGGAGCTGTTGCAAGTTACTATTAACAAAAGATCAAAGATAAAGAATAACAGAAAAGCCTCGATTTAAAGTCGGGCAGTTCTTGTTAGTTGTGATGCCAGCCGTAAGGGTTCGCCTTTTGCGGACTTGTTAAGAAATCACATTTTGCGCATTGGCGATTGGTCACCGTTGTTCGTGAGCACGGTGCTGTGTACGTGTGTAATACTAGACACACACAACGTGTATCATACATTGTATGAAAACGACAGGAAACACGTGTCAGACCTCGTCATGTCCGTTGTAAACAATCGTTTTTCCCCCGTCTTTTCTCGGGAACGGTAAGACATTAGGTTGGTTTCCTTTCAACCAGATGTGTGAAATAGGATAAGTAAACAATCCAAAACATGACATTTTCGGGGATTTCAGGACATCCAAAACATGACATTTTCGGGGATTTCAGGACGCAGTGCCCCTTTAAGGTTTTCTTCTCCTTCAATTTGCAGGTGCATGGTCTTTGCGGAAACTTCAACAGGAAGAATGTTGATGACTTCCAGCTCCCCTCGGGGTCGACTGTAGGAGTGCCGAACCTGTTCGCCCCGAAATGGAACGCCAATGCTGAGTGTACTGAGGGCAGCCTCGGGAACGGCGAAGACTTCTGTGAACTCGAGCCGACTTATCGTGCCTGGACCAACTCCGTCTGCCGTATACTGAAGCAGGCTCCCTTTTCGGAGTGTTTCTACAAAGTGGAGACCGTGAAGTTCTACAAACAGTGCTTGAGCGACGGATGCACGGACTCGGCGGCGGGAGCGACGTGCTTGGCCTTCGCTGCTTATGCCCGAGAATGTGCTAAAATGGGTGTTGTCATTGACTGGAGGAGCCAGCATCTGTGTTGTAAGTATATAGTCACTGAAGACTGCTTCCCCGGCCGCCCCGTCCCGCCCCTCCTAAAAATATGGGGACCGGTAGCTAGCTCTCATTTAAAGCCATTGATTGGATCACCTCTGCGCACGCGCATCATTGTTTAGCAGAGTCCGTGCATGGACGGTGATTGAACACAGGTTTTTTTTTTTACTCACCATGTATTTATTTATTTATTATTACATTTCTTTACCCAGGGTATACCAAACAGTTTAAAACTGGTTTCCATTGGGGCTCTGCATACATTAAAAAAACTACAAACATGTATATATACAAATACAATACATTACAAATACAATACAATTCAAAACAAAGGGATAACATCATTAATTGACTAATGCATAATTGTTAAGCAAATGTTATAAATACAATATATTGTAAAACTACATTATAGCTACATGTACAGTGTGACAGTATTGTCGTGTGATGTGTACCTTCCTCCCCATTCAGTACTATAATAATCTAAATATGGCAAAACTAAGCTAACAAAAAGAGAGTGCAGTCTGCTTTGGGGAACATAGTGGCGGATTCTATTTAGCATACCTAGTTTAGAGGAAACTGTTTTCTTCACGTATGGAATGTGTGGGCCCCAACTTAAAGTTCATCACCTAGACACTTCAAAGAGTTCACCTTTACAACTGGGCTACCAGCAATACTGACATTAAGGCAAGTACTGTAGACTTTTATTTTAATTCCAGTAAGCATGGATTTGGTTTTGCTGGCGTTTATTGTAAGTTAGTTTCTGACACACCAATCGTAAATTCTCGCTAGGGCTGTATTCAGGTTGTTCTCTATTTCATCAACATTGGTTGAACTACACGTTGATGTCGAGTCATCGGCATACATGAACAAAGTACATTCATTAGGGATACAAAGGGGTAGGTCACTTGTATAAATACATGTAATAAGTAACAGTGGACCTAAAATTGATCGCTGTGACACGCCAGTGTTAACTGGTAGGGCTTTAGATATGTTGCCCTCAATGTTCACTCATTGACTACGTTCACTTAGATATGTATACATTTTTGTTTCTGCATGATGACAACAGCCGCTGATTGTCCTAATGGCAAGGTGTACAAAGAGTGTGGTTCAATGTGCAACGTGACCTGCCACGATCTGACAAGTGCTTCTGAGTGTGAAGAACAATGCATCCAGGGATGCCGGTGCCCCGATGGAAAGGTAACAACTAACGGGCCCACTTGGCCCACCAGTCAACGCCTGGGTATTCTGTAATTTCATGCTCAATGCTCCGAGGTTGACTTTTGGTGAATGTTGACGTGTTTTCACACCTAGTAACACCTTACGATGCTCTTCGAACCAATTTGATCATTATATATCGAAATTAGCTACAAATGGTTTTCCTAAAATTAACAAATAGATAACTCTGTCAAGTAGTCTTAATAGTTTAGCAAAGTGCGGCGATGCGTCAAAGTTTGATTTGATATGAGTGTTTAGCAACTAAATTTACTTCAAACTGTTTTTGTTGCAATAGGTTTTCAGTGACGAAGAAAACAAGTGCGTAGCCGTATCGGAATGCCCTTGTCAACGTAACGGGAGGACGTTTCAACCTGGCAAGGATTGGTGGGAGTCTTGCAATCAATGGTAAAAGTCTAAATGTGTACAGAGAAAAGAAGCATTACCATACGTTTCATGATCAAACTTATCACCGTATGTTCCGAACAGTACAGTTGTGCTACTCGCCCGTATTGTGCAGTAGGACCATAAAAATGAAAAGGCTTCGCGAGTTCGCATCCCCGTGACGGCTGCACTGCCTTCACACGCTTCGCTTATATTCCTAGCTGCATACGTTACCATATCTAACGGTTCCTAATTATGCGACCCCATCCTAGCAGATGCGATAACCGTTTGCCAGTTGAGGCCTGTTACAACTGATAATGTAGTAACCAACGAATAATGTATCACCAACCGAAAATGTCACATAGATTGACCGATACTGTATCACTAACCGATAATGTAACACGAAATTGACCGATAGTGTAGTAAAATTAATGTACTATACTATCAGTCAGCTGTTGTTCCCTTATCGGCCGTAACCGATAATGTAACACAAATTTACTGGTGCTGTGGTTACATAACAGTGTCCGTCATTTTTTGTTACATTATCAATTAGTGATAAAATATCGGTCAACTTTGTCGGTTGGTGATCAAACGTTATCAGTTTGTTACTACATTGTCAGTTGTAACAGGGCCGAAGCCATAAAACGTATGTGATTAGGCGAACTGTTTGACAGCAATACAGTCTTTACTCACATTGTTTTTGTTTTTTAAACTATTATTGCAGCGTGTGTACAAATGGTATCGCCAAATGTTCGCAAAGAACCTGCCCAGGTGAGTTCCTGAATGTTCCGTTGAATTGAATAAAACATGTTGTTTTTTTCTGGACTAAACAACTTTCGTTTTGTTTTTGGCCGGTACAACACAAATGGTAAGTCATATCTTTTGTGTCTAGTTTTGAGACCGACCAACCTTTGCACGGCTCGGAGTTGGCTATTTGGTTTCATGCCGCTTCACTCGGTCTTCAATTAATGCGTTGCCCGTCTCTCCAGTTTTTCATCCAGGCTTCGTGAAAACTCCTTTTTTCCCTAGTTTCTGCTGCCTTTGACAACAACTCAGGGCTGTTGTAATAGTATAACAAACAAGACTCATTTGTTGTATTTGGCATGCCTTCGAGAAAATATTGAGAACAGTTACTGTCTTTTTTTACCGGATTTCACAGATCCCAGATTTCACCAATGCTCTCAAATGTAGCCAACACGTGCAAAGAAGTTAGGAATTAGTTTATATCGTTTTTTTTTGTGTTGGCTATTGGAAGAGTTGATGAACTTATTAAATCTCGAAGAGGATCTGCAAAAGGGAATGGCAACATACGAGAGTAAACATTTTGTGGATAGACGCTTTGCATTTTGACGTCGCATCTGAGGGCAGTTCTTGAGTTTGTCTACGAGTAGCACTTTGTGGTTCATTTTCACTGAGCGTTACACCTGTTAATGGTGCCTTAAGGAGACATATTGTCGTCATAACTTATACCTTCGGGAGACACCGGGCACACTGTCTCCCTAATGTCACAGCTACTATTTAGAGGCAAAATTATATCGTCGCGATAGGCTAGATCGATTGCTCGTAAATATATATACCAAAATTCGTGGGGTAGGATGAGGTACAGTTGCGTTAGGGGTCATTAAAGTTGGAAACCATGTGTGCACAATTCTATTGGAATGTCTCCCAAATGACCCATTTATCTTTAATAAATGATTGTCATTAATTATTATTTTTTTTTATTTATTATTATTACTTATTATTTAGAATCGAAATCATAAATCCTGTCATTGGTAAGAACGCTACGTGCAAATGTTAATCCTTTCGCATTTTACATTGTTTACTGTCCAGACCGCATTGACCAGTGTCCAGACGGCTTAACGTGGATGAAATGCGTGCAATGCGAGCGTCAGTGCGACAACATCCACCTGTCATGCAAAAGGGGGCATTGTTCCCCGGGCTGCGGCTGCCCCATTGGATTGGTCCGTGCACCTGGCGGTGGGACGTGTATCAAAGAGGAACTGTGCCCTTGTTACCACAACGGCCGTAGCTACAACACAGGCGAACACTTTAACATAGACTGCAATAAATGGTGATTATTAGCCAGACGTTTTGTCCTTTAGTTTATTGAACCCACAAAAAAATTTCAAGATAAGCATATTAGATAATAACTTCTACATTATTGCCACACTGCCTTTTCAAAAAAAGTTTTAGTCCTGAACTGCTTGATTAAACAGGAAAAAGGAAAAAAAGTTGGGTTGGAAAACGGCTGTGTGCATTAATGAACAGTATTTTTAGAGTTGATTTAACTAAAGTACAAGTAGAAACGGTTTTTTTTTTCAAATCGATTGAGTAGTCTACTTATTTTTCTCCCTCCATGTCCCCTACCCCCCCCTATTTTTTTTTTAAAGGGCGCAAAATCCGCCAATTTAAAACACTTGTGCTTTCTTTCAGCGTTTGTCGTCCGAACGAGAACATCGAATGCGAAGATAAAACGTGTCCAGGTAATTTCCCCATACAAGTTCAGGACTTGTGTTCAAAAATGCATTATGTTGGCAATGTTAATTTATTACTTTTTTTTTAGCGAGGATGCTGTTTGTCTGTCCATAACTAAATTTTTCCATAACTAAAAAACAAAATCAAGGCTGGGATCAGCAATCCTCAACCTTTCTTGAGATGTTTTGTTTTCCATCCACATTTTTGTCTTTCGAATGATGCATCATAAATCATTTTATTATCCACCTGTAGCTACCTGCCGATCTTATGGAGATCCACACTATATAACGTACGATGGCAAAAAATACGATTTCCAAGGTAAATATTTAACATTTTCGAGTGTGAAAACACATTTGAAGATCGAGGTACTCTCCTTGTTCTTCCCCCCAAAAATGATGTTTTTCTCCATACGATATTTCAATTTGTAAGTTTTGTTTGAAAGTAAAAAGTTTCAATTTTGTTCCTAGTCTGCTCTCTACTGACAAAAAATACATTATTGTTCTTTTGGACGCTTTTGAGACCTTAACGACAAAGGTACGCTTGAATTATAAACGGACCTCTAAAATCCGAGATTTGTAAGGGAATTACATCATATTTACTCAACACAGGTGACTATAGTTTCGCTCGATGCCTCAATCAAACCGCGTGAAATTGTAGTGCTAGAAAATAACCCATTATTTTTCGGGCTGAAACTAATAAAACAGCACGGATTGAATTGACCTATAAACAGTACGAAAATGTATCATAGCGATTTGTTTCAAGGTATTTTATCAGTAACATAACTGCTGTCAGGAGTAACAAAATTAAAATTACTATTTGAACTGTATACATATTTTTTTATTCACATATTTCTGGTAATAAAACCAACGATTCCTCAAAAGTGCCCTATATGCACTGTAGCTCGACAGCCAGAAGAGACCTATTAAAAGACAGAAAAAATTACAGTTTTAAAAGTGGGAAGAAACCCCAGAAGAATATTCTGGGGAAAGCCACGCAATCAAGTATAGGGACTGAAAAACCCAATCCACATGTGGACCAGGGTAAGAATCGAACCAGGGCCACACGGTGGAAGGCGAGAAAAGTAAGCGCTTTTGGGGGTCAGGGATCTAGACATACACCTTTATAGATGGCAGTTTTAAAGTTCTGTAGCTTCCTTGCAGCCCCTGTTCAACTTGTATTATTTTGTATGTCTAGAAGTGTCAATCATTAGAATATAAACAAACCATAAATGCTGGTTATGTCGCAGGAGATTGTCGGTACATTTTGACAACCGACGACTGTGGTGAACATGGTGCACGAAGCACATTCAAGGTGGTCGTTCAGAATGTCCCTTGCGGAACGGGTCAGGTGACCTGCACCAAGGCCGTTGACGTCACTATTCATGGTGTCACCATTTCCCTAGTGAGAGGTGCCAGACCCTCCGTTCGACCCCGTAAGAAAAATCAGAAAGCCAAGTTCGAAATTCTGTATCCTGGAATGTACGTCGTTATCGTCACTGAGCACGGTAAGTTGCCTAGAACTTTTTTCAAGTATAATGTAATGCTATACTTTAAAAAAACAGGTCCAGGTTGGATTCTCGGAATCCGAGTCCAATTTGACTTTGAATCCGGCTTTATTAGGCCTGACACTTTGACGGGTCACAATAACACCTTTCGGTGGAAATTACCCGGAAATGATTCAAACAAGTTTTGACCTCGAAAGAGAATCATTTTGAACCGGAAAAGTCTCAGGGCCCAACCAGTCGGTGATGGATATTTATTGCTCGTTTTCAACTTACGATTTGAAGGTTTCCATGACATATTCAACAATAGGAGTGATTATGCGGTTAAACCACCTGACAAGAAATCTCTTTTGTGTGTTTGTGCGCGTTTAAACTTTAAGTAGGATTAAATTAGATAAACCATTTCTAAATAATAATAATAATAATAATAATGGTAATAACAATGTGGTGCTTATATAGCGCTTTGTACCAAAAGGTGTCAAAGCGCTTCACAATTATTACCGCTGATCATCAGGCCATAAGACCAGTTTGTGCAGCAGCTCGAGGTCAGCGCATCCTGGTCTCTACCTTCACAGGTACCTATTTATACTCCTGAGTGGAGAGAGGTAATTGTAATAAAGTGTCTTGCCCACGCACACAAGCACCATGTTGTGGTACGTGGGTTCGAACCCACGTACCAAGGCACGTGAGTTGAAAACCGTAACCATTGGACCACAGCACTCCACAAAATATGGGTCTATTTGGAAGCAATAGACCCATAGAGCAGTCAAGACAAGGAGTCCAAACCATCCTCAAGGGATAGCCATGGGGCTTCTGTCTCAGTTATGCTAATGTTCAGACAACAATTCATGTCTTACGTTACTCACAGGAATCACCGTGATGTGGGATAGACGTACGTCCGTCTTCGTCACCGTAGACGGGAAATTCTACCAAAGGACCTGCGGCTTGTGCGGTAATTTTGACAGTGACAGCACGAACGACTTCAGGACGAGAGCGAACGAGGACGGTGCCACCGCCGTTGTGTTCGGCCACAGCTGGAGGATCAGTGACGGCTGCGACATGCCCCCGATACCCGAGCATCCCTGTGAGAAGTTTCCGGAGAGAAAACGGTTTGCGCAGTCCGAATGCAGTAAACTCAAAGACCCAATATTTAAGGAATGCCACCGATTGGTAAGCTAGTTCAAATCAGTTTATTGAAATTCCAAGGGGAAACATGGTAGTGAGTCAGTTTTGAACACTTTTTATAGGCAAAAATGACACCTTTGCCAAGGTTTCCGGTTTGAGCCAACGCAAAAAGTGATCTTGCCAGAGAAATGTCATTTTGACCCAGAAGAAAGTGTCACTTTTGACCTTGAAAAGTATCGGGTCAAACAATGACCCAGATTCCGGATGAAATCTGACCCGGGAACTTTCTGAGTGCTGAACATTTATTTTCACAAGGACACTTTCAATGACAGTACAAAGGAAGCATGTTTTCGGTGGTTTTTAATAGAAATAGTATTGAAAATTTAAAAGAAGAGGAGTTATATTAATTACATTGCGCCCCTATTCATCTCGCACTTCATGCGCTGCCTCCTTTGTTCCGATCAGCATCACCCCTTCCTTCTCACTCCCCTCGTTCCTTCCGCCCAATCCCTTCACTTTGATCATCGCCTGCTGCCACACTAGCTTGGTACATTCCTTATTGATTTCTCCTTCCATTCTTGCATGCCGGTGTGTGCCCTACATGTTTGTTTCTTGTGCCACTGTCATGTGCCCCTAGCAGGTCTTGTTAAGACCGAAAAGTCAGGGCAGCTAATTTGGTTGAGTTAAATTATGGCTTACTATTGTTAATTCACGTGTATTGAATGGGAGGCGTTTCGTAATATTATTTCAGAATAAGTGATTCGTATATAGAATTGACAACGACTTCTCTATATTTCCGAGTAAGTTTCTGTTTTCAAGTGGCAATGATTTAAATCTGGGTTGAAATCTTAAGGTCATATATAACTAAAAGTAAATCCAGCAATCGCTAATTGTCTCAACTGTTTTTTTTTTCCGGGATCAAGGTCGACCCCGAACCATTTATTGAAGATTGCGAGTATGATACATGTGAATGCAACCGAGGAGGTGATTGCGAATGCATGTGCACTGTCCTCACCAACTACGCCAAACGCTGCGGTGAGCTGGGCGTGATCCCGGGCAACTGGAGATACAACCTAAGCAGATGTGGTAAGTCTCTTGTAGGAATATGCCTTGACCAAATTTTTCATGATTTTTGTACTATACAACATTTGCAACTGCTGTAATTTAAAAAAAAGGATTGATTTGGTTGTTATTACATTTAATCACTTAAAGCTCAAATTGTTTATAAGCAGAAATTTCGAATCAACTGGGTCCATTTAGAAATATTAAAGTCGAGCAGTCCCTCTGCATAGCATACTGTCGCACGCAGAGCACTTTGAGCCTAGGAAATACATGAAAAATATGTGTACACAATGCCCATAGACATGGTTGGGATACATAATACCTGAAGGCTAGAATAAACCAATTAGATCACGGGATTTCTAACCAATTGGCAAGCAGGACAAGTTTGCAGCTTTCCATTCAGGATGGGGTGATCTTCAGCCAATGAGAAATGGGCGGCAAGGCACATTTGGCGAACCGAGCCACAGGCATTGCGCAATTTTGGCGGCAACCCTAGCGTGCAGTCACTTTTGTCTCGGTCTCCAACGGACAAACACTGGACTAATTGAAAGGGTCTCCAAAATTGCCCAACACTATGGCTCTCAGAATTCTTTACTGAAGAATATTTTGATCTTTTATTCATGAGCTCGGCGGATGGATTTAGGTCCTATTTACCGGTGTGCACCCTTCTTCACTTATGTATGTATATCCTCTCCGTTCACAAGTACCCCCTCACCGGCAAAGAAAGCACTCGAGAATGACCGATCGACACCATCTTGCCTGACTGCAATTTTGCCGCGACGCGCGGGGGTACCATGTACAACTGCGTGTACATAGTACAAATCCCCTGGTGCACGTGCGTCACACACACGGAACGGTGCGCGTCAACCAGCTAAATGTCCCACCCACGAGACGTCGTTGTTGGTAAAAAGGGCGCCCTCTTTTGTTGGCGCACGGAGCCCACACAGACAGTTTATCAAAGGGTCAGGAATCCTTTACTGGCAACTCCTTGTCTACTTCAACCGACAGAATTTATGTGTAAGGACGGGATGGAGTATACTACATGCGGGGAAATCTGTGAGGGCACCTGTCAGGGGGAAGATTTGAAGCGAACTTTCAACTGTAAGATGAGCTGTGTGGAAGGATGTCATTGCATCAAGGGCACCAAGATGTGGAAAGATGAGTGCGTGAAGACGCCTGTCTGCCCATGTATCTACGACGGCAAGGAGGTGCCACCTGGCTACACTGTCATTGAGGACTGCCGAACTTGGTAAGACTCATTCAAATTTCATGGCTCAGCTTGATTGCCCTTAGCGAACATTCCCTGCTTACTGCGTCACAAATGTAGTTAGCGAGGTTTGTTTTTCTTAAACGCATGTGCAGAGACATCGGTCAAAAAGGATTCTGTGATGTCCGTGGAAACTTAAATGAAGAATCTTCGTCGACTAAAACTATATATATCACGCTGCCACCATTCCAGTCATGTTCAGCATCAAACAATACCGAAGGATAATGATTTTTGTGTTTGTGCAAAAAGGAACCAGACTATATTTTTCTTTCCAGCCTCGATTTTGGTTACGTTGATTTAAATGGGAAAAAAAAACCCAAGATGGCCACAACATGATAATGGTCTATTGAATGTAATTTTGCTAGGGTTACGGAGGTATGTCTTTAAGACCCTTATTCTCTCCACTTGGACAAGTGTTTTTAATACAAGCACTTTACAGTTTCCTCTAAATTAAAATTTACGATATAGGCATCCCAACCGAGCAAGGGTATCAAGGAGAAATCATACAAATTGACAAAAACTATGGCTGCCTTTGTATTTGGTACTTTCTGTACTAACGAATACAGAAAATGATGTTTTCACAGTGAATAAATTTCAGTGCATAATAGAGTTTCATTCCACAATATTTTGGCACGATCAGTAAAAAAAAAGGACCGAACAAATTACGAGAGTCTATTTTTCATTTCCTTTTTGGCAGCACCTGCAAGGAGGGACGGATGCAATGCAGCGGGTCAAGTTGTACAACAGGTACTTGTATTTGTCTTCTGGCAGAGAATGCGCGAACCTGATACTTAAACTTAAAAAGAAGTTACAAGAGTGCTCAACTCCTTTGAATATGCCTGAAATTTAAGCTTGGAAGTGTTTGTGTAAATAGTACTTCCTTTACATATAACAGATGATTTTTTGGTGGCTAACAGTGCACGCTTTAAAAGTTCAGTTTTCCTGAAGGATTTCTAAGGCTTGCGTCTATTATTACGCTGCAGTAGAGTCAGGTGGTAAACTGAACTGCTCAGGGACATAGCAAACACGAACAAGTATTCAATCAAACAAGTGTTCCGATATTCTCCAATGATTGACAAGGGGATGATTTTAAACGTGCATGCGCAAATGTCTCGATTGGAATTTTTAGATCCTCGGGAGTTGGGTCGTTTGTTTGAAACTATCCTCTGTAGTAAGTTTGTGCGCTTAGTCTGTGGGAGAATGTTATATTAAAGGGACAAAGGGAAACACATAACATTGTCCTGGAGAGTATGGTAAAACAACAGTGTGTGTGTGTTTTAACAGGTTATATCACAATTTTTACTTTTTTTCCGGCAGAAGAAATTACAACAGAAGCAGAAGCAACAGAAACTACACCTCTCACCACAAAAGGTTAGTAGATACGAGCAACTAAAAATATGCCTGTTTAAACACCAACATTAGGTAGAAAAGAGGCATGGGAAACGCCATTGTCACTTGCACTCTTGAAAGCCGTTCATCATTTAAAAATCATATTTCTCTTTGATAGTCAATTGCGGCCTCGTTTGCGTCTGTGAGCTGGACTGTGATGGTATACTCCTGAACCACAACTGTCCTCGTTATGTTTCTTCCTACTTTATAACTTGCACCAAGTGTCCACAAGGCACACAGAGGAGTGAGAATGAAGCGTATTACGTAAAAGAGTGTGTATCTCAATATCTCAAACTCATTCATTATCAGAGGAGTCAACATCAGCAGTGAGCACAACAGAATCTACGACTGAAGCAACGGAAGCAACGGCAGTGCCGACAAGCATCGTGGAAACTACCTTGACCACTGAAACTACGACATTCACTGAAACTACCACTCCAGTGCCAAGTAACTTCTTTTGTTATTTTCACTGTAACGACGGACATGCTGATTACAGAAACAATCAACGGACGCTTATATTAAAGAACTGCTGGGTGCCATCTCACCTGTAACTGCTTGTATATGTACACTGTAGATCATATGAACAGTGAACAAGCAACATGCACCTCTGATCAGTCCTTCATATGCTGTCACTCTTAGGTTATACAGCATGTCTCCCAAAAACAATGTAGCAGTGAAATGACATTTGTTTCTGAGGAAACTAAGTCGTGGAGCTGGTGGTTTGTAAATCAATTACCTTGAGATGGTAGAGTGCTTCTTTACCCTTGACGGGATTTTTTGTTTGGTGTGATGTTGACCTTTTTTTTGAAAGTCATGGCAAACCCTAGACTGTCAAAATCTGGGCCACTTTTTAAGATTAACTGACGAATGAAAGGCTTTTATAGACATTCTTGATAATAATGAATGCCTTTCATCAGATGCCAGATAATCTGAAGAGTATCCCAACTTGAAATTCGAGTCCTTTCATTTAATAAGCTGTATCTCTAGACTAGGGTGTCAAAATGAAATTAGATAAAAGAGCATTGTGTAAAGTACTTACTATATCTACAGACTCTGTAGATACGTTTTGCAAAAGGGGAGTGCCAGTACTTTTAATAATGATGGATTCATAAGTCCATAGTCCACGTTTTTCTTCGTCTTTTATTCAGTAAGCTACAGCCCGAGTGTGCTCTCAGTATTGATGTGGAGTATGCAATTTATATTATGTCTGTTTTATTTTCGTTTGTCGTTTTTGTTTTACATAGATTGCTTCGAAAAGTGTCACGTTGTGGAACCTATTCAGTGTGAAGATCAAGAGGATGAAAACTATGATCAGCAGTCCCCTCCATTCAAAACAGACAGCTTTTGTCGTCCCGATTCCCTACATTTGAAGACTTACCCCTGTAACTGCGAAGAAGGGTATCTCCGAGACTACAGCGATGACCAGAATGAAAAATCCCTGCAATACCAGATTGGCTTCGCCTGGGACACATACATGTGCGTGAAAATCGAAGATTGTCCTGATTGTGTTCTCAATGGTGAAACGTACGAGGTCAGTTTCCGTTATGTTTTTGTCGGGCATTAGAGAATTTAACAAGAACACCATCAGATCCGAATAAAACAAAATAGAACTTGCTTGCATGTTATTCCTCATTCCATCATTCTCGTATTCGACATTTAGCTTTTATCATTTTGTTTGTACTCTCACCTTCAAACAAATCTTTAAAATAATCAACATATAAGGATTGTTAAATCTTATTACCAGCGTGAAGAAGAAGTCATATTTGGATGTGACCTTTGCAAATGCCAGTCTGGAAGCAGCGAAGACAATACATATGAGATGATCTGTAAACCCATTCCTGGATGTACAACAACTACAGGTATCATTACGAATACCCTTTTCTTGTTTGGTTTTGTTAATTTTCTTTTGACAAGTGTTCAATATGACACATAGTCGCAGATTTTTTTTTTTTACATAAGACAACCTGAGCTTCTAGCTTTGATACTAACATTAGGTAGAAAAGAGGCATGGGAAACGCCATTGTCACTTGCACTCTTGAAAGCCGTTCATAAGTTGAAACTCATATTTCTCTTTGAAAGTCAATTGCGGCCTCGATTGCGCCTGTGAGCTGGACTGTGATGTACTCCTGAATCACAACTATGTGTTTTAAAAGGTTGTATAACAATTTTTTCTTTTTCCGGCAGAACAAATTACAACAGAAGCAGAAACAACAGAAACTCCACCTCTCACCACAAAAGGTTGGTAGATACGTGCAACTAAAAATATGCCAGTTTAGACACCAACATTAGGTAGAAAAGAGGCATGGGAAACGCAATTGTCACTTGCACTCTTGAAAGCCGTTCATAAGTTAAAAATCATGTTTCTCTTTGATAGTCAATTGCGGCCTCGATTGCGTCTGTGAGCTGGATTGTGATGGTATACTCCTGAACCACAACTGTGTGTTTTAACAGGTTGTATAACATTTTTTCCTTTTTTTCTGGCAGAAGAAATTACAACAGAAGCAGAAGGAACAGAAACAGCACCTCTCACCACAAAAGGTTAGTAGATACGAGCAACTAAAATATGCCTGTTTAAACACCAACATTAGGTAGAAAAGAGACATGGGAAACGCCATTGTCACTTGCACTCTTGAAAGCCGTTCATAAGTTAAAAATCCTATTTCTCTTTGATAGTCAATTGCGGCCTCGATTGCGCCTGTGAGCTGACTGTGATGGTATACTCCTTAACCACAACTGTGTGTTTTAACAGGTTGTATAACAATTTTTCCTTTTTTTTCCGGCAGAAGAAATTACAACAGAAGCAGAAGGAACAGAAACAGCACCTCTCACCACAAAAGGTTAGTAGATATGAGCAACTAAAAATATGCCTGTTTAAACACCAACATTAGGTAGAAAAGAGACATGGGAAACGCCATTGTCACTTGCACTCTTGAAAGCCGTTCATAAGTTAAAAATCCTATTTCTCTTTGATAGTCAATGGCGGCCTCGGTTGCGCCTGTGAGCTGGACTGTGATGGCATACTCCTGAACCACAACTATGTGTTTTAAAAGGTTGTATAACAATTTTTACTTTTTTTCCGGCAGAACAAATTACAACAGAAGCAGAAGCAACAGAAACTCCACCTCTCACCACAAAAGGTTAGTAGATACGTGCAACTAAAAATATGCCAGTTTAGACACCAACATTAGGTAAAAAAAAGAGGCATAGGAAACGCAATTGTCATTTGCACTCTTGAAAGCTGTTCATAAGTTAAAAATCCTATTTCTCTTTGATAGTCAATTGCGGCCTCGATTGCGTCTGTGAGCTGGACTGTGATGGTATACTCCTGAACCACAACTATGGGTTTTAACAGGTTGTATAACAATTTTTACTTTTTTCCGGCAGAACAAATTACAACAAAAGCAGAAGCAACAGAAACTACACCTCTCACCACAAAAGGTTAGTAGATACGAGCAACTAAAAATATGCCTGTTTAAACACCAACATCATAAAAGAGGCATGGGAAACGCCATTGTCACTTGCACTCTTGAAAGCCGTTCAAGAGTGTGTATCGACCGAAGCTCCACCAATGACGAAAACCGAGCAACCAACAACAGGTACTGAAAACACTCATTATTGGCCATAAAAGAAAGGTTCAATCCTTGTTAAGGTTCGAACATGCAACAACATCATCAGAAATTGTGTTTTGCTTGAAGAGAATATGTTCCGTGCATAGGTAAGCTTTCATGAAATAAGTAATGTCTCCAGTAACGTTTTAAATCCACGATTTGAGGCCATTATGAACTTTCAATACCTCAAACTCGTTCATTATCAGAGGAGTCAACATCAGCAGTGAGAACAACAGAATCTACGACTGAAGCAACGGAAGCAACGGCAGTGCCAACAAGCACCGTGGAAACTACCTTGACCACTGAAACTACGACATTCACTGAAACTACCACTCCAGTGCCAAGTAACTACTTTTGTTATTTTCACTGTCAAGACGGACATGCTGATTACAGAAACAATCAACGGACGCTTATATTAAAGAACTGCTGGGTACCATCTCACCTGTAACTGCTTGTATATGTACACTGTAGATCATATGAACAGTGAACATGCAACATGCTCCTATGATTAGTCCTTCATATGCTGTCACTCTTAGGTTAAAAAGCATGTCTCCCAAATACTTTGTAGCAGTCAAATGACATTTGTTTCTGAGGAAACTAAGTCGCGGAGCTGGTGGTTTGTAAAACAATTACCTTGAGATGGTAGAGTGCTTCTTTACCCTTGACGGGATTTTTTGTTTGGTGTGATGTGGACCTTTTTTTTGAAAGTCATGGCAAACCCTAGACTGTCAAAATCTGGGCCACTTTTTAAGATTCACTGACGAATGAAAGGCTTTTATAGACATTCTTGATAATAATGAATGCCTTTCATCAGACGCCAGATAATCTGAAGAGTATCCCAACTTGAAATTCGAGTCCTTTCATTTAATAAGCTGTATCTCTAGACTAGGGTGCCCCAATAATATTGGATAAAAGAACATTGTGTAAAGTACTTACTATACCTACATACTCTGTAGATACGTTTTGCAAAAGGGGATGCCAGTACTCTTAATAATGATGGGTTCATAAGTTCATAGTCCACGTTTTTCTTCTTCTTTTATTCAGTAAGCTACAGCCCGAGTGTGCTCTCAGTATTGATGTGGAGTATGCAATTTATATTATGTCTGTTTTATTTTCGTTTGTCGTTTTTGTTTTACATAGATTGCTTCGAAAAGTGTCACGTTGTGGAACCTATTCAGTGTGAAGATCAAGAGGATGAAAACTATGATCAGCAGTCCCCTCCATTCAAAACAGACAGCTTTTGTCGTCCCGATTCCCTACATTTGAAGACTTACCCCTGTAACTGCGAAGAAGGGTATCTCCGAGACTACAGCGATGACCAGAATGAAAAATCCCTGCAATACCAGATTGGCTTCGCCTGGGACACATACATGTGCGTGAAAATCGAAGATTGTCCTGATTGTGTTCTCAATGGTGAAACGTACGAGGTCAGTTTCCGTTATGTTTTTGTCGGGCATTAGAGAATTTAACAAGAACACCATCAGATCCGAATAAAACAAAATAGAACTTGCTTGCATGTTATTCCTCATTCCATCATTCTCGTATTCGACATTTAGCTTTTATCATTTTGTTTGTACTCTCACCTTCAAATAAATCTTTAAAATAATCAACATATAAGGATTGTTAAATCTTATTACCAGCGTGAAGAAGAAGTCATATTTGGATGTGACCTTTGCAAATGCCAGTCTGGAAGCAGCGAAGACAATACATATGAGATGATCTGTAAACCCATTCCTGGATGTACAACAACTACAGGTATCATTACGAATACCTTTTTCTTGTTTGGTTTTGTTAATTTTCTTTTGACAAGTGTTCAATATGACACATAGTTGCAGATTTTTTTTTTTAAATCAGACAACCTGAGCTTCTAGCTTCGATACTAACATTAGGTAGAAAAGAGGCATGGGAAACGCCATTGTCACTTGCACTCTTGAAAGCCGTTCATAAGTTAAAACTCATATTTCTCTTTGAAAGTCAATTGCGGCCTCGATTGCGCCTGTGAGCTGGACTGTGATGTACTCCTGAATCACAACTATGTGTTTTAAAAGGTTGTATAACATTTTTTTCTTTTTCCGGCAGAACAAATTACAACAGAAACTCCACCTCTCACCACAAAAGGTTGGTAGATACGTGCAACTAAAAATATGCCAGTTTAGACACCAACATTAGGTAGAAAAGAGGCATGGGAAACGCAATTGTCACTTGCACTCTTGAAAGCCGTTCATAAGTTAAAAATCATGTTTCTCTTTGATAGTCAACTGCAGCCTCGATTGCGTCTGTGAGCTGGACTGTGATGGTATACTCCTGAACCACAACTGTGTGTTTTAACAGGTTGTATAACAATTTTTCCTTTTTTTCCGGCAGAAGAAATTACAACAGAAGCAGAAGGAACAGAAACAGCACCTCTCACCACAAAAGGTTAGTAGATACGAGCAACTAAAAATATGCCTGTTTAAACACCAACATTAGGTAGAAAAGAGACATGGGAAACGCCATTGTCACTTGCACTCTTGAAAGCCGTTCATAAGTTAAAAATCCTATTTCTCTTTGATAGTCAATGGCGGCCTCGGTTGCGCCTGTGAGTTGGACTGTGATGGCATACTCCTGAACCACAACTATGTGTTTTAAAATGTTGTATAACAATTTTTACTTTTTTTCCGGCAGAACAAATTACAACAGAAGCAGAAGCAACAGAAACTACACCTCTCACCACAAAAGGTTAGTAGATACGTGCAACAAAAATATGTCTGTTTAGACACCAACATTAGGTAAAAAAGAGGCATAGGAAACGCAATTGTCATTTGCACTCTTGAAAGCTGTTCATAAGTTAAAAATCCTATTTCTCTTTGATAGTCAATTGCGGCCTCGATTGCGTCTGTGAGCTGGACTGTGATGGTATACTCCTGAACCACAACTATGGGTTTTAACAGGTTGTATAACAATTTTTTTTTTTCCGGCAGAACAAATTACAACAAAAGCAGAAGCAACAGAAACTACACCTCTCACCACAAAAGGTTAGTAGATACGAGCAACTAAAAATATGCCTGTTTAAACACCAACATCATAAAAGAGGCATGGGAAACGCCATTGTCACTTGCACTCTTGAAAGCCGTTCAAGAGTGTGTATCGACCGAAGCTCCACCAATGACGAAAACCGAGCAACCAACAACAGGTACTGAAAACACTCATTATTGGCCATAAAAGAAAGGTTCAATCCTTGTTAAGGTTCGAACATGCAACAACATCATCAGAAATTGTGTTTTGCTTGAAGAGAATATGTTCCGTGCATAGGTAAGCTTTCATGAAATAAGTAATGTCTCCAGTAACGTTTTAAATTCACGATTTGAGGCCATTATGAACTTTCAATACCTCAAACTCGTTCATTATCAGAGGAGTCAACATCAGCAGTGAGAACAACAGAATCTACGACTGAAGCAACGGAAGCAACGGCAGTGCCAACAAGCACCGTGGAAACTACCTTGACCACTGAAACTACGACATTCACTGAAACTACCACTCCAGTGCCAAGTAACACTTTTGTTATTTTCACTGTCAAGACGGACATGCTGATTACAGAAACAATCAACGGACGCTTATATTAAAGAACTGCTGGGTACCATCTCACCTGTAACTGCTTGTATATGTACACTGTAGATCATATGAACAGTGAACATGCAACATGCTCCTATGATTAGTCCTTCATATGCTGTCACTCTTAGGTTAAAAAGCATGTCTCCCAAATACTTTGTAGCAGTCAAATGACATTTGTTTCTGAGGAAACTAAGTCGCGGAGCTGGTGGTTTGTAAAACAATTACCTTGAGATGGTAGAGTGCTTCTTTACCCTTGACGGGATTTTTTGTTTGGTGTGATGTGGACCTTTTTTTTGAAAGTCATGGCAAACCCTAGACTGTCAAAATCTGGGCCACTTTTTAAGATTCACTGACGAATGAAAGGCTTTTATAGACATTCTTGATAATAATGAATGCCTTTCATCAGACGCCAGATAATCTGAAGAGTATCCCAACTTGAAATTCGAGTCCTTTCATTTAATAAGCTGTATCTCTAGACTAGGGTGCCCCAATAATATTGGATAAAAGAACATTGTGTAAAGTACTTACTATACCTACATACTCTGTAGATACGTTTTGCAAAAGGGGATGCCAGTACTCTTAATAATGATGGGTTCATAAGTTCATAGTCCACGTTTTTCTTCTTCTTTTATTCAGTAAGCTACAGCCCGAGTGTGCTCTCAGTATTGATGTGGAGTATGCAATTTATATTATGTCTGTTTTATTTTCGTTTGTCGTTTTTGTTTTACATAGATTGCTTCGAAAAGTGTCACGTTGTGGAACCTATTCAGTGTGAAGATCAAGAGGATGAAAACTATGATCAGCAGTCCCCTCCATTCAAAACAGACAGCTTTTGTCGTCCCGATTCCCTACATTTGAAGACTTACCCCTGTAACTGCGAAGAAGGGTATCTCCGAGACTACAGCGATGACCAGAATGAAAAATCCCTGCAATACCAGATTGGCTTCGCCTGGGACACATACATGTGCGTGAAAATCGAAGATTGTCCTGATTGTGTTCTCAATGGTGAAACGTACGAGGTCAGTTTCCGTTATGTTTTTGTCGGGCATTAGAGAATTTAACAAGAACACCATCAGATCCGAATAAAACAAAATAGAACTTGCTTGCATGTTATTCCTCATTCCATCATTCTCGTATTCGACATTTAGCTTTTATCATTTTGTTTGTACTCTCACCTTCAAATAAATCTTTAAAATAATCAACATATAAGGATTGTTAAATCTTATTACCAGCGTGAAGAAGAAGTCATATTTGGATGTGACCTTTGCAAATGCCAGTCTGGAAGCAGCGAAGACAATACATATGAGATGATCTGTAAACCCATTCCTGGATGTACAACAACTACAGGTATCATTACGAATACCCTTTTCTTGTTTGGTTTTGTTAATTTTCTTTTGACAAGTGTTCAATATGACACATAGTCGCAGATTTTTTTTTTTTACATAAGACAACCTGAGCTTCTAGCTTTGATACTAACATTAGGTAGAAAAGAGGCATGGGAAACGCCATTGTCACTTGCACTCTTGAAAGCCGTTCATAAGTTGAAACTCATATTTCTCTTTGAAAGTCAATTGCGGCCTCGATTGCGCCTGTGAGCTGGACTGTGATGTACTCCTGAATCACAACTATGTGTTTTAAAAGGTTGTATAACAATTTTTTCTTTTTCCGGCAGAACAAATTACAACAGAAGCAGAAACAACAGAAACTCCACCTCTCACCACAAAAGGTTGGTAGATACGTGCAACTAAAAATATGCCAGTTTAGACACCAACATTAGGTAGAAAAGAGGCATGGGAAACGCAATTGTCACTTGCACTCTTGAAAGCCGTTCATAAGTTAAAAATCATGTTTCTCTTTGATAGTCAATTGCGGCCTCGATTGCGTCTGTGAGCTGGATTGTGATGGTATACTCCTGAACCACAACTGTGTGTTTTAACAGGTTGTATAACATTTTTTCCTTTTTTTCTGGCAGAACAAATTACAACAGAAGCAGAAGCAACAGAAACTCCACCTCTCACCACAAAAGGTTAGAAGATACGTGCAACTAAAAATATGCCGGCTTAAACACCAACATTAGGTAGAAAAGAGGCATGGAAAACGCAATTGTCACTTGCACTCTTGAAAGCCGTTCATAAGTTAAAAATCCTATTTCTCTTTGATAGTCAATTGCGGCCTCGATTGCGTCTGTGAGCTGGACTGTGATGGTATACTCCTGAACCACAATTGTTCCAGTAATGTTCTTTCTTACTGTACAACTTGCACCAAGTGTCCACAAATGTTGATCATTGTAAAGATGCAAACATGCACCAACTTTTATAAAATGAGTCCTAGCAATCGTGTTTTGCTTGAAAACATAATGTTTTATGCAACACGTTTCTAGGACATTATTCACTTTCCATATCTGAAAATCGTTCATTATCAACAGAGTCAACGACAGCAGTCAGCCCAACAAAGTCTACAACTGAATCAACAACAGCGGAAACTACCACTCCATGTAACTACTTTCTCATTTTGTTATCTTCAATAAAATAGAAAAGCTGGAATTCGACACTCACATGATTAATCGATGAACATACTTGTAGTTAAGAATGATCTCAGTAGAATCCAAAACACATCTGTGCAATCATGATATGCTATAGTAGTCTCCTATTTATTGGTTTGGTGCTTTCAAAGTGAATGAATTTAATTTTTGTGTGTGTACACGTCGAATTTGAATATTTGATTAGTCGACAAATGATGAATGATGATGTTGAATCAATCACTTACCTAACTCGAGAAGTTTCTAAGTTATTTACGTTGCTGTCGACAGCCTTTTGTGACGACAACTGCGTCTGTACGGTGAACTGTGATGGTAAACTCGTGAACAAAGCCTGCCGACGTCAGGTTCCTCGCAACTGCAGGATTTGCACTTGTCCACAAGGCACACGGAGGAGTAGGAACGAAGCGTTTTGCAAACAACCGCCAGAAGACTGTAGAACCACTCCAGCAACGCCTGAAACGGAGCAACCAACAACAGGTGCTCAATCACTTATAATATATTTTATTGGCTTTAAAATGTTGATCATTGTAAAGATGCGAACATGCACCAAATTTTATATAATGAGTCCTAGCAATCGTGTTTTGCTTGAAAACATAATGTTTTATGCAACACGTTTCTAGGACATTATTCACTTTCCATATCTGAAAATCGTTCGTTATCAACAGAGTCAACGACAGCAGTCAGCCCAACAAAGTCTACAACTGAATCAACAACAGCGGAAACTACCACTCCATGTAACTACTTTCTCATTTTGTTATCTTCAATAAAATAGAAAAGCTGGAATTCGACACTCACATGATTAATCGATGAACATACTTGTAGTTAAGAATGATCTCAGTAGAATCCAAAACACATCTGTGCAATCATGATATGCTATAGTAGGCTCCTATTTATTGGTTTGGTGCTTTCAAAGTGAATGAATTTAATTTTTGTGTGTGTACACGTCGAATTTGAATATTTGATTAGTCGACAAATGATGAATGATGATGTTGAATCAATCACTTACCTAACTCTAGAAGTTTCTAAGTTATTTACGTTGCTGTCGACAGCCTTTTGTGACGACAACTGCGTCTGTACGGTGAACTGTGATGGTAAACTCGTGAACAAAGCCTGCCGACGTCAGGTTCCTCGCAACTGCAGGATTTGCACTTGTCCAGAAGGCACACGGAGGAGTAGGAACGAAGCGTTTTGCAAACAACCGCCAGAAGACTGTAGAACCACTCCAGCAACGCCTGAAACGGAGCAACCAACAACAGGTGCTCAATCACTTATAATATATTTTATTGGCTTTAAAATGTTGATCATTGTAAAGATGCGAACATGCACCAACTTTTATATAATGAGTCCTAGCAATCGTGTTTTGCTTGAAAACATAATGTTTTATGCAACACGTTTCTAGGACATTATTCACTTTCCATATCTGAAAATCGTTCGTTATCAACAGAGTCAACGACAGCAGTCAGCCCAACAAAGTCTACAACTGAATCAACAACAGCGGAAACTACCACTCCATGTAACTACTTTCTCATTTTGTTATCTTCAATAAAATAGAAAAGCTGGAATTCGACACTCACATGATTAATCGATGAACATACTTGTAGTTAAGAATGATCTCAGTAGAATCCAAAACACATCTGTGCAATCATGATATGCTATAGTAGGCTCCTATTTATTTGTTTGGTGCTTTCAAAGTGAATGAATTTAATTTTTGTGTGTGTACACGTCGAATTTGAATATTTGATTAGTCGACAAATGATGAATGATGATGTTGAATCAATCACTTACCTAACTCGAGAAGTTTCTAAGTTATTTACGTTGCTGTCGACAGCCTTTTGTGACGACAACTGCGTCTGTCCGGTGAACTGTGATGGTAAACTCCTGAACAAAGCCTGCCGACGTCAGGCTCCTCGCAACTGCAGGATTTGCACTTGTCCACAAGGCACACGGAGGAGTAGGAACGAAGCGTTTTGCAAACAACCGCCAGAAGACTGTAGCACCACTCCAGCAACGCCTGAAACGGAGCAACCAACAACAGGTGCTAAATCACTTATAATATATTTTATTGGCTTTAAAATGTTGATCATTGTAAAGATGCGAACATGCACCAACTTTTATATAATGAGTCCTAGCAATCGAATTTTGCTTGAAAACATAATGTTTTATGCAACACGTTTCTAGGACATTATTCACTTTCCATATCTGAAAATCGTTCATTATCAACAGAGTCAACGACAGCAGTCAGCCCAACAAAATCTACAACTGAATCAACAACAGCGGAAACTACCACTCCATGTAACTACTTTCTCATTTTGTTATCTTCAATAAAATGGAAAAGCTGGAATTCGACACTCAAATGATTAATCGATGAACATACTTGTAGTTAAGAATGATCTCAGTAGAATCCAAAACACATCTGTGCAATCATGATATGCTATAGTAGGCTCCTATTTATTGGTTTGGTGCTTTCAAAGTGAATGAATTTAATTTTTGTGTGTGTACACGTCGAATTTGAATATTTGATTAGTCGACAAATGATGAATGATGATGTTGAATCAATCACTTACCTTACTCGAGAAGTTTCTAAGTTATTTACGTTGCTGTCGACAGCCTTTTGTGACGACAACTGCGTCTGTCCGGTGAACTGTGATGGTAAACTCCTGAACAAAGCCTGCCGACGTCAGGCTCCTCGCAACTGCAGGATTTGCACTTGTCCACAAGGCACACGGAGGAGTAGGAACGAAGCGTTTTGCAAACAACCGCCAGAAGACTGTAGCACCACTCCAGCAACGCCTGAAACGGAGCAACCAACAACAGGTGCTAAATCACTTATAATATATTTTATTGGCTTTAAAATGTTGATCATTGTAAAGATGCGAACATGCACCAACTTTTATATAATGAGTCCTAGCAATCGAATTTTGCTTGAAAACATAATGTTTTATGCAACACGTTTCTAGGACATTATTCACTTTCCATATCTGAAAATCGTTCATTATCAACAGAGTCAACAACAGCAGTCAGCCCAACAAAATCTACAACTGAATCAACAACAGCGGAAACTACCACTCCATGTAACTACTTTCTCATTTTGTTATCTTCAATAAAATGGAAAAGCTGGAATTCGACACTCACATGATTAATCGATGAACATACTTGTAGTTAAGAATGATCTCAGTAGAATCCAAAACACATCTGTGCAATCATGATATGCTATAGTAGGCTCCTATTTATTGGTTTGGTGCTTTCAAAGTGAATGAATTTAATTTGTGTGTGTGTACACGTCGAATTTGAATATTTGATTAGTCGACAAATGATGAATGATGATGTTGAATCAATCACTTACCTTACTCGAGAAGTTTCTAAGTTATTTACGTTGCTGTCGACAGCCTTTTGTGACGACAACTGCGTCTGTCCGGTGAACTGTGATGGTAAACTCCTGAACAAAGCCTGCCGACGTCAGGTTCCTCGCAACTGCAGGAGTTGCACTTGTCCAGAAGGCACACGGAGGAGTAGGAACGAAGCGTTTTGCAAACAACCGCCAGAAGACTGTAGCACCACTCCAGCAACGACTGAAACGGAGCAACCAACAACAGGTGCTAAATCACTTATTATATATTTTATTGGCTTTAAAATGTTGATTATTGTAAAGATTCGAACATGCACCAACTTTTATATAATGAGTCCTATAGCAATCGAGTTTTGCTTGAAAACAAAATGTTTTATACAACACGTTTCAATGACATTATTCACTTTCCATGTCTGAAAATCGTTCAATATCAACAGAGTCAACGACAGCAGTCAGCCCAACAGAATCTACAACTGAAGCAACAACACCGCAAACTACCACTCCATGTAACTACTTTCTCATTTTGTTGTCGTCAATAAAATGGAAAAGCTGGAATTCGACACTCACATGATTCATCGATGAACAAAATTGTAGTAAAGAATGATCTCAGTAGAATCCAAAACACATCTGTGGATCATGATATGCTTATAGTAGGCTCCTAGTTATTGGTTTTGTGCTTTCAAAGTGAATAAATTTAATTTTCGTGTGTGTACACAGCGAATTTGAATGTTTGATTAGTCGACAAATGATGAATGATGATGTTGAATCAATCACTTACCTAACTCTAGAAGTTTCTAATTTATTAACGTTGCTGTCGACAGCCTTTTGTGACGACAACTGCGTCTGTCCGGTGAACTGTGATGGTAAACTCCTGAACAAAGCCTGCCGACGTCAGGTTCCTCGCAACTGCAGGAGTTGCACTTGTCCAGAAGGCACACGGAGGAGTAGGAACGAAGCGTTTTGCAAACAACCGCCAGAAGACTGTAGCACCACTCCAGCAACGACTGAAACGGAGCAACCAACAACAGGTGCTAAATAACTTATAATATATTTTATTGGCTTTAAATGTTGATCATTGTAAAGATGCGAACATGCACCAACTTTTATATAATGAGTCCTAGCAATCGAGTTTTGCTTGAAAACATAATGTTTTATGCAACACGTTTCTAGGACATTATTCACTTTCCATATCTGAAAATCGTTCATTATCAACAGAGTCAACGACAGCAGTCAGCCCAACAAAATCTACAACTGAATCAACAACAGCGGAAACTACCACTCCATGTAACTACTTTCTCATTTTGTTATTTTCAATAAAATGGAAAAGTTGGAATTCGACACTCACATGATTCATCGATGAACATACTTGTAGTTAAGAATGATCTCAGTAGAATCCAAAACACATCTGTGGAATCATGATATGCTATAGTAGGCTCCTAGTTATTGGTTTTGTGCTTTCAAAGTGAATGAATTTAATTTTTGTGTGTGTACACGCGAATTCGAATATTTGATTAGTCGACAAATGATGAATGATGATGTTGAATCAATCACTTACCTAACTCGAGAAGTTTCTAAGTTATTTACGTTGCTGTCGACAGCCTTTTGTGACGACAACTGCGTCTGTCCGGTGAACTGTGATGGTAAACTCCTGAACAAAGCCTGCCGACGTCAGGTTCCTCGCAACTGCAGGATTTGCACTTGTCCACAAGGCACACGGAGGAGTAGGAACGAAGCGTTTTGCAAACAACCGCCAGAAGACTGTAGCACCACTCCAGCAACGCCTGAAACGGAGCAACCAACAACAGGTGCTAAATCACTTAAAATATATTTTATTGGCTTTAAAATGTTGATCATTGTAAAGATGCGAACATGCACCAACTTTTATATAATGAGTCCTAGCAATCGATTTTGCTTGAAAACATAATGTTTTATGCAACACGTTTCTAGGACATTATTCACTTTCCATATCTGAAATCGTTCATTATCAACAGAGTCAACGACAGCAGTCAGCCCAACAAAATCTACAACTGAATCAACAACAGCGGAAACTACCACTCCATGTAACTACTTTCTCATTTTGTTATCTTCAATAAAATGGAAAAGCTGGAATTCGACACTCACATGATTAATCGATGAACATATTTGTAGTTAAGAATGATCTCAGTAGAATCCAAAACACATCTGTGCAATCATGATATGCTATAGTAGGCTCCTATTTATTGGTTTGGTGCTTTCAAAGTGAATGAATTTAATTTTTGTGTGTGTACACGTCGAATTTGAATATTTGATTAGTCGACAAATGATGAATGATGATGTTGAATCAATCACTTACCTAACTCGAGAAGTTTCTAAGTTATTTACTTTGCTGTCGACAGCCTTTTGTGACGACAACTGCGTCTGTCCGGTGAACTGTGATGGTAAACTCCTGAACAAAGCCTGCCGACGTCAGGTTCCTCGCAACTGCAGGATTTGCACTTGTCCACAAGGCACACGGAGGAGTAGGAACGAAGCGTTTTGCAAACAACCGCCAGAAGACTGTAGCACCACTCCAGCAACGCCTGAAACGGAGCAACCAACAACAGGTGCTAAATCACTTATAATATATTTTATTGGCTTTAAAATGTTGATCATTGTAAAGATGCGAACATGCACCAACTTTTATATAATGAGTCCTAGCAATCGAGTTTTGCTTGAAAACATAATTTTTTATGCAACACGTTTCTAGGACATTATTCACTTTCCATATCTGAAAATCGTTCATTATCAACAGAGTCAACGACAGCAGTCAGCCCAACAAAATCTACAACTGAATCAACAACAGCGGAAACTACCACTCCATGTAACTACTTTCTCATTTTGTTATCTTCAATAAAATGGAAAAGCTGGAATTCGACACTCACATGATTATCGATGAACATACTTGTAGTTAAGAATGATCTCAGTAGAATCCAAAACACATCTGTGCAATCATGATATGCTATAGTAGGCTCCTATTTATTGGTTTGGTGCTTTCAAAGTGAATGAATTTAATTTTTGTGTGTGTACACGTCGAATTTGAATATTTGATTAGTCGACAAATGATGAATGATGATGTTGAATCAATCACTTACCTTACTCGAGAAGTTTCTAAGTTATTTACGTTGCTGTCGACAGCCTTTTGTGACGACAACTGCGTCTGTCCGGTGAACTGTGATGGTAAACTCCTGAACAAAGCCTGCCGACGTCAGGTTCCTCGCAACTGCAGGATTTGCACTTGTCCAGAAGGCACACGGAGGAGTAGGAACGAAGCGTTTTGCAAACAACCGCCAGAAGACTGTAGCACCACTCCAGCAACGACTGAAACGGAGCAACCAACAACAGGTGCTAAATCACTTATAATATATTTTATTGGCTTTAAAATGTTGATCATTGTAAAGATGCGAACATGCACCAACTTTTATATAATGAGTCCTAGCAATCGAGTTTTGCTTGAAAACATAATGTTTTATGCAACACGTTTCTAGGACATTATTCACTTTCCATATCTGAAAATCGTTCATTATCAACAGAGTCAACGACAGCAGTCAGCCCAACAAAGTCTACAACTGAATCAACAACAGCGGAAACTACCACTCCATGTAACTACTTTCTCATTTTGTTATCTTCAATAAAATGGAAAAGCTGGAATTCGACACTCACATGATTAATCGATGAACATACTTGTAGTTAAGAATGATCTCAGTAGAATCCAAAACACATCTGTGCAATCATGATATGCTATAGTAGGCTCCTATTTATTGGTTTTGTGCTTTCAAAGTGAATGAATTTAATTTTTGTGTGTGTACACGTCGAATTTGAATATTTGATTAGTCGACAAATGATGAATGATGATGTTGAATCAATCACTTACCTAACTCGAGAAGTTTCTAAGTTATTTACGTTGCTGTCGACAGCCTTTTGTGACGACAACTGCGTCTGTCCGGTGAACTGTGATGGTAAACTCCTGAACAAAGCCTGCCGACGTCAGGTTCCTCGCAACTGCAGGAGTTGCACTTGTCCACAAGGCACACGGAGGAGTAGGAACGAAGCGTTTTGCAAACAACCGCCAGAAGACTGTAGCACCACTCCAGCAACGACTGAAACGGAGCAACCAACAACAGGTGCTAAATCACTTATTATATATTTTATTGGCTTTAAAATGTTGATTATTGTAAAGATTCGAACATGCACCAACTTTTATATAATGAGTCCTAGCAATCGAGTTTTGCTTGAAAACAAAATGTTTTATACAACACGTTTCAATGACATTATTCACTTTCCATGTCTGAAAATCGTTCAATATCAACAGAGTCAACGACAGCAGTCAGCCCAACAGAATCTACAACTGAAGCAACAACACCGCAAACTACCACTCCATGTAACTACTTTCTCATTTTGTTGTCGTCAATAAAATGGAAAAGCTGGAATTCGACACTCACATGATTCATCGATGAACAAACTTGTAGTAAAGAATGATCTCAGTAGAATCCAAAACACATCTGTGGATCATGATATGCTTATAGTAGGCTCCTAGTTATTGGTTTTGTGCTTTCAAAGTGAATAAATTTAATTTTCGTGTGTGTACACAGCGAATTTGAATGTTTGATTAGTCGACAAATGATGAATGATGATGTTGAATCAATCACTTACCTAACTCTAGAAGTTTCTAATTTATTAACGTTGCTGTCGACAGCCTTTTGTGACGACAACTGCGTCTGTCCGGTGAACTGTGATGGTAAACTCCTGAACAAAGCCTGCCGACGTCAGGTTCCTCGCAACTGCAGGAGTTGCACTTGTCCAGAAGGCACACGGAGGAGTAGGAACGAAGCGTTTTGCAAACAACCGCCAGAAGACTGTAGCACCACTCCAGCAACGACTGAAACGGAGCAACCAACAACAGGTGCTAAATAACTTATAATATATTTTATTGGCTTTAAATGTTGATCATTGTAAAGATGCGAACATGCACCAACTTTTATATAATGAGTCCTAGCAATCGAGTTTTGCTTGAAAACATAATGTTTTATGCAACACGTTTCTAGGACATTATTCACTTTCCATATCTGAAAATCGTTCATTATCAACAGAGTCAACGACAGCAGTCAGCCCAACAAAATCTACAACTGAATCAACAACAGCGGAAACTACCACTCCATGTAACTACTTTCTCATTTTGTTATCTTCAATAAAATGGAAAAGCTGGAATTCGACACTCACATGATTCATCGATGAACATACTTGTAGTTAAGAATGATCTCAGTAGAATCCAAAACACATCTGTGGAATCATGATATGCTATAGTAGGCTCCTAGTTATTGGTTTTGTGCTTTCAAAGTGAATGAATTTAATTTTTGTGTGTGTACACGTCGAATTCGAATATTTGATTAGTCGACAAATGATGAATGATGATGTTGAATCAATCACTTACCTAACTCGAGAAGTTTCTAAGTTATTTACGTTGCTGTCGACAGCCTTTTGTGACGACAACTGCGTCTGTCCGGTGAACTGTGATGGTAAACTCCTGAACAAAGCCTGCCGACGTCAGGTTCCTCGCAACTGCAGGATTTGCACTTGTCCACAAGGCACACGGAGGAGTAGGAACGAAGCGTTTTGCAAACAACCGCCAGAAGACTGTAGCACCACTCCAGCAACGACTGAAACGGAGCAACCAACAACAGGTGCTAAATCACTTAAATATATTTTATTGGCTTTAAAATGTTGATCATTGTAAAGATGCGAACATGCACCAACTTTTATATAATGAGTCCTAGCAATCGAATTTTGCTTGAAAACATAATGTTTTATGCAACACGTTTCTAGGACATTATTCACTTTCCATATCTGAAAATCGTTCATTATCAACAGAGTCAACGACAGCAGTCAGCCCAACAAAATCTACAACTGAATCAACAACAGCGGAAACTACCACTCCATGTAACTACTTTCTCATTTTGTTATCTTCAATAAAATGGAAAAGATGGAATTCGACACTCACATGATTAATCGATGAACATATTTGTAGTTAAGAATGATCTCAGTAGAATCCAAAACACATCTGTGCAATCATGATATGCTATAGTAGGCTCCTATTTATTGGTTTGGTGCTTTCAAAGTGAATGAATTTAATTTTTGTGTGTGTACACGTCGAATTTGAATATTTGATTAGTCGACAAATGATGAATGATGATGTTGAATCAATCACTTACCTAACTCGAGAAGTTTCTAAGTTATTTACGTTGCTGTCGACAGCCTTTTGTGACGACAACTGCGTCTGTCCGGTGAACTGTGATGGTAAACTCCTGAACAAAGCCTGCCGACGTCAGGCTCCTCGCAACTGCAGGATTTGCACTTGTCCACAAGGCACACGGAGGAGTAGGAACGAAGCGTTTTGCAAACAACCGCCAGAAGACTGTAGCACCACTCCAGCAACGACTGAAACGGAGCAACCAACAACAGGTGCTAAATCACTTATAATATATTTTATTGGCTTTAAAATGTTGATCATTGTAAAGATGCGAACATGCACCAACTTTTATATAATGAGTCCTAGCAATCGAATTTTGCTTGAAAACATAATTTTTTATGCAACACGTTTCTAGGACATTATTCACTTTCCATATCTGAAAATCGTTCATTATCAACAGAGTCAACGACAGCAGTCAGCCCAACAAAATCTACAACTGAATCAACAACAGCGGAAACTACCACTCCATGTAACTACTTTCTCATTTTGTTATCTTCAATAAAATGGAAAAGCTGGAATTCGACACTCACATGATTCATCGATGAACATACTTGTAGTTAAGAATGATCTCAGTAGAATCCAAAACACATCTGTGCAATCATGATATGCTATAGTAGGCTCCTATTTATTGGTTTGGTGCTTTCAAAGTGAATGAATTTAATTTTTGTGTGTGTACACGTCGAATTTGAATATTTGATTAGTCGACAAATGATGAATGATGATGTTGAATCAATCACTTACCTAACTCGAGAAGTTTCTAAGTTATTTACGTTGCTGTCGACAGCCTTTTGTGACGACAACTGCGTCTGTCCGGTGAACTGTGATGGTAAACTCGTGAACAAAGCCTGCCGACGTCAGGTTCCTCGCAACTGCAGGATTTGCACTTGTCCACAAGGCACACGGAGGAGTAGGAACGAAGCGTTTTGCAAACAACCGCCAGAAGACTGTAGCACCACTCCAGCAACGACTGAAACGGAGCAACCAACAACAGGTGCTAAATCACTTATAATATATTTTATTGGCTTTAAAATGTTGATCATTGTAAAGATGCGAACATGCACCAACTTTTATATAATGAGTCCTAGCAATCGAGTTTTGCTTGAAAACATAATGTTTTATGCAACACGTTTCTAGGACATTATTCACTTTCCATATCTGAAAATCGTTCATTATCAACAGAGTCAACGACAGCAGTCAGCCCAACAAAATCTACAACTGAATCAACAACAGCGGAAACTACAACTCCATGTAACTACTTTCTCATTTTGTTATCTTCAATAAAATGGAAAAGCTGGAATTCGACACTCACATGATTAATCGATGAACATACTTGTAGTTAAGAATGATCTCAGTAGAATCCAAAACACATCTGTGCAATCATGATATGCTATAGTAGGCTCCTATTTATTGGTTTTGTGCTTTCAAAGTGAATGAATTTAATTTTTGTGTGTGTACACGTCGAATTTGAATATTTGATTAGTCGACAAATGATGAATGATGATGTTGAATCAATCACTTACCTAACTCGAGAAGTTTCTAAGTTATTTACGTTGCTGTCGACAGCCTTTTGTGACGACAACTGCGTCTGTCCGGTGAACTGTGATGGTAAACTCGTGAACAAAGCCTGCCGACGTCAGGCTCCTCGCAACTGCAGGATTTGCACTTGTCCACAAGGCACACGGAGGAGTAGGAACGAAGCGTTTTGCAAACAACCGCCAGAAGACTGTAGCACCACTCCAGCAACGCCTGAAACGGAGCAACCAACAACAGGTGCTAAATCACTTATAATATATTTTATTGGCTTTAAAATGTTGATCATTGTAAAGATGCGAACATGCACCAACTTTTATATAATGAGTCCTAGCAATCGAGTTTTGCTTGAAAACATAATGTTTTATGCAACACGTTTCTAGGACATTATTCACTTTCCATATCTGAAAATCGTTCATTATCAACAGAGTCAACGACAGCAGTCAGCCCAACAAAGTCTACAACTGAATCAACAACAGCGGAAACTACCACTCCATGTAACTACTTTCTCATTTTGTTATCTTCAATAAAATGGAAAAGCTGGAATTCGACACTCACATGATTAATCGATGAACATACTTGTAGTTAAGAATGATCTCAGTAGAATCCAAAACACATCTGTGCAATCATGATATGCTATAGTAGGCTCCTAGTTATTGGTTTTGTGCTTTCAAAGTGAATGAATTTAATTTTTGTGTGTGTACACGTCGAATTTGAATATTTGATTAGTCGACAAATGATGAATGATGATGTTGAATCAATCACTTACCTAACTCGAGAAGTTTCTAAGTTATTTACGTTGCTGTCGACAGCCTTTTGTGACGACAACTGCGTCTGTCCGGTGAACTGTGATGGTAAACTCCTGAACAAAGCCTGCCGACGTCAGGTTCCTCGCAACTGCAGGATTTGCACTTGTCCACAAGGCACACGGAGGAGTAGGAACGAAGCGTTTTGCAAACGACCGCCAGAAGACTGTAGCACCACTCCAGCAACGACTGAAACGGAGCAACCAACAACAGGTGCTAAATCACTTATAATATATTTTATTGGCTTTAAAATGTTGATCATTGTAAAGATGCGAACATGCACCAACTTTTATATAATGAGTCCTAGCAATCGAGTTTTGCTTGAAAACAAAATGTTTTATACAACACGTTACAATGACATTATTCACTTTCCATGTCTGAAAATCGTTCAATATCAACAGAGTCAACGACAGCAGTCAGCCCAACAAAATCTACAACTGAATCAACAACAGCGGAAACTACCACTCCATGTAACTACTTTTTCATTTTGTTAACTTCAATAAAATGGAAAAGATGGAATTCGACACTCACATGATTCATCGATGAACATACTTGTAGTTAAGAATGATCTCAGTAGAATCCAAAACACATCTGTGGAATCATGATATGCTTATAGTAGGCTCCTAATTATTGGTTTTGTGCTTTCAAAGTGAATGAATTTAATTTTCGTGTGTGTACACGGCGAATTTGAATATTTGATTAGTCGACAAATGATGAATGATGATGTTGAATCAATCACTTACCTAACTCGAGAAGTTTCTAAGTTATTTACGTTGCTGTCGACAGCCTTTTGTGACGACAACTGCGTCTGTCCGGTGAACTGTGATGGTAAACTCCTGAACAAAGCCTGCCGACGTCAGGTTCCTCGCAAATGCAGGAGTTGCACTTGTCCAGAAGGCACACGGAGGAGTAGGAACGAAGCGTTTTGCAAACGACCGCCAGAAGACTGTAGCACCACTCCAGCAACGACTGAAACGGAGCAACCAACAACAGGTGCTAAATCACTTATAATATATTTTATTGGCTTTAAAATGTTGATCATTGTAAAGATGCGAACATGCACCAACTTTTATATAATGAGTCCTAGCAATCGAGTTTTGCTTGAAAACATAATGTTTTATGCAACACGTTTCTAGGACATTATTCACTTTCCATATCTGAAAATCGTTCATTATCAACAGAGTCAACGACAGCAGTCAGCCCAACAAAATCTACAACTGAATCAACAACAGCGGAAACTACCACTCCATGTAACTACTTTCTCATTTGTTATCTTCAATAAAATGGAAAAGATGGAATTCGACACTCACATGATTCATCGATGAACATACTTGTAGTTAAGAATGATCTCAGTAGAATCCAAAACACATCTGCGGAATCATGATATGCTATAGTAGGCTCCTAGTTATTGGTTTTGTGCTTTCAAAGTGAATGAATTTAATTTTCGTGTGTGTACACGGCGAATTTGAATATTTGATTAGTCGACAAATGATGAATGATGATGTTGAATCAATCACTTACCTAACTCGAGAAGTTTCTAAGTTATTTACGTTGCTGTCGACAGCCTTTTGTGACGACAACTGCGTCTGTCCGGTGAACTGTGATGGTAAACTCCTGAACAAAGCCTGCCGACGTCAGGTTCCTCGCAACTGCAGGAGTTGCACTTGTCCAGAAGGCACACGGAGGAGTAGGAACGAAGTGTTTTGCAAACAACCGCCAGAAGACTGTAGCACCACTCCAGCAACGACTGAAACGGAGCAACCAACAACAGGTGCTAAATCACTTATAATATATTTTATTGGCTTTAAAATGTTGATCATTGTAAAGATGCGAACATGCACCAACTTTTATATAATGAGTCCTAGCAATCGAGTTTTGCTTGAAAACAAAATGTTTTATGCAACACGTTTCAATGACATTATTCACTTTCCATGTCTGAAAATCGTTCAATATCAACAGAGTCAACGACAGCAGTCAGCCCAACAGAATCTACAACTGAAGCAACAACACCGCAAACTACCACTCCATGTAACTACTTTCTCATTTTGTTGTCGTCAATAAAATGGAAAAGCTGGAATTCGACACTCACATGTTTCATCGATAAACAAACTTGTAGTAAAGAATGATCTCAGTAGAATCCAAAACACATCTGTGGAATCATGATATGCTTATAGTAGGCTCCTAGTTATTGGTTTTGTGCTTTCAAAGTGAATAAATTTAATTTTCGTGTGTGTACACAGCGAATTTGAATATTTGATTAGTCGACAAACGATGAATGATGATGTTGAATCAATCACTTACCTAACTCTAGAAGTTTCTAATTTATTAACGTTGCTGTCGACAGCCTTTTGTGACGACAACTGCGTCTGTCCGGTGAACTGTGATGGTAAACTCCTGAACAAAGCCTGCCGACGTCAGGTTCCTCGCAACTGCAGGAGTTGCACTTGTCCAGAAGGCACACGGAGGAGTAGGAACGAAGCGTTTTGCAAACGACCGCCAGAAGACTGTAGCACCACTCCAGCAACGACTGAAACGGAGCAACCAACAACAGGTGCTAAATCACTTATAATATATTTTATTGGCTTTAAAATGTTGATCATTGTAAAGATGCGAACATGCACCAACTTTTATATAATGAGTCCTAGCAATCGAGTTTTGCTTGAAAACAAAATGTTTTATGCAACACGTTTCAATGACATTATTCACTTTCCATGTCTGAAAATCGTTCAATATCAACAGAGTCAACGACAGCAGTCAGCCCAACAGAATCTACAACTGAATCAACAACACCGCAAACTACCACTCCATGTAACTACTTTCTCATTTTGTTATCGTCAATAAAATGGAAAAGCTGGAATTCGACACTCACATGTTTCATCGATAAACAAACTTGTAGTAAAGAATGATCTCAGTAGAATCCAAAACACATCTGTGGAATCATGATATGCTTATAGTAGGCTCCTAGTTATTGGTTTTGTGCTTTCAAAGTGAATGAATTTAATTTTCGTGTGTGTACACAGCGAATTTGAATATTTGATTAGTCGACAAATGATGAATGATGATGTTGAATCAATCACTTACCTAACTCTAGAAGTTTCTAATTTATTAACGTTGTTGTCGACAGCCTTTTGTGACGACAACTGCGTCTGTCCGGTGAACTGTGATGGTAAACTCCTGAACAAAGCCTGCCGACGTCTGGTTCCTCGCAACTGCAGGAGTTGCACTTGTCCAGAAGGCACACGGAGGAGTAGGAACGAAGCGTTTTGCAAACGACCGCCAGAAGACTGTAGCACCACTCCAGCAACGACTGAAACGGAGCAACCAACAACAGGTGCTAAATCACTGATAATATATTTTATTGGCTTTAAAATGTTGATCATTGTAAAGATGCGAACATGCACCAACTTTTATATAATGAGTCCTAGCAATCGAGTTTTGCTTGAAAACAAAATGTTTTATACAATACGTTTCAATGACATTATTCACTTTCCATGTCTGAAAATCGTTCAATATCAACAGAGTCAACGACAGCAGTCAGCCCAACAAAATCTACAACTGAATCAACAACAGCGGAAACTACCACTCCATGTAACTACTTTCTCATTTTGTTAACTTCAATAAAATGGAAAAGATGGAATTCGACACTCACATGATTCATCGATGAACATACTTGTAGTTAAGAATGATCTCAGTTGAATCCAAAACACATCTGTGGAATCATGATATGCTTATAGTAGGCTCCTAATTATTGGTTTTGTGCTTTCAAAGTGAATGAATTTAATTTTCGTGTGTGTACACGGCGAATTTGAATATTTGATTAGTCGACAAATGATGAATGATGATGTTGAATCAATCACTTACCTAACTCGAGAAGTTTCTAAGTTATTTACGTTGCTGTCGACAGCCTTTTGTGACGACAACTGCGTCTGTCCGGTGAACTGTGATGGTAAACTCCTGAACAAAGCCTGCCGACGTCAGGTTCCTCGCAAATGCAGGAGTTGCACTTGTCCAGAAGGCACACGGAGGAGTAGGAACGAAGCGTTTTGCAAACGACCTCCAGAAGACTGTAGCACCACTCCAGCAACGACTGAAACGGAGCAACCAACAACAGGTGCTAAATAACTTATAATATATTTTATTGGCTTTAAAATGTTGATCATTGTAAAGATGCGAACATGCACCAACTTTTATATAATGAGTCCTAGCAATCGAGTTTTGCTTGAAAACATAATGTTTTATGCAACACGTTTCTAGGACATTATTCACTTTCCATATCTGAAAATCGTTCATTATCAACAGAGTCAACGACAGCAGTCAGCCCAACAAAATCTACAACTGAATCAACAACAGCGGAAACTACCACTCCATGTAACTACTTTCTCATTTTGTTATCTTCAATAAAATGGAAAAGATGGAATTCGACACTCACATGATTCATCGATGAACATACTTGTAGTTAAGAATGATCTCAGTAGAATCCAAAACACATCTGTGGAATCATGATATGCTATAGTAGGCTCCTAGTTATTGGTTTTGTGCTTTCAAAGTGAATGAATTTAATTTTCGTGTGTGTACACGGCGAATTTGAATATTTGATTAGTCGACAAATGATGAATGATGATGTTGAATCAATCACTTACCTAACTCGAGAAGTTTCTAAGTTATTTACGTTGCCGTCGACAGCCTTTTGTGACGACAACTGCGTCTGTCCGGTGAACTGTGATGATAAACTCCTGAACAAAGCCTGCCGACGTCAGGTTCCTCGCAACTGCAGGAGTTGCACTTGTCCAGAAGGCACACGGAGGAGTAGGAACGAAGCGTTTTGCAAACAACCGCCAGAAGACTGTAGCACCACTCCAGCAACGACTGAAACGGAGCAACCAACAACAGGTGCTAAATCACTTATAATATATATTTTATTGGCTTTAAAATGTTGATTATTGTAAAGATGCGAACATGCACCAACTTTTATATAATGAGTCCTATAGCAATCGAGTTTTGCTTGAAAACAAAATGTTTGATACAACACGTTTCAATGACATTATTCACTTTCCATGTCTGAAAATCGTTCAATATCAACAGAGTCAACGACAGCAGTCAGCCCAACAGAATCTACAACTGAAGCAACAACACCGCAAACTACCACTCGACGTAACTACTTTCTCATTTTGTTGTCGTCAATAAAATGGAAAAGCTGGAATTCGACACTCACATGATTCATCGATGAACATACTTGTAGTTAAGAATGATCTCAGTAGAATCCATAACACGTCTGTGGAATCAAGATATGCTTATAGTAGCCTCCTAGTTATTGGTTTTGTGCTTTCAAAGTGAATGAATTTAATTTTCGTGTGTTTACACGGCGAATTGGAATATTTGTTTAGTCGACAAATGATGAATGATGATGTTGAATCAATCAAATACCTAACTCGAGAAGTTTCTAAGTTATTTACGTTGCTGTCGACAGCCTTTTGTGACGACAACTGCGTCTGTCCGGTGAACTGTGATGGTAAACTCCTGAACAAAGCCTGCCGACGTCAGGTTCCTCGCAACTGCAGGAGTTGCACTTGTCCAGAAGGCACACGGAGGAGTAGGAACGAAGCGTTTTGCAAACAACCGCCAGAAGACTGTAGCACCACTCCAGCAACGACTGAAACGGAGCAACCAACAACAGGTGCTAAATCACTTATAATATATTTTATTGGCTTTAAAATGTTGATTATTGTAAAGATGCGAACATGCACCAACTTTTATATAATGAGTCCTATAGCAATCGAGTTTTGCTTGAAAACAAAATGTTTTATACAATACGTTTCAATGACATTATTCACTTTCCATGTCTGAAAATCGTTCAATATCAACAGAGTCAACGACGGCAGTCAGCCCAACAGAATCTACAACTGAAGCAACAACACCGCAAACTACCACTCCATGTAACTACTTTCTCATTTTGTTGTCGTCAATAAAATGGAAAAGCTGGAATTCGACACTCACATGATTCATCGATGAACAAACTTGTAGTAAAGAATGATCTCAGTAGAATCCAAAACACATCTGTGTATCATGATATACTTATAGTAGGCTCCTAGTTATTGGTTTTGTGCTTTCAAAGTGAATGAATTTAATTTTCGTGTGTGTACACAGCGAATTTGAATATTTGATTAGTCGACAAATGATGAATGATGATGTTGAATCAATCACTTACCTAACTCTAGAAGTTTCTAATTTATTAACGTTGCTGTCGACAGCATTTTGTGACGACAACTGCGTCTGTCCGGTGAACTGTGATGGTAAACTCCTGAACAAAGCCTGCCGACGTCAGGTTCCTCGCAACTGCAGGAGTTGCACTTGTCCAGAAGGCACACGGAGGAGTAGGAACGAAGCGTTTTGCAAACAACCGCCAGAAGACTGTAGCACCACTCCAGCAACGACTGAAACGGAGCAACCAACAACAGGTGCTAAATCACTTATAATATATTTTATTGGCTTTAAAATGTTGATCATTGTAAAGATGCGAACATGCACCAACTTTTATATAATGAGTCCTAGCAATCGAGTTTTGCTTGAAAACAAAATGTTTGATACAACACGTTTCAATGACATTATTCACTGTCCATGTCTGAAAATCGTTCAATATCAACAGAGTCAACGACAGCAGTCAGCCCAACAAAATCTACAACTGAATCAACAACAGCGGAAACTACCACTCCATGTAACTACTTTCTCATTTTGTTAACTTCAATAAAAGGGAAAAGATGGAATTCGACACTCACATGATTCATCGATGAACATACTTGTAGTTAAGAATGATCTCAGTAGAATCCAAAACACATCTGTGGAATCATGATATGCTATAGTAGGCTCCTAGTTATTGGTTTTGTGCTTTCAAAGTGAATGAATTTAATTTTCGTGTGTGAACACGGCGAATTTGAATATTTGATTAGTCGACAAATGATGAATGATGATGTTGAATCAATCACTTACCTAACTCGAGAAGTTTCTAAGTTATTTACGTTGCTGTCGACAGCCTTTTGTGACGACAACTGCGTCTGCCCGGTGAACTGTGATGGTAAACTCCTGAACAAAGCCTGCCGACGTCAGGTTCCTCGCAACTGCAGGAGTTGCACTTGTCCAGAAGGCACACGGAGGAGTAGGAACGAAGCGTTTTGCAAACAACCGCCAGAAGACTGTAGCACCACTCCAGCAACGACTGAAACGGAGCAACCAACAACAGGTGCTAAATCACTTATAATATATTTTATTGGCTTTAAAATGTTGATCATTGTAAAGATGCAAACATGCACCAACTTTTATATAATGAGTCCTAGCAATCGAGTTTTGCTTGAAAACAAAATGTTTTATACAACACGTTTCAATGACATTATTCACTTTCCATGTCTGAAAATCGTTCAATATCAACAGAGTCAACGACGGCAGTCAGCCCAACAGAATCTACAACTGAAGCAACAACACCGCAAACTACCACTCCATGTAACTACTTTCTCATTTTGTTGTCGTCAATAAAATGGAAAAGCTGGAATTCGACACTCACATGATTCATCGATGAACATACTTGTAGTAAAGAATGATCTCAGTAGAATCCAAAACACATCTGTGGAATCATGATATGCTTATAGTAGGCTCCTAGTTATTGGTTTTGTGCTTTCAAAGTGAATGAATTTAATTTTCGTGTGTGTACACAGCGAATTTGAATATTTGATTAGTCGACAAATGATGAATGATGATGTTGAATCAATCACTTACCTAACTCGAGAAGTTTCTAAGTTATTTACGTTGCTGTCGACAGCCTTTTGTGACGACAACTGCGTCTGTCCGGTGAACTGTGTTGGTAAACTCCTGAACAAAGCCTGCCGACGTCAGGTTCCTCGCAACTGCAGGAGTTGCACTTGTCCACAAGGCACACGGAGGAGTAGGAACGAAGCGTTTTGCAAACAACCGCCAGAAGACTGTAGCACCACTCCAGCAACGACTGAAACGGAGCAACCAACAACAGGTGCTAAATCACTTATAATATATTTTATTGGCTTTAAAATGTTGATCATTGTACAGATGCGAACATGCACCAACTTTTATATAATGAGTCCTAGCAATCGGGTTTTGCTTGAAAACATAATGTTTTATGCAACACGTTTCTAGGACATTATTCACTTTCCAAATCTGAAAATCGTTCATTATCAACAGAGTCAACGACAGCAGTCAGCCCAACAAAATCTACAACTGAATCAACAACAGCGGAAACTACCACTCCATGTAACTACTTTCTCATTTTGTTATCTTCAATAAAATGGAAAAGCTGGAATTTGACACTCACATGATTCATCGATGAACATACTTGTAGTTAAGAATGATCTCAGTAGAATCCAAAACACATCTGTGGAATCATGATATGCTATAGTAGGCTCCTAGTTATTGGTTTTGTGCTTTCAAAGTGAATAAATTTAATTTTCGTGTGTGTACACAGCGAATTTGAATATTTGATTAGTCGACAAATGATGAATGATGATGTTGAATCAATCACTTACCTAACTCGAGAAGTTTCTAAGTTATTTACGTTGCTGTCGACAGCCTTTTGTGACGACAACTGCGTCTGTCCGGTGAACTGTGATGGTAAACTCCTGAACAAAGCCTGCCGACGTCAGGTTCCTCGCAACTGCAGGAGTTGCACTTGTCCAGAAGGCACACGGAGGAGTAGGAACGAAGCGTTTTGCAAACAACCGCCAGAAGACTGTAGCACCACTCCAGCAACGACTGAAACGGAGCAACCAACAACAGGTGCTAAATCACTTATAATATATTTTATTGGCTTTAAAATGTTGATCATTGTAAAGATGCAAACATGCACCAACTTTTATATAATGAGTCCTAGCAATCGAGTTTTGCTTGAAAACAAAATGTTTTATACAACACGTTTCAATGACATTATTCACTTTCCATGTCTGAAAATCGTTCAATATCAACAGAGTCAACGACGGCAGTCAGCCCAACAGAATCTACAACTGAAGCAACAACACCGCAAACTACCACTCCATGTAACTACTTTCTCATTTTGTTGTCGTCAATAAAATGGAAAAGCTGGAATTCGACACTCACATGATTCATCGATGAACATACTTGTAGTAAAGAATGATCTCAGTAGAATCCAAAACACATCTGTGGAATCATGATATGCTTATAGTAGGCTCCTAGTTATTGGTTTTGTGCTTTCAAAGTGAATGAATTTAATTTTCGTGTGTGTACACAGCGAATTTGAATATTTGATTAGTCGACAAATGATGAATGATGATGTTGAATCAATCACTTACCTAACTCGAGAAGTTTCTAAGTTATTTACGTTGCTGTCGACAGCCTTTTGTGACGACAACTGCGTCTGTCCGGTGAACTGTGTTGGTAAACTCCTGAACAAAGCCTGCCGACGTCAGGTTCCTCGCAACTGCAGGAGTTGCACTTGTCCACAAGGCACACGGAGGAGTAGGAACAAAGCGTTTTGCAAACGACCGCCAGAAGACTGTAGCACCACTCCAGCAACGACTGAAACGGAGCAACAAACAACAGGTGCTAAATCACTTATAATATATTTTATTGGCTTTAAAATGTTGATCATTGTAAAGACGCAAACATGCAGCAACTTTTATATCATGAGTCCTAGCAATCGAGTTTTGCTTGAAAACAAAATGTTTGATGCAACACTATACAAGGACATTATACACTTTTCATATCTGAAAATTGTTCATTATCAACAGAGTCAACGACAGCAGTCAGCCCAACAGAATCTACAACTGAAGCATCAACTGAAGCAACGACAGTTACAACGAACAGCGTTGAACCTACCTTGACCACTGTATCTACAACCCCTGTAGTTCCAAGTAACCACTTTGTCGTTTTTATTGTCAATAATTTGGGTAACCTGTAATTAGACAACCACAAGATTGATCGATTAACTCAAGAATGGTCTCAGTTAAATTAAAAATTCATCTGTGGAATCCTGAAACTCTATAATAGGTTTGTATGAGAATTGTTTTCGTGTGTGTACAAAGTGACTTTGAACATTGAATTGGTCATAACCTGTCATTCCTAATAATACAAAGGAGGGAAATACTTAATTGACTCGAATATTTAAGAATAAGTTAATTGCATTTCTGTATATAGAAATTTGCGGCGACGATTGTGTCTGTTTCCTGGACTGTGATGGTAAACTCCTGAACCAATCCTGCCCATCTGGAGTTCCTCGTTACTGCGAACATTGCATCACTTGTCCAAATAGCACGGAGAAGAATGAGAATGGAATGTATTGCGAACGTCATCCACCGTCTGAAGAGTGTGTCCCGACCAAAACTCCAGCAACGACAGAAACTGAGCAACCAACAACAGGTGCTAAAGTACTCTGATAACAATAATATAATATTTTTAAACCAGTCCTGTAATTGGCGGTTTTTTCTGCTGTTGGATGTGGATAATAAATAAATAAATAAATAAATAATGTGTTGGCTTTAAAAGGGTTGACCATTAAAGGTGCGAATATACAACAACATGTTCTAGAAACGTGTTTTGCTTGACAAAAAGTTCTTCTATGCAAAGGTAAGCTTCCGTTTATATAAACAAAAAACATTCCTATTTACAACTTTTTTCCCCCCTTTCGACAGGACAAACTACAGCAGAAGCTTTTACCCCACCTGTCACGGCAACAGGTTAGTAGACCCGCGCTGAAGATAAAATGTCTGTCTAAATATCGACCTCGGGTCTCAGACAAGGGATATGGGAAACGCCATTGTCACTTGCACTCAAGCTGGTCTTAAGTTAAAATAAAAAAAGTCAGTGTCAGAGTCATTTGCTACCTCGTTTGTGTCTGTACGCTGGACTGTGATGGTATACTCATGAACCAAACCTGCTCATATAATGTTCTTTACTACTTTACGAGGTGCACCGATTGTCCACAAAGCACAGAGGAGTCACGGAGCGTATTGCGAACTTCTTCTACCCGTGAACTTTGTGTATCGACCGAAGTTCCATCACAATGATCATGAACATCAGGCTCGACGATTGCAAAATTGATGTGGAATTTAAATTGCAAGTTCGGTTTTGGGTGAGGTGAACTCTGCAGATGGGAAGAGGGAAGGGGGCGTATATTTCCCAGGGCCCAAAAAAATTAGAAAGAAATGACTACATTTCCCCGAAAAGCTTGAGTTGGGTGTCTGATGCCTACTCGCCGATCCCTTGACGAAAACGTCATTGTGGCTCTGCGCAGACACATGCGATCCGCTACGGAGTGCAGCACGCAATTTTCTGCGCTGTTTCTTCCCAGGATGAAAGAGGAATTTCAAACGTATTGAGGTGTCGTTTCGAGCGAGCACGGGGATAGGGAGAATAGTAAGCTCAACATAAAGCTGTGAGCATTGTGTACATGTCAGATTTTCCTATAAACGGCAAGATCCTCGTATAGGGGACTTTGTCTTCCCAGGATACTCCCAAGAATGAGAGGAGGCACCGGAAATGAAAAGCATTAAGCCCGCACTCATGTCGACGATCAACAGTGTAAACACGTATTTTGAGGTTGCATCTAGGTTGCGCATGTTTCACACTCAAAGCCGGCTAAGTGTTGTTAAGGCTTTGCTATTACGGCAACATATCTGAGCATCCAGTGAGTTGGTGTTGGTAACAGTTGATACCAAGTAGGTGAACGTGTCAACAAATTCTAATAGAGCGCCGTTAAGCACTATCCAAGATTGATTTTCAGCCAAACTCGCTACATGTTTTGGTGAAAGAGTCTAACGAAGAATGAATACCATAGCTACTATGTAGGAAGCAATTGAAGCGTTTGTCTGCATACAAGAACTCATTAACTCTGACGCGGTTTACTTTTGACTTTTGCGAGAAAGTTACAATATTTTGCCGGTGCTTCGCGTATGCAGGAGTATTCCAGAGGGCTATGAGTAGGCTCTAACGAGAATTGTGCTTAACAGGCTTGGAGCAAGGATGAACCTTGTTAAAGATGAGGATGGTATACTCCTGAACCACAACTATGTGTTTTAACAGGTTATATAACAATTTTTACTTTTTTTCTGGCAGAAGAAATTACAACAGAAGCAGAAGCAACAGAAACTACACCTCTCACCATAACAGGTTAGTAGATACGAGCAACTAAAAATATGCCTGTTTAAACACCAACATTAGGTAGAAAAGAGGCATGGGAAACGTCATTGTCACTTGCACTCTTGAAAGCCGTTCATCATTTAAAAATCATATTTCTCTTTGATAGTCAATTGCGGCCTCGATTGACAAAAAGTTGTTTCATGCAAAGGTAAGCTTTCGTTTATATGAACGAAAAAAACAATCGTAATTACACCTTTTTTGCTCTCGACATGACAAACTACAGCAGAAGCTTTTACCACACCTGTCACGGCAACAGGTTAGTAGACCCGCGCTGAAGATAAAATGCCTGTCTAAATATCGACCTCGGGTCTCAGACAAGAGATTTGTGAAACGTCATTGTCAGTTTCTGATAGTACGTCTTCTTACATTCTGAATCTTTTTAATTTCCTATCCAGTTGAACGCGGAACACCACCACTACCTAATCCACGTAAGTAATACATGACTATATTTAGCTTGACCAGGTTAATTGTATAATGAACACCAAATTAAAGCTTGGAAAAAAAAAGATCAATTTCTTGCTAGTGGTGCTCCGGTATCCGCTATTCCCGGCATGCTAATGAGATTTTATTGGTAGCCTTCAAACTGTGACTTTTCAAGCGTTCTTTAACAGGTAAAGTTCGTAGTTTGAAGCCTGTTTTTTTGATAATTTAATCTCCGAAAATTATATTCCGTATGCGCTATGCCTATGAAATACAATTTTAATGTAGGCAATTCTCAAAAACAGTATTGTTCATTCAATTAATGAACCTTTTGATGGCTTCTGTTTATTTTATTTGACCCCAATTATAGAATGCCCCCTTGGAATGCAGCCTGCCGACTGCAGCAAGCCTTGTTTTGAGAACTCGTGCACCAGCAGCATTTGTTACTTTGCTCTGCTTGTGGATCCATTCAGCGGTATAGAATACTGCTGCAGGTGTCGGGATAACACGAACTGTGACTACTGTCCGTGCCAGGGTGAAAATGGACCAACCGCAGAGGTAGCTATCTAGTGACATTTGACTGGGTCAAACTTGCATCTAACTGACTCTATAGACCTTAAGAACTGCTAGGTCGGATTAACCCGGAATCTTCATCTAAATCTGCTCTATCCTTTGCGGTGTTCAAATTGACACGTTCTCAAAACGTGCGGGATGAAACATTTGTTACATTGTATCGACCGAAACCTCGAATTAAACAATAGCCTGATTTAAAGCAAATTCTTTTGCAGAGCATACCATTACCTTTTTGTAAAAATCTGGTGGGTAGGCATATTGTGATTTTTTTTGTGTTTCCCTGATTTTGAAGAAAGTTACATCCAGCTACCAGAACAGGACATGCAAGAAGTGTACTTGCACTAACGACGAAATTAACTGCTACCCCGAAAACCCTGTGTGTGCATCAACTACACCAGGTGAGCTAGCTCATACTCCTTTTTTAGCCACACTATTTATTCAACCTTAATATATTCCGTTGATGTTCGGTTCAGTTCCGAACTTCTTATTCTCGTTCTTATTCCTCATTCTCCAAAGCTATATTAAACAGAGAATACAAAACCTTTTTATCCTCGCCAATTTGAACGGTTTGGGCTGTTAAATAGAAAGAAAGAACATAGCCCGAGAATGCCCCAAGTTATGATGACAGAAAGTATCTGTTCACATTTTGTTTAAAATGTGAACGATTGCAAATGGAAGACAAGCAGGATTCTCGTAGGGAGCTCTGAAGAGAGGCAACGCGAGAGAAAGGCTTGACGAATATAACACAGTAATAGCCCCAGCATCTAAATGTTACGATACATCAACGCGACCAAAGTAAAGTCTGTCCCGAGCCAATGTGGCCCATCAGGCCGGCGTTTATCTCCGGTTTCAGTAGCATGAAACGACTGAGAATATTTCGTTCCCTCCTGAATTGGATGTCAGTCCATCGCAGGTTACTCCCCAGCTAATGCCGGTACCCATTTATATTCCTGGCTGGATAGAGTCAAGTGGGAGTGAAGTGGCTTGCCCAAGGATACAACGTACCAGCAGCTGAATTCGAACCCCTGACCATCTGATCACTAGAATCCTAACTACTAGGCCACACCCCCACACACTCCCCCATCAACATGACATTACGGCCGTGGGAATAGGTAAAGAAAGGACGAAAATCCCCACATTTACCGACCAAATTATTTCCCCCCCCCTCATAAACAGAAGGAACACCAGCAACTACCATCACTACAGTCAAAATCTCAACCACCCAATCAACAACTTCAGAGATAACTGCTTCCGCTGCGCGGACAACTACGGAGACTACGCAGCCTCCGTCAACAGGTGACATACTTAATTGTCTAATGTATGAGGAAAATAGACAGCTGGTGAAAAAAAAATAGGTTACTATATGTACCAGTTCACACTCTAGATGCACATTTTGCGAATATTTTCTCCGGATATGTACATCGGAAATGCTTTTTTAAAACGAGTGTCAAAATCAACTCGTTTGTAAGGTAGGCTGGTTTGCCTGTCGAGGTAATAGGGTTAAGTCTTTCGTCCATAAATATCCATTAATATCCATAAAAATTAGTTGGTCGGATATTGCCTCACATCGCACCACAGAGCATCGAGAACCCAACAATTTTTCTGGTTCTTTGAGCGGGCCCCGAGCCCCATGCGATAATTATTTGGAGCCACTTTTGGGGGGAATAAAAATTGTTTTGCCCCCCAAAATAGATCTGGATCCGCCCTTGAGTCGCAGCAGTCCTGTCGCAGTAAAATACTTTGGCATTCCTCTTCCGATTCGCCTTTGAATAAAGAAGCTTAACTTTATACCCACAGTTTTTAAAGCTTTGAAATTTGTTTGGACAACCTGTCCCTTTGAGAGTAAACGATAAAACGATACAAAAGAGGAAAACAAAATGAGGACTATGACCCTCACTTGTGTTGAAGCGATTCAAATACATACCAATTGTTTGAATGACTTTACATTGTCGCAAACAGTGACAACACCTACTCGAAAGACGACTCCACCCGAAGGAACCACTGCAGTTACAACCGAAGGTAATTTTGCTTTTGCTTTTAGAAGTCATATATGAAATATGAATGGACCATTGGATACTGATTATTCTTCGTTTTTATAGTGAAATTGAGGAGTATATCACTTTTTTTGGCAAGGTGAAAATGTTGAAGATGAAGATGGTGACAAATCTATGCATTACCTACTTCTCCCCCCACGGGCATTAACTTTGTATTTCTGTTAAGTGGTTGCCAGAGATTTCAAAGTTATGATAATTAAACATAACTATAAACACCTAAGACAGTTTACCCATTCCTATTGGTCGAGAGCCCGTCACGTGGCCGGTTTGAAAAGGTTGATAAAGACAGGGCTGGCTGGTCTTAAACACTTTTCCAGTGTCACATCAAATTTGGATTCCTATGAAATCCGAATCCTATAAAAGCCTTCGGCTTGGGTAATTATCCGCATCCAGACTCCAACCGTTCTTAAACAATGTGTTTAATACCAACCAAGCACACATCTATTCCCTTATTAATAATGCTAAAAAGTATAGGTAATAACTTATGTCGTTGCTTAATTTTCTTGGAACCAGAATTTCATGCTTGCTTTTTTGTTATTATTGATAACCAGTTTGTCGTATTTCCCGTAACGGAACATCAAAACATCGTGCTGGGGAAGTTCCAATACTTATTATGGCATCAGGGCCTGAAGCATTAACATTTCGATTCCCAACCGTAGGGATAATGAGAAAATGACATTAGGTATCAATTCGGTTCATCCACAGAAACTGGGAATTGTATACCCACCTCGTTCCCAGATGTTGTTGTGATCAACAAAGGTACTGTCAACTGTACGTCAGTGGAGAAAGTCTTGTACACGGGCTGTAGGGGAGGATGCGGTGAGTCGGACACTCGCGTGGAGATGCTGGCGATGTCTCAACTCCAATATGACTGCCACTGCTGCAAGCCATCCGCGGTGTACAGGAAATTTGTCGGCATGGCGTGCACAGATGGGTCTAAGTTTGACTACCATTACTACGAGATCGCGGCATGTGCGTGTAATTCGTGTGACTATGATCCTCTGGCTATCGGTTACTGAGTACAAAATGGTTTATTTACTGTCACGTCTGTTCTATTCTCCAGTTACACACATTTGTAAAATTGAAAATTCCTGTAGCAGTACAAAATGTGTTCCCTTTTGAATGAGACATCGAACAAAAACAGTGTCCCACGTTCATTATTGAATGTTACTTTACAAAATTGGAATTATCTGAGGCCCGACAATAATCAGTTTTGTTGGCAGGGTAGACTTGATTCGCCAGAATCAAGTGAACAACAGAAAAATGACGGGAATGTATGCTGCCAACTGCTTTCATTTTGCATAAAATAATGCGCTGAATACAGACCCTTATTACAATATTATACAAGTTAATCTCTAACTGAAATCGTGAAACTTAAGCTGGAGAATATGACAATCGCTGGCAAATTTGACTACGGCTTTGAAAATGTATGTTGAGTGCTTTAGTAATGCTAGATTGCTTTGCTTAGATTTAGACGCTTTTTGCTCATTTTGGTTAGGGAGGCACGTTGTGCTTGCATATACAGAGTGGTCCAAAATAGTTTTTAAAAAAGTTCACACGCGTGTTTCTCGGAATCGAGGAGACATGTTAATACTGTTTGAAGCTATTTCAAACTACAACATCCTTGTGGTATTTGATTAAAATGGCGCTGAAAATAAAGCCTAAATTAAGAAATGGCGATAGTTTAAAGAAAGTTGCGAAATCTGTTTGTCCACACGCCTGCAGGTCTATGACGGTCAACGCAATAGCACTGCGTGCACAAACAATCGCAAAAATTAGCTCTACCTGACTACCATAGACTTGGTCCAAATTTCTTAACTTGAGCTTTATTTTCAACGTCTTTTTCACAATTAACTACTAAGTTCTTGTTGCTTTGGAATATCCTAAAACAGTTTCAGTTTTGGACCACTCTGTACAAGTAGCTTTTATGTATTAATCAATGAATTATTTATTCCTTTATTTTCTTAGAATAAAATATTTAGGCCACGGTCGTCGCTACAGAGGGGAGGGGTGCCACAGCCCCCATTAGTCAGTTTTGTTGGTAAAACCATGGTGATGTCAGCAAAATAGAAAATGAAGAATGGACAAGGAAGGGGAAAGGAAGAGGGAAGAAGAAAAAATGGAGAATGTAAATAATAAACACCGCTGCTAAAAACCCTGTGAAGCTAAAATCCGGTTCGGCAACCCATGGCAAAAGATTGTACATTCTGTCATGTCGGCACGAGCTGCCACGTGAGGTCGCTTCATAAACAGCCGTGCTCGCTCATAGGCAGTTACGAATTGAGCTGATTCTTTATAGTGACGACTCAGAATCAAGCTAAAGAGGGGAAATCTCAAAAGAGAGTCAAGCTACAGTTTTACTGTGACAGTCATGTTTGTGATGTAATATATGAACTTTGATGACCCGTCTCATCTCCCTTAACACGAGCACATTTCATTCAAAAAGTCTAGGAAATGCCTCAGATTGCACCACAGAACATCTAGAATCCAAAAATTGTCCCGTGGCCCTTAGGCGGGCCCCGGACACCACGTCTTCAGGGCTTCGCGCTCCGCACTGGCATATTATAAGTTCCACTTTAGGATTTGAAGACACCCCCCCCCCCAGTCTGGGATCAGGGAACGGGCCAGAACAAGGTATACGCACACGTACTGGGCGTGTACACGCAGTTTTGCGACGAGCAAAAACTTTTCAATATGATAGGGCAAAATTTTGACGATTTTCTTTTGAAGTTGAAGCTATCCCATTGCAAAATAAAATCCATTCAAAGTAATCAACATAATTAACCATTTATATATTTGTGGAGGAAATTAGAAATGGAGTTAAACGGATCATTTTGGGCGGAAATTATCAATTACACTCACTTTGCGTGACGGTTCGTCGGCAAATTTCACGATGGCACACCCCTCCCAATTCAAAATGGTCTAGCGACGCCCGTGATTAAAAAAAAATCTAGGATAATCTTGTAAACTTTTGTTGATAAGTGGACAATGATACACCTGTGTTTAGTCATTGAGATACGAACATAGATTGATACCAATCATACAGTACAGGTATAATATATTGACAATATTTCACTGTTGCTCTTCACAGTGTGTGTACTGTTTCAAATTAGTGAATGATAAAATCATTCATTCTGAATGAATGAATAAATGAATCATTCACTTTTCGAAAAATGAGAAACACTATGTGAGAAATGTCAATAAATATGATTTTGATTTTGATTTTGATTTTTTCCCAGTCCTTTGTGACTTTAATATTTAATATTTAAAACAAAGCTTCACAATAGTTCTTTCAGAAAACGTTGACAATTTTATTTTGCTCTTTTAATTTGTTTGCATTTTGTTTTATTCTCACGAGTGTATTCCGTAACGGTTACAAAGAATGGTGTAAAACGGTTACAAAGAATGGTGTAAGTAAAAGCTTCTAATTATTTTGGAAAGGATCATCATCAAAAAAATTTTAATGCTTGCAACGTCGTTTTCGTTTACATACATTTTGTCGTTAACATATATTTGTCGTTCGCATACACAATGACCTCGGTTCCACAATTATGCCCCTTTTTTGTTTTAAGATTTGATTCAAAAATGTTTTCAAAGAACATATGTCTCTGAATATCTGCAACGGAAAATTGAAGTTTGATTTAGCTGACTGGGGGACATTAAAGTGTTTCGTGAAATGTTGTTTAAGGGTCCTGTTAGGAATATGAAATTTTAAATTTTTCACAAACGTAGACTTGAAATCAAGTTGTTAGACATTGTCGTAATTGTCCGACGAGGCCCCCGATATTTACAAAGCACGGCACTAGCTGGCGCCCTGTGTCGTGTTTACATCGGTAGCGCCAGTATCACACCCGGAGGAAGGGACTTTTTATCAGTAACCTAGAGAGTATTATGTTATTATTCATGAGGACAGAACTACGTCACAGCATATTACTTAGTTGACGAGAATTTAAAGAACGGATGTCGTCAGGTTGTCACATAGCCTAGTGGTTGGTGGGATGGGTTTCTGATCGAAAAACCTTGGTTCGAATAATGTCCATTTATTCATCTACCGTGTTTCTTCTCCCAACTTATCTAAAGGATTATTTGAATTGAAGGGGAAAAGAAGACTGAAACCTAAGTTTCTTGAAAAAAATATCGCGAACCGCTAACCAGGCGCTAGTGTCCCTTCCTCCGGGTGTGATACTGGCGCTTCCGTTTACATCCGGCATCCGACAGGTATTGGAATTGACGCACACACATATTGGGGCCGAGGTTGCATTGAACGTTCCCGCATGTTATTATACCCCACACTGCACGCACCCCTGGACGGTACTGTATTCGTACAGTACAGCACTGTGTCAACGCCAGTGCAGGTGGAACGGTATAATACGCGGCGGCGCCGGTGTCACATGAAAATCCGACTCCTATGAAAATTGGACCCCTATTTCCCTATTATTGGTTGATCCCTCGCACGTGACAGGTCACTCTCCCGAAACGATCCTAAATATAGCATAGTATCGTACTCACGCGTGCGCAGTACTACCAATGAGTCCACATTTCATGGAGTCGGATATTCACGCAACACCGGACGTACTACACCCGGCCATATTACCGGCTATATTTCAAGTCTAACCCAAACGTGACACAATTATTAATCTAAAATATTAGTTATTTATTGTTTGGGATTTTGTGGGGTTTTAAGATTTGAGGAATTTATTTATTTGACGATATAAAATATTTCATCTTTGGTTTTTGGTGGTTCAGCGTTTTGCCTTTTTTTTCGTTTGCAGTGCGTAGAATGCGAATAAAATAAATGCATGCAGCAAAAAATGTTGTTGTTGTGTACGTGTGTGTGCCTTTGGTATTATGTATGGTTTGTGTTTATCACTCGCAAAAATACCATAACATTTTCTTAGCAAAGCAAATAAATGAAAATGATAATAACATATTTAAAACTATGAAAACTTAGAAAACATATCTCAACAGATAGGAAAAAGATGCATTTTTGATCCAGCAGGTCAGGCAATAATTTATAGGGTGTGCTTGTGCTTTGCCGTTTGGCTCTCGTTTATTTCTTAAGGTGTTTCGTAACTGTTTGATATCTTGGCTTGAACCTGTTTACGAAATCTCAACTGCTCTTCCGGGATGTCAAATTCCACTAAATAATGAACGTTGCAATATGCTCAACAAACACAACTGTTTGCAGAGGGGTAATTTATAATCCTGACTGATGAAAATTATGATAATTTAATGCACACCTGCCTCTCGGTGCTTCAAAACTGTTACATGTATTTATTTTTTAAAGATGCGCATAGTTTTCGTTCCATGGCTAAGATAAAAAAAACATCTTTGCTTAATCATAGTTTTAATTGATCGAGCAAGTATCGACTGGAAGTGAAGGCGCTGACAAAATTGATTTGTCCATTATGTATTGGCACTTGTGTGGTATTCCAACACCTGCGTGATAATTTGTCAGAGTTTTTGACAAATATTTCATTTATACTTTTATCTAATTCTAGTTCATCTAAGTATTTCTTTCGTAATCAAGCGGCATGCCCGTCAACGTTGGTATCGCACTTGACAATAGTCTAGCAAGAAGCTTAGCTGCGGTACTCTTGATAAAGAAACAGCATTTAAGACGCTCAAACGGTCTCAAACAGTCTGTACAAACATGTATTCTGTAAAACCTCTAAGAGGTTTAGCTGAAGAAAAAATAATTGGTTTGATAAATTTTAACATCATACGTTGATGCAAAAAAATGTACTCGACACTTAACTTGGGCGTCGGCCCAACTTGGCATGGCGTTGGCTATTGCTATTTGTAAGCTATGTTTTAAAGGTTTTTGAAATTGCATTGCTAGTTTGTGATAAAAAAAAAATCTTTGTAATTATTGAATATTGATGACATATTTAGGACAACATGATGTACCATTTAAGTGATAACGCACTGTCTTCCGCTGCAGTGGCGTGGCCAGGAATTTTTCAGTGGGGGGGGGGGGGGGCGCTGGGGGGGGGGGGGCTGGAACATTTCATGGGGGGGCGTCATGTAGATCAATGATATTTTTTTTAGAAACTCAAAATCTCAGTGGGGGGGGGCGACTGGGGGGGGGGCGACAAGGTTTCATGGGGGGGGGGGGTCCCCCAGCACATATATTAGGGGCCTTTGTTTCGCAATCAGTGGTGCTCAGTCACCGACGACGGAAGAAGTGCAATTAAGGTTTCGATTGAAAGCTAACAAACTACTATTTAAGAAGAAGCCATTTTGACGTTGTTCAATTTCCTAACTTTTACATATGAGCCCATTGGTTTTGGATTACCTGTATATTGAAACACCCTGTATAGACCTATGTGGTAACTAATTACTTGTATAACGGCAAGGCTGAAAATGACTACACTTCGTCAGTAGTGTCCTTTTTGTCTCTCGAGCTGAATAAGTCTAGTTTGTTTGTTGGTTGCTTGCTTTGGTTTTTGCGTAGATTAGCAATTATGAAATCCATAGCGATAAAAATTACACTAGTTACCCTTTAAAACTTATTTTGCTGATGCTGCAAGTAAGTGACCAATATATCTGAAGATTACTAATGAAGAAGTTTGTTGCATTTGGTGAAATTGATTTTTTTTTTCGTCAATATTTTGTTTGGGTAAAATAGAAACAGAACTACTTCAAAATGGCGTCACCAGCGTTCGATCTGAACTCAGGCCGCACTATGCATATATAGAGCGCATGCCTTATTTTGAATGACGTAAAATCAATTTTGAATGCAATTTTGACTTCCTGCAAGCGCAGCATTTTTGGTTCCGCATAAATCAGTGCACGATGTCGAAAGACAGTTTTGAAAGTCACCAAATTGAGCTAATTTGGAAGTGAAGAACTGATTGGTCACTGCTGTCTCGTTTCTGATAACCCCAACAGTTGTATCCAATGACGACCCTTCTTTTCATTCAAACCCAGTCAAGCAACCAATCAGCTGCATCCGAGGTTTTCAGAGCAATGAGGAGTGTTTTCCTTTTGCTAACGCAATCAGTTTTCTCAACCAAGTCTAGTACAAAAACCGCCGCCACACTCACAGCTGTTTGAGAAGCGCGCCCACCTCAGTGAAGCAACGACAGTCGGAATTTCTCCGTTTATTGTCGACTGTCCTCAGACTTAAAGACGGAAGAGAAAAATAACCGGCGGGAAAACTCAAGACCATTAGTGCCGTTGCCATGGCACGCATCTTCTTGCACTGTCTGGCACTGCTTGTTGCCGTTTTATTGACAAGGTATTGTTGATTAACTTTTACTTCTGAATTTACATCATTGATACATTTGCCTCTCTACAACGTACGCACATGAAGTCTATTGGGGGAATGTTTCAAGTTAAGTTATTGGTTGGGCAATTCCGTAAATTCGGACGTACATGTCAGACAGTGAATTGAGCTTCTGTTGATAGTGTGAATGTGAAATATTACTAATGTGTGATAACTAATGAAAAGAAAACATTACTTGCAACGATTTTGCTCAACAATTTCACTTCATGTTTCACGAGACACCCCTCTATAATGGAGTGTCCAGCTCGCGAATAAGTCGTAAACAACTCCTTTTATGGAGATTGTCGTGTGCGTCGCGCGTACTGCGCGATGTCGCGCATAATGCAGCTGAGGCGGTGCGCTGTGAAATAAGAATACTGACTCTTCGATGGTATTGCGAATGCCTACGTGAGGATTGTGAACGTTCAACCAATACTACCGTAAAAGTCTCTGCATTACATAGTAGTCCAAATTTCATGTGACACTGGGAATAATGTTTAAGACCAGCAAGCCGGTCTTTATAATCCGTTTAAGACCGACCACATGACGGTCTCTCGAACAATAGGGAAAATGTCAACACTAACAAAAGCAGGAAGATTTTTTTAGTGTAAACGTAGGATTTGAAATTGTTATTTAATTATAAAAATTAATTTTTAAAAAGGTCTTACAAATTTTGTTGAGGTTTGGGCCCTGAAAAGCACATTTTAACAGACAATACGTAATGACTTAAAAATTATTATTTCTTCATGAAATCGTGACAATAGGCCTATAGCTAGTTGGTAGTTTCGTCTCTAAATATCAAATACATGTATTATTCTTGAAATGATTTTGTTAGTGATGGCGTACATGATCCGATCAATAATTGTGTTCAACCTCGATTTCTATCCTGATGCTTCAGATGCAATGCGATGCGGAACGATGCACTGTGTAGAAAGATTGAGAGAGTGTACTACAGGCGAGGTCTGTACCAAGTCTTGTCGAATGTCTTTGAAGAAAGAACCATGCCCATTGATCGGCAAACACCAAATTACATGTTAAGGTAAGTAAAACGTAAATCTGATATGCACATTTGGTATAACGATTTTTGACGCCGAATTGGAGTTGGGGCAAACAGTTTAGAAATGCGCATGCTCAGAATAGCCCCACTCGCGTCCGCGTCACGGTGAGTGAAATTGACGCGAACATCTTGATCCCGCTGAAAGTTCATTGAACTACTTGAACTGCTTTAAACTGGCCAGTTACTGCAGATTCGTTAAGGTTCGACTATCAAGTTTATAGCAATTGCCGTACCGTGCTGAAGACGAGCTATTGTCGCACTCATCTCATTTATTAAAGTTCGGCGCGTCATTAGAACGGACCTGAACGTTTCGAACAGTATGCTCGAAAAGAATAAATATTTGAAATATTGTTGAGAGACCGTACCATTCCTTTTGGTATTTTATGTACAGCGAAAACTTATCATTTTGTTATGCATGTAAACATTCACCTGAAACATTTCCAAATAAGAGCCTTTTGGGTTTATTTTGATCGTTTATTAACTTTTTTGATCAGATGGGTATGCTGTGATGGAGAGGATCGTCCAGACTATTGCGGAAAACGTAAGTAAGATAGGGGGCATTCTGGAGTCTCATGACCTAATACTGTTTAATGCGGGATAAATAACATGCTTAAAGTGGCTGGATTGCCCGCCGGTTGCTATGAGCATGACGTAACAGACAACATAGTCTAAACTGTTTGGGAACTGTTTTCTTTCATTGGCCTTGATAAATCCTTTTGCAGCCTTCTGCGATCCCTTTTGCCCGGAATATGAGGGTGAATGCAACTTGGAGGACAAGAGATGCAGGGACAAAGCCGATATCGTTACGGATTCAGGAGTCGGTAGGTGTCTTGTTTCCATAATCCATACATAAAAGAAACTCATATGTGATTAAAAGAGAAAAGTGGTCTTCTTAATGCCAAGACTGGAGACCAATCTAAGAATGCCAATTAATTAGACACCTGTCTACTGATAGGAATCGACCTTTAAGTTGCGTCTGCTGTGCTTCTACCGTATATTTTATACTTCGACCTCATAATATTTACTCTTCCACCTGTCAAAGCCTCACATGTCACATATTTTGATACACGCCTCTGATGAATTCACATATAGCTGTAACTTATAAATACGTCTAAACAAAAATCTAATGGCAGAAAACAAACGCTGCACTGATCTGTAATATTGCTTTTCATTCGCAGGCCGTGTCGAGAAGAGGGGCAGCGCACAGTACTCTTTTGAACCGTCCGAAGAGCCATTTGCCGATGGGAATCCTGATGGTAGGTTAGATTGCAAAAAGCTTTTAGCCATTTTAGACTTGTGTGTCATAGTAGCAGTTAACGCAGTGGATGATAATGTTAAACAAAAATCAATACTTTGATAAATATTCAATCGGGATTTTGTATTAAAATGTTGTCTTGTGCTTTTTACATCAGAATTTTCCTCCAACGAATGTTTACTTTGTAACTTGTAAATAGCAACGGTAGAGCAAGGTGATTGTATTGTGTACCTGTGTATTTTACTGATTGCATTGCCTATGTATATTTATTGTGAGTGGATGTCGAATACCGAGGAATTGTTTTGGCAGTTCAAGAATGTAAAGATTATAACAGTTTCCCAAAGAAGGGAATGTTATTGATGTAACTGAGAAAAAAAATTGGCCTTGTAGAAAAAAGCCCTACTGAAGCCTCGATACTAATTCCTTGAGGTATTGTTCATCGAATTCTTTTTGGCAAGACTGTTTGGCTGTGTCAATTGTGCATCCAAACACTGCCATTCTTACTCATTCAAAGCGCTAAGTTAACACATCTTGGTTCTGAGCTCTCTATCCTACTACAGTTTCATCTTCGTATTTCAGAATACAATGATGTACAAGAAACATAATGATGATGAGGGAAATTCCTTATGCAGGAACTCGCACCTTACAACTGTGTATCGTTGTATACATTGACAGGAATGTGCACTCTTTGTTGCGGCGGATCAATCAGGACATTCGATGGGCTGACCTACAACTACCCACTACAGTGCCGGACAGTGTTGGCATCCTTCAAAGCTGAAAACCAGTTCACTGTGGACATCGTACCTAAGTATGAGTGCAATGATATCACCCATGAATGCAGAAGTGCTGTGAACATCACGTAAGTACATTATTTTCCCCATTTTTAATCTTGCCCGTGAAGCTAATCACCTCCGTAGTAAGCAAAAGAAATCAGCCTCACGTTTGCCACGTTTCGCTCTGAAAAAAATATATAGTTTCATCTTTACATTGCGGCATTTTATATTAATCCACACCCGGACTGGGACCACGAGTGCAGAAAAAAAAATGCAAAACAAAATCAGGCCAACTTTCATCACCCTTTAGCTAACAAATTCTCCAAAATGTTCATGAGGCAAAGACAGGATCTTCAGTATCGCCAGCCAAGTTTGAGGTTTTTTTAAGGAGACTTTTCTTCAAAATTTTGCACCTGAGAGTGAGACGAAGTGATTTTAATTTTAAGTCGAAGACTAGACTGGTATATGTCTTACTGTTTGAAAAGATTGACCTCTTAGTTGTGTGGTGGCAGACGATGGATATGTGTAGAAATAGAGACCGCGTACTGATTGATGCAGTACTAAAGCGGTGTTGGACTGGTTGTTTCATGTGCCAGTCTATTTTCTGGCGTTGCATTTTTGCAATACTTTACGTTTTGAGACTGTCATCATGTACACAGTATTGAGAGGAATTTTCGGACTACCCCAGGCCTCGCCCCCAACCTTACGGTTCAGGCTCCTCGCCTTGCGGCATTCATCCTAAGTCAACGCCTTGTTCTCTGCCCTGTTTGAGTTGCTTGGCGAAAGAACATGTTTAATGTATCGTTTATGCCGTGCATCTATTTCTATGACTCGACAGAAATAATCTAATGATGCTTGAGTTTCTACCTGGTGGTGTGGTTCGCTATAATAACCGAGTTGTACAGCCGCCGTACAGTAGCACGTCCGGCATTCTGATATTCAAGAGAGGGGCGGAGATAGTCTTCGAAGGGACAGACGGTGAGAAAAAAAGGAAACAAACTCTTTATTCCCTGAAATAAACATGTTTACATGTATAGTTCTGTTCACTGTTTGGTCTAATTTATTTCGATACTTTTTTGGCAAGGGTCGTTAAACAGGTCCTTCAAATCATATATTTTCTCAGATATTTTTTTGTGTGTATTTCGTGGCTCGTGCGGCGGTGGGACATTTCTAACAGGATACAAATAATTCCAAAGATTGTTCAAGACATGTTCCACATTTTTTTTTTAAAGAAAGCGATGAGAAAATCAAGGTTGGGGAAAATGCTTGTTCGTTGTTTCGCACTCTGCGGACGTGTAAGAAACAACATGTGTATCTGTAATGTATGTATTATGTACCACACACACAACGTGTACGCTGCATTGAATAGACACGACTTGAAATACGTATGGGTATGCCACAAAATGCCGTCGCGTCCGATGTAAACACTTAACCGGGTGTTTTTTTTGTCTTTTCTCGGGAACGGCAACACGTTAGGTTATTTTCCTTCCAACCTGACCACTGGAATAGTATAAATAAACAACTCAAAACGTTAAATTTTCGGGGATTTCAGGCCGTACTGTCCTTTAAAATTCCCCGGTCAGATTCGACCCTGAATCTGGGACAGTATGACCAGACTCTCTTAATCTGGGTCAGATTGACAATTGTTCGGGTGAAGTGACCCACAAGAGTGTCTCAGAGAAGTGTCATTATGACCTGGAAAAGTGTCGGCCTCAGGTCAAAGATTTGGGTCGCATCTGACCCAGGACTTTTAGGGGTGTATATGCCTAGGTATTTGGTATCATGGCTCCTAAATTCTCGCTATAGACCTTTATCATGCTGCCACCATTTCAGTCATGTTCCCTGTATCCAATAACAGTACTGAATGATAATGTGTTTTGTGCAAACAAAAGAACCAGACTATTTTTACTTTCAGCCTCGCTTTGGTTACGTTGAATTAAATGGAAAAAATCAAGATGGCCGCAACATGAGAATGGTCTATTATTTGTTTTCAGAGACTCGAGTGTTCTTCGACGGGATCAACGGCGTGTCCATCGAGGTGAATCGGATCTACCAAGCCGCAGACGGCGTGCACAGCCTGCGAGGCCTGTGCGGAAACTACGACAACGACCACAGGAACGACCTGGACGGCTTAGCCGTGGCAGACCTGGCCGGTAAATACAAGTTTCCGGAGGGCAGGTGCCAGCCGATGGACGCCCAGTTCATCGTCCCGTTCTCGAGCCTGAGCGATGTGCAGCAGTCGGAGGTCCGCACCGCTTGTAACGATTTTGCAAGAGACCCGATCTTCAAAGAGTGCAGGTCCAAAATCGTGATCGAGCCCTACCACACCTCCTGCTGGTTCTCAATGTCGCTGTGTATACTGCAGGGTTCGAGGTGCGACATTTGCAGTATTTACGCCGAGTTCTCGGAGACCTGTGCACGCCATGGTGTCGATGTGGAATGGAGATCAGAGTCGTTTTGCCGTAAGTATTCCAAACCCTTTGTTGCTTTCAAAGTTCTTTCTTTACGACTTGATCACGTTGCTCGCCTTGTCTGTTGACTTATAGGATAATGCACCTGTTATATTGTAATGATCAGCAACTTTAGCAAATTATTCCTTCACCAATTTCAAAATCTTCGGCATGTAGTTTCCATGTTTATGGATAGGTTTCGATAGAAAAAACCCTTCCGGCAATTTAGACAAATGAACTGATAAATTCATCATCAAAATGTTTAACCAAGTCAAAAATTGCAGTAACTACTCTGTGAAGATACTATACGTGTACATTACAGCTTCAATCAAAACTACATATTTAAAACGTCTATCAAAACGAATAATACAACATTTCGGTGGACCTTCCAAAGCCGATGACAAATCACTGCCTAAACTATCTTTTATCATTATAACTGATATACTTATAATACACGATCTATTTTCAAAGCAGAAATGAATCATGTAAGAACCGATTGGAACCATATTACACATGATCAGATAAATTGTTGGCTAGATGTATTATTGGTTGGGTGTTTTTGTCAATGCAGATATTGAATGCAGTAATGGCATGGAGTACGTGGAGTGCGGAACAGCTTGCCCACGCACATGTGAAAACATGTTCTACTCCGCCGACTGCGCCGAGCGGTGTGTTCCCAGCTGCCAGTGTCCATACGGTACGTTTCTTGCCTGGAATTATGGGAGCAGAAAGAGTGTTGGTCACAGAGAGTTGTCTGGAAAACTCAGTTTTGCACTTATAACAATTGTATATCGCTCTTATATGTATCTCATACTTCTATTCTACATGACAGTCAACTTTACGCTTCGCCGTAACTATAGTTCAGAAAATCCAAATGATAGTTAAGACATTCCCAACTATAGTTGGGTTTTCCCCGTCTATAGTTTGGACTATCCCAAATATAGTTTAAGGACATTGCTAGTATAGTTGGGGCGTAGCAACGTTAACAGAACGTCTTACTCTAGCCCTCCACACTATGGACCCCAACATGCCTGAAATCTATGTTTTGGATAAAACGTGCAATACCCGCTATGTTACCTATTCATTTACAATGCTGTACATTCTGCACACCATTCTGCGAATTGCATGTATTGTCTGAAACAAGGATATTTTAGACTTTTGGGGTTCATACTAAAAACCCAATCTCCTTACGTCTTGAGGCCAAACGTATCAACCAAGCGGTTTAATAAACGCACGGATGATGCAAATTTAACATTGTACCTGCTACTATAAACATATCATTTAAATAATTTGCCTTTCTACACAAAGTTTTTGTTGCCGAACAAATTGATACTGACCAGATGTCTTGGATCAACCTTGACTTAAACACAGGTACCTACTTGGATGGAGAGCTCTGCATCCCTAAGGAAAGTTGCCCCTGTCTGCAAGCAAGCGAAAGCTTTCCAGCCGGTGCCATCATGAAGGATGGGTGCAGGGAATGGTATGGACTCCTTATCATCTTTAACGTCTTTCATTAAACGGAAAGGGTCAATAACAAACTCACTTAGACGAGTACATTGTCAAGTCACTAAACACAGGTCGTTGACCCAAATTCTGCTATTGTCAGTCCGGACAGACAGGAAGTGACGGCGTACAAAACGATACAGTGGCATTCCTCAAAATGTTTTGAATTCAATTTTTGGCTTTGGTGAGAGATGGTATGCCATTCAGTTTTGTTCGCTTTTCTGTGCGATTTTGATTGTGTAGAGTTGGCTTGCTGCACGTTTTTAGTCAAAATGTACCGGGTGAGTAAGAAAAAAAGCGGAACCCAAACCGCAAAAAAATATATTTCATATTTAAACAAATTATGTAGCACCCAAAAATAATAATGAACAAGCCGATTTCATAAACTACTTTTAGATGAAAGAAATTACTGAAATTGCTTATTCCGTTCTAACTATATCACCATTTAAACACAATGACCCTAAAACATCTTTCGTCCAAAAATGCGATTTCAAGAATAGTCGTCACTATTGTCTTCAAACACACCAGCAATAAAAACTCAGTTTAAAATTGGAAAAAACATACAACAATGTCCTTTTGAAGGCCTGTCATTTGAAAAAAAAGTGGATTCTACAAATCATTTTTGATTAGTACCGAGCAACAATTTGGTGCGTGAAAAGGTGCATGGGATGTATGGAAGATTTGTGGGGGAAAAAACGTGTTTTAATCAATATGGAAAAGGTGCTTTGTGTGAAGAAAATGTTCTATCTGGTGATTGAATAAGTGCATAATGTCATGCATGGAAGATTTGTAAGGAAAAATGTTTCTATCGGGCGCCATATGAACTAGTCCGATTAAAAACATTAAAATGGAATGATCTTGAAGAATTTGTTTGAAAAACAACAGGAAAAAATTGGAACGATGAAAAGTTTGTTTTGTTACATTCAACTCTTTTCCTCAGTGTTTGCATGGAGGGCATGCTGCGGCAGTGTACCACCCATGCCTGCCCTGCAACCTGTTCAATCTTGGGAGGCCATGCCTTCCGCACCTTCGACGGCAGCAGGTACGAGTTTGACGGTAAGTGCGAGTACGTGCTGGCGCAGAACCTGAACAAAGACGACCCGCTGTTCGGTATCTTCATGGACAAGTCGGTCTGCGATGATAAAGATCTAAACTGCGTTCCGTACATCAGCATTATGGTTCCAGATGGAACCACATACGAGTGAGTTTTGATATCTATTCTCTGAGGATTCAGCTCAATCAATGTCTGGGTTAAGTTGCGGAACTTGTATTGCAATAGACCCATTTTGTCGGGTACGTGATGCAGAATTCTAAACAACTTTCACAAATATTCACGTAATGAAGTTGTTAGTTTGTAAACAATGGTGACAACTTCATTGCAGGAGAATATTAGGGAAGTTGTGGGGGAGATAGGGAACTATTTGGGGGTATTTTCTTTTTGATAATACAAGCATGGCATTTGGCATACAGTCAATCAAGTGTCACTTGATGCGTCTGGGGAATGACCTTCTTTTATTGTTTTCTTCCAAATACTCAGCTGTGTCATTACTATGTTTAAACCAAGTAAACTTTTTAACAATAATTTGGTCGGTTACGTTTTTGATAGATGCGAATGATCTACTCTATCTTTAATGTGTCATTACTGTTCCAAAACAGACTTCAGACGGCGGGTGCAGTGCAGATATCCAAAGCCAACCAACCCACACAGGAGCTGAAGCTACCATACAGCAAGGTGGACGGCGACAGTACCATCACAGTCACCCGTATTTCGTCTGTCGTGACTCGCGTGGCGTTACCAAAGCTGGGCATTGAGATCATGTGGGGCAGCGATAACCGCATATATCTCTCCGTGACAGAGCACCTGTTTGGCAAGGTATAGGCCTATTTCTTTCTAAATGAAACACATAATATTATGTATGACGTAGGCATATGTAATATGTTATTCCAAAAAAAGTGAAGCTACGGACTAGACTGTTTAAAGTGAAAATCACTTTACAGGGCGAGTCAAAAAAGAGGAAGCCCAAATGGTGCCCCTTTTTTTCTAAAGAAGTTCTACATGTAGCGCTTTCCAAATCTAGGATATGAAAGCCCAATAATAATAACAAACGCACAAAAGCCAAATTTAATAGGCGAATACTTTCTCATCTGTTTCACTGTCAAATACAGTAAGTTATTTCTGGTTATATTTTTTATATTTTCTTACTGGATAAAAGTTTAAAGGGTTTTTCATTGATTTCTAGAGTGCCCGGGGACCCTGCTCAAGTAGTACGTACAATACCTTTTCAAAATTAATGAACATTTACACTCTTAAGCCGTTTCATCTGTGCATCTTAGATTCATGGTCTTTGCGGGAACTTCAACCAAGTACTCAATGACGACTTCCAACTGCCCTCTGGATCCACTGTGGCCGTTGCTCAAAACTTTGTCGGCAAGTGGATCTCCAATGCCCTTTGCGAGGAGACGGACCACAAGGACAGTATCAACTTCTGTGAGGTCGAGAACTCCTTCGAGCAGAGTGCCAAGACTGTTTGTGGTAAACTGAAGTCGGAGCCTTTTCTAGAATGCAGTGCGAAGGTGGATGTGACCACGTACCTGAAGCAGTGCCAAGTCGACCGATGTAACAGCTTCGAGAGAGCTGAGTGTCTAGCCTTCGCCGCCTATGCCTGGGAGTGTGCCAAGGTGGGCGTGGAGATTGACTGGAGAAGCCCAGATCTGTGCCGTAAGTTGTGCTTTCCATTGCCATTTCTCGGTGTACAGCCAATGTCTTCTATTTGATGATACAAATGCTGTTTTAAACTACTTATTCGCCCGCTGGTGTTCCTCAAATCCATCGATCTTGATGACATTTAACCAAAGTGTGAGTCATGCCACTTCCTTGCAGTCCTTCCGTGCTCAACCGAATTCATTATTTGCAGCACTTAGATTCAAAGTATGCCTAATTCAAAAACAAATTCAGCAGCTACACTTGCAAATATTGGGAGAGCAAACATGTCTTTTTCGTACATGTTTTTTTTTTCTCAAAGTCTGTTAGAAATAAGCCTAATTTGTTATCCGTACGTGGCTACACATACAGTTGAACTTCATACTTAACATTCCAGAAGGCAAGGGTCACATTAATGTGACCAAACTGTAGGTAACACTACTTCATCATTACGAAAATATCGGCTTATATACAAGGACAAAAACAGTCGGAAAGTCATTTCTTCATTTCCTCCTTTTCTCTCTCAAATTTTCCTTTATTCCACTAGTCACTGTGTCGATTACATGTCTGCCGTATTAAACTAAATGTTGCAAGATAAATACAAAAATTGTTCCTGGATCAGGAATGATCTTATTTCTTGGTTTCCTTTGTTTTATGCCAGCCATCGAATGCCCGAATGGGATGGTGTACAAAGAGTGTGGGTCCATGTGCGAGATGTCTTGCCGTGATCTTGGGAACTCTGCCAATTGCACCGAACAGTGCGTCCAGGGTTGCCAGTGCCCGGGTGAAATGGTATGCATTGGATGCAGGATATCTTGTTAGGCCTTACAGACAAGAAATTTGATATTCATGGATCAATTACGAAGATTTAATTAAGAGGTTACTTTCAAATATCAAATGACTCTTCCCGGTCACGCTCAAACAAACTTTAAGCAATGGGGTGGTTTTGCCAGATGTTGAGCAACATACCGAGTGCCTATACTGATGATGGTAAAGCTTTCGAAAGGTTTGTCTTAGTGTACCCGAATTTACCAACAATGATGGTTATCTTCCAAAAGTGTTTATTTTGCGTGCCTGGGCACCGATTTTTATGTTTTGTTTACTTCATGAATTCAACCATTATACATGTATAGGCCTACATTTCAAGCAACTGTACATCAATGTTGAATATTGCTCATGGAAAAAAAGCTTTAGTCTTTAGTTTAACAAGCAGAGAACCATTTACTTGTGCTGATTGATTTTGAATACCAATGACTCCGATTTCAAAATCGCTAGGCCAAATTATCCCTTTGTTGTCTAAGTTAACGTTACAGTAAATGTGAGGTTGACACACCGAGAAAAACTGAAATCTTCTTTCATGACTCATGTTGAAGCATTGCACGTACGTTGGGATTGAGTAAGACCTCATTTCCAATCTCAATTTCTGAATTATTAATGGCGTCCAGTTTGATGAGAAGCAAACCCTGCTTTGTTCCTCAGAGGATAAATTCCATATTAACGACAGTGCTGATCCTTTTATCTCTAGGTATACAGCGATCAATTGGAGAAGTGCGTGTCGCAGTCGGAGTGTCCCTGTCACTTCAAAGGAAACGTATACCAGCCTGGCAGAACGTGGAAGAGTGTTTGCAATAAATGGTGAGTGTAGTTTTTGATCTTTTTATCCGAATAAAGTGTACAGTTGACGCATATTTCTGAATCTTTATTATTATTTTTTTTTAATCTAATTCTCAGCAGTCTGGGGGAAAATCACTTGTCATGGCATGCAATCATGTTTCAACTATGACAGTAAAACATCCCCAGTATTACATGTCTTAGTGTCTAGAACTTGGGCAATTATTTTGGTTGGTTTCTCAATTTATCAACATTTTTTTCGTCAGTGTCTGCAAAAAAGGAGTCGCTGAATGCACCGACGAAATCTGTACAGGTAGGTACAAAAATACATCGCTATTTAGAGGCAGTTGATATTACTTTAGATCCGTGCTTATTATCCTTCCTCTTTAAAAAAGAAGGATAAAGAATAGGAAGCTATTCCAACATGCGCCGTGCATTATTCATTGGAATAACGAATCATGACGAACAGACACTCTTATTCCCACCAAATGACACATTTAAAATATATTCCACAATTTCCTGTATAAAAAAATGTTAAGGTAAGAATTACGTATCGCCCTACACTTTTCTAAAGCACAGGTTCTTAACATGCACCATAACAAATCGGATTTAAATGTGTAGTCGAAGACGCATTGTGTCCATTTGGAAATATATTTAAACCTGTTTTGACAGCAATATGACGTATTGTTTTCATTCAAAATGACGTTTTGCTCTCCTGAGTTTTCTTTTGTTTTAAATTTCAGACAGCACACAGCTAACAACTGTAAAAAATAAAATAAAAAAAAATAAAAGAGTTGTTCGAGAATGCTTACTTAAGGTACATTTCTTAAACAACCCGCAAGAGCTAAATTATTGTCTGACAACTAATAATTTGAACGAAAAATGCTTTAAAATATCCGGAAAACCTATATTAATTGTGGTATTTAAATGTTGGTGGTTTCGTTTACAAATGACAGCTGCTGGAGAGGAATGCACAGGCACTCAAGAGTACATTGATTGCCTGGAATGCCAGCGTGAATGCACCAACATCCATCTGGCCTGCAATGCCAAGACTTGCACCGCGGGATGCGGGTGCGGCGTGGGCAAAGTGCGGAACGAGGACGGGACGTGCATGGACGAGGATCAGTGCCCGTGCTACTACAACGGGCACAGCTACCAAGTGGGCGAATCGTTCAGGAAGGACTGCAACTTATGGTAAAAACAATCCAAGCCACCCTGTACGTGGTGATCAAAAACACACGAAACCCTGATGTCAGGACTATTGTTTTTAGTGAAGTTCTGCATGTAGCACTCTCAAAATCTAGAATATAAAAGCCCAATTCATAAGCTTTCTTTTAGTAGAAAAATCATTCAAATCACTCATGTACTTTTCAAGTTATAGAACTTCAAAACGGTGGTTGGCTTTAAAATCCCAAAACTTGAAAAGTACATAAATGATTTGAATGATTCATGTACTAAAAAAAAGCTAATTAAGTGGGCTTTTATATCCTAGATTTTGAAAGTGCTACATGCAGTACTTCATTACAAAAATTGGTCCGGCTATTTGGGTTTCCTTTATTTTTACTCACTCTGTATAGTAAAATATAAAAGTGATGCATTGAGTTTTCTAGATTGTGTGCGTAATTCAACACAAGACCTTTTTGTTAATTCAGCCTCTTTGTTTTTGCATGCAAAGGGCCGACTATGACAATCCTCATATCTTGATATGTGCACGCACAGTTGATATAGGCCGACCGTACTGACTTCCACGACAGCTTAAACCAATATCTTTACAAGTCAATTCATTAACACAATTAAAATACATCAAAATTATGAAAGTCTTCTTTCCTTTTCCCCCCAGCGTTTGCACACCATATGCTATTTATTGCCAGAACAAGGTTTGTCCAGGTTAGTATTGCTATACAAAAGGATATTAAGATCGCAAAAATTAATTGCAACATGATCATTGATATTTTTCTGAGTCACCGCTTTGATTATACCGTTTAAGTCTAGAATCAATTTACGAAAACAAAATGTTAATTTTAAAAGGATCTTAACAATACCCTTTCTTACCACTACAGCTACCTGCAGAGGTTATGGGGATCCCCATTATGTGACATATGACGGTAAACAGTATGAATTTCAAGGTAAGCCTGTTAAAAAAAGTGTTTGTAATGATTTTAAAAGCAAAATTTTATAACACTTCCAAGTCCTAAACTCTTTGACGGGAAGGCGTGCTATACATGGAATAAAAAACAAACATTGAACAGTTTTAATTACATGTATTTGTTTTCTGAATGTAGCACTTTTTCGGGCACATTCTGTATAATCTCAGGGAGTCTGAGATGGTCTTTGGAATGTTTAACATGCCAAATGAGCGGTAAATGAGGGCAGTTAAATGCTTATATTGTGACCTCGCTTTGGGCAGGTTTAAGGCACATAACAGGATCATTTGCATTCATCCCAAAAGTCATCTAGCGAACTATCAAAATGCTTATATATGGACTAAAGAAATCAAGAAACTTACAAGGTGGTTTCTAACGATTAGTCAATTGACCGATCTTTGCAAACAAAGAGTTTTATTGACAAAATCGTGTTCCGATATCAAAATATTGTGCATGGTTTTTCATTGTTTTCTCGAACAGTGTGATATCCACTGAGCTGAAACTTTAATAGGTTAGGTTTTGAACATTCCTCTTTGGATATCGAGTGATGTTATTAGTAAACCAAAAAAAGAAATGCATGAAAAGCAAATAATCTTATATGCATTGAAGCAAAGATGCAGAGGAAGTTGAAAATAAGTACAGATGGTTCGAAAAAACTACTCTGAAAGAAACGGAGATTATAATTTATTACGCAACATCATTTCAGGGGATTGCAGCTACGTCCTCACCAGCAACAACTGTGGCACGGGCGACACTGGTGATGTAAGCTTCACCGTGATCGTAGAGAACGTGCCTTGCGGGTCAGGCAAGGTGACCTGCACCAAGGCCATCACCTTCCTCCTCTTGGACGTAGAGATCCGATTGATACGCGGCGATGACCCGCTTGTCATCCCAGCACCGCCTGCTCCAACTCAGGCCGTCTACAGATTCGTCTACAGCGGGATCTTCTTCATCGTCAACACTGGTTACGGTAAGAAGTCAAGTGCACTTTCAAAAACATCAAGCCCTGAAATTGTGGAAGTCTTTTGAAAATCCTTGAATAAGGCACAATTATTTTGAATCACAATTTAAATGACAGAAACCGTGCCCAAAGTAAAAATGAACCTGAACAGTGCTTTCCTGAAATGACATCACGGCAACTGCGCCCTCAGTTGTCCGGAAAAGCATAGACAATTTAAAATAAGTGCAAGTTTCAATAAAATTGACCAAAAAGGGATGCCAAATAGTTTACATACATTTAAGAGGAGTAGAAAGGAAAAAAAATCATTGCATTGCCCGTTTAATGTACAACGCCATGGTCCAGTGGTTACGGTGTTTGACTCGTGTACGAAGGTGCGTGGGTTCGATCCCTGCCAGAAACAAGCTGTTTGTGCCCTTGGGCAAGACACTTAACTACAATTGCCTCTCTCCACCCATGAGTATAAATGGGTACCAGTGAGGGTCGAGGACCGATTGAGCGCTGATATCGGCTGCCGCGTGGTCCCACGGCCTGATGAACGGGAAAATAATTGTAAAGCGCTTTGAGATTGTTGATAAAATTATGATGAAAAGCTTCATATAAGCACAATTATTATTAATTATTATTATTTAAGTCAGAAGCATCAGTTAGTCAGTGAGATAGTTACAGAGAGGACACTAGACAGACTCTTACATATAATTTATTTAAATCAAACTGTCACTGTGCAGCTTCATTTCATCCTCGATTATCTAAACCTTTTTTTCGCCAGGCATTACATTGATGTGGGATTTCGGCACGTCGATTTATGTCACCTTAGACGGGAAGTATCAAGAAACGGTCTGCGGTCTCTGTGGCGATTTTGACTGCAATGCCGAGGACGACTTTAGGTCCCGCTCGGGTGAAGTTGAAGCCACAGCCAACATCTTTGGGCACAGCTGGAAGACGGACGAGAGTTGTAAACTGCCGCCGGATATCATTCATCCGTGCGAGGAACACCCGGAGAGGAAGAACTGGGCGGAGTTTGCCTGTGGAATTATCAAGAAACCCATCTTTGAACTCTGTCATGATTTGGTAGGTTCCAGTTAGTTGTAGTTTTGCGCAGAGGCTAAAACCCCGCCCAATAAAGACAGTTATGGCTGACTCTCTAGAGCACCTGTTGTAAGGATTAATTTTCCAACTAAGCTCCGTTACTCTACTTTTTTTCCAGGATTGCCAACATTCCAAGAAAATGCAGAATTCCTCTTGTTCATTTTTCATGATAAGTTTTGTATTTTCAAAGCTTAAATGTAATAATACGACTAAGCTCCCCTACAATTCAAAACTTCCATTCCTTCGACCGAGCTTTAGTTGAACTTCTTTTTTTTCTCCAATATTGTCCATAAGGAAAAAGCGAATAATTATACTGATACCCGATGTTGTACTACTCTAGCTTTTCATCAGCTTATCACCGTTTCTAATTACCTATAGGCCTACCGTGGCAGCATGATACAATTAAAACGAACTCAAGCTGTTACTGATTGGATACATTGTAACGCTACGCACGAACGCATTTTGTTAGATTTAAAGAACAAAGTGTTAGTTAATGCTGCTGTTCTATTAACAGTGGAATATGCAAGTTGTTTTAATTCAAAACACTTTGTTTCAAGAGGACATGCAATTTCTCACTTGACCCACTCACTCACTCATCTCCAACCCTGTAAGGATGTGGGAGACGTTAGGGATGTGTACGCTGTCAGCCGTCTCCAAAAATGAAATAATAATGCAAAACCATAAAGAAAGTAACTGGCACACTGCTTAGAGATCGTCATTTCATTGTGGATTTGGCCAATTGATGCAGGCCTATAGATCGCAGGAATGTTTTTTTGGTAATCCAGATTGATCCGACCACATACTACGACAACTGCGTCTACGATAGCTGCGGCTGTGACCGGGGCGGCGATTGCGAGTGTCTGTGTACGGCCATCAGTGCCTATGCCTCGGCCTGCAACTCCGTGAACGCACCGGTACCTTGGCGATCTGACGGAAATTGCGGTAAGTTACGCGCCTACTCCGAACAATTGCCTGGGTTAATTTTACCCAAGCAAGGGTGAAAGCTGCAACTACCCCAAAATTGGATGGTGCTTTTCCCAACTGTTTGGGTTAGAATATGGGTTAAATTCAACCAAAACTTGTGGTCATACAAGACCCAATTAAATTTAGTCTGGTATGACCAGTCTGGTATGACCAGTGTGCAAACCAATTTGCATTGGGCGGCCCTCACTGAGGACAGGTTGATACAACTGATAATGTAGTAACCAACTGATAACGTTTCACCTAAACCATAATGTAACACAACATTGACCGATGGTGTAGTAAACTGTACTACACTATCGGTCAATCTGTTCGAAATTCCGTAATTACATAAGTACATAAGTGATTTGAATGATTCTTGTAATAAAGGTAAGCTCATTGATTTGGCTTTTATATCCAAGATTTTGAAAGTGCTACAGGCAAAACTTCATTCAAAAATTGGTCCTGCCATTTTAGGTTTCGTTTTTATGTAATCACCCTGTATATAGCTTGGAGTTCTGATTCAGAGTCCTTGCCCAGATGGTTCCAAACCCCGTTGACGCAGAAGCTTGCCGCAACATTGTTAAAACACATAGGTCACATTTAGCTAAGGCCACCCCAATTTGTTATAGTGTAATCTTACAGCTATTTAGAAGGATCAGTTCGTTATTGAAAGCCCTATAATACTCACGAGTAGAGTGCCAACCGTGCCATCTTTGTGTGGACCTGACAAACAAAACAGGTCCACACGATGCGGGTTATGTGAACCTTCTGTGGACTAAGCCTGGTCCACACTAGGTTTCCCCCTCTCTGAAAAAAACCCAAACTGGTATAGAACACTTTGGGTTTAGGGTTATATGTCGCAAAATGAAGAGGAACACTCAAGGAAATCATGAAAAGAAAATGGGTTGAAAGGGTATTCACAGTACAAGTAAAATCAGTACTTTTCCCCTGTTTTATTCTAAACGAAGACAAAAGAATGTCCACACTATGATATATGTAAGGTAGGCCTGTGTGGACGACTTGAGTATCCGATTGTTCTACTGATTTAAACATGTTTTGTTTTGATCATCATAGTCCATATTTATTTAATTTTTCAATTTCCCAGGTCTTCAATGTGATAACGGCATGAACTATCAGCCGTGCGGGGAAGTCTGTCCCGATACGTGCTACGTGGAGGAGACGTCAGCGAACAGTGGCTGTGAAGTCTCTTGCGTGGAGGGCTGCCACTGCCCAGAAGGATTCAAGCTTTACAAGGGGGAATGCGTCGACGTTGTACGGTGCCCGTGCTTGTACAATGGCCAGGAGGTGAATCCTGGCTTTGTTATCATTGTGGATTGCGAGCGATGGTAAGTGACAATTTATTTATTTATTTTATTTCTTTCTGGTAATGAAACCAATGATTCCTCAAAAGTGCCCTAGGCACTGTAGCTCGAAATCCTGAAGACACCTGTATAGAGAGAAGACAATGAGAATAAATTACAGTTTTTAGAGGTGGGAGGAAAAGCCCAGATGAATATTTTGAGGAAACCCGCGGAATCAGGTAGGGACTGAAAACCCAATCCACATTTTGGCCCAGTTGGGATTCAAATACGGGTCACAGCGGCGAAAGGCGAGGAAAGTACAGCTTTGCCAACCTGACTCTCAGTTTATGGTCGACAGAACACGACACATTTTAACTAATGTGTCCAAAGACAACTTGACCTAACTTGTCAGAGATTGGAAAAAAGCTTTACAAACCAGTGAAGTAGACTTGTAGTTGACTTACTGTCTAATTTGGAGCAATTCACAGTGCAGCGCGGTACGAAGAGTTTGCAACGGAGAGTTCATTTTTCCCGATGTATTGTGGACAATATTAGTTTTTCAGATCAGTAGTTTTGTAAGCAACACTGATTCAAGTATATGCTTGCCCTTTCTTTTCTTTTCATCAATACGGTGGGATTTTTTTGTAAGGCGGCAGAACGCTTTGCCCCAATCTATCACATCTCATTGAATACCTGCATGGTGAGTTGACTTTTGACGGGATGACTTGTGGTTCACTTGTTTAGAACAATGTTTGTCACGAGGATGGGGGCAAGGGGGCGCTCACCCCCCCCCCTCCGCTCCCTAAAAGGCAACAAAAAAGGAGAAAAATAGGTGCAAAAACAGTTATATTGCTGTTTAACGCACATTTAATGACATGGACGTCTGCAGGGATGTCAATGGGGATGGGGTGGCCGGCAAAGGACCCCCGCCCACCCTCGAAAACGAAAGATAAAGTGAGAATATCCTATACAGAAAGTACAAGGATTTAGAGAAAAAATGTGCTTTGCCCCCTCCCCACTCCTCTAGAAAAAAAATCTTGGCCAAACCCATGTGTAGGACTTGTGATGGTGTATAATCCATCACAAGGTCTTCTTCTACAACGTTGATTGGATCAGCTAAACAGACCACACTCAGTTTGATTTTTGACCTTGATGCTGTATTATTGTTAGAATACCTATACTATATGTATATCGAACTAGGGAAAGGACTGTGATTCCCTCTGTCGCTAGAGTTTCATTACGTTCAATGTTGGTTGCACAAATGACACCAAAACCAAACAATATTAATATAATTAACTCATATTATGGTTCACTCCTCAACCTATAGCTAACGCAGAGTTAAAACTTGTTCACCAAGGTTTCAGAGCTGTCAATTGGCCACAGTAGTCTGTTTGCGCATTATACAGTATTTTCCCAAAATAATTGTCCGTCTGACTATTTTTAATATAACTACAAAACCAATAAGAAAATTGTGAAATGTTTTAAATGTGCAGATACTCCTTATCCTTGTTTTACACCTTTATGAGTTTCATTCCATCACGCCTCGCTGCTCAATGGTCAAATGATCACAACAACATTTTCAGATAAGAAGTATGTTCATGGTTTTGCAGCTATTTCTAAAATAGTCAGACGGACATTTTTTTGGGGTGGGGCGGGGACGTACTGTTGTATAACCGGCAGGCAGTATTCATGAATGTCCTTCTCTGTGGTTGACCGCAATGTAAAATAGGGCATTTTTATCGTCACAAGAAATGGAATCTTTAGAGAACATGAAAGATTAATTGACGTTGTTTAAGTATGCAGATACAACTTTGTCCATGTACACTATTCAGTGATTTTTAGATGTAATAATTTTCCCTGGCAACTATATTTTTGTAGTGAATGCACCGATGGTGATATGGTCTGTACTGACGAACCTTGTACAACACCAAGTGAGTTAATTGTTTTTTTTTTTTTTAAATGATTTAAGGTTTTAATTGACTCGTTTAGTTTTGGGTTTCGAACTATTGTTGGTACTATCTTGGGCTGTCCTAACATCATTTTTGCCCATTATACACCTTTAACAATAGTAATCTACGAAACCGTCACATCGTAATTGATTGCTAATTGTAAGCTAAAGGTTTGGACTACAATAATATGTTTTCTCAGAGAATAACAAGTAGACGCACAAAAAATATTCATTTTAACGAGATAATGACATATATCTTCCCAACTAACATATTCAGCGTAAAGTTGACATTGCTTTTATAATTTTCCTTGAGCACCAAATCTTCAAACTGTGTTTTCTCAAATTCACAAAACCCGCTAACGACCTCTTGGACCACGAACCATTTATTCTTGTGGGTGTTTTACCCAAACGTTACGAGTGTTACGAGCCTTACACCATTCACCTCTCCCCCCCCCCCCAGTGACTACTGTGAGTGTCACCCCACCATGCACCTGCCCACCCGACGAGTTTGCATGCCGTGACTGCTCCGCTTGCCTGCCCTACGAAGAAGTATGCGATGGTGTGAGCAACTGCCAGGATTCCTCCGATGAAGAGAACTGCGAGTGTGTCTACGGAGACAAGGTTTATCCGGTAAGGACCCAATTGCCTAATGCAAAATCATCAGCAATTAAATACGTGTAAGCATCGGGGTCCCGTGGTTTCGGTGTGTTCGCGGCCGATGGTACGTTGGTTGGCAGTTCAACCCTGATGGGAATATGGTGCTTGTGTTCTTAGGCAAGACACTTTACTGCAATTGCCTCTCTCCTCCCAGCAGTATACATTTGTACCTGTGAGCGTAGAGCCCGGATTGCACTGACCTCGAGCTACTGCCTCATGAGCATGGGTAATTAGTTGTGAAGCGCTTCCAGATTCTGGTATAAAGCGTTATGTAAGGACCACATCATTACTTATAGTATTCATCTCTTGACATGATAATTCTCAATCCCAAACATTATTTTGTGACCTACATCCTCCTCTGCTATACCAAAACAACGAACCTCTGACATCCAACCTTTATATGTGGTGATTAATGTTATTTGTTTTTCTTTAAATAGATTGACGTACCATTTGACGGAGATGGTGCCTGCGAGACCTGCAAGTGTCCAATCAACACTACGACACCGACATGTGAAAACATTTGCACAATCACCTGTCCTCCAGTAAGCTCTGATTTTTGCAAAAATGCAAATTCGCATAATATTGAATTTTCCTTGCAAATTATGCATTAACGTGCCATTGATTTCCAAAAGAAATGAAAGGGGGGGGGGAAGGACTGGCTATGATGACGTCAGTGCAATTCTCTTTATGGGCTCAAAGTTTGAATAATTTGAAACTTGCTTTTATATGTTCACAGTACGAAAAGATTTACCTCAATGAGGATGACCCGACCAAGTGCTGTGAATGCGGACCATTGATAGGTGAGAACGAAATGTGTCGGAAGTTTTGGTGTGCAGTTGTCTTAAGTCCAGAGATGTAATCGAGTCACTCATGACTCATTCAAAAGTCAAAATCTCATATTAATCACAGATCAGGCCGCAACTGAACAGAGCATGAACAATGACCATGGAATGTCTGAGTTATGGCTCGTTTGCATGGCTTGTGGCACAACGTAAGATTAAATGACTTGCTATGACTTCTTGTGACTTGTTGTGACTTGTGATTGACTTGATAACTGAGCTGTGTGCCTCTCGTTTTAAATAAAACTTCTGTTTTTCCTCAAACAAACCAATTTACAGATTTGGTTGTTGTTTGATAACAGACACAGTGTATTATAAATTCCCCGTAAGTCGCATTCGGTACTTTAAACCATGTTCTCGCTCTCTAACATATGTTACTATATCTTCTTCTTTTTCAAATAGTTCCCACTACACAACTTGCAACTACAGCAGGTAAGTAAAGACAAATAATGTAAAACTATACATTGAGATACCAGGGGTGATTGATAAGTTCGTGGCCTAAAACACTTGAAATGTTTATTGTTTTTTATGTTTTAAATATCGGAAGAGTTAGACATTTTAAAAGAATATCTAGGTTCACCTAAAGCAAAGCAAAAAAAAAATAAACACTGGAAATGTTTATTGCTTTTTTATGTTTTAAATATCGGAAGAGTTAAGCACTTTAAAAGAATATCTAGGTTTCACCTACAATTAAACAAAATTTTTAAAGGGGTTTATATGTACCTATCATTATGTCTATAGCATTTGTTGCACTCGGACACAAACACAAGGAAAGAAGAGATGTTATCTGAATCGATAGAAAACAAGCCTTATTGGATGATTTTTGTGCTTTAGTATGTGAAAAAAACCCAAATAACTAAACAAAAACTCTACCACCTACGCTTTTACAATTTATCATTTGCTCAATATGCTGTACATTTCATCTCAACGATCAGTAATTGTAGTCATTATGGACATTCGTGTCATATTATTTTATTTGCCCCCTTTTAATATTCAAAGCATCAGGAATTCAAATCGAAGCAGTGTTTTTATGTATTACATTCCCTTCATGTTTCCATTCTCAGGAACTACCATCCGGACTACAACTCTCACTCCCAAACCGATCTGCGAGGACCAGCTGGACGAATACGAACACGTCCAGGTTGCTCGTTACAACTACCCGGAGAACCCAACACAGTTGATCCTCCCCACGGAGTGGTGGAGGCCAACCACCCCAGCCAGCTATGAAAATCCCTACGTTGGCTCACATCTAGAAGTGCGCTTCACTCCCAATGCACGGGTCACCTACGTGACCGTGGACAACGACCAGGACACCTCGATGACCATTCAGCTCAGTTTCCAGTACTCGCCAGACGGGCAGCACTTTGGCACCATCGACAACGGCTACGAGGCCATTTTCACCGGCAAGACAGGAGAGAGAATCGCCCTGCCGGACAACGTCCCTTACATGGTGGTTTTGTGGGTGTTCGTGGTAGAGAGTACAAGTATACCGGACGGCATGGGGTTCAAGGTGACGCTCTACGGCTGTGAGAAGCCCGGTAAGTTTAGGGACCATAATCTCTAGGCAGTGTCTGCTGTATGTAACCCAACACTTTTTAACGTCCCGTGTAAGATTGACCAGGATATTGGGTTCTTTTTTACCTTTCCAGGGTCAAACTTGGCACATCCCAGGGTCAAAATGACACGTTTCTTTTTCAATTTGCCGTTAAACCTTAGTAAAAGTGTCTGTTTGACCATGGAAAGGGTCAAGCCAACTAGACTCCTGATTCTTGGCCACATCTGACCAGGGACTTTTTAGATTTTAGAAGTGGGTAAAGTGCTTTTGCTGCAATATTCACGGTCCTCGTAAATATGCAAGTGGAATCAGACAAATTCAGTCAGTTTTGTGAGATTCGAATCAAAAGAAAGTTGAGTACGATTGTTAGTTATAAAGTAGGGGGCACTCAATGCGTTTCGTCTTACTTTTGAAACAATATACACAGCTCTTATCATTCGTTCGAAATCTGAGCACGGGCAGGACACTAGAAGGCACAGTGTCAAGGGGTCCCAACACTTCTAGAACATTAAACACTGCTACAAGATAAAAGAAAAGATATTTTTCTTGGATCCTACTTAACCACTGATTTTTGTTTAAGTCAGTGGCAATGATTTTAAAACCTAAGATTGGGATTTGATTTAATGAGGTTTCATTGTCTCTCTTTTTCTTTTCCAAAGTATCAACCCTGCCCCCGCCGACCACCACAGCGCCGGCTCTCATCACCACCACCGAGGTGTGCGTGGACGACCTGGATGTCTACGGCTCCCTGTCCGTCCTGCGGTTTGACTCCGTCTCGGAGACTCAGTATCCACCCAACACTCCCTGGAGTCCGATCATCGCCAACACGGACGACGCGCCCTACGGTGGCGCGGCGCTGGTAGTTTTCTTCATTCCCAGCGTCCAATTGACCTACTTCGTCATCCAGGTAAAGGTTCCTATTTTACCTGAAACTCCAGTGAGGAATGCACAATTCGGGCGATTCACAATGCATTGCGCCACCAAGGGTTAGCCGTGGAAAGTCATTTGTTCAAGTTTACGGGCAACAAAACATTACATGTCCCATTTGAATGAGTCTCGGTAAACAACTATTTTGTTATAGCTTGGGGCTCTGCCACCTTACAAAAAAAAAACATATGGATAAAAAGAAAAGAAAAGGGCAAATGGTTAATTCATACCCCTACAAAACTACTGACCGGAAAACTAACAATTTCAAATGTCCCGAGCTGCGAATTTGTCGATCAACTCCCACAACGCACTGGGAGAAAATGAACTCTCAGTAGCAAACTCTTGGTGGCGCACTGCATTATGAATCGCCCGAATTAAACAAGGGGTAATTCAATGTTTTAACCCTAAGGTATCACACAGAGCCCTGCTAAACCATTTAAACCTTAAATTACCGCCTTTGTAAATTTGCATTCTCTCCTGACCAAAGATACATTTTGTCAGAGTGACACCTCTCTTGATTTTTTTCTGACCACTGACCACTTGGGTCCTAGCTGTATGGTATCATATTCATGATACGTTTTGTATAGTGCAATAAGTATCTGTACCGATGACATCACACTTTGTTTACTGTGTGCTTTCCTATGGTGCTCAATGGACCGAGGGCCCCCACTGGCTCCATAGGAAAGTGCACATGTAAACAAAGTGTGACGTCATCAGTACAGAGGCTTATTTAGTATCCATTCACACATTCAGAGCATTGCTTCGGGCGTCAGCCAAGTCAAGGTGGCCATCAAAGTGAAACTGCCCAATGAGGATAGGTTTAGCGAAGTCAACTGGGACGTCGGCAGCCGCGTGCTAAGCGTTACCTTCGGGGAAAGGATATATTTGCCATCGGCCATCCAATACGTCAGCGGTATCCAGATCCATATCATTTCGTCAAACACTGAAGACAGCTACCTTTTCAAATTCCACGGCTGTGCAGGTGGGTAGTAGATTTTTACTGTTTTTTATCCCCCTGGCTGTAAGCCGGTGTGGACGTGCGTGTGTGTGTTATGTTTTGGTTAGGTCAGCGAGATAACTTGAGAAATACTGTTTTTTAGGAACATCAGTTATATGAAATCATAAAGCTTGAAGTTCACGTACCAGAAAATGTGCCATTTCAGATTTGGTTTTCAAAATAATAATTATTTGCAACCAAGCAGGAGAAAATGTAAGTACATGTATTAAGGGTCATATTTATGAAATTGGTTCACATAAAAAAATGGTCAAACAACACACCTGAAGTAATCTGCAATTATGTTTTTTGTTCACTGTTATAGCACCAGAATTCACGACTCCGTTGACTACTCGGGTAACTACCCAAGAGCTGACCACGACTCGGGAGCCCTGCACGGATAACTTAGACAACTACCAGCCGGTCATCGTCATCCGAATCGACATGGACACCGTCACTTACATCCACCAGGACACCGGCTTCAAGCCGGACGACCCACCGTCGGAGGACAATCCGCACAACGGGTCCCACGTGTTGGTCGTCTTCTGGCCGGCTGCCGAAGTGAGGTATTTCACTGTGACGGCCGAGCACGGGAACCAAAAGGAAGTGACTCTCGCTTTGAGCTTCAAGGAGAGTGAGCCCGACGATACCATCCCTGTGTATAACGAAGACGGGTCGCCGATCTTCAACGTTCAGTCTGGTGCTAAGGTGCCGTTTCCAACTAACGTGACTTACGTTTTCCACCTGAAAGTTTACATCATCGACCCTAATCCCAGCAGCGTATTTCTCTTCACCTTCTACGGCTGCGAGCAGATACGTGAGTATACACTCATCCGACTTTGTTTTTGCAAAGTTCTCAATATGGTGTAACAAAATATCCATGCATTAAATAATTCAAGAAAGGATTTTAACCACTTTATGAGAACGTTGTAGTAGCACCATAAAACAATTAAGCTGGACACCATACACTTTTTAATGCCGCCTTAGGCATTTTAATGACACATTTTAATAGTGGCCGTATTATCACCATGAAGGGTGTACATGTAGTAGAACCACGAAGAGCTGCAGATGCCTGGGACACCACGAATGATTGCACTACCACCTTGAAGAGTTGTTGTAGCACCTAGTAGCACCTAAGGTCCCACAGTAACACTAAAAGTCCCATAGTAACACAATGAAGCATAATGAACAGTATATAGGTCGTAATATACTTACTTAACTTCGTACGTAAGAATAACTTGCAACGTTAAACGCTTAGGGATTTTAACACTTTCAAATATATTCTACCATCGTTCCAATAAACTCAACTGTACCTATATATTGATGTTTTCTACCAAACAGTGCCAACCACTACTCCACCTGTCGTGACAACCACGGCTCCAGGTTGGTCAAGTCACATTTTAACTGGCATAGTAGATCATAACAACGTGCATTATAGTTTTCAATATGTGCGACAAGATTAGGAGATATTCCAGGCTACTTTTCATACATCTTTTGTCCTACATATTGACCACTTATGTATATTGACACTCATTTTGGAGGAACATATATTGAGCGTCATTTGGGGAAATACTTTTTATATGTTTCCTTTCACTCTCTGAAAGTTACTTATTAAAAAGTGTATTTTATTCATCGCCTGTGTCGAAAAATCGTGTAAATGAACTGGATATAACGAATCAATATTCCTTGCAGTTATAGATGATTTAATCTTTCAAATTTGATTTATCTGTAACTTGTTTTTGCTTTGTCCTTTTTCACCAGTGACAACGCCGACGGTTACAGGTAACCCGTTGAACAATTTATACGTTTACTTTACTATGGGAAACGAAATAAAGACTCCTTAAGTGTTTCCCATGCGTTTTTTTTTTTTTTTTAGAGTCGTGTCACAATGGAGACACAGTAGTAACGTGTACGATGCAACTACCAAATGCTTATGAAAGAAACCCTTAAATAGCAGTGGCGTAAATCTGTGCCGGCGAGTGGGGGTTGGGAATATCCAAAATCCTTAAATTGCCCTGTCGTGGAAATTCGAAGGGGGGGGGAGGGGGTTGGACCCCACATGGTACTAGGGGGCGTTGTTTATGATACAGAAATGTACATCTTATGCAAACTTGAGCGCTTACAATACATCAAGAGGGTGCATTCAAAGCTTTTGTGCTGTTCGTTTTCCTGTTTGTCAGTGCTATTTGATACATTTAAGTTGTTAGAAAGTTCGAAAATAACCTTCATACCGGCATTTTTGGTTTCTCATTACAAACTCCTGGGGGAGGGGTAATCAAATTTTCCCCCTTCCCCTCCCCCCCCCTCCCCCCCCCCCTCGTCAAACGGTGGGGGGTATATCCTCTCCAACCCCGGGATTGAGGCCTTGCTATAAATATGGAAGATATTGTAATTAATTGTGAATCCTGCATTAAAAAAAATGCCCTTTTCACAATGCGATTTTAGCCATTTTAAAGTGAACAACAAATTGACAACTCCATTCAGGGTGAAGTGACATGGGCCATAATGGGTAATGTTGTCAAATTGTGACCTAGATTAGTCATGTAATAACTAATCCTAATACAATGCTTCTTTTAACAGAACCTGTAACGGGCGTGTTGAACCATACCGCAGCACTAACCACAAGAGCACGTAAGTATGACTCTAAAGCCTGCTGGAATTAATACATAATGTACCTCTTCCTGGCGCAAATGACGCCTTATTGGTTGCGATATCATCGTCTTCTACGAATGATTTGCAACAGCCAGCCGACCCCGTCAAGTTGACGTCTGCACTTGTAAGCAGGTGGTCTTGGCTTAGGATCCCACCCGAAGCTTGTGATATCATTCTCGCAATTTTTTGGACAACACAGTATACAGTGATTAAAGACATACGTAGGTGGGAGGCAAAAGTCATAACCAAAATAATGCCTACTTCATTTATTGAATGTTTCAACTTTGACCGTCAGCTATGATATGAGTTTGGAAATATATCGCAAGCATCTGAACAGCTTTCAATCAGAAAGACTAAAAAAAGACCGAAAACATGTCATTGGTTTACAGGTGCTTCCCATATGGATTTGAGTTCCATTCCTTGTATATGTAGATAAAATTTAACTACAAGGTTTCATTTTTACGCAACATTTATTCGTCTTCCTTTTTTCGTTTTGTCACGCTCATTAAAATACCAAGTGGCCTAAAAAAAAAAGAGGGCCACACATCCCTGAGACGAAATGACAGTACGCTTTGTTTACGTGTGCGCTTTCCTATCGGGGCCAAATGGGGACGAGAGCCACCCGACACCCATTGCAACGCATATAGAAAGCCTGACGTCATTATATCTCTGGGCTTTAAAATTAATATTTCAACTGTGAAAAACTTCGAATTCATTTACTTTTTTTCAGCATGCATTTTAAATTGCTTTTGCAATGAGGACTGTTACGGTGATGTGACATGTGCCCCGGACTTTTCGCCGTGCCCCCTGAACTGTTATTGTGATAACGAGGGTAACAAACCAGATTCCTTGGGCCGCTGCGTCACTGGACCGACTGGTTGCTCCAGTAAGTTAACATTAATTGACACAAGGCGCACTATGGGTAGGGTTGTACCAAATTGAGTGTGGGATCAACCAATCCATATACAATGCCATTAATAAAATGGTAACCACCATGTTAAATTGGTTGAAATTGCTCCGAACTGTTGCATTTTAACGACAATCATCTTATTTTTTCTCTTGTCGAAGTCCAGCATGACAAAGAAGAATTGAACCTATCGTGCGTATCACAAGCGAACCCTTTTTTGAGGAAGGCCGTTGTTACACGTATTTTTTTTCGTTTTGTTGCATTGGCCACAAACGTAACACCAAACGACTTTCCAGACAAACTGGTTTACGTTTTAATTACGTTGTTCTTTGATATTTCAAAAGCATACCTCTTGATATGACATACGCGATTGGTGAAGAACATCAGCACGGTTATAAAAGAATTCAATATGGGCTCCCAGTTGGTCAAGGCATATACTTCCAGTCTTTTAGTTGAAACGTTGTAGGAAGTATTTGTAATTCTGTGCATGGAATGCTGTATCTCGCAAGAAATGATTTATGGACTAGCTGCAAACCAATATGAATAGAGTTAAGCCAAATAAAACAGAGCCGTTCAACACAAGTAAGCAGGAGTTCGTGGGTTCGAGTCCCACTAGAGTAATTGTGTTCTCACCATCTCTAGGGACAACACTGACTACACAGTGTTTTAAACAAAAAATTCATCGGTGAAGGGCAAAACTGAATATTGAAGTTACATTATCTGACGCAAAGTCCATATTATGAAAACAGAGCTGCGTAAACGATTTTAGTTGAATGGACGATAAAGGTTTTATCTTTACTTCTCACGTAAACTATCTTTATATCCTCTATTGTTTAACTATTTTTGCAATGTGTTTTTCTAACAGCCGTTGCTCCGACTGCCACTGGTCCTGTTTGTGAGGTAAGCATTTGGTATGTTTTTTATACCTTCGAAAATATTTTCATACGTAAAAGTCGAGTGTAATAATGTCAAAAATATTTGCCTACCAAAATAAACAGCATGCAGTTCATGGAATTGATTGCGCTTGATTTTTTTGTCTTCACACCTTGTAAGACCGGAGCAACAATGATTCCAGATGACTGCCAGACGTGTGAGTGTATTGACAACGAGTATGTCTGCCACAAGGACTGCCACAAAATCTGTGCCGATGTGAGTAATACGTAATAGTGTTACATATTTTCCGTATGTCAAAGACTTCATACATTTTCCTCACTGTGACATGAAGAATACCAGTAACTAAGAATAGATGAAATGAATGTTAATTTTAGCCGTTGACGTCATTAGCTGCAATCTAAACATGTGAACACCAAATTGCGAGATGTTCAATGTTACACTGTCCTTAGGGACGATGTTGGTACTGACACAAGCCTGGCCAATGCAGTGCAATGATAAGGCGAACTGTGAAAAAGTACTCAACGGTACTCTTTGGTCTTCCGTTAAATGTTCTTGACGATCACTTATTCAGTATAAACATTTCCCTATGCCCCTAGTTATGAACAGGTGAAATGTATCTTTTCTTCCGTAGGATGAAGAACTTGTTGAATACGACGATCCACTTTTATGTTGCGAGTGTATCAGTAAGTTCATAGTCAGTCTTCGCTTTTCTTAAAGTTTGTGCATGATGCAGATCCTTTAAGCCGGCCTCGGGTCGACCTGCGATTTTTTGGCTTATCTCTGGAACGGTAAAACATCTATAGGTTAGTTAGGTTCCTTCCAGCCAGACATTCTAAAATAGGATAAGTAAACAATCTTTAAAAAAATGACATTTTCCGGGATTTCAGGCCGTAATGCCCCTTTAAAGAAGCACTTCAAATTATTGGTATAGATGTTTAAATATCACACGCTCAATCATTTAATGTGAAGAGCAAAAACAAATAATTGTATAGACGAATGTAACGAGGAATGTGTAATGTTTGATTCTTCACACTTTGCTGGCTCATCTTTTGTGAACCAATGTTCTTAAGTTCCACAAGATTTTACTCCATCATTATTTCTCCAAAAGGATGCAATGACTCTTACGCGCACTCCGAGGAACCAGAATGCTGCCAAAATGTCACTAACTGCCAAATACCACCAGAAGACTCTGGATCCGAGTATTGCAACGCTTGTAAGCCACCATATGCCTTCAACGGCACTCACTGTGTCTTACCCATCAACTGCCCTTGTTACACTGAAGATGGATTTTACCAGGTAATTCAGACTTAAAGCTATAATATGCAATATTTGCTTTTGCTGTAATTTTGTTTCAAATGGAAAGAAATGGGGGTTAGTATTATGTAGCAAATATTGTTACACTATAAAGCTGTTGTGCTTTTTTGATAAATTGTCTGATAAGCCATGTTTGCTTGGCTTTGTGGGTAGGCATTACATTCACTGTGTGGACTTCCGAACAAAAGAGGTCCACATAAACCAAGTAGAGGAGACGTTGTGTGGACTTGGGCAAGTCCACACAGTGTTTCCCCATTTCTGGAAAACAGGTTAAGAGGCATTTTTTGTTAGGTTTATCTGTGGCAGAATGAAGAGAAACACAAAAGGAATCATAGAAAAAATTGGGTCGAGAGAGTTTTCACAGTTTGAGAAAAATGAGTTTTTTTTCCACTGGTTTTTCTTAACTACACGAAAGCAGTGGAATGTCCACACTTTAGGCACACCTGTGATGTGCACTAACGGTAAAACTCTCTGTCTTTTGATAATTAATGTAATTTTCCTATCACAATTTTTCTTACTGCACTGTATCCCCTGCTGAACATTCTAAAAGACAATACTAAGATTCGCACATTTTCATTTTCCCCTTATGTAAAACAGAATGGTGAAAGTTGGGATAAGAGCTCCTGCCAAACGTGCGAGTGCGTAGACAACAGCATCGTCTGCAGCAACAAAACGTGTGATGTGGTCTGCGGACCGGACGAAACAGTAGCCCCTCCAGATGATGATCACGAATGCTGCTTCTGCAAACGTAAGGTCTTCTTTTCTTTTCTTTTGGACATGATTCAAAAGAAGTTACAAACAGAAATATTCATTCGTTTTTGCTAGGACCCAGTCGAGTACTTTGAAGTTTCCAACAAATAGGTTCAGTTGGGACTAGGAACATAGCATATTTTTCATGAATGTTATTTCTTATTTTTTCGTCTACTGTTTTAGCGTGCGTCGGATGCTACTATGTGCCGCAAGAAAGATGCTACGAAGTAAGCAATGTTACTCTTTGAGACGTCTCCCATATATTCTGGAATGTTTTGTATTCTTCTGAACAAAACTGTTTGATAAATGTGTTTCTTTAATGATGAGTCTACATATTTCCCCATTGCCCATTGCAACATTAGGTTTCGATGCTACATATCAAAATGAATACTTCTTTCCGCAGGTAAACTCTACTTGGCATGACGACCTGTGCCGTGAGTGTTCATGTGAGAGTCCCACACCGAACGAGTACTTCATGAAATGCTTCACCATCGAGTGTCCCGATCTCACCTGCCCACCTGTACGTATTCTTATCAATTTTGAAAGCATCCGTCCAAGAAGCCAGCTATTTTTTTTCTCATTTTTGTCATGAACGGTATTAGTTCAAATAATTAGGAAACTCTCACAATCTTGATATAACTTTGGAAAATTGTGTTGTTATGTAATAAAACCCATTTGAAGGTAGCCCTACTAGAACTGAGACCTGATGAGGTTACAGTTTATTTACATATGCACTTTCCTATGGGAGCGAAGTCGGGACTCCAGACGAAGTAGGGACCGTCTACCAAATAGGAAAGCTCACATGTAAACAAAGCGTGACGTCATTAGGTCTAAGGCCTATTCACTTGAGCGACTACACTTTCAGCAAGCTGTTGTTGATGTAGAGTGTTAACATTACCCTGGATGTTTGTTAATGTTTTCTTTTCTTTCTTTTTTGGCCGATTTGTTTGGAATTGTTAGGGCTATGTGATTGTACATGACGATGACGAGTGTTGCCCTAAATGTGAAATAGAGTGTCCCAATGCGCATCTCTGCAACTCATATGACTGCATCCCCGACAAATGGCTGTGCGATGGGGAGGAAGATTGTACAAATGGAAACGACGAATTAAATTGTGGTATGAATATGAAGTGTGTTTGATGTAACCATTTGCCGACCAAAACAATGGGGATGACAACATTGTATCTCACTAACACGCTCCTCAAGTCCCCGGTCAGGTCCCACCCAAATAGTGATCAGAAGAGAAACACGTCTGGGTCAATTAACACGGAAGAGTGTCGTTTATATCAAATTGGAACCCAGATTCTAGAACGAAAATGACGTGTTGTAATGAAGCATAACAACATGAACGAAGGCAGCAATGAAACATGATTGGCGTTACATAGATTAGGAGGGCTTCATCCCATGGCGATGAACACGTAAATGTACACGTAAATGTATGCTCTTCCCATCAGTTTATTTTTTGTTTATAGCTCTTCAGTGTCAAAGAAGTAGCAGCAACGAAAAAAGTAGAGTGGGTCTGGAACATCGAACCCAAAATCTGTTGGCAATTGGGCAGATTGAGGGTCCAAGTTTAACGTTGGTTTGTTGTGAATGTGTCCTTTGGCAAGACACTTTGTCACTAATTACTAATCTCTACCCAAAAGTAAGATGGTACCTGAGAAGGTAGAAGTGATTACTGTGATTTATTGTTTCTGCATTGCGCCAAAATAGCATCAATAACCTGTATACATAGAGTATCTTTGTGCCATATATGAGTAACAGCCTTTTTTCTCTTATTACAACAGCCACAACCGGACCTCCCCCTACCACAGCAAAGACTACAACACCGCGTAAGTCTGTCAATTGTGTTGAAATAAGGGAATAAATGTGTGCTTGGCTGGTTTTAAACACTCTGTTGACTACCGGTTGGAGTGTGGATGCTGATAATTACCCGAGCAAACAAAACACACAAAAACTTGTCCGGACAGTCAAATAAGTCAAAAATTATACATTTCTAACATTTTTTTTCAATAATAATTTTGCTTCATATTTGTTTAAACACCCATGTAGCTTTTTGATGGTAGTGTCCATGTCGTACTTAACTCCTAATATGGAGATTGGCGCGCACAATGCGCGATGTCGCACAGAACGCAGCTGTGCGCAGGTGAAGTGTGAATTATTAGGCCTATGAAATATTGACTAGTATTGTGCATGCCTACGTGTGCATTGTGAACGTTCAACCAAACTGTAACTAAAAGGCGCCGGGTTTCATAGGAGACAAAATGTCATCTGACAGTGGAGAAGTGTTTAAGACCAGCCAGCTGGTCGTTATCAACCATTTAGAACCGGCCAGGTGACCGGCTCTCGGCCAATAGGAATGGGTAATTTGTCTTATGTATTTATGAATATCGGTGATTGCCAAGTTCCCTTTAGCTAATAAAACGTTCCGCCCATTAATCTCTAAACATACCAAAAGATCTATGAAAGCTGTAGTATGGTAATTTTGAAGAAACCAATGTTCTAATTAATAGTGAAGATGTTGAAGTCCTCACTCACACAATAAGATTTTAGAAGTTAAAGAAGATTCTAGAAGTTTTCTGCCGTTCTTGTACGTGTCTCATGTTGCTTACTTTTACGCACAATGTTGCTGTATATCCTAGAATAACTGAGCATTAGCATTGTAGCAAACCCCTACATGACTTGCTGTGTTCGGACTTTCTCGCTTTCAGGACCAATAACAACTGTTCCAACCACTGTGGCGTTCACTACTCATGCTCCAACAACGACAGGTGTGGATTTATGTCAGAATCTTTTCTAAGACGTATTTTTTGGGGTCTTTCTTGTTTTTTGACTTCACGGAAACGAGAGGCGGTAGGGTAACCGGCAAGAAATGAAAAAAGCTATGCTATTGCTGAAACTGGAATTATTAACGTTTTTGTTTCCTTAACGTTCTTTCAATTTACCCTGGTTAAAAAAAGTGATAACGTTTGAAGGTGAAGTAAATATATGCTCGTTTCATTATGTGTCATGAATTACAATTTATTTTTTCTTATTTTTTCAGAAATATTACCGACAACACAGCCAAGTGAGTATTGTTGTTATGCTTCAAAAGATGGACCAAAAAAGTATGGGGGAACATCTGTGGGCTTTAAATATTATAATTGCAAGTTTGTCATAAACATAAAACATATATCACTCAACTTGTACTAAAATTGTGTATTTTAAAACGAGTTTTGGCAACGTTAACAAAATGGTCGGTGTGCTTAACTAGGTATAGACCCCACTTTGAGGGTATTTTTTTCGGGGGGGGGGTAGGGTTATGAACTTCAAAAGTCATTAAGATAAGATTGTAGATAACGGAGCATCAATAATCCTCTGTACTGATGAAGTCACACTTCGTTTGCATGTGCACTTTCCTATGGAGCATGTTGGGGCCACCGGTCCACCAAGCACCATAGGTAAGCAAACGCACAAACAAAGTGTGAAGTCATCAGTACAGAGGCTAATTGAAATTCTTTTCTTTAGACATTGTTTTTTGCTACATTCAAACTTTATAGTTTAAAGCTTGGGTTTGTTACTGTCTGGCATGTTTTTCAAAGTTCTGTTTTGCTGGTCATTTCCTACTCAGCTTGTCCGGACGGTCAGGGGCCTAACGACTGTGCCAATCTGTGCCGACAGCAGGCGTGTAACGACGATCCTTGCTACACCAATCAGGTGGTCTATGGCAACACGGTGTTGTGCTGCGAGTGCCTCAACAACACCGTGTACAACGGCGTCGATTGCGTCGCACCGGAGAAATGTCCCTGTGTCGACGAGGACGGAGTGACTCATGGGGTATGAACAAGTTACTTTGCAATTAGACTTGGTCAAAGACTCCAATGGATTTTCTTTTTTCTCCCGAAATGCAACCGGTCACTGAAGTGCTTTAGAGGGCGGTCGAGTGCGCTAGCAACAGGATTTTAGCACTTGGCACTGTATTTAAGCTTATGCTCGCATTGTGAGCCAAACTTTTTGATTTGATCCATTGTGTTGGTAACACTCTCCTCAGTCAAACTGGCTTGGCCTCTCTTACCTGGGATGGGGACTGGCTGCATTTAAAGACGGGTATCACGATGGTTTAAACGAATGTGTGATTTGTTTGTCTCTCCTCAGCCAAATGAAGAGTGGCAGGGAAGTGGCTACTGTCAGCTGTGCCGATGTGTGTCTAACAGGATTCTGTGCTACGATGACGTCACGTCCCCAGGTTGTGTGCCTACGACCATAATGCCTACGAGCGGACTGTCTACGGCAACAAGTAAGAGTCAATGTATCTGTCTTGGTCCAAGAGGGCCAGTCTTGTATCTTAAATGTTCATCTGACTGTCTGACTGACTTACTGACAGTCACTTGTGATTTAGTTGTTGGCTGGTGCAGAGAGCTGGGCAGTGTTATCGTAAGGATTATCCTCGGGGTTCACTCCTGAAGGTGACTTTCAGTGAACAGCCATTCAGCATCAATGGGAGACGCTGGAGATTCTTTGTGCCGGCAGACTCTCACCGATCCTTCTCAATTGTTTCCGCCCATGTTTAAGCTAATTTGCATTTGCTCAGAAAGACGCAAACAATGGAAAAGGACCGGTACGATTGTTGCCTGCAGGCGTCTCAATTATCAAAAGTCTCCAATTGAATTAAATTGTGTGCGCATGCGCTTATTGACCTTTTAAGACAGTGATTACCAGCCCATTTTTCTGTAATACTACCCCAAAACGAGATGGTCAACTTTTTAGCTGTCCATTTAAATGACATTCTTTATAATTTAAATGTTTAGTTAAACGAAGTCTACTTTTACTGAACGAAGGGCCTGAACAGTTCCTTGAAAATGTGTTTTTGTTAACTCTTTATCTTGAGTGGGAGCGTGGCCTAGTGGTGAAGGTTTGTGACTCATGATCACAGGGTCAGGGCTTCACAAACCTAAACCACGAGGCCACACTCCCACTGAAGAATAAGAGTTAACACACAAACAAATGTTCAAAACAGTTCAAGTAACTGTTCAGCTGATGGCCATACGTTGTGTCCTTGGGCAAGCCACTTCATTCCCACTTGCCTCTCTCCACCCAGGAGTATAAATGTGTACCGGCATTACCTGGGGAGCAACCTGCGATGGACTAGCCTCCCATCCAGGCTGAAGAAAGAAACATTCTCGGTCGTTTCATGAAACCGAGATAAACGCCCGACCGTTGGGCGACATTGGCTTGTGACAGACTTAACGTTTACTTATCTTGAAAGATTTTTGGACAATAACATCAATGATCATATGTTGTGTTTACACCTCACCAGACTTCCGGACGACAACTGTTTCCATAACGACCGGGGCAGTGACTGAAACCACAACAGAGTTTGTTTCCACCGTTACTCCCGGTAAGATTGAGAAGCGCATTCTAATCTGAGCCTAATAAATGAGAAGTGTTTCAAAACCTGTAATTGTTAACAATTAGTTACAACTTCAAATCTGCGCACATCATTAAAGGCCAATTATAAGACTTGTATCAATTGAACTAATCCATTTTATCGGTTTTAGTATGTAGAATTCATGGGGTTGAACTCACCACAGTCATTCTGTAACATTTCAGCTGAATTTGTGCTCAAATAGGTAACGGTGATCATAATACATTACGGATCAATGGCAGTGTACTAAAAACCGTGTGTTAAAATGCCAAATACGCTTTTGACCGCGAAAGTACTGAGTTGTTACCACCCGATTTTTTGTTTTTGTTCGACTGGTTTAAAACAAATTTCTCCTATTTCTAATTTTTTTTCGCTATAGAAAGTTCAGTTAACCAATATACAGGTCTTAAGAAGAAGAAAAAGAAGAAGAAGATTAGCAGCACATCTAATTAACTGGTTTCAAATCTACTGTTAGAATTACGTTACTTACCCAGCGTTTGCAGTATGGGCATGCAGTTTACGTATGCTGGCCGAACTTCGCAATGTCATTCATTAGCTAAAACATTTTATATCATACAAAGAAAAGTCAGTTAAAAGTAGCCCATGTTACAAAAAAATCCTTTGTGGGTTTGTAAGGTTCTCAAGAAACATGGGAAACGCAAACCTGCCCTTATTGCTTACTTCACCGTGTAAACCATCCATCTTATCTGCACAGCATATTGTTACGACGACATGGAGACCATCGCCGGCCTGACCGTCCGCTTCTATGACTCTGAGAGCGGTTCCGAGATCCCCAGTGGTGCACCCTGGCCCTCCACGGGCGAGACCGGCTCCCATCTGATAGTTACCTTCTCTGAACCGACGAGGATCAACCAGCTTCTCTTCACCACCGTCTCGGGCGACGGCGTGAGGGTCAAGATTGGGGTGACCTTTCGACCTGGGGACCCGACCGCGGTCGACACCTACCTGTTCGGCGGGCAACCCCAGTTGCTGAACTCCGGGGAGAGGCTGGACATACCGACGGAGCCTGCTGTGACCAACGTCTACTCCATGCGTATAATATTCTACAATACTGATGCGCAGATTGTGAAACTGTTCGGCTGTGCCGAAAGAGGTGAGTCGTTTTCATGGGGAAAATTTCGGAGTGTGGATGCTTCGTGTGGAATTCTGAACAAAAGAGGTCCACATAAACGAAGTAGCAGTGACGTTGTGTAGACTTGCCCACGTCCACATAGTGTTTCCCCCTTTCTGGCAAACAGGTTTAGAGGCATTTGTAGGTTGGGTTTAGCCCTGGCAAAATGAAGAAAAACACTAAAGGAAATCATAAATATTGGGTTTAAAGAAAAATGTTTTTTTTACAGGTTTTTCTTAACTATACGAAAACAAAGGAATGTCCACACTACGTATGTAACGCCCGGAAGGCCATGGAAAATCTACAAGCACAACACAGTTCCTCAATACATCGTACATCCAATGGGTCCTCTATACCAACGAAACCCAACCAATCCCCATAGGTTCCCTCGTAAGTTTTGGCCTATGGTCCTTATTCCCTTTGCACTCTGCTTGATGTTCACCATAGCTGTTCCACATCCTGTTCCAGAATCTCCCTCCTCCACGGTCCACTGATCGCATCAGCTACTTAAACTACTACAACAGCAAGAGTCCGGCAGTCTCCTGATGACGAGCAGAGCATACTGTTCGGAACGTCGACTTAAACCAACTGGTTCTTCTCAGAACAACACAACGCACTACACAACACAAGATATCGTTCACATGGTGTTACCGCAAACCTCCCGTTCATTGTTCATTATTAATAATATGATACAATCCTGTGATTTTTTTGTAGTTACAACAACAACTGTATCAACGACATCTGAGACTTCTACTGTGACTCACATTACGACTCGTAAGTGTTCAATATAATGAAGCATTCAGTTCCACAACATTGTAGACTTGGATGGCTATAATAAGTCCTCAAAAATTCAGTTGTGTAAATCTTTGCTGGGGACTGGGGAGATGGGGATTGCTTAATTTTTAGCGGGGGGGCCTAGCTTTACCCTAGGGGGCGCTGTTTATGATAAAGATTATGTACATCTTATGTATACTTACTCCCCTTCACCTGATAATCAAAAGCTTTTGCCTTTTATTTCTCTTTTTTGGTTACTATTAATACTTTTTGACTGTTCGGAAGTTCGAACAATACTTCATAATCCACCTTTTAAACTCCCACTTCGAACACGAGGGGGGGGGGGCGATCCAATAGCCCATCCCCCCCCCCCCCACAACCGGTGAGAAAAGTGGCGGATATATTCCACCCATCCTTCCCCATGCAATGTTATATTATGGAATGCAAACTTATGTCATTCACCATACCACAATCGGCCCTCCGTTCTCCGTCGACGGGCAGTTTTTATTCTCCATGTTTGAAATTGAGAAAGCTTTTCTCATGCTATCCCTTATTCAAAATAATCTGACTTTTTGCAGCGCTATTTCAACAATCATGTAAAAAGGGAAAGTTTACTTCTGGGCAAAACTAAAAATAAATCATAAAATGACATCCAATCGGTCAATTTGGAACATATCAAATATGTTACAAACAGACGCAAGTGATTTATTCGGTATTTTATTGATATTTTATTCCAAAAAAGTGTCAAAGTCCGTCTAGCAGATATTCTACAGTGGTGCATACCGGTTTAAGACTAGATTCTTTTCTTTTTTCATGTGAAACAGAGCTAGCTTAATTCTTATCTCGTTATATCTCGGAAGTCCATTGTCAGGTGTTGTAGATTTGCGTTAAAATCATTTGCTGTAACTTTATCCTGACGTTCGTTTCCTCAGCCAATTTTTGCGCGACAAAGTGTGTGTGCGATCTGGACTGCGAAGGTCAAATCGACGACGACCAGTGTCCCTACGTGGTCCCAGAACATTGCATTGGCTGCATTGGCTGCCCTGATGGTACCAAACCATGGGGCGCATATTGTGTGCGGCCCCCAGATAGGGAGGAGTGTATGACCACGCTTAAAATGACAACTACCCAAAGCACCACACCCGGTAAGCATAGTTCTGATGTGGGGACGATTCCTTTGGTGTGCCTTTTTGGATTCTAAGTTTTACGCTATACTTCCTGTAGACCAATCCCAGTTGCTCACTTTTTGTGATAACAAAACATTACTGCCACATGTGTTTTGAGAGTAAACACTATTAGAAACACTTTCTGGCTATCACCTCGTGCTAAAAAATGTTTAGCATGTAAACATGTTAACAAACTGATAGCAAGAAAGAGTTTAGAATTGTGTTTACTCGCAAAACACATTTTTGTTGGCAAGGCAGATAATATCCACACAGAGGCAATTAGGCTACCATTGCCTCTATGCCTAAAATTAAAAACTTGGTCCCATGGTCAATTTGAACTCTCTTGGAAAATTGCTTATAACTCTGTAACAAATTATCAGATTTGGAGTTTTGATGTCTCAGTTGAAGGCGTATCTTTCAAACCATACCAATATTATCTATGCTCGCTACTCATTCTACGTCTGGCATTCCGTTGTATTTTGTTGGCATGTTTTTATACACACCTGTGATGGGTGCTACGGTATGGAAGCGTTCCAGTATTAAGGGCTACTAAAACTGTCAGCATTATTTCAAAATCGAATTGGTGTATACAACCCACCACGTCCGATCACTTGGCTTCAATACAATCTGCTTTGTTTTTCCATATAGCCTGGTTTTCATTTTGAAAACCTTTCATTTTCATTGCCTGAGAAGTAACTGAGTACTTTGTAAAGTTGGTTACGGGTACCAAATCCAATAATCTGGAATCGGTTCTTGACATCTGCCGATGGGTACTCGGGTACCCGGTGCCGACGCACACCCCTACCACAAACAGTGTTACTTAATGATCACAGGCCACGGCAGTGCCTCCCGAGATAATTTTCAGGTGAAATACGACCTGCAAAGTGATTGCACGTTTTCCGCCAACGGAATGTAGCCAAAGTCTTTATCTTTGGTATTATAAGATGAAGCTTGAAACGTTTTTGAGGGGTCCTCATTTTTTTTCTTCAAATAAGCAGAAGTGACCACAGAAGAAGAGACGACAATTGCAACCACGCAAGCACCAACAACTGAAAAAACAACAGGTAAAATGGGCAGCCTCATTATAATTGGGCTGCATAATGAGACAGGCTGTCAATTTAAACAGCAAACACCTCTAGTTGTACTCGTGTTGCAACAAGAAACCAAGATGAACAATATGTCACACAAACACTTTTGTTTCGAGATTCATTAAAGTACATCTCAGAAACAGCTCATTTCATAAACAACATCCGTGGATAGAATATAAGAAAATAATAAAAGGGATTTCAGATATTCGATCTAATTTTGAGTTCTTCATTCGAACAATTTTACCGTTAACTTAATAATTGTGACTAAAGATTTTTTTCATTTGAAACCATCTAGCTGCTCCAACAACTACTGAAGCCGCAACGACTACTGCAGCTCCAACGACTGCTGCATCTCCAACGACTGCTGCAGCTACGACACCAACCGGTCCCACAACACCAAGTAAGCGTCTCACTAGACTTTTCCCGTAGAATTTTTAAAGAATATTCTCACAATAAGAACTGAGTTATGCTCCAGTGTCTGATCACATTTGGGTGCAGCCCAGAGGGAAAAGATTTACAGAATGCACCTATCAACAGCCTCCAAACGTACATAACACTTTACGATTGTACGCATTTCGCCTATTTTTAAAATATAACTCGGGCCGTAAAAGGAATATTTTAACTCGCGTTGTGACAATGCTACAATGCCTATTTATTGTCACTTAAACTTGTTCCCCTTTTTCGAACACCAGAAGGGATCTGCGATTATGATCTAGACACCCTTGGCAATTTGACTGTCAGAAGATACGACACCGACAACCCTGCAACGGACATCCTTCCTAAAGAGCCGTGGGAGTCCACAATACCCAATGGTCCCGAATTCATCATTGCTTTCTCCAAAGCAACCGAGATAACCCAACTGGAGATCACCACAGACAACGGCCACAAGGTTATCGTAGAGATCGGATTTTCCAAGTCTCGGAACCCCAACATTATCGATTACCCCTTGTATGGTGGCATGGCAGTGGAAGTGAATTCCGGGGAGAGGCTGGATGTTGTGCCTTCGGTGAAAGACGTGTACTTCATTCATTTCAGCTTTTACACTCAGGAGTTCCAAACATTCCAGGCGTATGGTTGCTTAATAGAAGGTGAGTTTGCTGTCTTATAACTTCACTGCTCTTCCGTCTTATGTCTTCTTATTATTTGTGAAACATCTTTACTTTACCGTTGTCCCCATCATTTAGGTGGTGGAGGAGACTGTCCACCCAAAGCAAGATGCCTGTGCACTGGGGATTGTCGGGGTTATAATGTGGACCCTAGCTGTCCGGACGATCCCAGCGAGAACTGCACTAATCCGTGCTGTAAGGAAGCTAACACATTGATGTGCTTCAGGGATTGCCCGGACGGTTATTCTCTCAAAGGCGAATATTACTGTGTAAGAAAACCCTCAACATGTACGACACCTCCCCAAACACCTTCTGCACCACCCACCACCACGGCCGCCTTAACAACGACGCCCGCCGTAACAACGGCGAGACTAACCACGCGGCAAACAACGTCAAGTAAGAAAAGTATCATTCCTGAAACTGCTCTGCTAAAGTTCATCGTACATGTATGATTGAAACATCAAACCCCAGCTTCAGAACAGAACTAGAAAAAATCTCCTAGCCATGTACTGGCAAGGGAGGCTAAATATGGTTCAATTTTTGCATCTTCATACTAAAAATATGATAATATAAAAAAGATGAAGTATTAATAAAAACACTTAATTAGATTTATGGATGATTGGTCATTCTATTTAGTGCATTACAACCAACATGTGTTGTGAATTGTTCCTGGCACATATAAAAGAATTATTGGGAACAAAACATAAATCCAAATGCCATTCAGTACAAGAGTATGTACCTTAATGCATGTATACCTTTTGATCAGGTGACTTTTAGTCGTCCTTTTCCATTTTCAGTAATTTGTGATGAGTCGTGTGTCTGTCAACTTGACTGCTACGGATTGGTTGAGGATGCAAATTGTCCGAACACCGTGCCTGACTACTGCACTCGCTGTATCAGCTGTCCCGAGGGCACACAGAAGAGCCAGACGGGAACATTTTGCGTAAGACCCAAACCGCCAGAGCTTTGCGCTACTACAAAAGTTCCAACCACCCCCATACCTACAACTGTGGCACCGACGACGCTAGCACCTACAACTCTGGTTCCAACTACCACTGCACCTACAACTATCTTGACCACTACACCTTTGGTTACCACAATACAGACAACTACGGTGCAAACAACTAGAGGTAACATTTTTGCATTCGATTGTTATAGAGTATTTAACTTATTTATTGCGGACAACATCAACTTACCTTTTGATAAAATTATTAGTTGAACGGTTTAAAATGCGTTAATTTTATCAATTGGTCATGTGTGATCTTCTGTATGATGATGCAGTGAGATTACACAACACATTGAATCAGATGTGGAAACGCACCTCTCATGTATAAGCAAGAGGAGAAAGAAATGACTAAAACTGAAAAATTAAATACCTCCACGTATACCAGAACGAGTACCAGTACGAGTACGAGTACGAGTACTCCAAAACAGGTACTCGAATAGTACTCGAGTACGAGTACGAGTACTACAACACTGCAAAACAGTATAGCCAAATATTAACAAAAGGATAGGTGCACTATTTGATAATCACAAGGCACAGATCGAGTCTTGTTGTTTTAATTGGTCCTCCAAAACTACAGGCGGTCTTGATACAAAATTCTAGGAGCCACCAGCCTGTACCATTACTGATAACTTTAATACAGGGCGTTCCGGTTTCTCGGGGTCTCTTTTCTGCCTAGTTATAAGACAAGAGGAATAACTGAACCCATTAAATTTGTAAAAAAAATATAAAAATATGAAGCTGCCCCGCCTCTTCTGGAGATTGATCAGGCATCACAGATATGATTAGACATGTTGCAAGCATGGGCAGAGAGCTATGAATGGGGAAAAAACATGTTGATGACAGGATTTTGAGAGATGAAAACCAGTTTGAAAAAAAGTAATTACGGTGTCTCACGGCATTCTACGGGTGACTCCAAAAATGAGCCCCACTTACGACTTGTAAGGAAATAGATGAACTTATACTTGTAGCTGGATATTGAACTAAGTGAAGTGCCGGCAAAGCATTAACCTTTATCGAAATGTTTAAACAAGTTAGCAGTTATCAGCACCACCCATTGTGAACTGTATAATGGTGTAGCTTGTTGTAGCGCATCCTGTTGAACCAAACCAAAGTTACACTTGAATTTGTGTTTTAATAAAAAGTGCCGACTTTTAAGTGTGGTCACCGGAGTGATTGTTTGTTTGTTGATGTTTTTTTTCAGAAAACGACAATATGGAATATAGAATGCACCCGTTGTAAACCAGAAAGTTACACATCTTACCTTGCTGGTTTGATTAAATAATTTGAACTCAATATACTTGTGATTAAGCTGTTTCTTATTTAACCTTTTCCATTTTTCAGTAATTTGTGATGAGTCGTGTGTCTGTCAACTTGACTGCTACGGATTGGTTGAGAATGCAAATTGTCCGAACAACGTGCCTGACTACTGCACTCGCTGTATCAGCTGTCCCGAGGGCACACAGAAGAGCCAGACGGGAACATTTTGCGTAAGACCCAAACCGCCAGAGCTTTGCGCTACTACAAAAGCTCCAACCACTCCAGCACCAACAACGCTAGCACCTACAACGCTAGCACCTACAACGCTAGCACCTACAACTCTAGCACCAACTACCACTGCACCTACAACAATCGTGACCACTACACCGTTGGTTACCACAACACAGACAACTACGGTGCAAACAACTAGAGGTAACATTTTTGCATTCGATTGTAATAGATTATTTAACTAATTTATTGCGGCCAAATAGATTTACCTCTTGATAAACGTATTAGTTGAGCTTTGACGTTTAATGCGATTGAATTCCATACTAAACCTGTTTCATGCATATCGCGATAATCACAAGGCACATATTCAGTCTTTATTTTTTCTAATTGGCTTCAAAACTACTGGCGGCCTTTACCCAATATCGTAGGAATTCCAAGACCATACCAGTACTGACTACTTACTGTGGTTTTCAGGATCCTTTGGGGTCTCTGTTTTGTGAAGTAATTTGACGAGAGCAAAACCTAAACCCTCTATATTACATGCAAACCAATTGACGAAGCTGCCTGCGCTTCCTCTGGATATAGGTCGGGCATGTGCAGAAATGACCAGGCGTGAAGCACACAGTGTTAAGGAGCTGTGAACAGAAAAACCTTTATCGTTTTGCTTTGATGAGAGGATTGTAGGTAGTGAGCTGGGGAATGATGAACTTACTTATTTGTCACTGGTTATTGAACTCAACTATCAGTTGTCAACCTTTTATCAATTTATGACGCATTTTATCCTGTCGGTTAGATGGTATCAGTTACCCCTCGTGATCTGCGTATCGTGTTGTAGCACATCATGTTGTACCACACCACCGTTTTAGACTTAGGTGCAGAGTGCTTTGTGTTATTACCTGAGTGATTGGAGAAAACGTCTGAATCGATGCAAAACAGAGAGAGAGATACATCTGTCATTGCTAGTATAATTGAATGGCTGAACTCACTTTATTACTTTCAACGGACAATTTCTTAGTGACGTTTTCCATTTTCAGCAATTTGTGATGAGTCGTGTGTCTGTCAACTTGACTGCGATGGTTTGGTCGAGGATTTGAATTGTCCAAATAACGTGCCGGACTACTGCACTCGCTGTATCAGCTGTCCCGAGGGCACACAGGAGAGCCAGACAGGGACATTTTGCGTTAGACCCAAACCGCCGGAACTTTGCGTTACAACAAAAGCCCCAACCACCCCAGCCCCTACAACGCTAGCACCTACAACGCTAGCACCTACAACACTAGCACCTACAACGTTAGCACCTACAACGCTAGCACCCACAACGCTAGCACCTACAACGCTAGCACCTACAACGCTAGCACCTACAACGCTAGCACCAACAACTCTAGCACCTACAACTCTGGCACCAACTACCACTGCACCAACAACAATTGCGACCACTACCCCTTTGGTTACCACAACACAGACAACCACGGTGCAGACAACTAGAGGTAATTAACATCGAAAAAATGTACACTGTAATTAACGCTTACTAAGCCAAAATCATCAAAAACTTAAACAAGTTTGACCATTTGCATTCAAGCATTTCAAATTCAAAGTTCCATTCTAGCAGTAATTGTGGCTCACATAGGATATTTGTGTTTTTCAGGCTTTCTGATGAAACAAATTTGAGTTGTTTGGTCCTTCTAAGCTTAGTATTGGAAACGCGGCATGTTATCCTTTAATTGTCATTTTTCAGGAATTTGTGATGAGTCGTGCGTCTGTCAACTTGACTGTTACGGTTTCGTTGAGGATTTGAATTGTCCAAATAACGTGCCTGACTACTGCACTAGTTGTTTAAGCTGTCCCGAGGGCACACAGAAGAGCCAGACAGGAACATTTTGCGTTAGACCCAAACCGCCAGAACTTTGCGTTACCACGGAAGCCACAACTACTGAGGCACCTACGACTGCAGCACGGACTACCACTGCGCCGAAAACCACAGGTAAATATTGTAAGCCGTAAATGAAATGCAGTAATGGATTGTCAGTCTATTTTCAATCATGAAGTAGTTTGCCTTACTTTTGTTGTTGTTTTCAATTTACAGAAGTAACCACTGAAGTGATAACTACAGTTGCCCCCACAACAAGAGAAGTGACAACTACCGCGGTGCCAACAACCACGGAAGAGGTCACAACAACAATCAGGACAACTACTCCTGAGGCAACTACGACACAGGCAACCACTGTACAGACAACTACAGGTAGCTTTCGTAGCATCTTCCAAGCATCTTGCACTTTTCCGTAGCATCTTCTAAGTACAATCTCGTATATCTTAAACTCCCTTTAATATACAATACACATTTGTCCATAATTCTCACAACAGAAGAGGCCACTACCACAATTGTTACAACGCAGGTCACGACAACTGAATCAACTACAGCGGCGCCGACAACCACGACGGAGGCCACAACTACCGCTGTGATAACCACAACACCAGAAGTGACTACCACTGAGTCGACTACTCGCGCTGTGACAACTACTGAAGCAACTACTACAGGTATGTCATAGAAAACAGACTGATTCATTAGGCCATGCCCAGTGCCACTCTAGTGCAAGTGTACGCAGTCGGACATTAATTATGCCTGTGATTGGTCAAAACATCACAGGTCGTGGATTAATAGATCGGTCAATGGGAGACTTTTGAGACGTTGGTGGCAGCAAACAGACCGGTCCTTTTCCCATTGTTTGCGTCATATTGAGCATACACGCTTTAGCTTAAATTGAACAGGATCAGTGTGTTTGCTGCCACCTACGTCTCAAAAACCTCGGATTGGTAATATTGAAAGAGTTGATTCGGGATAAGCCTGCCAATCTAGCATTTTCGTTTACCTTTTCATCCATCTTTGAACTGAAATATTTATTGTACGTGTTTGAAATTGGGAATGTTACTCATGGGTGTTTCAGGTGGATTTCAAAGTTTGTTAGATATCCTATTTTGAAATATATTACCCATCAGTTCCTGGTACGACTACTGAAGCAAAAACTACTCGTTTGACAACGACCGAGGCACCTACCACCACCGAACAGCCAACAACCACAGTAGAGGAGACCACTACAATTGTCACGACAACTCCCAAAGTGACAACAACGGTGCAAACAACAACGGGTATGTCAACTAGTGCAAAAGAAACTTAAAGTTGTCAATTTACAAGATACATTTCTTATACTTCATTAAGGTAAATGTTTCATTAAATTTCATGAGGTAAATGTTTCATTGAATTTCATGATGTTAGACATTTCTCTCAACATAATAAAACAGCCAGTGATATCATTTAACAGCTGCCACTACTAGAATAGAAACCACCAAAGAAGAAACCACGATTGCTACAACACGGGCAGTCACAACGGTTCCTTTGACAACCACTGAGGCACCAACCACTGAGGAAGTTACAACTACGGCCGTTATCACAACGACACCAGAGGCAACCACAGCTGAACAGACAACTACTTCAACCACAACAAGAGCTCCAACTACAACTGGTACAAATTGTAGATCTTTTAAATATCTTTTCTATCTTTGAGATAGAAGTGGGGTTGAATACCTCCAAATGAAAACTGCCAAAACCGACTTTTTGGCTTTCGTTGCAGTACAAATATCGCCCCAGTAAACCTTTCAAGAATGCATCAAAATTCCTTTAGAAATGCTCGAACCTTGGACATCATTCTGCACTCTTTTTTATTAATTGTGTAACAAATCAATCAGATTTAAATTGAAGCTGTATAATTATTTTGCAGAGGCCCCGACAACCATAGAGAAAACAACAACCAGGAGGACAACCACTGAGGCACCTACAACCACTGCCCAACGCACAACAACCGAGGAAGTCACCACAACAGCTGTGACAACAACACCTGAGGCAACCACAGTAGAGACAACCACGGTGCAATCAACTACTGGTAATCATTGATATTGCTTTAAAAGAGTATGAAAATCCTGATGACAATGTGTTAATGCTTACAAAAAAGACATGAAATGGAAGCCACTAGCTGACAGTGCTACATTAAAACAATAGTGATGTTGCAATTTTGACAGACATGCAATTTCTTAACTTTTTTCAAACGTTTCGCGTCGGGCGTCTTACTATTTGTAGTGTTCAACTTCAGGCATTGAAATAATTGCTTTTTTTGAACTGCATCTATTATTTTCGCTGCCTGACGATTTTTGTTGTACCTGATTGTACAGTTGCTCCAACAACTGAGGAGACAACTACAACTGTCATCACAACTACCCAGACAACAAGAGCCCCAACCACCACTGCTGCACCTACAACCACTGAGGTTGTGACTACCACTGCTGTGCATACAACCACTCCACAGGCAACAACAACAGAGGAGACAACTACAGTAAGGACCACCACAGAAGCTCCAACCACAGGTATTTATACGCTAAAAAGTAACAGTCTCACACTTTTTTGTGTGTGTTTTTTTTCATTATTTTCACTTTGCTTTGTATGTCAATTTAAACAACCTACATTAATCACCATGTTTATGAGGAAAAAGACCATTATTAAAGAACAGAAATGAACCTTGACAAACGGTTCTGAAAAAATTATGAGACGTCGTGTCACAACGACTGTCACGTGAGGGAAAATTTTAGTCTTTGAGACGTATTCACATCTACAGCATAACTAGAAAGTGAAATAAATGCTAATTTTCCCCTACTGCAATCCTGAAGGTTATCCAGGGTATTGAAAAATATGTCTGTTTCAATCGACATCTTTGCTAATAAACATCACAAACACAAGAATCAATCATTTTTTAGAAGCCTCAACGACAGTTGAGAGGACAACCACTCGCGTTACAACCACTGAGGCACCTACAACCACTGCCCAACCCACTACCACTGAGGAAGTCACTACAACGGTTGTGACCACCACACCTGAAGCAACTACAACAGAGACAACCACTGTGCAATCAACTACCGGTAACCGTAGATATTTTTTTACAACTGTACAATTACCTGGGGCAAAAGCGTAATTTATAACCCCATGATCAACTGATTTGTTGAACTTCTAGGTCGATAAGATGTTTTTGATTAAATCACATGATAAGCGTACAATTTCTTCCAAAGACCTATTTAATATGGAGATGATCTGACGTTCAAACAACTAAATTTATAAACATAGCCACTTATGGGATATGTTTCAATATCTCAGTTTATATTCTTGGTGATATTTAATTTTTAGCAATTACATTATTATTGTGAGTTAACAGAGTACAACTCATATTGAAGGACCTTTTTAACTGTTAGCTTCTGTTTGATTTGTGCATGGGAATATAGAATTTAGGGCATCATCTGAAATCCAACCATCATTTGTGTACTCATATTGTGTACAGAGGCTCCAACAACTGAGGAGGCAACAACAACCGTTGTAACAACCACCCAGACTACAAGAGCCCCAACTACCACTGCTGCACCCACAACCACTGAGGTTGTGACTACCACTGCTGTGCAGACAACCACACCACAGGCAACAACCACAGAGGAGACAACTACAGTGCGGACCACCGCAGAGGCTACAACCACAGGTGATTACTGATTGATTGATTTTGCTGGATTTCTTCAACGTTTCCCATGCTGTCCAATTAGTTTTGAGTGTTGTATTAGTTATAAAAAGTTCAAATATCTGCTCAGGATTTAAATGAATTTCAGGTTTTGAACAACGTTCTCTCAGCTTCAGATCTGGTGTAGATAACTCTTGAGGAACTTGAAATGCATAAACTGATCACTGCCTAATACCTTGATTAAATAATAATAATTTTTCAGAAGCCCCGACAACAGTTGAGAGAACAACCACCCGTGTGACAACTTCTGAAGCACCTACAACCACTGGCCAACCAACAACCACCGAGGAAGTTACAACGGTCCTTGTCACGACTACACCTCAAGCAACCACAACGGAGACAACAACTATTCAGACAACCACAGGTTGACTTGAAATACTGTTGTTTCTATAGTATATATGGTTTGCATGTAATGTAAAAAGTAATGTTCAGTATCACCATTAGATTTGATCTTCACCATTGTGACAGAACATTCTGCAAGTAATGTTCAGTATAATCCTTCTCGTATCTCATAACATACGTCTGCTCTAATCTGAAGAATGGTTTGGAAATTTGTCAGTCAAGTTGTTGGTTAGGAAGAGGAAGTGAATATAATAGTCAGTTTTCGTGTAAACGTATATACATATATGAGGTTTTGACGTAATTTCAAACCATCAAATCTGATATATTTTAATGTATTTAAAATCCAGGGTGATGGGTTCCAGCAATCAACAGTAAATCGATATTGTTTTAAAATTCAATAAATGCCTTCGTATTCTATCAATTTCCATCAAATGTCTACCCCTTCCTTCTTTTCGCTTGTATATCTCACACAGAGGCTCCAACAACTGAGGAAGCAACAACCACAGTTGTCACAACTGTTCAGACTACAAGAGCCCCAACAACCACTGCTGAACCAACAACCACTGAGGTTGTGACAACCACTGCTGTGCAGACAACCACACCTCAGGCAACAACCACGGAGGAGACAACGACAGTGCGGACCACCGCAGAGGCTACAACCACAGGTGATTTCTGATTGATTGAGTTTGCTGGATTCCTTCACCGTTTCCCATGGTGTCCATTCAGTTTTGAGCAATATATTGGCGATATAAAGTACTAATATCTGGACAGGAATTAAAATGAATTTCAGGTATGAACGCTTTGTCGGCTTAAGGCCTGGTGTTACTACCTCTTAAGGAACTTTACATGCATAGCCTTATCACTGTCTAATCCCTTGATTAAATAATAATTATTGTTCAGAAGCCCCGACAACAGTTGAGAGAACAACCACCCGAGTGATAACTACTGAAGCACCTACAACCACTGCCCAACCAACAACCACCGAGGAAGTTACAACGGTCCTTGTCACGACTACACCTCAAGCAACCACAACAAAGACAACAACTATTCAGACAACCACAGGTTGATTTGAAATACTGTTGTTATATAGTAATTCTTTTTTATATATTATGTTAAAGTAATGCCATTATAGATGTGATCTTCACCATTCTGACCTAACATTCTGCAAGTAATATTTAGTATAAGTATATATCTCATAACATATGCCTACTCTAATCTGAAGAATGGTTTAAAAATTGTCAGTCAAGTTGTTGGTTCAGAAGTGGAAATGAATATAAAAGTCAGTTTTCGAGTAAACTTTTATCTACAAAACATTTGACGTTTTGAGTTATCTCAAATCTCAAAACTGATTTTATTTAAAATCCAGGGTGATGGGTTTTTGCAGTCAACAGTAAATCAATATTGTTTAAAATTAAATAAATGCCCTCGTAAAATTATAAATCTCCTATTAAATTCCTTCCGTTCTCCTTCTTGCTTAACTGCTAAATCACATACAGAGGCTCCAACAACTAAGGAAGCAACAACAACAGTTGTCACAACCATTCAGACTACAAGAGCCCCAACTACCACTGCTGCCCCTACAACCACTGAGGTTCTGACAACCACTGCTGTGCAGACAACCACTCCAAAGGCAACAACCACAGAGGAGACAACGACAGTACGGACCACCTCAGAGGCTACAACCACAGGTTAATACCGATTGATTAGGTTTGCATGTTTCATTCACAGTTTATACCTGCTATAAAATCAGTCGTAGTCAATTGAGTAATGCACAAACCCTTCAGCTATTTTTTTATTTGCATATTTAACGTTCCTTGTTTGTAACTTTTGCTGCAAAAGTTTTGACGCAATTTTTGTTTGTAGCCTAAATCCCTTGACAAAACAATATAATTGTGCAGAGGCCCCTACAACAGTTGAGAGGCGTACAACTCATGTCATAACCACCGAGGCACCTACAACAACTGCCCAACCCACAACCACGGAGGAAGTCACCACAACAGTTGTGACCACAACTCCTGAAGAAACTACTACTGAGACCACAACTGTCCAGACAACAACAGGTAGATTATATTATTTTGTTTTATTGTCAGAAAAAGTACTCATCATGCAAAAAAGAATGCCCTAGGATCATATATCAAGTAAATCCTAAAAAAAATTCTGTTGTAAATATGGTGACAAATCCTACTCAAATAACACAATCGTTCTCTGCTCGCTGTACATATATGCCGCTCTGCCGAAATATATTTGGAATTGTCGGTCAACTTGTTTGTTCAGAAACAGAAATGATTAAAACAGTCCATATTTTGTGTAACATTTGAACTGAAATAAGTTTGGTTATTTCTTTTCTTTCAGATTCAGGGTGATGCATTTCCGCTTTAATTACAGACAATCAATTTGTTTGTTATATTGAATGATTCGTATAATTACTACTCTTCTGTCAAAAACATAATTTTTCAATCGAATTCCCGTAAATCACGTACAGAGGCTCCAACAACTGAGGAAGCAACAACCACGGTCGTCACAACTACCCAGACTACAAGAGCTCCAACAACCACTGTTGCACCTACAACCACTGAGGTTGTGACTACGACTGTTGTACAGACAACAACTCCAAAGGCAACAACTACAGAGGAGACAACAACGGCGAGGGTCACCACAGGGGCAACAACAGGTATTTTATTTTTAAGTTTGAAATTTCATTAAGTTTCATGTATCCTAATTAGCTGTGGTTCTACATAATGTGTATTTTTAAATTTTCCCTCTAGCGGTTGTTCAAAACAAAAAAACATGATTTCATAGTTTAAATTAAATCAGAATCTAATTCCTGATACGCATTTATATAGTAAATACTGGAACTTTTATATTTTCCAGAGGCCCCAACAACAACTGAAAGGAAAACTACTCGAGTGACAACAAGGGCGCCTACTACTGCCCCAGCAACAACCACTGCGGCACCCACAACAGCCCAACCCACAACTACTGAGGAAGTTACCACAACAATCGTAACTACTACACCTGAGGCAACCACAACAGAGACAACCACTATTCAAACAACCACTGGTATTTTTTCACATATATTTACTACACAAGTAAAATGATAACAGATTTATTTCCGCAGTAATTGTACTTATTTAAATTAGCATGCGGAAAATAAAATGTTTCTTTCACATAAATGATATACAGTTGCTCCAACAACTGAAGAGGCAACCACGACAGTTATAGCAACTACTCAGACGACAAGAGAACCAACCACTACTGCAGCACCTACAACCACTGAAGTTGTGTCTACCACTGCTGTACAGACAACAACTCCAAAGGCAACAACCACAGAGGAGACAACCAAAGTACAGACCACCGCAGAGGCTACAACCACAGGTGAATACCGATTGATTGAATTTGCGGGATTCCTTTACAATTTGCCATGCTTTAAACTATAATATCGACGATTTAGTATATTCGTTAAAGTAAAAAAAATAAGCATTTTAGATTATTTTCATTTTTAAGGAACCCTAAACGATGACAACGATTACAACCTGGTCATTTGTTATAAAATATAATTTTGCAGAGGCTCCAACAACAGTTGAAAGGACAACAACTCGTGTCACAACCACCGAGGCACCTACAACCACTGCCCAACCCACAACCACGGAGGAAGTCACAACGACAGTTGTGACCACGACTCCTGAAGAAACTACCACTGAGACCACAACTGTCCAGACAACAACAGGTAAATCATATAATTTGGATTTGTTTGTATTGTCAGAAAAAGTACTCATCATGCAAAAAGCAATGCCCTTGGATTATATAGCAACTATATCCTCGAATATCCTGTTGTAATTATGGTGACAAATACTTCTAAAAAATATGCAATTTTCTCTTATCGCTTTACATATCAGCCGCTGTGTCAGAATATGCCGAAATTAAATGTTTCTTTCACCTGAATGACATACAGTCGCTCCGACAACTGAAGAGGCGACCACGACAGTTGTAGCAACTACCCAGACGACGAAAGTACCAACCACCACTGCGGCACCTACAACCACTAAGATTGTGACTTCCACTGCTGTACAAACAACCACTCCTAAGGCAACAACCACAGAGGAGACAACGACAGTGCGGACCACCGCAGAGGCTACAACCACAGGTGAATAATGAATGATAAAGTTTGCAACATTGCTATGCAATTTTCCAGGCTACAATTAGGTTCGAGGATTAACCATTTTTGTTATTAAACAACACAACGATTACAGCCTGACACCTTGGTTATAAAATGTAATTTTGCAGAGGCTCCTACAACAGTTGAGAGGACAACAACTCGTGTAACAAGCACTGAGGCACCTACAACCACTGCTCAACCCACAACCACGGAAGAAGTAACCACAAAAGTTGTAACGACTACGCCTGAGGAAACTACTACCGAGACTACCACTGCCCAGACAACAACAGGTCAATTTATATAATTGTTTTATTTCTATCGTTTAATAAACTACAGATCATATATAGTGGTCAAATGTCATTCTCAAAAGATACACTTTTTGTCTTGAACCTGTCAGTCAATTTGTTTCAGTTTGTTCATAATCGGAAGTGAATACTTGTCAATATGTTTCATGGTTTTTTTTCTGCTGTTGTAAAACAATTAAACAAGATTTCGAAGTGAAACATGATCTCCACATTATTATTCTTTTATTCGTGTTTTTTGTATTTGAAACACCTACAGAGGCTCCCACAACTGAGGAGACAACAACCACAGTTGTCACGACTACACAAACAACAAGAGCACCTACAACCACTGCTGCACCTACAACGACTGAGGTTGTGACTACCACTGTTGTGCAGACCACCACTCCACAGGCGACAACTACAGAAGAAACAACTACAGTGAGGGCCACCACAGAGGAGACAACAGGTATTACGTGTGTCAGCTTACCATTTCTTTCTTATGTATGTTGTCAATTATCATCTTGCAAAATCATATAAACGTAATTTCAAAATCTACGTTCAAATTATTATTTGAAAAGATGAACAATTTCCACTAAATATTCAATGAATAGACTTCCGCTATCATAATTTTGGTAAGTGACACAATACTAAAAATCCGAACATTTTCAGAAGCCCCAACAACAACTGAAAGAAAAACCACTCGCGTGACCACTAAGGCACCAACTACCACTGCTCCGGCAACAACCACTGAGGCACCTACAGCCACGTCCCAGCCCACAACCACCGAGGAAGTCACTACAACAGTTGAGACAACAACACCTGAAGCAACCACAACAGAGGCAACCACTATTCAAACAACTACTGGTAATGTTTTCTTTAAATAGTTCTACTACACAATAAACGAATAAAAAAGTACCTTAAAGGTACTTTCAAGCAATTTGTACTTGGTGAATCTATTACACAATTTTAGAAGATGTATCTTTCGTGAATGTCTTCGATTAAAATTAATGACTTCGTTTGGACTGAATGATGCACAGTTGCCCCAACAACTGCGGAAGCAACAACAACAGTTGTCAGAACTACTCAGACTACTAGAGCTCCAACAACGACTGCTGTGCCTACAACCACTGAGGTTGTTACGACGACTGTTGTACAAACCACTACTCCAAAAGCAACAACCACAGAGGAGATAACGACAGTAAGGGTCACCACGGAGGCTACAACTACAGGTTAACACTAACTCATTGAGTTTGCAAGTTCCACTCCCAATATATTTTTTTTCTGGTACAAAGTTAGTCTTGCGGTGTATCGATAAGTACAAATAACCGAGCCATTTAAATGAGGGATTATAATAAGTTTTTGGCACGTGATCTCAAGTTTCAAATCTTGTGTTCCAAACTCTTTAATATTTTTATATCTATTTCTAATGCCCAGTGTATAACAAAAGAATGCCTTGTTATTAAATTGAAATGTTAACATTTCAGAGGCCCCAACAACAGTTGAGAGGACAACTACTCGTGTGACAACCACTGAGGCACCTACAACAACTGCCCAACCCACAACCACGGAGGAGGTTACCACAGCAATCGTGACCACTACACCTGAGGCAACCACAACAGAGACTACCACTATCCAAACAACCTCTGGTAAAACTTTTCTTTAGTCAGTTTTAAAACGTTGTAAAAGAACAGATTAAGGGTCACATCACAGAATGGTACATATAGCTATTTCAGTTTATGTGAATCTATTAAATGGTTGAAATAAATGCACCAATGGTAACTGTCCTGTCAAGTACATTTCTTATGAAAATAATGTCCTTTGGCGAGACTGGTTATGTTTCACATCATTGATATACAGTTGCTACGACAACTGAGGAGGCAACAACAACTATAGTTGCAACCACCCAAACAACAAGAGCCCCAACCACAACAGGTGCACCAACAACCACCGAGGTTGCGACTACTACTGCTGTACGGACAACCACGCCAAAAGCAACAACCACAAAGGAGACAACCACAGCAAAAGCAACCACAGAAGCTACAACTACAGGTGTTTACTAATGGGTTTCCTTCATCATTTATTCATGCTGAAAAATCAGTCTAGATTCTGCAGTTAACTGGTTGAAATAAAAGTGTTTTAACCATTCTTAATCTGTTATTTATATATTTCCATCTCTTATGAAACTTTAAATGCAAAAGGTTTTCAAAGCCTGATCAGTTTCTAATAAAGTAACATATATTTTTTCAGAGGCACCTACAACAACTGAAAGAAAAACCACTCGCGTGACCACTAAGGCACCAACTACCACTGCTCCGGCAACAACCACTGAGGCACCTACAACCACGTCCCAGCCCACAACCACCGAGGAAGTCACTACAACAGTTGAGACAACAACACCTGAAGCAACCACAACAGAGGCAACCACTATTCAAACAACTACTGGTAATGTTTTCTTTTAATAGTTCTACTACACAATAAACGAATAAAAAAGTACCTTAAAGGTACTTTCAAGCAATTTGTACTTGGTGAATCTATTACACAATTTTAGAAGATGTATCTTTCGTGAATGTCTTCGATTAAAATTAATGACTTCGTTTGGACTGAATGATGCACAGTTGCCCCAACAACTGCGGAAGCAACAACAACAGTTGTCAGAACTACTCAGACTACTAGAGCTCCAACAACGACTGCTGTGCCTACAACCACTGAGGTTGTTACGACGACTGTTGTACAAACCACTACTCCAAAAGCAACAACCACAGAGGAGATAACGACAGTAAGGGTCACCACGGAGGCTACAACTACAGGTTAACACTAACTCATTGAGTTTGCAAGTTCCACTCCCAATATATTTTTTTTCTGGTACAAAGTTAGTCTTGCGGTGTATCGATAAGTACAAATAACCGAGCCATTTAAATGAGGGATTATAATAAGTTTTTGGCACGTGATCTCAAGTTTCAAATCTTGTGTTCCAAACTCTTTAATATTTTTATATCTATTTCTAATGCCCAGTGTATAACAAAAGAATGCCTTGTTATTAAATTGAAATGTTAACATTTCAGAGGCCCCAACAACAGTTGAGAGGACAACTACTCGTGTGACAACCACTGAGGCACCTACAACAACTGCCCAACCCACAACCACGGAGGAGGTTACCACAGCAATCGTGACCACTACACCTGAGGCAACCACAACAGAGACTACCACTATCCAAACAACCTCTGGTAAAACTTTTCTTTAGTCAGTTTTAAAACGTTGTAAAAGAACAGATTAAGGGTCACATCACAGAATGGTACATATAGCTATTTCAGTTTATGTGAATCTATTAAATGGTTGAAATAAATGCACCAATGGTAACTGTCCTGTCAAGTACATTTCTTATGAAAATAATGTCCTTTGGCGAGACTGGTTATGTTTCACATCATTGATATACAGTTGCTACGACAACTGAGGAGGCAACAACAACTATAGTTGCAACCACCCAAACAACAAGAGCCCCAACCACAACAGGTGCACCAACAACCACCGAGGTTGCGACTACTACTGCTGTACGGACAACCACGCCAAAAGCAACAACCACAAAGGAGACAACCACAGCAAAAGCAACCACAGAAGCTACAACTACAGGTGTTTACTAATGGGTTTCCTTCATCATTTATTCATGCTGAAAAATCAGTCTAGATTCTGCAGTTAACTGGTTGAAATAAAAGTGTTTTAACCATTCTTAATCTGTTATTTATATATTTCCATCTCTTATGAAACTTTAAATGCAAAAGGTTTTCAAAGCCTGATCAGTTTCTAATAAAGTAACATATATTTTTTCAGAGGCACCTACAACAACTGAAAGAAAAACCACTCGCGTGACCACTAAGGCACCAACTACCACTGCTCCGGCAACAACCACTGAGGCACCTACAACCACGTCCCAGCCCACAACCACCGAGGAAGTCACTACAACAGTTGAGACAACAACACCTGAAGCAACCACAACAGAGGCAACCACTATTCAAACAACTACTGGTAATGTTTTCTTTTAATAGTTCTACTACACAATAAACGAATAAAAAAGTACCTTAAAGGTACTTTCAAGCAATTTGTACTTGGTGAATCTATTACACAATTTTAGAAGATGTATCTTTCGTGAATGTCTTCGATTAAAATTAATGACTTCGTTTGGACTGAATGATGCACAGTTGCCCCAACAACTGCGGAAGCAACAACAACAGTTGTCAGAACTACTCAGACTACTAGAGCTCCAACAACGACTGCTGTGCCTACAACCACTGAGGTTGTTACGACGACTGTTGTACAAACCACTACTCCAAAAGCAACAACCACAGAGGAGATAACGACAGTAAGGGTCACCACGGAGGCTACAACTACAGGTTAACACTAACTCATTGAGTTTGCAAGTTCCACTCCCAATATATTTTTTTCTGGTACAAAGTTAGTCTTGCGGTGTATCGATAAGTACAAATAACCGAGCCATTTAAATGAGGGATTATAATAAGTTTTTGGCACGTGATCTCAAGTTTCAAATCTTGTGTTCCAAACTCTTTAATATTTTTATATCTATTTCTAATGCCCAGTGTATAACAAAAGAATGCCTTGTTATTAAATTGAAATGTTAACATTTCAGAGGCCCCAACAACAGTTGAGAGGACAACTACTCGTGTGACAACCACTGAGGCACCTACAACAACTGCCCAACCCACAACCACGGAGGAGGTTACCACAGCAATCGTGACCACTACACCTGAGGCAACCACAACAGAGACTACCACTATCCAAACAACCTCTGGTAAAACTTTTCTTTAGTCAGTTTTAAAACGTTGTAAAAGAACAGATTAAGGGTCACATCACAGAATGGTACATATAGCTATTTCAGTTTATGTGAATCTATTAAATGGTTGAAATAAATGCACCAATGGTAACTGTCCTGTCAAGTACATTTCTTATGAAAATAATGTCCTTTGGCGAGACTGGTTATGTTTCACATCATTGATATACAGTTGCTACGACAACTGAGGAGGCAACAACAACTATAGTTGCAACCACCCAAACAACAAGAGCCCCAACCACAACAGGTGCACCAACAACCACCGAGGTTGCGACTACTACTGCTGTACGGACAACCACGCCAAAAGCAACAACCACAAAGGAGACAACCACAGCAAAAGCAACCACAGAAGCTACAACTACAGGTGTTTACTAATGGGTTTCCTTCATCATTTATTCATGCTGAAAAATCAGTCTAGATTCTGCAGTTAACTGGTTGAAATAAAAGTGTTTTAACCATTCTTAATCTGTTATTTATATATTTCCATCTCTTATGAAACTTTAAATGCAAAAGGTTTTCAAAGCCTGATCAGTTTCTAATAAAGTAACATATATTTTTTCAGAGGCACCTACAACAACTGAAAGAAAAACCACTCGCGTGACCACTAAGGCACCAACTACCACTGCTCCGGCAACAACCACTGAGGCACCTACAACCACGTCCCAGCCCACAACCACCGAGGAAGTCACTACAACAGTTGAGACAACAACACCTGAAGCAACCACAACAGAGGCAACCACTATTCAAACAACTACTGGTAATGTTTTCTTTTAATAGTTCTACTACACAATAAACGAATAAAAAAGTACCTTAAAGGTACTTTCAAGCAATTTGTACTTGGTGAATCTATTACACAATTTTAGAAGATGTATCTTTCGTGAATGTCTTCGATTAAAATTAATGACTTCGTTTGGACTGAATGATGCACAGTTGCCCCAACAACTGCGGAAGCAACAACAACAGTTGTCAGAACTACTCAGACTACTAGAGCTCCAACAACGACTGCTGTGCCTACAACCACTGAGGTTGTTACGACGACTGTTGTACAAACCACTACTCCAAAAGCAACAACCACAGAGGAGATAACGACAGTAAGGGTCACCACGGAGGCTACAACTACAGGTTAACACTAACTCATTGAGTTTGCAAGTTCCACTCCCAATATATTTCTGGTACAAAGTTAGTCTTGCGATGTATCGATAAGTACAAATAACTGAGCCATTAATATGAGGGATTATAATAAGTTTTTGGCACGTGATCTCAAGTTTCAAATCTTGTGTTCCAAACTCTTTAATATTTTTATATCTATTTCTTATGCCCAGTGTATAACAATAGAATGCCTTGTTATTAAATTGAAATGTTAACATTTCAGAGGTCCCAACAACAGTTGAGAGGACAACTACTCGTGTGACAACCACTGAGGCACCTACAACAACTGCCCAACCAACAACCACGGAGGAGGTTACCACAGCAATCGTGACCACTACACCTGAGGCAACCACAACAGAGACTACCACTATCCAAACAACCTCTGGTAAAACTTTTCTTTAGTCAGTTTTAAAACGTTGTAAAAGAACAGATTAAGGGTCACATCACAGAATGGTGCATATAGCTATTTCAGTTTATGTGAATCTATTAAATGGTTGAAATAAATGCGCCAATGGTAATTGTCCTGTCAAGTACATTTCTTATGAAGATAATGTCCTTTGGCGAGACTGGTTATGTTTCACATCATTGATATACAGTTGCTACGACAACTGAGGAGGCAACAACAACTATAGTTGCAACCACCCAAACAACAAGAGCCCCAACCACAACAGGTGCGCCAACAACCACCGAGGTTGCGACTACTACTGCTGTACGGACAACCACGCCAAAAGCAACAACCACAAAGGAGACAACCACAGCAAAAGCAACCACAGAAGCTACAACTACAGGTGTTTACTAATGGGTTTCCTTCATCATTTATTCATGCTGAAAAATCAGTCTAGATTCTGCAGTTAACTGGTTGAAATAAAAGTGTTTTAACCATTCTTAATCTGTTATTTATATATTTCCATCTCTTATGAAACTTTAAATGCAAAAGGTTTTCAAAGCCTGATCAGTTTCTAATAAAGTAACATATATTTTTTCAGAGGCACCAACAACAGTTGAAAGGACAACAACTCGTGTAAGAACCACTGTGGCACGTACAACCACTGCCCAACCCACAACCACTGAGGAGATTACGACAACAGTTGTGACCACTACGCCTCAGGAAACTACCACAGAGACAACAACTGTCCAGACCACCACAGGTAAATAAGAAATACGGTTGTGTCGATAGTTTAGAAAAAAAGCACAATGCCCTCGGATCGAATAGCCAGCGGATACACATATTTAGATAAATCGTTGAAGGACTATTCAACATAGCCTTATCTGTCTCATATCGCTTTGCACATGAACCCGCCTTGCGGGTCCAGTTACGCATTTGAGAGATGTTGGGTCAAAAGCGGAAGTGAAGTTACAAAGTAACATTTTTATGAAACGAGGAGGTAAAATATAGTTGAGGTTTCAAAGTAATTATGGTCTATTATTACAAACAACCAATATTTTGCTAAATTGATCCAAGGCCTTCGTAAATTATTTATTTTTCAAAAACATATTTTATCAACTGATTACTCTTTACTATATCTTGTGCTTTGTTAATACACACACAAAGAGGCTCCAACAACTGAGGAAGCAACAACCACAGTTGTCACAACTACACAAACAACAAGAGCACCATCCACCACTGCTGCACCTACAACCACTGAGGTTGTCACCACAACTGTTGTGCAGACAACCACACCACAGGCAACAACCACAGAGGAGATAACTACAGTGCGGGCCACCACAGAGGAAACAACAGGTATTATGTCTATAAGTTTGTTTTTCATTTTCATTTATGTTACAAACTCATAAAACTGTAACTTTAAATTGAACATTCGAATCATTCATTCAAACGATAAAAGATTCGACACTCAGGTATGTTAAGCATTTTCCATTCACGCAATCCTAAAAATCTAAACATTTACTTGTCAGAGGCCTCAACAACAACTGAAAGGAAAACCACTCGTTTGACCACTGAGGCACAACCAACCACTGCCCCTGCAACAACAACCGCGGCGCCTACCACCACTGGCAAACCCACAACCACCGAGGAAGTCACAACAACAACCGTGTCCACTACTCCTCAAGCAACCACAACAGAGACAACCACTATCCAAACAACGACTGGTAATGCTTCCTTATAAAATATTTGATACACTCTAAATGAGCAAAATAATAGTCAAGGTACTTAGTGGTAACTATAGCTATTTCAGATGGATTGGATCTACTTCACAATTTTAGAAAATGTATCTTTTGCGAATGTTTTGTACTAATAATGTACAGTTGCTCCAACAACTGAAGAAACAACAACAGCGTTTGTCACTACTACACAGACTACAAGAGCCCCAACTACCACTGCTGCACCTACAACCACTGCCGTTATGACTACCACTGCTGTACAGACAACCACTCCTAAGGCAACAACCACAAAGGAGACAACTACAGTAAAGGTCACCACAGAGGCTACTACCACAGGTGTATATTCAATGATATTGCAACTTTCACAAATTATTTCTTTTATAAAAACAGTGTTCCGGGCAGTAGTTAATTCGAGATAAAGCAGTTTCTCATCTGTTAATTAAGTGTTAAATGTGATTAAAGCTTTCATTAATTTAAAATGAACTATGAATTGTTCAGAGGCCCCCACAACACTTGAGAGGACCACTACTCGTGTGATAACCACGGCAGCCCCTACAACCACTGGCCAACCCACGACCACAGAGGAAGTCACCACAACAGTCGTGACTACGACACCAGAGGCAACCACAACAGAGACTACAACGGTGCAATCAACTACTGGTAATCGTTGTACTCTTTACAGTCAAATTTTCAATAAGCAACTGTGTATCTAACGCTCAATGGTTAATTTATAGAACTTGGTTTGTTGCAAAGATTAATTTGAAAAGTGAACAAAAACACCTAAATTTTCGCACAAAAAGTGATCGTTAAAAGATATATTTATCAACTGATTTATGGTTTTTAATCCTTGTTTATTTTTAAAAACACGTTCAGAGGCTCCAACTACGGAGGAAACAACTACCGCAGTTTTCACAACTACCAAGACTACACGAGCCCCAACTACCACTGCTGCGCCTACAACCACTGAGGTTGTGACTACCACTGCGGTGTTGACAACCACTCCAAAGGCAACGACAACAGAGGAGACAACTACAGTTAGGGTCACAACGGAGGCTACAACCACAGGTATTTTTTTACTGATTGAGTTTTATTCACAAGTAGTTCCTTCTCAATCATTAGTCGGGTCGTAGTAAATCAGTAACGGAACAAACCCTTCCAACAAAGCTCGTGATATCCCAGCCTAATCCGACGACATCAACATGAAATATACAAATTTCAGAGGCCCCGACAACAGTTGAGAGAACCACTACTCGTGTGAGAACCACTGAGGCACCCACAACAACTGCCCAACAGACAACCACTGAAGAAGTCACAACAGCAGTTGTAACTACTACCCCCGAGGCTACCACCAAAGAAACAACTGTTATCTACACAACCACAGGTTGTAATAATTTGTAATAAATGTTTATGTCATCGTTGGCAAATAAAACTGTTTACTTTTGGCAATTATAAGGTTTAATCGTTTTTGTTGTTCGATGGGGGAACTATTCATTCCCCCTTTATGTTGCGATAGTCAAATATCCATTGAGTTTAGGAAATTACTAATGTTTTCACATTAAGCAATCGTTTTTTCACCCTAACTAACTGTTTACCTTTGAACGATGTACAGTTGCTCCGACAACCGAGGAAGTGACAACAACAGTTGTCACAACTACACAGACTACGAAAGCACCAACCACCACTGCTGCACCTACAACCACTGAGGTTGTGACTACCACTGCTGTACACACCACTACTCCACAGGCAACAACCACGGAAGCGACAACTGCAGTAAAGACCACAACAGAAGCTACAACCTCAGGTTTTTATCAATTTACAATGACAAACGTGTTGATTAATTTTGTTGCTTCATCTTCTGGTACACTAGTTATAATGCAAAGATTTTTCAATTAAATGTTGCCAATTCAATCATAAAGGGATTTGTTTAGAACGGTCGATCCAAACAACAACCGTCATACATTAAAAAATATGTTTTACAGAGGCCCCCACTACAGTTGAGAGGACAACCACTCGTGTTACAACCACCGAGGCACCCACAACCACTGCAAAACCTACAACCACTGAGGAGGTCACCACAACAATTGTGACTACCTCACCCGTGGAAACCACAAAAGAGACAACAGTAATCCAGACAACCACAGGTTAAAATGTTTTCCATAATTGTTAATTGTCGTTATTGTAATTGTTGCTGCTAGCGATATGAAGGTTTACATTGTGTTGCTATGTGATCAGGAATGCTGTTCATCTCTTTTATTTCAATTCTTTAAGTAATCTTTTAAATTGCTGGAATAACTTATGTTTTCTCGAATGAAACTGTTGTCAAGTATTCTTCTTAAACGCCTTTTTTTCTTCTGAACCATGTACAGTTGCCCCAACCACTGAGGAGGCAACAACTACAGTTGTCACAACTGTACAGACGACAAGAGCACCGACCACAACTGCTGCGCCTACAACCACTGAGGTTATTACTACCACTGCTCTGCAGACTTCAACTCCAAAGGCAACATCCACAGAAGAGACAACTACAATAAAGACCACCACAGAGGTCCTAACCACAGGTATGTTTCAATTTCCAATCTTTCACTTTTCAAAATATTGTTCCTTTGATGACCAGTGTTGATATTTGAAAAAAGAAAGAAACGATAATATTTCACTGCGCTGTCATGTCTTGATGACAATCTTGATTCATGTTTTCAGAGGTTCCCACAACTGTTGAAAGGACAACTACTCGTGTTACAACCACCGAGGCACCCACAACCACTGCAAAACCTACAACCACTGAGGAGGTCACCACAACAATTGTGACTACCTCACCCGTGGAAACCACAAAAGAGACAACAGTAATCCAGACAACCACAGGTTAAAATGTTTTCCATAATTGTTAATTGTCGTTATTGTAATTGTTGCTGCTAGCGATATGAAGGTTTACATTGTGTTGCTATGTGATCAGGAATGCTGTTCATCTCTTTTATTTCAATTCTTTAAGTAATCTTTTAAATTGCTGGAATAACTTATGTTTTCTCGAATGAAACTGTTGTCAAGTATTCTTCTTAAACGCCTTTTTTTCTTCTGAACCATGTACAGTTGCCCCAACCACTGAGGAGGCAACAACTACAGTTGTCACAACTGTACAGACGACAAGAGCACCGACCACAACTGCTGCGCCTACAACCACTGAGGTTATTACTACCACTGCTCTGCAGACTTCAACTCCAAAGGCAACAACCACAGAAGAGACAACTACAATAAAGACCACCACAGAGGTCCTAACCACAGGTATGTTTCAATTTCCAATCTTTCACTTTTCAAAATATTGTTCCTTTGATGACCAGTGTTGATATTTGAAAAAAGAAAGAAACGATAATATTTCACTGCACTGTCGTGTCTTGATGACAATCTTGATTCATGTTTTCAGAGGTTCCCACAACTGTTGAAAGGACAACTACTCGCGTGACAACCACTGAGGCACCTACAACCCCTGCCCAACCTACAACCACTGAGGAGGTTACCACAAGAGTTGTGACCACAACACCTGAAGCAACCACAAAAGAGACAACTGTTATTCGGACGACAGGTAAAACAAGTACAGAGTAATTGTTGCAGTATACATCATTTTAAATTTGATAAGCTCTTACTAATCAGTTGCCCAAACTGTCCCTATAGAAAATAGACATGTAATCATACCTTATGCGATTTGGAGCAAGTTCGGGTGAACCATAGTAGACTAGAGATAAAATCGTGCCGTAAGTTACACCTGCACCTAATAGCAATTAGCAGATGCCTCTAGTTATAGCCTACCCTGGTCAAAACGGCATCACAAAACTTGTTCCAAATAGACGCCTAGAGTTTTGAACCATTTGCATTCAAATTTAAGTTAATCGAACTATGGTTTACGATATATTACTCCTGGCTCGAACTTTCTTCTGGTTGTTGCATGTTTGCTAGGCGATTAAGGAATGATTTCTTTCACATCACACATGTCAAAATGACATTTTCTCATTTAGGACTGATTGATGGCTTCTAAAATGCATCACGATCTTCACAAATTATTTTCCTTTGATACCTTGACAATGCACAGTTGCTCCTACAACCGAGGAGGCAACTACAACGACTGTCACCGAGGAGAGAACAACTACGGTTGTCCCAACCACCCAGACAACTAGAGCCCCTACTACGACTGCTGCACCTACAACCACTGAGGTTGTGACTACCACTGCTGTGCAGACAACCACTCCACAGGCAACAACTACAGAGGAGACAACTGCAGTATATACCACCACAGAGGCTACAACCACAGGTATTCATCCGTTTTCAACTTCTATTTCAAAAAAATCATTGTTTCTTTTAAGATCAGTCTTTGGTTTTCACTATATTCGATAAAGTGCAAACAACCGCAAATTTTAAATTGACTGTCTCGAAATGAAAATTTTAAAACACTCCAAAAAGACTCGTTCATATTGCGCAGTGTGATCATAACCAGCTTTCTGTTAAAATCACGTTTCAGAGGTCCCAACAACAGTTGAAAGGACGACAACTCGTGTAACAACCACTGAGGCACCTACAACCACAGCCCAACCCACAACTACTGAGGAAGTCACTACAACGGTTGTAACGACTACTCCTGAGGCAACCACAAGAGAGACAACAGTTATCCAGTCAACCACAGGTAAAAAGCAAATTTGTTTATCGTTGCAGATATTACGTTAGATATACTGATATCTGAAACTGGCACTGGATATTGCTTGCATAATCTCGATGACGATGGCATTTACATGTGCATTTAACTATCCACCCTTCCGCCAAAAGATTCTTCATTTTAGCAATATTTTATTCTTTGTTGAGGATCAGATCCAATATGTGCTTGGGCATGATCCACGTGTCAATTATTGTTTAAAGGTCATCCAGATTCTCACTTGACAAATAATAATGTTATTTGCACAAATCTCTCATAGTCCAAACCACCAAACCACCTACAACAACCACGGTAACCACAACGGAAGTGACAACCACGCCGACAACTGCTGCCCCACCCACAACCAAGCGGACCACAGTTGTTGTCACCACCACTCCAGAGGCAACGACCAGGGAAGAGACAACCATAGTTGTAACAACAGCAGAGGCAACCACTACAGGTATATTCATGATATTACTGGTATTCAGGCATATGTAGTGAATTTTCAAACAAATGATAATTTAGTTTTACAAACGAAGAAAAAGCAAATCAAAATCAAGTGCAAATCAAACCAATAGGCCTATTGAGCAACAAGAGATGTTTCAAGGTCTTAGGAACCACTCTTGTGGTTAATGCAAGGTCAATCAGCAGTTTAGTAGCATACAGAGAGAAATCAATTTTACTCAGAAGCATTACTAGCCGTATAGATGCTTATAGCCTCGTATAGGTATTTTTTAATTGAAGTGAAATTGTATCTGTTTCAAGCGAAAGACTTATATGCTTTTTACGCACACAGCGAACATTTAAATATAATTCTCAGTGTAAATCAAAATCCAGTAATGTGGCTAAAGCCGTTTTCCCTATGATGCAAATACGGTCAACATTCACTTGTATGACAACATTTCCACACAGTACAATATTCTCAAAATAAATAAAAAGTTTCGAATAACGATCTCATGTGTAACTGTAGAAACTGTTGAGACTATCAAATATTTTAACCTTCTCTTAAATTCCTTGTCCACTTGGCATTTTGAAAGAAAAACAGTGCAAAATATTGTCCTAAGGTAATTTATAATTGCACAGTTGATAGGAATTTATCTGTTTGCTTAATCATAGTAATGTACCAAAATAAGATAGCATAATAATTCTTTGTTTGCCGTTATGTGAAAAAAATCAGAAGCCCCAACAACAGTTGAGAGGACAACCACTCGTTTGACAACCACTGCGGCACCAACAACAACAGCCCAACCCACAACCACTGAGGAAGTCACCACAACTGTTGTGACCACTACGCCTGAGGCAACCACAACAGAGACAACCAAAGTCCAGACGACCACTGGTACATATTTTATTGCCGGTTACCTTCCTTACCAAACTACAACATTTAATAAACCTTTTAAGTCGAAGTTACAGGGCAATGGTTTTGTATTGCCTGGATAGGCACGAGTAAACCCTCTGTGCGTTCATAGTTGCAAAATAAGCATAACAAAGAACACTCTGTAAGATACCTGCAATATATAACGTCTATAGTGAGTAATAATTTATGTATATATGTTAGGCCTACTGCCCTGATAAAGCGGCAAACACACTGTGAACCTATGGTTTAAGTACAGTTCTAACCGTTGAGGGTTCCATACTATTGTATATGCTGTTTTTTCCTTTTGAATACAAGTATGAAAATAAATGTGATATTGAATTGAATCATGAATAAACAAGCCATGTATTTTTTTTCTGATTGCTATTGTTTCAAACAACTCTTATTGTCTGGAACCCTTGAATGAGTCTCTTTAAACTTCTTAAGAATAGGTCCCGTTTGCCTCCTTGTTTATAAATGTTTCTTTTTGTGTTTTCTGCATCAGCTCCAGCTACCACAACTCAAGAACCATGCTCTGACAATCTGGACACGTACGACTTAGTGGATGTGCAAAGGGAAACTTCTGATAATCCCGGCTTCCAAGTGCAACCTACCTACTGGTGGACTCCTGCAAGCCCACCCACTCATCCGTCTAACCCCTACTCCGGCTCCCACTTGACTGCCGAGTTCACCCCGAGGGCTGTTGTCACTTCCGTCGTGGTGCTAAGAGAGGACGGGGCAGTTGAACGAGTGAAGATTGCGATCGTTGTTAGGTACAACAAGGGTAGCAGCTTTACTTCCCTTAAGGGCGAGAACAACGAACGTCTGTTTGTCGGTTTTACTGGCAGCAAGATACATGTACCTGTGGATACGCCAGCCGTTGCAAGCATGGCTGTGTTTATTTTTGATCCACCTACCTCTGTTGGCTTCAGGATAATATTCCACGGTTGTGAGGGACCCGGTAAGTATTCGCGGGTGTACATCATTATGATAACATTATCAAAAAGGACCATCATAAAACTATAAAACGATAATAACTGAAAAACTTTATTATAATAATTTGCATCGTCATATGAAATCGTTTAGTGTTGTCACACAAAATGACAAGGTGTGAGACGATAGTTTTTAAAGGTCGGTTCATATTCTGTCCTCCCGACAAGTTTTTGCGCTCCGAATTCACAAAGTTTTGATACATTTCCAATCCGGCAAATCTCACAGCAAATGTTTCATGATGTCAGATTTGCTTCGCATTCGCATTCGCATGAAGTGTTAGCGTGCTTAATAACTGTTTAAGAGTTGTATCTGTCTATAGGGCCCTGCATTTGAAGTAATTTTGCAAATGAAAGTGCAACGCAAAAAAACCCTGTTTACATCGGGTATATTTCAGTTGAAACTACCACAGAAGTGGCAACAACTGCAAGGACCACTAGAGTGACAACTGCGCCACCTACGACCACCATTACTACAACTACAGTCGTAACAACCACTCCAAAAGCAACAACAACGGAGGAGACAACTGCTGTTGTGACCACAACGGAGGCCCCAACCACAGGTATAGTTTTATTAACTATATTATAGTTATTATTGGTTAGATAACTGATAATAGGTATAGAATTCAGTTCTCAACTTGAAGGAATCTATGAGATTGTATTAATCAAGTGAGTCTCTATATGACAGGAATTTTAAAGGTTGGAAAAAATGACTGACATTGACTTTTTGGAAAAATATGTTGCTACAAACATTTCAGAGGTTCCAACAACTACTGAGAGAGTTACTACGCGCCTGACAACCACTGAGATACCTACAACCACTGCCCAACTGACGACTACTGAGGAAGTCACTACAACGGTTGTGAATACTACTCCATTGAGAACCATAACAGAAACGACAACAATCCAGACAACCACAGGTAAAGACTGGTGCTTGCTGTCTATATAAACGTAGCATTATGCTGCAAATAATGCCCTGCCAGTAGACTGACTAGGATACGGACCCTTAAAAAAAAAGACTAATGAGCATCACCCAGTGCCAATTTGGGGTACAAACTCACTGTTGTATGTCACTAAGGCACCTCTGAAAGGCAAAAATTAAAAAGGGGGTTTATTTTTGAAAATGTATTGCAATGACAGGTGATTGTATGTTTCAGGAAAATTTAGTAAAGTGTGGGTTTTTTATTATTGAGCCTTGAGTGACCAATCTGTGACTTGTGAGTTAGGTCTTATTTAGGAACATGTTTAACTAATTAAACGGCTGGCTTTATAATACAGAGGCTCAAACGACTACTGAAAGGACAACTACTCGTTTGACTACTACTGAGGCACCTACAACCACTGAGGCACCTACGACCACTGAGGCACCTACAACCACAGCCCGACCCACAACCACTGAGGAAGTCACCACAACAGTTGTAACCACCACTCCCGAGGCAACCACAACAGAGACAACTGTATTTCAAACCACTACAGGTGGCCTGTTCATTGATAGTCTTTTTTATGTACAGCATAAACTAAATCTCACCACATTGCCGAGAGTTCAGATCTGAATGCCTGGGTTTCCGATTCTATGATTGTCATTGTCTGAATTCAGATGTATCGAGTCAAGGAGCCAAGAAATAGTTGAGACTAGCAATACTAGATTGCAATTTATTCAACCTATGAAGAAAGAAAAGAACTCATACATAATTAAACCAGTTTTCTGGATTCTTGTGATCCTCGATAATTTGTGATATTAATATTGGCTTGTGCGTTTTGTCTTTAATCCTGCCACAGCACCGCGGCCGACAACCCCGGAGGAATGTGCCGACAATCTCGACGAGATCGTGGACATCCAACGGACAACCAAGGAGGATCCGGACGTGAATCGTCCTCCAACTTACTGGTGGAATCCCCCAGCTCCACCCGTCAATGAGTCTGCTCCTTACGACGGCTCCTACCTGACCGCTGAAATCACTCCTAGGGTCCGGGTGACCTCAGTCATCATAGCCAGTGACGTCGACGCAATGACCGAAGTGAAGTTTGCTGTCGAGGTCCAGTACATCCAGGGCGGTCCGTTTACTGAAGTCAAGAATGGGGAGGCGTCCCTGTTTGTGGGAGAGACTGACACCAAGATACACCTGCCGTCGGACTTGTCCTACGTGTCTGCTGTGAGAATCTACATCTTGAGTCGTTTCCCGTCAGCTAGCTTTCAGATACGGTACAACGGCTGTGAAGAAACCAGCAGTAAGTATTCGATTTCCAGTTAGATATACAGGATGCATCAAAAATATGTTTACGCTCAAACAAATGTCCCTAAAATGAGGATTCGATTCGTTTAAGTGCGCAAGCCGTTTTTCCACAACGTTTTGCAAATGTAGCCACTGTTTAGTCATGCATGAAAGTGCCAAAATGATCATGGTGTCATTTAAAGCGTGAAAGGTTTATCTACCCATATGTATAGAGCGATATTTCAAAAAAGAATGGTGTTTTTTTCATTTGGGGGGACATTTATTTTCGGTGTATACGTCTTTTTGATACACCTTATTTTTTATTATTTCAGAATATAATTGTGAGATAACATAAACTAAATCTCACCGCATCAATGAGAGTTCAGATCTGAATGCCTGGTTGTTATTGTCTGAATTCAGATGTTTCAAATCAAGGATCCAAGAAAAAGTTGAGACTAGCAATACTAGATTGCCGTTTAATCAACCCATATCAAGAAAGAAAAGAAGTTATACATGAACCAGTTCTCCGGATTCATGTGATCCTTGATATTTTTTTATATTAATATTGGCTTGTGCGTTTTATCTTCAATCCTGCCACAGCACCGCGGCCGACACCGCCGGAGGAATGTGCCGACAATCTCGACGAGATTGTGGACATCCAAAGGACAACAAAGGAGAATCCGGACGTGAATCGTCCGCCAACTTATTGGTGGAATCCCCCAGCTCCACCCGTCGATGAGTCTGCTCCTTACGACGGCTCCTATATGACCGCCGAATTTACACCAAGAGTCCGGGTGACCTCAGTCATCATAGTAAGTGACATCGACACAATGACCGAAGTGACGTTTGCTGTCGAGGTCCAGTACGTCCAGAGCGGTCCGTTTTCTGAAGTCAAGAACGGGGAGACGTCCCTGTTTGTGGGTGAGACTGGTAAAAAGATTCACCTGCCGTCGGACTTGACATACGTGTCCGCTGTGAGAATCTACATCTTGAGTCGTTTCCCGTTGGCTAGCTTTCAGATACGGTACAACGGCTGTGAAGAAACCGGTAAGTATCCTTCCAGCTAGGTATAGTATGTACCTTATTTGTTTATTATTATTATTATCATTACTATTGCAGATTGTATTTGGATGATTTTTTTTTAGATTTACATATTGTCATTCCAGTTAGAAGCAGTTTGCAGCATTCCTATTCCCATTAAAATAACTGTACAGAATAAATTGCTAGATGTTAATCAACGTTTTCTAATTTTTCACAATTATGTTACCCCTTTCACTTCAAGTCATTAGGTGTTTGCATTAGGTTGTGAATAATAATGAAAATAAATGCAACGTTCTTTCCTCATTGTATTAATTTTGTTTTACAATGGTTGTAGCTACAACAGTCAAAACCACGACGCAGGTGTCGACAACCGAGGCGATAACGGTGAGCCCAACTGCACCAGCACCAACGACCACGTCACGGACCACGGAAGTTGTGACTACCTCGCCCATAGCCACTACAACAGAGCGGACCACTGTGCGAGTGACAACTGTTCCATCAACTGCAGGTAGCTAGGGTCCAGCATTGTCGTGAACCTTTGGCAGCGTTTTTACAGGGTTCCCAGCCACTCTAGAAATCAGGGAAAACCTTAAAAATGACTTTCCATTATTCAGGGAAAAGTTAGGGGAAAATTCAGGTTATTCGGGGGAAACACACCCAGAAATGGGAAAAATCAAGGAATTTTGGCAGTGGCTCAGACGGATATTTTATTTTTCCAGTTTGGCGTATGTGGGTCTTGTGCCATGTGCCTAAGTTGTGTCCATTGACTGTTTGACACGATATTGGCTTTTAGTGTTGATGATGTGTGAATATTACACACCTCTCCAGAACGGGAGGCCATTGCTTGTCAACAAGTTGCCTGCATATTATCAGTATCTAATTAGTTCCTGTCTTGCAGCCGCCTCTTTACTTTCCAGCAACCTCGCTGAAATGAAAATATTTCTCATGGAATTCTGGAAATTTCAGAGAATGCATTATTTGGTGTACTATGGTCTCAAATTGTCACGCGTTAGATTTGTAAATCGAATTATGGCATCAATAGCGACACTCACACTTTGAGAGCATTGCACGAAAAATATTAAATAAAACGAGTGTCTTATATTCCCTTATTTGGTAAGTCCCTGTCTATATGTATTACCAAACGTTGCTATCTTGCCTATACAAAGAAATATCTAAGGTTTCGGTTTGTTTATCACTTACAAATTCAACAGCTCCAACAACAGCAGTTATAACAACAGAAAAGACCACGACCGAAGTTGCTACAACCAGCCAAACAGCCCCGCCAACGACCAGCAGGAGAACAACAAGTGTTGTCACTACGACACCACAAGTTACAACTGCGACACAAGCCACAATACCAAGTAGGTTAACCAACAAAAACATAGGCATAAGTTTTGTCGCGGTCCTCTAATGCATACCACCTTTGATTTTCAAGACAAACAAAACTTGTCAATGTTTCAGCAGATCCAGTTCCAGTTGATTAGAACAATTCCCTGGCTCAAAGGTTTTGGGAGAGTATCTTACCCATGGGGTTATGGGAAGGCTTCTATTTGTGTACAAGGTTATTGGAATTCCTTAATATTGTATTTTGTAAAATAAAAAATAACTATCTTACTAATTGTTAGATTGTTATCCGTTGGAATACGATGACTGTGCTTGCCTACGGACCTGTGCGGATGAGCAGCGACCCGTGTGTCCCGAGCCTGGATCCCCACAGTGTACTCCGGCATGCAGCTGTCCCCGAGATCAATACTGGGACGATGACCTGGGAGCTTGTGTCGATGAGTGTAATTGTACAGAATATCAAGACCATAAGGTATAGTGATTTTGCAATTGAAGTGGACTTTGCCAATCGCTAGGTCAATGGGCACTCAAGGTGACATCCGCACTGTTAAAATGCCACTTTTTTTCTACATGTTTAGTCTCGGAGATGTTTAGATATTTGAGCAAGATGACAGTCTGTTTGTGATATCAGTGAAACCTTGAATTGAAAAGAGTCTTGAATATATTTTTGAGTTGTAATATTTATACATTTGGTGATAATTGAGAGAGGATGGAGAGTTTGTTAAAGCCCTTCGACTTGACAATTTATGCTATGGTGCTAACCGACATTCACAAGGCTGAATTGCATGCCGTAGATTCGAGCATGTGAAGAACATGGGTAAAATGAAGTGTTAATAAGTGTTTTTTATGCAAAACACATCAGTGATTTACTCTAAAGGCCAAAAATCAAGTCTACATGGGTATCTTATATACATAATATTTCCTTGACGTACAGTAACTGTTGTGTGTTTTAACAGGACGATGACTACTGGTTTCAATCCGAATGCATTGAATGTAAGTGGGTTGACAAGGACCTCTGCAAAGTAAGCTGTGGTGAAATGTGCCCTCTGAAACCGAGTGACTGTGATGCTGATGTAAGTATTATGTCATGGAGCATAAAGTGTAGCTACTAGTCCTATAAGCAGACCAATAAAAAAACAACTGTTACTTTTTGTTCAACTTAGCACTTAACAAAACGCTTCACCTTGATGCACTCTAATATGTCCGGTAAGATTTGATCCGGCATCTTGGTTCTATTTGACCTGTACTTTTCAGGGTCATTTTTCCGGTTCAAAAAAACTTTTCTTTGGATCCTCTCCGGGTCATTCGGATGCGGAACAGCAAAAGTGTGATTTTATTAGTACCAAAAATAGTGTAAATTTACCATGAAAAGTATCAGGCCACGTGAAATCTGACCTCATCCCGAACCTTTTAGAGGGTAAACGGTTAGCTTTGCATATGACCAAAAGCTACTCACGAACAGTGACTTCGGAAAAGATATACTACCAGTATTATGTCAGGAGATTTACATTAAACAAAAAAGGGTGGGTAAGCTCTCAGGGAAGATCAATATAGAATAAAACATGTTTAAAAAATGAATGCAATTGCACTTACTTAGAGTGACCGTTTGTTGATACACCTTTTGAACTGTGCAGTGACTAACCAGTAACTATAATATCTCTAAAATACTTTATGTGCTTGGATAATTTCATTGGTCGGTATAAAAAAAAAACAATTGTGTACTGCTGTGATATAAAGGGATGTGCCATTTTTAACCCCCTAGGGCGCGATGTATACTTTTTCGCCCCTCGGGTGGTAAAAACGTCAAATCCCACATCACATCAGTCAACAATTGTTAAATATCACAAGGAAAATAAAGATGTTCAAACTGTGCTTTTCAGTTCGGAAAAGAATTTGTGAATTGAAATTTGAACGGTCTTTTGACATGAAGGCATGCTAGTGTGAAATGCTACCATAGTACCTTAAAAGAAGGCCGTTTTAGTTCAAGAGAATGCAATAGCAAATCATGAAATTATACAAATTTCATTTTTGAGTTGTGTATGTTTTTCATTTGGCTGTATTTTACCGTACAGGAAGAGCTAGTGGATGAAATGAAAGATGACGGCAAATGTTGTCACTGCATTCCCATAGGTATGTACTACTGTCTCATATGTACCTTATAGTTTTGTAAAATTTTCTTTGTTATTAATAAACGTTCGATAGAAAGTCTTTCAATTTAGCAAAGGTAGCAACGCACTCTTACTTTTTAGCTGATCGTTGTAGTGTTACACTTACTATAAGAAAGTCGTTTAAATTATTCAGTTTTAAAATTTAGGTTTCGTGGACCTTGGTTATTATTTTGTACATATTGATGTTTGTGGGGTTTTATTTTTCAATATAAAGTTAGATATTTATTTCCTCTGTGGAAGTTGAGCGAATTATTCACCATGTAGCAATGTCATCAAGAAATACATCTTCAATTTCATTCCAGAGCGTTGTCAATATGAAGGTGACGACTACGATGTTTACAGAGAGGTAATATTATCTGTACTCTGGAGAAACTTCTGAAAAAAATTCGTTGAAGAATGAATAGGAACATTCATGTTTAAAACTATTTGCAGGTTCTACTAAGTTTGTGGGTTTTTCTTTTACACGCTGCGCTGTATTGTTTGAGACGCAACTTTATAATCTCTTTTGGCAATTGTTACTAATGGTAAAGATTCGGGGGATTTTCTCTAGAATTGAACTTAAATTCAAAGTTGCATTCTCCTTGCTTTTTTCGAGTTTAGCCAGGAAAAAAAGGTTTCTTTTATTCATTGCAATTTTTCAAGCAATACAAATTTTTTTTTTTTTACCGCCAATGTTAAATTATGGACTCATTAATAATTCAAAGATAACTTTTGTGAGTATTCAAAGACATTTTTTTGCGCAACAAATACCAGTTATTCAGATGTTGGAAAATAAGGGAAATTTAGCTTGTTTTCTTGAAAACAAAATACAAATTGAAAACTCGTCAGAACAAAAAATAGATAAGCTGCAGAGCACCAGTGTACTTTGAAACGTTGCAACTTTGAAAAAAAAAGAGTTTGACTAATAACTCTAGAGCAAATTTATATTTTGGTCATGAGCATAGGTAAATGAAGTTAAAGGGTTGAAGAGCTTTCAAGTTTTCATTGTTAAGACATGATATGTCGAGGCCCACAACATTTGGCGTCCGGAAATGACAGATTTGACAGTCGGCATTGTTTCTTTTGTTTGTACATTTGTTCAGCCTGGTGAAGTATGGTACCCTGAGAAGTGTATGCGATGTGAATGCAAGGAGAGTGGCAATGTGATTTGCCAGACCTTCGTGTGCCCTACGCCACAATGTACCGATGTAAGTTGAAAACCTCCTCTCTTTTCAAAAAGTAAAGGGGCAGTTAAACCTTTGAGTGACAAAATCGTCTGAAAAAACAGTAGGGCTTATATAGATAATCCGAAATAAATAAGATAAAGTTTAGTCAGACTTGTGTTCGAGTCACCAAACATCGAGTCCGAGTCACCTCTCCCGAGTCCGAGTCCCCACTCCCGAGTCATGCAGGTCGAGTCCAAGTCCCAGTCACGAGCCACAAAGGTCGAGTCCGAGTCCGAGTCACGAGACACCTTTAATCTATATGACATATATTTTAGAAGTACTGCTTAAACCTCACAGTAAAAATTCTCCTTTTTTCACAGCTTTTATTCTAATTTAATGAACCAGAAATACATGTATAACATGTCAAATAAAGCAAGACACCAGTGTAAAAGGATAATCTTGTACTGAATACTATCAAGCTTGCATTTACGCAATATCAAGTGTGGACGCTGGGGTACATGTTTCGATGCATTGGTTTCCCAAATTAATATATCGGAACGAGCCAACTGCACGAACTGTGTATGTACAGTACTTAGATGCGTTTCTTCTGCACCGCACAAACTGTATGGCTTGCCCAGAAGAGGATTGTCTTCAAAATATTTTGTAGTTATACTGTTGAACAAAAATAAGTGATTTATACAGTAGCGTATCCATCTTTTGATGTCGATTGTTGACTGGATTGCTTCTGGCAATACTTTAACAGGCGCCAAAACAAAATAAATGTGTATGGTTTCCCCACAGCCAATTAATGATCCACACGTGTGCTGTCCATACTGTCGTAAGTACTCCTTACTTTATTGACGATGCAATCAGTTTAGAAATTGAATTCTTACATTTTTACCCTTTCTTCTTTTGGTATAATCATAGTTTTGCAATAAATTGTTGCATTTTTGTAGTGATCCACTGGTCCTATGTTTGCATGGGACCTCTGTAACGGCTGTAAGTTAATGTTCCCCTTGGTGTAATATACTGAGGCACGTTTTGTTACCATTTCGCACCTGCAGCTCCAACAACAACTCCAATACCACCGACTACAGCTGTGCAAACTACAACGCAACAGCCGACCACAACAACACCAGTACCTACAACAACAGGATCCAAATGTACTAATTGTTTTGCATTTACTGTATTCTTTTATTGCGAATTTATAAGTTGGTCGAAATCACACATGAAAAATACAATTGAAATACACTTTTCAGTTTTTGGAGTATGTCTACTCTAAACTAATCTTCCGAGTGAAAAAAATCTACATCTTTTAATATGGGTTTTGGTGTCACAGATGTTTTTATTAACCCTGTATACTCAGTCTTGTCACAATGCTACTCGAGTGGAACTCGAACCTACGACCTCCTACCCTCGCGTAGTATACTAATTATTGTATGTATCAGTGCAGTGATAACAGCAATTTCATAAGGCGACAGATGGAATGTTCCATTCCACCTGTCACCTCATGAAATTATTCTTTCCATTGCACGAGTTACACAACACGTGAATATTTCCTCATCCGATTGGTCCGAGCCACCAATACAACGGCCGTGCAATAAAACCTCTGTTTGCCGTGGAATGGAACTTTGTTTCCAGTGCCGCCGCGCCGTGCATTGGGACGAATATTTCAATAACATGTGACCGACGACCCACCAATCAGATGACTTGGCTTTATTCAGACGTTGTATAAATCTGACTATACAGTGCCTAAAAAGAACGCCGGTGAAAGGCGAAGCCCCATATTGAAAAGTCTGTTTTCATTAATCACACTTCAGTGAAAAATCAGGCATAATGCATAAGGGGTGATACATTTGCCAACATTAAAAAGCAAAACTACCAAGTTATTATGAAATACCTCACTGCACTGTGATAGTGAATGATAGTCTAAAGCCTCCTGTAAAATCTTGGCAGCTGGTGTGAATGTGATGCTTTTTCAAGAAAAGCGGTATTTTGTGTATCAATTTACAAGCAAGCTAGACTCGTTCACGATCTTACAATTCTTCGACGTCTATAAATTGCATCGACAAACACAAAACTTCAAACAAGTCATTGTTATAATATTTATATTTATTAAAAAAATTAAAACGCAAAGCTAGAAAACTTGTGAACTGACCTTGACATTTAGTGAAAATCCTTATTCAAACCATCATGGAAACCTTGTAGGAATCTGCTGTAGATAAATCCTACAAACATTTTGTTTGTTCAAGGATCTAAATGTGTTATTTTGTAAATTTTACGTAAATCTTTTACTATTAATTTGGTTGTACCAACGCAGCATTTTTTGCTTTGTTCGATTTCAGATTGTCCAGATTACTGCCATATACCCGATAAGATTCCCTGCGAAGATAGCCAATTCTACTTTGGCGGGAATCTACCCTTTAAGCCAGATATTCGCTGTGAACCCGGTTTTCCCTTCAGTGTCGATCCAGATTGCGAATGTAAAGAAGGCTACTACAAAGACGGGGACGAGTTCCTGCAACATTTTTGGTTCACATATGGAACATCGATGTGTTTGATAGTAGAAAGACCGTGCGACTGCCTGGATGAAACCACCGACACCTATTATGGGGTAAACCTGAGTGTTATATTGTTTGCAGCAAACAATTTTAAAAAACAAACAAACATTTTGTACAATGACTTGCTCAGAATGCTTGGTACATTTTAATTTTGAATTCTCCGGGCCAAAGACACTGTTACTAATCACATGATTCTTGGCAATCTCTTGCATAGTTAGGTAGAGACGCTCAGCACCAAAACATTGTTCACAATGGGTGAGAAAGGCACACAGACATCAGACCATGCCGGAGCTGGGGGTTGCTAGCATAAGACTTGCCCCAAATCACGTGGTATAGTAACAGTCTCTTTGGTATGGCGAATGCAAAACGTGCAAAGAATTGGATTAAGTCAGCGTTCCAGATTTTATTCAAATTTAACTCGCAAATGGCTTATTGTTTGATGTGGCAACTTCGTAGGTCGGCGACAGTTTCATCAGGGGAGACTGTGAACTCTGCACGTGTGTGCTCATGCCATCAGGATACGACTTAATGTGTTTCATAGATGGAGATCTGCCTAACTGTACTCTTACAACTACAGGTGAGTAAGTCAACAAATATTGAGTGGCTCAGAGTAAAATGGGGGAGGAATATTATCGCAAGGTAAAATCTGGACTTTTCCATTTCACGAGGCGAAGCCGAGTGAACTGTAAAAGTCCAGATTTTACCGAGCGATAATATTCCTCCCATTTCACTCTGAGCCACTCAATATTTGTTTTATATAATTTATATAACTGACATATAGATCCTTGTCAGTTGAACTTTTATTTCAATACATAATTAATCTCTTTCAAACCACCCCTTTACGAAAATGTTTGAACCCAACTCTGTAGCGCTGTCTCTTTGGAACAATACGTCGTCACGAACGCTGAAAGCGCACACCAGCATGCATTTGCACACAAATACCGCGTCATGGAACAAGAATAATCCTATCTGTTGAATAGTATTTCCCATTCCCCGTAGGCGAATGGGACTTTCTGAGCCCCGGCGTGAATGGGAGCAATTACGAATGTCATGTGATGGAGATGTGAGTTCCACCAATCAAATGACAAGGATCTGTATGTCAGTTATAGAAAGAAGGATAAACAAGTAGAACAACCTAGTCATGTGCTTGTCACATGGACAAACACAGAGCTAGGTTGTCGTTATTTCTGGTATAGTATGCATGTTTAAGGAACTATGTAATAATGACGTTGGACTTGTCGGATTTTTTTTAACATTTGGCTTATTACAAATACAAATTTGAATTATCGTCTTTTGTTCCCTATAAAAGTTACACTGATAAGATTGCCAGAATAAAATCAGATCTAGGATCTACCTAAAGACAACTCCAGGAAAAGTGAAGGACAGTTTGTTGCTTTCTATTCAAGATAGGTTTCTTTTACGATAACTTTCTTTTAAGTTTGCTTTGATTGTGTAACCCAGTTGTTTCAATCTGCTTTTAACCCGTTACAGCTGAAACTACAAGTGCACCGCCACCAACCACCACAAGAGCTCCAACCACTACAAGAGCTCCACCCACCACAGGTAGTCGACATCAGTCTGTTCATGTATTATGTTGTAGTGTCACACCATTTATAATGGATCGCACAAATTAAGGAAAGAAATGGTCAAGCAGTTTTGGTAGCACTGTATCAAAGGCTACAAGGGCCTACAAGCGTTGAAGCCAATGCTGCAGAGTAGTTTGTCAGAATGAAGCTGAATATCAACCCATTTCGTGGCACATAAAACAATACAAACTAATTTGGGGAAACAAGATGTGAAGCATCTCCAATGTTTGGGGAATCGACCACAGCTTACCATGGAGAGTGGTCAATAAATATGTACCTTATAATCTCTTCTGTAGTTCACTAAAAACAAAAATCACGATTGATTGCTTATATTCTTTGCGACGAAGCCTTTGTGAAACTTATGTCTAGTTGAAGGTTAAGCTCGAGCACTAAAGTAAGCAAAATACATTGCTTCATCAAGTGTTATTTTACGTTCTTGTTTGTGAACGATACAAAGCATATACTTAATTTATTCTAACCTTTTGGTTTTAACAGCGGGTACAGTACCGACCACAACACCCGCAACTTTCCCTCCGACGACACCAAAGCCACGTAAGTTTCATTATGCATACGATATTCTAAAATATCCAACGGAATGTATCGCACCCCAAACGGTTCAATTTAAACATTAACGTACAGTGTGAATCACAATAATGCAAGCAAAATTTAACGGAATATATATTGACTATAATGTGGGAACAACATAAATAGTATAGGTATGGTTTGAAAAATACGCTTTTCCACTTTAAAATGAGACATCAAAAGTCCAAATCTGAAAATATTTGCCAGAGTTATGAGTAATTTTCCAAGAGAGATCTAATTGACTATGCCACCAAGTTTTGAATTTTATGTATTGGGACAAAGGTAGCCTATTTGCCTCTGTGTGGAAATTTGCCTGGCCTGCCAACAAAAATGCGTTTCGCGAGTAAACACATTTCTAAACACTTTCTTGATATCACATCATGCTAAAAATTAATAGCATGTAAACATATTAACAAACTGATAGCAAGAAAATCAGATGTGGACGCTATTTAAGTGTAAAAGTGTATCTTTCAAACCATACCTATATTATCTATGTTGGTTACACATTCTACGTCTGGCATTCCGTAATAATTTGTTTGCATTTTTTACACACTGTGAATAACTAAAGTTTGTAAAGCACCAAAATGCAATAAATCAATCAAAATGTGCACCGATGCTCTTACCTTTTACTTTCATCGTTTTATCGAAAAGCACGTAGCCCGCAGTTTCCTTTGATACATTGAGGTAGCGTCGGTTTTATCCGTCTATAACAATTAAATTGATATATAAGGATTGCAGAACTGCTGACAATTTACCTTAAGTTGTGAAGTTTGCAAAGACTATACAGGTAAGTATTGCTTGTTTTTGGCGAGCTGCGAAGCAGATGCGAGCCTATGTAATACCAATTTCCGTCCGTCTGTCCGGGCGCCCGTCCGTCCGTGCTTACCAGTGACCACTTGTGGGGTACCTGTCCATTGTTGGAGGTACCCCGCAAGTGAAATCTTTAGAAAATAGGGTACCCCACAAGTGAAATCTTTAGAAATAGGGACAAAGGGACAATAATAGGGTTGGTGTTAGGGTTTGTGTGAGTAGGATGAGTAGGGGAGCTAGGATGGGTGGGACGGGGCGGGTTGGGGTGGGGTGGGGTGGGGAGAGGGGTTGGAATACTGGGTTTGGGTGGGGTGGGGATTTGTAGGGGTGGGGTGGGAACAGGTAGGGAGAGACAGGTAGGGGGAGACAGGTAGGGAGAGGATGGGCATGGATGTAGGGGTTGGGTTAGGAGGGGGTTGGGCAGGGGGCGGGATATAGGATCGGAGTAGGGGTTGGGTTTGGGATGTGTAGGGATGGGTTGTTGTAGGAGTTGGATAAGGGAAGGGGCAGTATATAGGGATCAGAGTAGGGTTGCATGGGGTCAGGTGGGGATGTATGGGTGGGGGAATGGGGTGGGCGGGATATTGGAATTCGAGTAAGGGTTAGGGTGGGGATGTGTAGGGGTGGGTAAGGACAGATAGGGGAAGATAGGGTAGGTGGGTGTAGGGGGTTGGGGTAGGGGAGGGTACGGGTCAGGGGAGGGGGAAGGAGATAGGGATTGGAGTTTGGGTAGGGTTTGGATGTGTAGGTGATAGGGTGGGGATGATTAGGGGAGGATGGAATGGGTGTGGGTAGGGGGTTGGGTGGGGGAGGGGGAGGGGGCGGGTTGGGGATGGGGTAAGGTTTTGGGATGGGGTAAGGTTTGGGGGAGGTGGTGATGGTGCTGTGTCTACATGTACATGTATACCCATTCTTGTTCTGCATTTGTGGCGACTACACAAGAGTTTTCCCATGGTAATATAAGTATGGGGAGCAGAAGACACTGTTGGGGCTGCAAAAATCCACAACTGGGTCCTAATTACCCTAACAATGGAAAACTCCCCCATAATACAGTGACGGCTAACCTATATACACATATATTTATTAGGTAATCTGTTGACTTTTTATGTTGACATTTAAAAACTGACCCCTACACCTAGGCACATCAACAATAATCATGATCCCCTTCCATCATGCCCATCCCCAACCCTACCTTCAGCCTCCCTTCCTGCCTTGGACAGCGAGCCATGGCGGCTTCGCCGTTCTAGTTACAAATTGAGTTTCTTTCAGTAATTAAGATATTTGCTTCTACTGCAATTTATTCTTTAATTATTTCCTGTTTCAGCATGTTCCGATCAGTGCTACGGAGAACCGGAGATTCCATGTGACAAACAAACCTACGATTACTACCTGGCCAATGGGTTCCCTCCCTTCTCGGTCGTCATATTCTGCTCACCGTTTATAGTTGGTCCCGAGAACGGGCCCACCATACCCAACTATTACGCAGATTGCGACTGCGGCGAAGGCTATTACCGGGACTACGATAACTTTGATGATGAGAAATCCTTATTAAGCGAACTCGGCTTCAGCTGGGAAACATACATGTGTGTGGAGCTTGAGAAACCGTGCCAACCACCAGGACCATGCCCCTTCAATGAAACATTGACCCTTCAGGTATTTAGGATTGATACAAGTCACTTTTATACGTTCTACTATTTTTAATGAGGATATTCATTGCATTGCTCTCACCTTTGCTCTAACCCTTTCATTTCGTGATGTTCCATTTCTGGTAAAATGGATCCTAGAACGACCCATGTTTTTTTTTACCAAAGAGAATTAACACAATTGACACATTGAGGTTATGTTTGGCATCTGATTAGCTTTGGTTTTTAAAATGTTATTTACCTCACTATTGCTTTGTTAGTAACGTCAATAAGTTGGAAATTGTTTAACACTGATTTCTTTAAACTCAAGACCATGGCTCACAAAACGAAACGTAATACATGAGAGGATAGAATTCCAATGCATCCACATGTCGAATTCGTAACCTGTGGATTTTGGAGCCCACATTCTTACCAGTTCAAGTATACAATCATATCACCGAATTTATACTCTCTTCCCCGTTAATTTTAAATTTCATTCCGAATTTTTTTTGTACTGTTTTTTTTTTAAGAAAAAACAATAAGTGACTCTTAGTAACATAGTAACTAGTAACTTTAAAATATTTGAATAATTAGCGGCCGCAAAACCAACCAAAAATAAAAACATATTTAGCTTTCAAAGGTCCAAGAATAGAAAAGAAATTACCTTTCGGATTAAATAAAGCAACAAAATTGAAAATATTCTGAAAACAAATTAATACATCAAGTCCAAAAACTGCACGTTGTTTGTTATTAATTTGCGGATTTTATTTACTTTTTTAAAGCCTGGAGAGTCGATCCAGCAAGACTGTAGTATTTGTACTTGTGAGCTGAAGGGAGGCAGCACTACTGGACGATACGAGTTAATCTGTGATCCTATCCCAGGCTGTACCACAACACCAGGTAGAATTGTCTTCAAACTTTGATTTACTTATATATTTTTGGTCTAGTTTCGCCTAGTATTTAAAGACTTCATTCAACGGATAAACGATACATTGAATGTCCAAAGTCCACAAGACATATCAGTATCGCCTAAAAATTATTGTTTTCTAACGATTTCATAGATCTTAAAGAGCATCCCCATTCTTTGTATTTCCACCTACATTCCTTTATGCCAGGTAGCTGCACTTTAATAGGTGAGGCGTGAAAACGTATTAAAACACTGAGTTGTCCCTGCCCCCAGCTGTTTTTCATTAAATTTGTTTTTGACTGAGGCTCCAACCTTCTCAATAATAGATCAAGCCTGGCTAAGGAAGAAATCTCAAATGTGGCTTAAGTAATCATATTAACAGCAATACAAAACCAAGAGATTTAAATTGACACCGGTTGTGTCTATACACCGTTGGTCCGATTTGGAAACCAGCGGTGTTTAATCCAACTCACCCAAGTGTGTATTTGCCTACAATTGGGGACCCGGCCCCTATTGTCACTGTTTTGTTTGTACTCTTTAGGAAGACCGCCCATATGTTTTGTACTCGATCGCCAAATGGTGGACTTTCGGGAATTGGGGACCTTAATGTTCTCTATTGTTCAACGTCCCCTATTGAATGCAGAACCAAACGCCACTGTTTTGCCGTGAGTGTATTATTTATCAAACGGAGAGCAGCGGTTGAAAAATCATTCACCTTGTGATGAGCTCCAAAGGTCACAAAAAATAAAGTATTGTTATTACTGCATTATTTACAGGAATTACCACTACCATAGTGACAACACACATCACTACGCCCATCCAAACAACATCTAAACAAACGACCGCTGTCCAAACAACACCCGTGATGACAAGTATACGGACAACGCCAGTTCAGACGACCACACCTATCAAGACAACAATTCAGACGACAACACCACTAAAGACAACTACACCATTCATCACTACCACGCCTATTAGGACGACTAAACCACCTTCGTCACTAGCTCCAACAACGACTGCGGCTCAAACCACAACTACAGCTCGAACAACCACTGCAGCCCAAACAACCACTGGGGCTCACACAACTACCGCTGCTCAAACCACGACTGAGGCTCCAACAACAACCGCAGCTCAAACAACCACTGCGGCCCATACGACCACTTCAGCTCCAACCACTGAAGCTCCAACGACCACTGAAGCTCCAACGACCACTGCAGCTCAGACAACCACTCCATTTCAGACAACCACTGAAGTTCCCACAACCACTGCGGCTCCAACGACTGCAGCCACAACCACTGCAGCCCAAACAACTACCGCAACTGAGGCTCCAACAACCACTGCAGCGCAAACTACCACTGCAGCTCAAACAACCACTGCAGCCCATACAACTACTGCAGCTCCAACCACCGAGGCTCCAACAACTACTGCAGCTCAAACAACCACTGCAGCGCAAACTACCACTGCAGCTCAAACAACAACCGCAGCTCAAACAACCACTGCAGCTCAGACAACCACTGAAGTTCTCACAACTGCAGCTATAACAACCACCGCAGCCCATACAACCACTGCAGCCCCTACCACTGAAACTCCAACAACCACTGCAGCTCAAACAACCACTGCAGCCCATACAACTACTGCAGCTCCAACCACCAAAGCTCCAACAACCACTGCAGCTCAGACAACCACTGAAGTTCTCACAACCACTGCAGCTCCAACAACCACAGCAGCGCAAACTACCACTGAAGCTTTAACAACCACTGCAGCCCATACAACTACTGCAGCTCCAACCACCGAAGCTCCAACAACCACTGCAGCTCAGACAACCACTGCAGCGCAAACTACCAGTGCAGCTCAAACAACAACCGCAGCTCAAACAACCACTGCAGCTCAAACAACCACTGCAGCCCATACAACTACTGCAGCTCCAACCACCGAAGCCCCAACAACCACTGCAGCTCAGACAACCACAGAAGTTCTCACAACCACTGCAGCTCCACCAACCACAGCAGCGCAAACTACCACTGAAGCTTTAACAACCACTGCAGCCCATACAACTACTGCAGCTCCAACCACCGAAGCTCCAACAACCACTGCAGCTCAGACAACCACTGCAGCGCAAACTACCACTGCAGCTCAAACAACCACTGCAGCTCAAACAACCACTGCAGCTCAAACAACCACTGCAGCCCATACAACTACTGCAGCTCCAACCACCGAAGCCCCAACAACCACTGCAGCTCAGACAACCACTGAAGTTCTCACAACCACTGAGGCTCCACCAACCACAGCAGCGCAAACTACCACTGAAGCTTTAACAACCACTGCAGCCCATACAACTACTGCAGCTCCAACCACCGAAGCTCCAACAACCACTGCAGCTCAGACAACCACTGCAGCGCAAACTACCACTGCAGCTCAAACAACAACCGCAGCTCAAACAACCACTGCAGCTCAAACAACCACTGCAGCCCATACAACTACTGCAGCTCCAACCACCGAAGCCCCAACAACCACTGCAGCTCAGACAACCACTGAAGTTCTCACAACCACTGCAGCTCCACCAACCACAGCAGCGCAAACTACCACTGAAGCTTTAACAACCACTGTAGCCCATACAACCACTGCAGCTCCAACCACTGAAGCTCCAACGACCACTGCAGCTCCAACGACCACTGCAGCTCAGACAACCACTGAAGTTCTCACCACCCCTGCAGCTCCAACAACCACAGCAGAGCAAACTACCACTGAAGCTCAGACAACAACTGCAGCTTTAACAACCACTGCAGCACATACAACCACTGCAGCTCCTACCCCTGAAACTCCGACAACCACTGCAACCCAAACAACCACTGCAGTCCAAACAACTACCACAGCTCAAACCACAACTGAGGCACAAACAACCACTGCAGCACCAACCACTGAAGCTCCAACGACTACTACAGCTCAAACAACCACTAAATTCCTCACAACCACTGCTGCACAAACAACCACTGCAGCTCCAACCACTGAAGTTCCAACGACCACTGCAGCTCAGACAACTGAAGTTCTCACAACTACTGCAGCTTCAACAACCACATCAGCGCATACTACCACTGAAGCTCTAACAACCACGGAATCTCGAACCACTGAAGCTCAAACAACGACTGCAGCTCCCACAACTACAGCTATTATCACTGCTACAGGTATGAGGTGTTAATGCAAAAAAAACCTATTTTTTGGTGTTTACCCCATGTGATGATATTTATTGCTATTTTATAAAACAAATTGTGGATAATACGTATCCCAATTCAGTTATTCAGGGCGAGCGTTTTAACTGAATTGCGCGACATGGACAAAAGAAAACAAATCAGTAAAGTCCACAAATCTGTGCTGCATTTAATAAAGAGGAGTCAATAGAAGTCGTCAATTTAGCAAAATGATCAAAAGTAAACAACCTGCCAATAAGATGCACTGCTGGACCAGGGACCATATGGTGCAAATGACTGATGTTGAAGCTTTCTCCGGAACTGAAAGTTAAGTTTGGTTGATGTGTTCTTGTTGTTCTTTATATTGATATGAAACAATAATTTTTGTTATGTTTAAATTATTGAATTATCAGATACATGACGATGAATTTGTAAGACCCAATCACCTTGTTCAAATCTTCATATCTGCAATGGTGTGTTTTCCCGGCAGCGTACTGTCTGACCCCTTTAATGGACCTGGGCCTGGTGGAAATGTGGGTGATCTCCGACGACGCCGGGACCAGCATCCCACTTGAGGATCCCACAGATCCTTGGAAAGTGGACAACATACTAGAGTGGGAGATCATCGAGGCCACTTTACGCTATTGGGCGCAGATCAGGGGTATCAAGATCCTGGGCCAGGTCTCCGAGCCCATGGAAGTTACCTTAAGCTACAGTGTGAACAGGACCCAGATTTTAATGCCGCTGGTGAGAACCTCGAACCACTTTCCTTTTGTGCTTGCTTTTGTAATGGTTCTGAAGAAGAACTTCAATATTTCGTAGGAAAGAGCAATTCCAATTAAAAAAGTAAATTCAGTTTGTTTTTCACCTAGAATAGGGGTTGTCACGGTAACTTAAGTAATTTAGGCTACCAAAATGTACTGGAAATGCTACATCGTCGTAAAAAAAAAACATTAAAACAGATTTTTAAATCTCAGTGTGTGGCTGCAGACTCTCCTATACTAAAACAAGCTCGATCTGAAAAGTCATTTTCTAATTTAGAAAAATATCATTTTGCCTTAACAGCACCCACATTACAGTTAAATGACATTGCTTTCGCATGTCTTCTTTCTCGATAGGATCTGCATATAGATCTTCTAAAGGACACTTACGTCAATATCATATTCGACGAACCATTGCGTTTCGTCACAGACTTGCAATTCAAGCTGAAGAAATACCCAACGACGGCAACAGCGATCCAAATGGACTACTTAGGCTGTGTTGAACGTACGTGCGCTCCTTTAAGACGTTCTGATCTAACATCATCAGTTTATTATATTCAGATTATGGAGAGATAATAGTCGACTGTTAATATATTATTTTTTAGCTGATTATACTTAAGATTGCTGAAACAAACATCTGATATGTAACACTTAAAATTCCGTGTACTAAATGAGAATCCTGTTGATAATGGAAGGTAAGGTACAAAATGAAATTATTCGGATTAGGATTTGGTAATTGTTTGCTATTTGAATTTGCAAATACATTATTCTCTGCCAATGCAGTCGCATCGGCTCATAGTTGTTTTGGTATAAAGATGCAAGATCAAACCAAGACAAGGGAAGCCTAAAAAGCTGGTCCCAGTGTGCACAGATTTCGGATATGATTCAGAATGGCTATCGACGGGAAGTCTTTACATGCATCTGGTTTACAAAGTAGTTTTGCTGGGTAATCCTATACAATAGCACTGCCCAGCACTCATGTACCTTAAGTCACCTAAAGTCACAAGTGACAGTGTTTCAGTCAGTTAGTCAGTCATAGGTATACACTTGGCTGGTCCCCTGGGATAAGTAGAATATTCTGGGAATGACAGCTATGATTTTAAGTGTATTATTTACGAAAAGTGGTAATCACTCTGTTTTGTTGTCGCAGCGGTGAGGCCACCTGAACCAACAACGGCAGTAAGCGTACCAACTGCTTCAACAGGTTGGTGTCAGTTGTAGGCTTACCTCTTGTTTTGTTCTTTGTAATCATGCCCGGAAGTAGCTTTAGAACATTCCTTTCAGACAGTGAATCAAGTGCAACCGGTTGAAGAGAAAGAGCATCTTAGCTTTGTGATCTATAGTCTGTTTACTCTTTGGCGAGTTTTAATTAAGTAGCATTGTTGTTAAAAAAATTCACAGAGGGTAATAAAAGGAGAGTGGGAAGTGTACCCGTACAGTGTGTATTTTATAGTTTTATTGCATTAACTTGTAACACCTTCGGTGCTGGAGAAAATGCTAATTGTTTTCTCCATTGCTAGAGCATTTGCTGGCGGCTACAATATAAGCCGTTTCACATTCTACTCCTCTGCACCTGTGTTAATGTTTGAAATGAACTTAGCAAAACTGCGTTACAACGTCTGTGGCATCTTCGAACAACGACGGTGTGCCAGAGTTATGGCATCAATTGAAATACTACTTTTACATAAATCACATTATGACTCTGGTACAAATATAATGCATGCTTTCCGGCCTTACCAGAAACTGCCTGTTGTTATTTTGGGAAATAGCCATGGCTGCGCAATGAGGTTCCACATTAACATGTCAGCTTCCCCCCCCCCCCAAAAAAAAGATTAAATGAGATATTTCAAATTAACAAAGAGGAATGTCTGTCTCTGTGACATGAAATCCTTGATAATGTTAACCAAATTCTGTAGTCTTTAAATATTGAGAAAATATATATTTCTTGTGCCTACTGAACCTTTACTCCAGTGATATTTTAAGGGCTGCAAGATATATAATATCAGAAGCAATTCACATTAAAAAGATGACTCAACGCGTGTTTACTACACATGTACATGTAGTCAATGTCTTGGGTAAATATTATTACGTTTCAGAAGCGCCAACGACATCAGTCACCACAGAGGTTATCACAACAGAGGAGACTACTACAGAGATAGTCACAACCACAGCTGCTACAACTACTCCCGAAGCTACGATCACGGAAAAGACAACAGTTGCAACTACAACCGGTGAGTAGTCAAATGTTGCAAGTTAAGGTAATTGTAAAATAAAATGTTTTTTTCAGGCTTCAAGAATAAAAACAAACCAAAGGGATAACATGAAACGATTTGATATTGAGAAACAAATGACATGGTAACGTATAAAAAAATTCCTGTTTTTGAAAATGGCGGCCACTTTTGTCACAGGAAAAATCTGAGATTGCCCTATCGCCAAACATTCTTTAATAAAAAGCACATTCTCATAAATGCCAAATTGCATGCTTCTGTCATCAAAGGCACAGTTCTACCAAATATTTCAAACAGGCAATACTATTAAGCACTATACTTGGTACCGTCTTGCTTGATTTGGAGAGTCTGTATTTTTCGGCATCAAATATGTTTTAATCCTTCGGTGTAGCTTTAACCGAGGTTCCTACAACAGCTAGGACTGCCACCACAACGGTGACAACTCGGGAAACCACGGTAATTCCAACAACCACGGCTGCGCCAACCACAACGCTGGAAACTACAACTGTTGTTCTTACAACAACTCCTGAGGTCATTACCACGGAAGAGACAACCACCGTTGTAGCTACCACCGAGGCTACAACAACAGGTATGATCTGAACTGATTTATTAATTTCCAAAATAACAACATTATTTAACAAACAAATGTAGAAAACATAAAATAATGAGATGAAGAGTGGGGAGGCCTTTCTTTTAATAATAACGTTAAAAAAAAAATTAACTATTGCAAATTACTTGAACGTATACATGAAATGAAGCAACCATTTTTTAAAGTTGAACAAGGAAATTGAATGGAACGGGGTTTGAGCCTGCGACCTCCGGATTGCCGTTCCTTTGCTCTACGAATTGAGCTTTCTGACCCAACGGTTTGGCGGTTCCCCATAATTTGGGATGATTGTTTTGCTTTGTAAAATGACTTGCAGAAGCCCCAACGACTACTGAGAGCACAACGGTTCGAGTGACCACAACACCGGCACAACCTACCACTGAGCAACAAACAACCACTGAAGGAGTCACCACAACGGTCGTGTCTACTACTGCTGAGGCAACTACAAGACAAACCACGGAAGTCCAAACGACTGCAGGTAGATTCGTTGAAACTTTTCATCATTTTTGTGCTTTTTTGGTTTTTATGCCAATGCGAATCTGCATACTCATGATCAAAAGTGTGATGTCATTTCAGGCAGAAACTTCCATGTTACAGCTATTTCAGCACAAAATATTGCCAGAATAATAGATATTTTGCTGTCGTAAATGTTCTTTTCTTTGGTGATTCGTTGTTGTTGAAGTACATGACTGTAGGCCTATGAGCAAACTTTTTTTCAGAAAATGTTTTCAATGAGCAAATTTTGGGTTCACAATTTTAACAGCAAACCCCTCAACTGAACAGTGTAATCCTGAGATAACATCACAGCACAATGCCCTCATTTGTCCGATCAAGCATGGAATTTTTCAAATGTTTAAAGAAATGCACTTTTTATTACGATTAACCAAAAAGGGATTTCAAGCTGTTTTCATATATTTCAGAAGAGGAGAAAGTTGCACAAAATATGTTCCCAAGTAAAATTCATGTTACGGGCCTTTAAGTCGTTTTAAGCGTCTATACTTGAGTGGGTGAACTACGTAAGTTTTAAATACACTGAACACTTACACATAATTTTTAACACCGATCATGTTTCAAAGGAATATTATTAATTCCTACTATAATGTTCAGATGAGTAAATGCATCTGGATACTTCATATCCAGTTTTGCTTTGTGCTTCGCCATAACACAAGTAGAGTATGCCGAAATAATGTTTTTATTTATCCACCTGTAACGCAGTGGCTTCACCAACTGCGACTCCAGAGACAACAACGACTGTTGTGACCACGGTCTCCACCACAGTGGCACCAACACAAACCGGAGCACCAACGACCAAGGAAGAGGTGACTACCACTGCTGTGTATACAACCACTCCAATAGCAAAGACAACTGAGGAAACTAGTACTCTTCGAACCACAACAGGGCCGACCACAACAGGTAAACGTGTTTACTGTCAGGACTGTTTGGGTAACTTAATGAAGAAATCTAAATAACTTTATTAACTGCAATGACCGTTGTTTGCATTAATAATTAAGCTTTCAAAGAGATTTTCGATTTCATAGGAAGTATAAAAAAGGGAGCATGGTCCTCTGATTACAACTGAACACGAAGTTCTTTTTATATTTGTTTACAGCAGTTGGTATGAAAAAAAGTTATGTATTTGATCAATAAAGGCCTAATGAGCTGCTCATATAAAATCATAAAATTCACTTTGCAGAAATCTAAAATTTAAGTAACAAAATATTGTAACACTCTATCTTGAAGTACATTGCAAACAGAAGATTGTCGTCTTGCCTTTTGGGGCTGTTTTTAAAATACCAAATCTTACTGTAATTTCATGATATGTATAAACAGAAGCCCCAACAACCACTGAAGCAAGAACTACTCATATCACAACAACCGTGGCACCAACCCAACCAACAGCCCAACCCACAACCACTGAGGAAATTACAACATCAATTGTGACTACTACACCGGAGGCAACCACAACAGAGAAAACAACAGTCCGTGCAACTACCGGTTCGTCTCTGTTGATGTACTTCCAATAAGTTGTCCTGCACTAAACTATAAGCACATGTTTCGAAACCTTGGTTTCGTCTCTGACTTTAGGTTCATGTCTTGTTTAAGAATCATTAAGGCGTTGAAAAAGTCCAATGAAATTTACGTATTTACTGAAAAGGGTTTGATGTGCCTGAAACGGGCCAAGGATTTTAGCCGGAGTCCCTTAAGAAAGGAGCCTCAATTCTATTCATACTGAGATCTGAAACATGCCGAGATTTTGTCAATCGATTTTAGTGGCAGTGTGGTGTTTAAACATTGCAGTAAGGCTGCTTTTGCTTTACCTCGACAGAAGCCACAGCAACAACTGTGGTCACCACCAAAGCCACGACTACAGCCCCACAAACTACCACAGCACCACGAACAACTGAGGAGGTCACTACTACTGCCGTGTACACCACCACGCCAGAGGCAACAACTACCAAAGAGACAACCACTGCACTGATAACAACGGGAGGAACAACAACAGGTGGTTTATTTTACTACAATACTTTATTCTGCAATTGAGAGTTAGTTCTGCCCTGTGTCACAACGCATGTCTGATTTGAATTTCATACAAATGGAAATGGGAAGAAACCTAAGTTACGGTACTGCTTTGTACATTACTTTGAAATGCCCATTGGTATAAGCATCGGAATATCATACTGGCTCCATTGAACATGTTGAGGCGATTGTTATTTTCAGGGACCAATTTGTCATCCGCCGAATAACCTTTTTGATATAGATCTGACATTGAGTGATTAATGATTCTGTTATAATTTTTGCAAATTGAGCATAAATCAACCAATCTGTCTGTAAAACTCGTCAACATAAAATAACACGTTATAAATATCAATAAAGTGTCATTATCGATTACCAAATAATAATATATCAATAATACGATATCAAATAATGATAAAAACATAATAATAATAATGTGTATTTAAAAAGCGCATTTATCCACCAGTGATTGTGCTCAAGGCGTAACACCATTATTACCTGCTCATTGGGCTACAAGGTAAATATCTTCTGAATGCATTTTCCAATACGAGTCTGAAGTGATCTCTCTGTGAACTTCATAGAAGCGCCAACTACAACGGAAGCCACAACCACTCGTGTAATCACAACAGAGGCCGCAACAACCTCAGCTACTCCACCAACAACCGAGGAAGTCACGACAAAAGTCGTGACTACTACACCCGAGGCAACCACTACAGAGACAACCACGGTGAAGTCCACAACAGGTAAATGATGAAACGGACAACTCTTAAGATACAATGAAAATTAAACAACATGTTATCACCATGAGTACATCATTAAGTTGGGCAAAGACGCGTCTATCCGTCACCATACGTTGAGATTCGAAAAACTCAACCACAATGTGAAACTGTCTAGATTTAAAGGCACGTAGGGGAATTGGTGATTACCAGCCACGTACCTCCCGATTTTGTGACAAAAATTAAGCTAAAAGTAAAGAAGGGTTTCTAAATGTACTCTGAGAAATTATTCTCTCTAAGATCATGTCATCGAACAAAAATCATTGCTATACAGTTGCTCCAACAACCGAGGAAAGTACGACATCCGTTGTCACAACTGTAGAGACAACAATAGCACCTACAACTGCCACATCACCTACAACCACCGAGGTTGTAACTACTACTGTTGTGCAGACAACCACTCCAAAGGCAACCACCACAGAGGAGACAACTACAGTAAGGGCCACGACAGAGGGTACGACGACCCGTAAGTGTTTTTCTTCACTTTTATTTTTTGTTTGATGTACACGTGCATGTTGAGTTTGAAATATGTCAATCACATGTCAATCACACGGCAATCATATTTCAAAACCCACGTTCGGTCTCAAGTAACTGTAGATGCATGAACGATGACAAATGAATGTCATTTACACAGTCGATTTGAATGGGTCGATCAACTTCTAACTTAAGACCGGACGACGAGAGATTGACTTGGGATTGACATGGAATTACCTAAATCAGATTTGAATAGTTATAATTATGGTGAAGATTGCTTAGGCCCTATTCAATAATTGCGATGTGACTCTCTGAAAAGGGATGTCGTTCAAAAGTGAATAACTTTTGTATTGCAAGAAAAATGCAATTTGAAAGCAATTTTGTTTTAGGGGTGAAATCCGAAAGCAGCATGGAGAACTTGGCAACTTTAAGTGTTGTTACTGTTGTAATGTTTATCACTGAGTTGGTTCCATTTCTACCATCAGAAGCTCCATCAACAACTGAAGCAACAACTCTCCGCGTTACGACCACTGAGGCCCCTACAACCACTGCGCAACCTACTACCACTGAGGAAGTCACCACAACCGTTGAAACTGCCACACCAAGAGAAACAACAATAGAGACAACAACATCCGAAACCACCAAAGGTAAAGAAGTAATGTCTCTCGAGTTGTACAATGCCATGGTCCAGTGGTTGCGGTGTTTTGACTTAAGTACGATGGTGCGTGGGTTCGAACCCCGCCAGGGACATGGCGTTTGTAGCGTTGCGCAAGACACTTAACTACAATTGCCTCTCTCCACCCAGGAGTATAAATGGGTACTTATTTGAGGGTACACGACCGAATGTGCGCTGATATTGGCTGCCACGTCATCTCGTGGCCTGATGAATTCTTGTAAAGTGCTTTCAGATTGTTGATGTAAAATGATTGATTTACATTGTTGATGTAAAACGATGTAAAACGCTAAATAAACATTATATTTTTTTTAATTTGTTTATTTATATATTTTAGCTGTATTCTACACAATGGTATAAAACAAAACTCAATATGACATGATTAACGATTATAAGTTTGAAGGGTTTTCATTTACATGTAAAGTAATATTGAAATGTTTCCATTTATTTTTATCATTTCCACAAGGCATGTATATTTCCGGGTAAAAAGCTGAAGCAAATAAACCTTGAACCCCCCCCCAAAAAAAAAAACACGCTGCTTAAAAAAGCGTAAAAGAAAAGCTTTTCTTTCTCGTCGTATGTTCCTCAAGCAAAGTTTTACTCCTTTTAAAAGCCATGATTTTTTACTCGCTTCATAGTGCCCACAACAACGGAAGAAAGAACTACCGTTAGAACAACCCAACAAACCACCACTGTCCCAAAGACCACTTCAGCTCCGCCAACAACTTCGCGAGTCACAACCGTGACAATTACTACGGCTACGCCTCTAGTCACAACGGAGGAAGTAACCTCCACAGTGTCTGCAACAACTGGGTCAACTGCTGCTGGTATGTTTGCCTAAGGGAATAAATGTGTGCTTGGCCGGTTTTAAACACTGTTTAAGACCGGTTTGGAGCCTAGATGCTGATAATGAGCCCAAGTCCAAAAGAACTTGTTTATCAAAAGTTCAAGACCGGCCACGTGACGGGCTCTCGACCAGTATGAATGGGTAAACTGTCTTATGATTAACAAATATTGACAACTGATATCTCATTAACATAGTTACAGTTTCTCCTGAAACTGTAGTATTTCGCGAGTGCAACGTGTTTCATCAGTTTTGTTTATTACGGGTCTTTAAAACCGACTACTTAGTTATGTAATCTTTGACTGAAATATTTACAGTGGCCCCAACTTCAAGTGAGGCAACCACAATTCGCGTGACAACCACAGAGGCTGCAACAACTACTGCCCCTCAGACTACCACCGAGGAAGTCACCACAACTGTTGTGTCGACCACCAAAGAAGCAACGACAACACAGACAACCACTGTTCAGACAACCACTGGTATGTTAAACTCCTATATGAAATAAGAATCTCAAACGTATAGACTGAGAACTTGCCACTGATGTATCACAAACGCGGACGTGGATTGAATTTGTCCATACAGCTAAATCTCAAGTAAGTTGTTTTTGGTTGCATCAAGAAAAGTGACAAATATCAGGTCATCTAGCAATCAGCTCTTCCATTTGTGTATCTGCTAAAAAAATTAATTCATTCAATATTTGTTTAGTTTCTCCTACAACTGAGGAAACAACCACATCTGTCCATACAACGCAAGAAACCACGACAGTTCCAACAACAACAGAAGCACCGACAACAACCAAAGAAGTAACTACCATCATAATTACTACAACTCCCGAGCTGACAACCACACAGGAGACAACAATTGCAACCACAACCGAAGCGCCTACTACCACAGGTGATTATGCTCATCAATTCATCAAACTGTTTTCAATAAAATAAAAAAAATCAATTAAAGGCAGTAAAACATGAATTTACAAGTCAAATTCTCGTGCATTTTGTTCCAAATTCTTATATTCCCCTAACTTTATCAGATCATGTTTGGTGATGATAAGGTTAAATTTTGTTGATGTATCAAAACATTTTCGTATGAATTGTCTGCGAATCAAATTAGGCCTTTACGCTCGTGAAAGACACAACTTGCCAAATATTTGTTATTTCTTCTTAACTTTTCACTGAGTGTGTCCTGCTTGAACCTATGTTCACTATAAATAATGTGTAAATGTTATCGATAATCATTTGTGATCTTTTACACTACTTTTTGCTTTAGAAAAATTTCCAATTTTACCAAACCAGAGTATTAAATTAAACTCCATTGCAATTCAAATCATGCAATTTGAAAGAAAGAAACGAAGCACGTAAAACTTGTTACTAACTTGTGGCATTTTATTATATAATTGAAGGGTTGGTTACAACGCCTGGGTCGACAACAGTAAGGCAAACTACTTCTGTGACAACGGAGGGTAAGTTACAAGATTTACTCCAGATATTGCGTCCTTAATTGGCCCTTTTGGTTAGTACTGGTTATTTTAACATTTACGGAATGAAATATCCGAAAGCCCTGGCCGTTCGAGGGTTACATCTTTCGTTAAGAAGTAAAATCTTCTTCTCTAGCACCGACGACACGAAGGCAGACTACGACTGAGGAGGTGACAACTGGTCCCATCACCACAGTGACTGTAAGGGAGACTACGACAGAAGGCGAGACAACAACCCACGTCACATCAGTCCAAACCACTACTGGTAAATAGAACCCTAAAATATCACTTATTTGGGATAAATCATGGCGAAAATCTGAGCAAGTTATAATTTATGTTTGCTTGGTTTTTATTTGCATTTTACGTTACCTGTCTTTTTTTTGGGGGGGGGGGGTTCCTGTACTATTTTTTACGTGCAAATTCCAATTAATTAAGGGTTGGTTATATTTCTTCGAGTGTGAGAAGTTATTTTCAAACAATTGAAATGTGTGCGCCTACAGAATGTACGTTTTCTCTTTCACTTTACTGTACACACAGGAGTACACGTTTGCATTCAAGACGGGGTAGAATATCAAGTAAGTACTGCAGAAGAATAGCATAGTAATACATCAATTAGGAATAGCATACTTTTTAGCAAGTCTGTATAGAATACCTTAATCTAAGTACGATCTAACTGACTTAAACGGGATGAGCTAAATACATTTGAAGTAAAAGCTGCATTTTTAGCTACACTATAGGAAGGAGATAAGGTCAATCTGTTTACTAAGGTAAATCGATTATTAAAAGGATTTTTTTTTGGACAGTATTATTAGTATTAGTCATTATTTCAAAACTTCAAGTTGATGTTTTGGTACTTACAGGCTTGCCCGATGCTTTAACATATCACAGACATTCAAATATCTAACCACGTTTTAGACTAAAACAAATAAAGAAAAGTGGATTCGATTAAAACGCAGTTGTTACGGTTTACATGAAGATAACTGCTCTCCAATGGAACACTTAAAAATTATCGATTGTTTTTCCCTCTTAAGAAGCCCCACTAGATCTTGAACAACTAGGGTTGTACCACAATTACAGCACGCACATTTTACAACGGAAGCCTACCTAAACAGTACCCTGTTTTTTTTTTTTTTTTTTTCATCATTTTATAGGAAGGTAATGTCATGCCGTCACCAGACAAGTGTAAAGTGCGATTCTGTACAGCGAATGGCGTTGAGGACATTGAAATAGTCTGCAACAGAACGTGCTATAACGTAAGTATGGTAATTTCCTTGTTTCGTTTACAAGTTCTTCATCTAGTGTAATTTGCAGTCCAAATGCCGGTTCATACTCAACGGGAATGCTCTCCAATACTTTGAACACAAGCAAAAAAAAAAATTATTTCAGGACAAACTTGAGTGACACTTGATTTATTTGTTCGAATGAATTTCACTTTAAAAGTCTGGTTCCCGGCTTCAAACCCATGCAGTGAATTTTCTTTCATATAGGGTGAATTTTCACTCTTGGGAAATGAGAACAATTGAAAGCAATTCAAATTGGTACGGCATTGCTGGATTCTTAATTTCTTCGATTTCCTTATTACTCTTCACAATAGGGATACCTAGTAGAAACAGACGAGGCCCACTGCTGCCCAATTTGTGGTAAGTGCTGCACATTATTCTCACATCTAAAGTTTCCAATGGATAGTTATTTTTTTAAGGGTTACTATAAGAGCATGCATATGTTTTGACCGAAACGAAAGTTAAGAAACGCTCCACGATTTGTGGTATTTCCCCTAAAGGTCAGCGATTTCAACATCAAAGACCTGGGTCAGACGTGACTCGGAACCGGGTCAGACCTGACACTTTTCAAGGGCAAAAAAGATAACTTTCTTATTATATTAATTGACATCTTTGGTCCATGTGATCCAAAAGATGATCCAGAGAAGTACCATTTTGACCAGGAAAAGTATCAGGTCGAATCTGACCCGGGTTTGGGGTCAAACTGACCCGGGGCTTTTTTGTAATGGCATCGTCCATACCTGCACAAATTATACGTCTCGACCTAAAAAAAAAATCAGGGTCGGGAAAAAAGATACTTTTCTGATTTTATGTGACACTTTATCCAAGGTTTCTGGTCATTATGACCCAAAAAAATGATCCAGAGAAGTACCATTTTGACCGGGATATGTATCAGGTTGACTCCGACCCGGGTTTGGGTGTAATCTAACCCTGGATTTATTTTGTAATGGCATCGCCCGTACCTGCACAAATTCAACTTCTAAAGTTTTCCACTGCATTCCAGGTGATGTAAAAAAATCGGTTGTTTTACCTTTCATTTTACAGTGCCGATTGAAGAGGATTGCTTCTTCCAGAAATATCTGAGTCTGGTGGTGGCAGACAACTGCGTCTCCGAGAACGAAATCCTGTACACGGATTGCGAGGGGAAGTGCGCCTCAAACAGCCGCGTGACCACGCTGCCCACGTCTCACATCCAGTTCGTCTGCGGCTGTTGCAAGCCGGACAAACTGTCCATCAACCACGTCAAGATGTTGTGCAATAACGGAACGACCCACTTTTACTCTTACTACGAAATTGAATCGTGCGCCTGCAAGTCTTGCGAGTACTACCCTCTGGATTACGCCGAGGCTAAACTCATCCCGTTGGTTTAAAGGCACATGGGAGCATTTATAATTACAGGGAAACAGACACATCTATTTAGTGAGAAAAATACCTTGCTCAGAGTGAACATAGGGATATGTGAAATTATTCCACTTTAAATTTTATCATCCAAAAGAAACAAGGTGGTTTAAAAAAGGCAACTAAATCTATTGAACCCCAAACAGTGTGCATGTTTTTCCGTTTCAAATGTAATTATAAAAGTCACTGGGCTAGGAATGTTCACAGGTGTGTCGTTATGCACCCTACTTAGAGTTGGAGCAATTTTTTTTTTTCGGTTCAAAATGACACTTTTTTGTCAACATGACACTTCCGGGTCAAAATGGCGACTTTCGGGTCAGAGAAGTGTCATTTTGACCAGGAAAAGTGTCAATCGCCATAGAACCCGGACTCCAGGTCAAATCTGACCTGGGACTTTTTACAGTGTTATGAAGCATAAAGAAGAGCTGAGTATGGCTCTCTTGGAAAACAAAGAACAGTGGAAAATATTTCTTTACACTTGTTGCATATGGTCACGTGAACTTGATGTGTTTCCAGAAAACGATGGACACTGAAATGAAACCGACGATGGATTTGGAAATTTAATTTGCGTTAGTTTTGCTTGAACATGCTTTGTTTAGTTAGATAAAGAAGAAAAGAGACATACTAAAATTTTCAAATTAGTTTGATTTTGAGGTTTCAAAACATTTATATGCTTAATATTTTAGAGAGACTAAAAGCATTGTGTTTAGGAAGTCATTGCAAGATGTTAATTCTTGTTTTTGTTACTTTCATCTGAGAATAATTTTACTGCTTTGAACAAAATTGTTAGATTGAAGCATACATTTAATTACCAAACGCAATATGGGTTTTTGTTGTTTTTGTTTTTAGCCTTCACCGATGTAATTTAATAAGCACTGAATAGTCGTTGCTGTCCGAAAGCTTTTAGAGATAAATTCATCAACTTGCTCAGGTTGGACTCGAGCCCAAAACCTCCTGCTTGCTAGTGCGAGTACCCGATTGTGTTTTCCCCTCCTAGAACCCACCACGTATAATGCTTAAGTATGTTTGAAGTAACCTAGCCAACATATATACACATGTATTTATTTAAGTATGGATATAACTATTACAGAATGGAAATTATAATAAGTTGTGTTGTGATCAAGCCTGCACCAGAGGATAAATACCCATTCAAAGTATTGGTTTACATGCTAAAAAGTATTAAACACTCCAACGACATTTATTACGTAGACATGTACATGTATATTGTTAAAGATGTACATGAACCATATCATTATAGACCAACTGTTCGGCGGAAGCAATATTTCACCCGTTTATGACCAGGCTTGACGGGAAACCTCTCCAACATTGTGAGTTTCCAACAATTGGCACCTAAAGCCAACAGATCCGTTAATTTGTCCTCATTTTACAATAAGGTCAGAGAGGGCCTTATTGTCATTGTCGTTTCATGAGTTGCAGACACATTGCTAGGCCGAGGTACACCCATTCAGGCAAAAAACTTGTTTGACATATGGTTAATGTGGCTAAATACAAGTACACAAACCAAATAGCGCCCTCCAATTTTGTCCGCCACATCGCTGAAAGGCGAAATGGAGGGTTTGCAAGCCGACAACTCAAGTACACATGTACATCACAAGATAGCATGCATGGTTAAGCTTCGTTTTCACATCCATGGTGGTCAAGTTCTAAGTTAAATACCAGTATCATAAAAAGGAAAATCATTTAAAAGTGTTTGGGAACCTCGTGTTAAGATAGATCTATCCTTAAGTATTCCCCTAAGCGAAGTTATACATACGTGTCACTAAAGCTGTGAAAAATTGCTAATGATGTAAAAACAATCGGCGTGGATGAATAAAAGCTATAAATGATGCATTTAGTTAGGCAAATACGCCATTAAAGCATAGCAGCAAGCTTGAGAGTTTGTGTATTTGTTTCCTCATTCTGTCCTTTCTATTTTCCTAAGTTGTACCGTTTATCCTATGGCAATTTTTTTCTGTTAAGCCCCATCTCACGTCAGGTGCCTAAAATGCTGACACGAAAACTGAACCGAAGCTTCAAAGAAATATAAACAGATTAAAATCAGATGTTCCCAACACACACACAAATGTAATCCAAATTAAATATTGATTTTTATTCTTCACTGACATGCCCTATAAGCATTTAATTAAAGTCAATTAATTTAATGGAATATTTCAATGGACGCTCTACTGTAACATCTGTTTCTCTAAACAGATTATGTCCCAGAAGTAATTTACATAAAACGACCAAAGGTAGTTTTTATTATCTCCGACATACTATTATCCTTGCTTTTAATAAAGATATAACTCTCGACTACGCATCGGGTGCTATGCGCCCATCGGGTGTTTAAAAAGTCATATCCCACATCACCGCATTCGACAGTTGTTAAATATATTGCGACAATGACTTGTTGGTTAAACAGGAACAAAATTTCCCTTAATTAGATATAATTCCAAATCACCAGGAAAAAGATTCACACATCAATCGAAGGCATTTTGAGATGATTTTATAACTACGAATGTACAGGGTGAGTGAAAAAAACAAAAGCAATAAAACATGCTGGGACCATTGTTTTAGTGAAGTTCTGCATGTAGCACGTTCAGAATCTAGGATATCAAAGCCCAATTCATAAGCTTTTTTGCTACTACAAGAATTATTTAAATCACTCATGTAATTTTTAAGTAACGGAATTTTAAACACAACCGACGTTTTAAATTTATGTCCTGGGATCACAATAAGGTAAGTGTTCTTTCAGCAAAACGAAAACAAATCACATAGGGATGTGTGTGAATCGTTTTCGTTTGCAGAAAGAACGCACACCTTTTTTTTGTGATCCGTGGACAGAACTTCAAAACAGTGGTTGTGTTTACAATTCCGCGATTTAAACAATACATAAGTGATTTGAATGATTACGAATTGGACTTTCACTTCCTAGATTTTGAAAGTGCTACATACAGAACTTCACTAAAACAATAGTCCCGACATTTGGGTTTCGCTTTTTTTTTTCACCCTGTACATGCCGGTATACAATACCTTTTTTACATTTGCGAAGCATAATGTGAATGGATGTCTAACAATAAGCCATGATTCTCATCATATTACTAAGGTTACATAACTTTAAAGAAAAAAACTAACCCTATGTTTAAAACGGCTTACTCAGTGATGAAAAAAATCCCGAGTTTTTTCTCCTACACTGCGAAAACAGTGGTGTCAACCTTAAAACCATCGGTATGTATATAGGGCAATCTGGTGTAAACATTTACTCAGTCTAAAGGTGTCCGATACTAGATGCTGTTAAATTAATGCCACAGCTTTTGAAGTGCAGGTTCTGTTGTCAATACTGTTTAGGGCTATTTTCTTTTAGCTATAATCTATTTGGGAAACCGTTAGAGTTATATCAGATCAGTGCTTATACTTATTCCAAAGCAAATTTTTGTATTATTCTATTCATCATAACTACCAAATAGGCTTTTGGTCAACTGACTGGCAGTACCATCCACTGAGTACCCAAACAGTTTATAGTCAATCTCGTAGTATTTGCTCATTCTCTGTATGACACCGAGTGGCACCTCCTTGTAATAGTTAACAAGGTTCTTCACAGCATTGGAGTCGTGGTATTCAGGGAACTTGACAAACCGGTCCACGCCCAGCCACTTCAAAACGTACGGCCCTTCGACGGACAGGTTTTCAAAATGACCGATGAAATCGTACTTGATTTGGCACGGGTGAGTGATGACGTGTTGCGGAAGCCAATGGTCGTTGATTTGGCTCATTCTAATACCGCTGCCCAGATCGCAAACGTATGTCATAAACTCGCTCAGTGTGATGTTTAGGAACTGCCCCTCTTTGAAAGTTCGCACCTTCTTGTCTCGATACCGCCTGACAATGTCTCGCCCAAACCATCGTTCCCACTGGAGCTGCAAGTCGGGTTTGTTACGCGTGGCCAGAGCGCAGAACTTACTCATGTAGGCCGAGAGAATGCGACTCATTGGTTCCCGGACAAAGATAACTTTGCGGTAGTTGGCCAATCGGGCGTTCTGCTCTTCTGCGGAGTATCTACCCAGCGTGGCAAAGCCCGTGTTGTTGTGCGAGCGCAGTTTACTCAGTACCCCTTTCCAGGTTGAGCAGGACACTTTAGGGATGAAGTTGAAGAGGAGCTTATGCGCGTCGTTGACGAGCATGTGAGCAAAGTCCACGCGACCCGAGGTTGACATGTTAAAATACTTGCAACCTTCCTTCAGCAGAGTCAATCTTCTGTCCTGCTCCTTCGCCATGATATCATTCAGATCGCTGTGCTTAAACGTAGACACCTTCAGGGAAATAAAACACGCCAAAAACGCTGGACTTATTGGCCTAAACTTCAAGATAAAGTACACGAGTAAAGCTTTTAGACTGTATTTAAGTTACAACCGTAACGTAATAATAAAAACTCCATATTCAACAACGTCCCGTCATTATTATGGTCACGCATGTTGCATTGGATGTTTGAGGAAATACCTGATACCGGTAGGCCTTCATACTTTGAATATGCCATAGTTGGTTCATTTTATCAATATGCTATCATTTCACTTTACCAAGACATATTTACCTAGTCTAATTTGAACTCTCTAAGCCCAAGAATAGGCACAAATAGTAAAGTCTGTCTCTAAACGCACATCTCTGTGTGTTTGTCTGTCCGCATTTCGATTATTTCAAGAACCGGGCACTGTGTGAAGTTGACAATCAATCAAATTAGGTTTTGCCCTTCACCTTGCACCATCCCATTCAACAGTTTACAATTTACAAAATCGATTCAAGGAGCAAGATCGAAAATAGCCCTTCTCGTGAATAAGGCCTAAAGGCTGGCCTCGCCTGCACCGGCAAAACTAAACCTGGGTATAATACACTATAAACTATTCTCATGTACTTACGTTTCTCATAATTGCAACCTGTGAAGTGGTCATTTCGTTTCTTCCGTGTAAATCTAGAACGAAATAAAGTTGTTTTTGTTTATGAGTTGCTATTAGTTTATACATAAAATGTTCATAACTTTTAAGAGTGTTTCTCAATGTGAATTAATTGGTTTTTCAGAAGAACTTTTGTTCTGAGCAACTATTCAATATTACTGCGTTATTTTGCAATATATCGCGTTAGTTTGCAATATTATCTCTTTTTTATAACAGGTATTGGGTTTTTTTCCGGATACCTCGAAAAATAAAAAAATATATATATTATTGATATATATAAATAACGCACTAGTATTGCAAAATAGCATGCGATAGTAGGCCTATTGCTAAATACGCTATCTGGGGATTGAAAAAAACTTTTGCGTTACTTCACAATATATTTCTTTATTTCGCAAAATGTTTGCATCGTTTCGCAAAATAACTGCATTATTTCCTCAAACTATTGCATTATTTTACTCCCAAAAAAATGTGTTAGTTTTTTTTCGCTTTTGAAACCTGGCACGAACCGGCTTCCATATTTATTAAATAGTACAAATTAATATCGAGAATTGAAAATAATTCTCCGATATAGCACAGCGTGATTTTCGCGTGGGGCCGCCCGGAGCTTCCTCGCTCATCTCCGGTCAACGTGACCGCGCCGTGCACGGTGAAATTATTTTGTCAAATTGCCATAATTATGCTCTGATTTCAATGAAAATACTTTAGCCGAGGCTTGACCAGCTGGCTGCATGCATATGCAATCACTGTGTTAAAAGTAATCAGTGTATCATGACTTTCGATCCAATGACCGACTTGTGTTCATGATAAAAAAAAAAAGTCAGTACCAAAGGCATTTTGGTCTTCGCGTGTAATATTTCAAATGGTAATTGGTTTATCGTTGAATCCTTTGCAACCCCGTAATATGACAGAATGAATTCAGGATTGGGAGAAATCGTGTAATAGGCCTCCGCTTGTCTTGTAGCGTCCAACAATTGATCAAGTCGCAGAGAAGATGTCGTCATCCTGAAATACAATTTGTCAGGAATTAAACAATTCTAAAATCTAGGAATTATCCATTCACATGTATACATGGTCTGAACAAGCCTGGTAAGGCTTGTGGGGACACTTTTGAGGAGTCCTTGGTTTCATTACCAGAAAGAACTAAAATACATATTAGATATTATGACCTACCGTGGGCACGCAGCTTGAAGCGGAGATTATCCCGAACGCTGCCCTTGATCAGCAGGAAACACACCAAGACCGAACTCAAGGAGAGGCCGAAAAGAAACCACAAAGCACGCGGTAGGGCTGGCATTATCACTCTGTGATGCAGGAAAATAACAAATACCTCATATAAGTTTTGAAAAAAAAGCTGAAAATCACCGCGTTTTTTTTACAGAAATAATCAAATATTGGCCTTCAAGCAGACAGGTATTTGGTCTACAGTAGTTTGTTGGTATAGGCCTAGGTATTTGGAAGAGCACTGAGTAGGTAATTGTTTTGTATAGGACTGAGAGACAGATAGGCATCGTTTGATTTTATGTTACTCATTTAAAGAGCAAAAGAACAACAAAATGTGATCAGAATCAATGTGTTTTGGGGCTAGAACTGTGTTGATACACATCGTGAAGTGACGATAACTGACGATTGTTTTCAGAAGAAGCATAGAAATTAAATCAATATGTCATTTTGTATATGTTTTGTAATCAAATCACTGTCTTTGCTTTTTTTTCAGAGCCACATGTCGCGTTTAGAGTATTAAAGTCCATTATACCGTGGAGTGTCCGAAAGTTCTACCAACGATGAATTAACAAAGAGAGAACGTTTTCTATGCTACAGGGTGGTGCAAAAAGAAGGAAACCCACTTTTGACACCAATTTTCACTTACTTGTTGAGCATTTTTCAAAATTAAATTTACTGGTATTAAAATATTGATCTTTAAACATTAATGAAGAAAAATATGATTGCAAATGCATATTTTGTCTCTGAGATATAGTAGTTTGATAATTTCATGTGCCAAACGCGTTTGTCCAAGGACGACTTTATCCCATCCGCTTGACTGACTTCCGGAGTTGATTTGAAGAAGAAAAAAAAGACACTACATGAGACTTACACGTGGACAACAGTGAATTTGGTGACTTGTATTGAAATTAGCATAATAACACTATTCTTGCGATTTTTTCCACCAGGACTGATGCTCAAGGCGGTACATCATTATTACTCCTGCTCATTCGGCCCATGAAACATTCCAAATGCCATCTCAGCTCCCTGGGGAGTATACAGCTCGATGCAGCCTGTTAGGCGCAAGGAAGCTAATTCAATCACAATAACCTCACAGGTACCCATTTACTCCTGGTTGGAGAGTAGCAACGAGTGACAAAGTGCCTTGCCCAAGGGCACACGCACCATGACACCAGGCTGGACTCGAACCCGCAACCTGCAGCTTTACCCGCAGACCACGAATCCAATGCCCTTAATCTCGAGGCCACAGCAGGAACAGTGTGAAAAGACCTAGATATCTGCAATGAACAACTCGTCAGAACGATCTTTATCCAATCTGGTACAAGACACTATTGAATAAGACAAGACGATTTAAGTACACGTTAGCATTTATCAATACTTACCACGAGTGTCGATTTCTTTTTGGAGAGCAGTGCAAGCTGTAAACAGCAATTTTGAGTTGATGCGGTCTTCTTTTTTAATATATCTTTTTAAAGAAGGATTGAAATTCGCATCCGCAGTAAAGCCCCTTTACAACTTTTAGACCAAACTGTGCTGAAAATGTCCACCGGTAACTGACTATGCTGAACGAAACTGTACGTTTTGTACACTGACTTGAATCTGGCATTACGTGGAATAGGCCTAACGTATGTGAAAATAACTAACTACATGTATCTACTTAAAATACTTGCTTGCATATTAATTGTCCTTACCATCTGTTTTCACGAACTACACAGTCCTATCGATTTCAATATTTAATTTGGCCGGATTCATCCTATATTTACATACATATTTAAATTGGACATACGTCTTACTGCATACAACAAGCGCACCAGAGTGTAGCTTATCTTGTCAGTATCATTATGTGGAATATATCACTTTTGTTTACATGTTGACAACAGCAGCTTTTATTCCCAAAGTGCGAGGGTTAATCAGTTCTTATAAATAAATATAGGTTTTCCCGGACAATTTCGGAAAATGTGCGTTTGAATTTGTAAAACATAAATTCAATTTGGCGGTGATTTTGAGAACGACGTACATCCTGGTTTCATTTTCGCAATAACTAGCATTCGATTTCATTTTGCATCAATCAAATGAATGAATGTGCATAACGTTTCATTTAATGGATTTCAAATACGTGATTAGGTTTTCGGTTTGACGGATGCGTTGCCGATTATTACGAATGTGCAATCCAATTCGCAGAAATTCGATTGTCTATTGTGACACAGGCTAAATTGAACATTCTGTTTCATTTGTTACAATTTAAATTCGCATTTTCTGCATTCAATTTAAATAAATTATGCAGGCCTATACAAATCATGATACAACTTTGATTCATTAATTAATGATTCATTAATTAATCAATGTATGCCTTATTGATCATTAATGTCTTTGTTCTTATATACACAAAGGCCTATGTGAAATGTAGGCAAATGAAATGTGAAAATGATATTAATATGACCAATATGAAATCAATCAAAATAATCTTGTAGCCATATTATTGAGACGGTAAAGGGACACATCACGTGTCATGTTACATGGGATCTGCATGGAGACTTTTTGAATATTCAAAAATTCAATCATTCAATCAACCATTCCTCAAATGTTACTTTAACACATAAATGAATTCCAATGCTTGACCAGGCATACGTTAAATAACACTGCGAGGGAAATCGGCTGCACATTTAGCGAAAAAGATTGATGATAAATTAAAAGGAAAACAGGATTGCGGATGTGCCTTCGATTTCGCGCTAAAATGAAATGTCAATACACTAAATGCAGTGCACATTCGGGAAATCGTACGCTGATTTTTTACGACCGAATGCACTTTCACGGAAAAAGAATTATCATTTGTTAAATAGAAACAGAGATATGGAACGTTCATTCTATTTCGCACGAAAACGAATGCTTCTTTTACAAATTCGTGTACACATTTCCCGAAATTGTCCGGGAAAACCTATAGTTGTCTTACTATCTAAACATTTAGTAAGTTAGTTTGGTTGAAATCAGAAATATGATTGAATCGTTTCATTTGCGGCTTGATTTTAAGTTATAATATCCTGTATCGAATTAACTTTCGCGGCATGTTTCTAAATCGTCATCGCATAGGCCCCAAAAACCCGACATGGCTAAAGAATGATCAAAAAAGAAATATACATAAAATCACTTGAATGCTTTGCAGTAAAAGTAACAAAAACGTTCTTCATCAAAAAGTAGTGATGATCACTGTGACGCAAGCTATAGGCGAGCTTTTATCTTGATAGCCCATCAATATCAAAAAATCACATGCTGTGCCTGACTACAATGGCTGCCAACAAGTTGAATTCCTTTCGATCGACTATACTCTAAGTGAATCATAGTAGCATGTTCTCATCTACTTTGTTTTGCATAGTCAGAAGGCTGGTTCTTTAAATGTAAGTTCCTCTAAGCAATGAGCTATTGCAGAGGCTGTATAATAGTGCATAATATACGCGCAATCGGTTTTTTTTTCTCGTGACGCGTGTGCAATATTCCCGGGGAATCACTCGAGGGAGAGGGGCGGCACGGGATATATTACCCGGTCCCTCTGCAGCGGCCGCGGAATACCGGGGAGAGACAGGCTGGGCCCGGGTCGGGGCTAACACATTGGGGTCGTTCAAATGAGGGCAGGACTGAACCCATTCAAAATTCTATGGCGCCCTTAACATGGACAAAGTTGCCACCTTGGTAACAAGTAGACTGGTTGGACGCAATTATGTCAGTCTAATAAGCGCCCTCAAGTGTCAGATTACATC